TTGACTCCGCTGACTCTTCCCTCGCATAACACCACATTAACATTTTAACAAAAAAAAAAAAAAAAGTTTAAATCACACAAAAACAAGTCAAAAACCAAAAAGCCAAAAACATCAAATAACCCCCATAAACCCTCAAAACAAATGTTGTAATTTTCTCTTTTGCCCTACTCATTCAGAGAACTTTAATAAATCTGAGCCTGTCACAGCTCCATACAAACAAAAAAATTCATTATTAAAATAAAGCCTTTTGGAATTAGATAAAAATAAGATATTGGAATTCATTATATATACTAATATATTAATATGAAATATCAAAAGGCTTGATTATTTGCACGAACAAAGATATAAACCAAAAAACACAAGCTATTAGTTAACTGTAGAGTATCGTGTATAAAGTATCAAAGTGCTTTGCTTTCTATTTTTGGTTGGTTTATTTTGATTTTCATATGATTCTATACTTTTTTTAGACAAAACAAACAAACTTACTTGGGCGGTTACCCAGGCTTTTTTTTTACGATAAACCTGTTATTTCATGCATGACCATCGCATCCGCACTACGGATGCGTTATTGGAATCGCATCCGCACTACGGATGCGTTATTAGAATCGCATCCGCACTACGGATGCGAAAACTTTATCTTTACCTTATTACTTTAGAGAAACCTTTGGATTACCAAATGCATTACCTCAAAACTATAAATGATTATAGTTTTTGCGATTTGTTAGAAAATAAACTTTTCCTCTCCCATATGACCACTGGTTATGGCACCCCCCACCCACAACGCCCCCTTTTCTCTCACACCTCAACTACAGACACAAATATGCCTCGGCTGCATACACACACTTTAAATATATCTATCTCAACTACCCACACACCGACTACCCACACATCGACTACTCACACATCGACTACCCACACACACATCTCTCTTATAATAAATTCATAACCTATATAAACATATAATAAATAATAAATCATATTTTATTTTAGTTATTTAAAGATATTAAAATAAATAAGATATGCGAGTAGGGAGAGACCAAGTTAATTTGTTTGAAGTGAAAGGGACAAGAAGAATGAGAGTACAGAGTATAAGAAATATATGTTTCTTTTTTTTTTTTTAAAATATAGGTTTGAGGATTATGTTGTGCATCTATAAAGAGAGATTACTATGGCAGGACTTTGTGTTAGACAATGGCTGTTTGGTCTAGAACTGGATATTTAAAGATATACTAAAAGTAAGAATTTTTAAAAATTATGTGTGATAGGATGGGGTCATTTTCATTGAAGAAGGTGTTGAAGGTATAAGTATATAGATATCATGTGCATGCGAAAGTAAAAAGACAGTTCTGAGAATAGTAGTATATGTCACTTCAGATATAAAAGAATAGAGTATATGGGTTCCGAGTGCTGAAGTTTGATTATATGGTTATTATTTTTATTTTTATTTTTCAGTAGTGATAAAATAAGAAAGATAGTATGATTGGTATTGTCGACTTTGAAAGTGGTGCGAAGTTGTTGTTGGTACAGGGTTGAAAAAAGAAAACAATAGAGTGGCGATGACTGTCGCCTTTGAACGCAGTGCGAAGTTGTTGTTAGTACAGGGTTGAAAAAAGAAAACAATAGAGTGGCGATGACTGTCGCCTTTGAGAGCAGTGCGAAGTTGTTGTTAGTACAGGGTTGAAAAAAGAAAACAATAGAGTGGCGATGACTGTCGCCTTTGAACGCAGTGCGAAGTTGTTGTTAGTACAGGGTTGAAAAAAGAAAACAATAGAGTGGCGATGACTGTCGCCTTTGAGAGCAGTGCGAAGTTGTTGTTAGTACAGGGTTGAAAAAAGAAAACAATAGAGTGGCAATGACTGTCGCCTTTGAGAGCAGTGCGAAGTTGTTGTTAGTACAGGGTTGAAAAAAGAAAACAATAGAGTGGCGATGACTGTCGCCTTTGAGAGCAGTGCGAAGTTGTTGTTAGTACAGGGTTGAAAAAAGAAAACAATAGAGTGGCGATGACTGTCGCCTTTGAGAGCAGTGCAAAGTTGTTGTTAGTACAGGGTTGAAAAAAGAAAACAATAGAGTGGCGATGACTGTCGCCTTTGAACGCAGTGCGAAGTTGTTGTTAGTACAGGGTTGAAAAAAAGAAAACAATAGAGTGGCGATGACTGCCGACTTTGAGAGCAGTGCGAAGTTTATAGGGACACGAAGGCTTGACCAAGGGCTTATTTTTTGTTAGAGTCGCATATACAGTGAACAGTCGTCAAAAATATAAAATAAAGAGTATTTCATTTTTTATTTTATTTTTCAAAAGAGTGCGCTTCCTTTTCGTATTGCGTCGCTTTCGGTCCACTTTGAGTTGCAATACAATATGAATGACGATCCCCAACAGGAATGAAGATCCTCGACTGGGATGGCGGAATGTCGAAAGAAGATTCAAGCCATCGTTAAAAAGATTTTTTTTTGTTTTGGTTACAGCACAGTGAAGGGTTTTGAATACACAGTCCTCTCTCAACGATTGTAAGTGAGTACCATACGGTCTTTAAACCTTCGTATGGGTAACAGTATCCCTGTCAATGGACCCTGCTATGATTCTTTCACTTGTGGGTACACAAAGGGTGTCTGCACCACCGATCAGTAATACCAGTTTACAAAAAAGTGCGTGCTGTCCGAATTGTCGATTAGAACCCTTAGTTTGTAAAAAGATATAAAAAGAAATAGACAATATCGTATATATTGTACCAGTGCAGCCAATTGACTGGTAGACAGATCCCCAAGTGTGTGCGTGTGTATTAAAGAGGGAAAAAAGGTAGGTGTAAGAGCTCATCTGAAATATACTAACAGATTATATATATATAGTCCTAGAGTAACTTTTAGTATATGAACACAATTCATTTTAAAATAACTTGATAATATATAGATATATATCAACTTGGATTAGACTTATAAATAAAAAGAAAATGAGAGAGAAAGCGAATTAAAGGAAGTAGAGTGTTAATTGATCCATAAATATCCAGTGGATCAAACTGTTATAAAGATGTATTAAACCTCATATTGTTGCTTATAGCTCGGATCGGATTTAATTTTAATCAAAATCTTTTGCAGCCGAAATATATATATTCTTGCACAGAACTATTTAATAAACTGCTTGAGAAGTATATGGTACAAGCCAAAGATATCTATTTGTTTAAGTTGCTGTTTAAATAGTTTTAAATAAGAGTATATTTGAAAAATTGAATGGGAAATAAATGATACAAGCTATAGACATATTTCAGTCGAGTTACTATTTAAATAATCGCAAAGAAATATATAATTATTGAATATAATAGTACCAGCCTTTTTCATTATTAAAATAAAGCCTTTTGGAATTAGATCAAAATAAGATATTGGAATTCATTATATATACTAATATATTAATATGAGATATCAAAAGGTTTGATTATTTGCACGAACAAAGATATAAACCAAAAAATTCAAGCTATTAGCTAACTGTAGAGTATCGTGTATAAAGTATCAAAGTGCTTTGCTTTCTATTTTTGGTTGGTTTATTTTGATTTTCATATGATTCTATACTTTTTTTAGACAAAACAAACAAACTTACTTGGGCGGTTACCCAGGCTTTTTTTTTACGATAAACCTGTTATTTCATGCATGACCATCGCATCCGCACTACGGATGCGTTATTGGAATCGCATCCGCACTACGGATGCGTTATTAGAATCGCATCCGCACTACGGATGCGAAAACTTTATCTTTACCTTATTACTTTAGAGAAACCTTTGGATTACCAAATGCATTACCTCAAAACTATAAATGATTATAGTTTTTGCGATTTGTTAGAAAATAAACTTTTCCTCTCCCATATGACCACTGGTTATGGCACCCCCCACCCACAACGCCCCCTTTTCTCTCACACCTCAACTACAGACACAAATATGCCTCGGCTGCATACACACACTTTAAATATATCTATCTCAACTACCCACACATCGACTACCCACACATCGACTACCCACACATCGACTACTCACACATCGACTACCCACACATCGACTACCCACACATCGACTACCCACACATCGACTACTCACACATCGACTACCCACACATCGACTACCCACACATCGACTACTCACACATCGACTACCCACACATCGACTACCCACACACACATCTCTCTTATAATAAATTCATAACCTATATAAACATATAATAAATAATAAATCATATTTTATTTTAGTTATTTAAAGATATTAAAATAAATAAGATATGCGAGTAGGGAGAGACCAAGTTAATTTGTTTGAAGTGAAAGGGACAAGAAGAATGAGAGTACAGAGTATAAGAAATATATGTTTCTTTTTTTTTTTAAAAATATAGGTTTGAGGATTATGTTGTGCATCTATAAAGAGAGATTACTATGGCAGGACTTTGTGTTAGACAATGGCTGTTTGGTCTAGAACTGGATATTTAAAGATATACTAAAAGTAAGAATTTTTAAAAATTATGTGTGATAGGATGGGGTCATTTTCATTGAAGAAGGTGTTGAAGGTATAAGTATATAGATATCATGTGCATGCGAAAGTAAAAAGACAGTTCTGAGAATAGTAGTATATGTCACTTCAGATATAAAAGAATAGAGTATATGGGTTCCGAGTGCTGAAGTTTGATTATATGGTTATTATTTTTATTTTTATTTTTCAGTAGTGATAAAATAAGAAAGATAGTATGATTGGTATTGTCGACTTTGAAAGTGGTGCGAAGTTGTTGTTGGTACAGGGTTGAAAAAAGAAAACACCAACAAAATCTTTTCTTTCTAACCCTTAATAAACCATACATCAACTTCATTATGCTCTATCTTCTCAAGAAGTTGACAAAATAAAACCAAAAACTGTGTTGTTATAGAGAAATGTGTGTTTACTATAGAATAAAATAAAAAATATAGCTTTATATACGGTGTGACCACCCCGAGCTTTAATGGCTGCTTTAACTCTGTGGGGCATACTTGTTTCATGAGTTTACAGAACTTCTGCGTCGAGTAACCCCCATTCCTGAAGAATACGGACCTTTAGAGCATGCCAGGCGTGCTCAATTGGGTTCAAATTTGTACTTTGCGACGGCCAGTAGTCAAATCGTTTAATCTCCCAATGTTTTTTCCACCACATCGTGTAGGACCCAGTATGACAGCTAGCACCATCTTCTTGGGGTGTGAACATGGTATCGTGCTTCTCATTCAATTGTTTGTAACAGGGATTGAAATTCTTAGACTGACAATTGACGTATGCAGCATGGTATACTGACTCTTCGATAAACGATAATGGCCCAATGCCACCAGCCGAGAAACAGCCCCATACCATCACGGAACCTTTTCCGTACTTTTCTTTTGTTAGTGTATGACTTTCCTGGTATCTCTCCCCTCGTCTACAAATTACGAACTTGTCAGAATAATTTCCATTCCCCATTAACCTTGACTCATCTGACCATACCACTCTACTCCAGTCTTCGATGCTAAAATTGGCCCTAGTTCTAGCTCAACACAACTGAGTCTTTTTCTGCTGGCGGGTTAACTTCGGTTTAGATACAGGGGTGTAAGAACCGAAGCCTTTTGCTCTTAGGTATCGGATAACTGTCTGTCTACAAACATTAACGCCAGCAGTTCCCAAATTTGCCTGGTGGTATCCATAACTCTCAAAAGGATTGCGTCTCAGATTCAAACAAAGACTTGTAACGTCTGTTACATTAATTTTCTTTGGTTTCCCAGGTCTGGTCTTTGTCTTGGCTGTTCCAGTAGTCTCCCAGCGCTTTATTGTATCGAAAACTGTAGTTCTAGGAATGTTCATACGGTTTGCGATGTCAGTTGGAGTATGATCGGCTTTTGATAGCCAAACAATGTCTCCACGCTCAAAATCTGACAGCTCGCGTCTAGAGGGGGTAGTTTTGATCCTTTTATTACTGTTTAACATTGGTGATTAAGTTTCAAGTAAAGGTGTGAGGAAGAGAAAGGTAAATAATGTCATAGAAAAGCAAGCATGAAAAATGTGGTTCATCGATAGTTTTTATTGTCGAAGTGTACAAGTTGGACAAAAGACAATACTGTATTTTCTCTACCTTTTTTATAGTTTAAGCCAGAAATCGTGTTTTTAATCTTCATTAAGGATTATATACTCCGAAAAGATAAAACATCGTCACCCCCAGAAATACACCTCTTTTTGAGCACACCATATTTCTTTTCCTTTTGCAGAACCTTTTCTTAAAACTAAATCACTTATGTCATCAAGAAATAAAACAATCAGAAGTCCTTCAAAAAGATGTGAATAGCCAGAGTTTGAGTGTGGCGGTATTATTTGACTATATAAAACCAAAAATACTCCAACTGAGATCTCAAACTACATGTGTATCCCTAGAACGACAATCAACACCACTATCAAACGTTGGGAAGAAACTGGTACTGCAAAACTAAAGACTAGACCTAGGGGACCTAAGAAACTTAGTGTCACAGATGTTATAAGCTTTTGCTTGAGTGTGATGAATAACCCTTTTGAGAGTTATGCATATCATCAAAGGAATATGACAGCTGCCGGCGCAGCATCTGTGGAGATACAGTTATCCGATACCTTAAGGCCAAAGGCTTTAGTTCTTACACCCCTTTTCCTAAGCCAAACTTAACCCGCGAACAGAAGAAGAGTCGATTGCGTTGGACCAAAGCTAGAGCCAACTTTGGGATTGAGGGTTGGAGTAGAGTGGTGTTGTCAGATGAGTCGAGCTTTATGCTGAAGGGCAATGGTTCTGACCCAGCTGCGATTCGTAAGCGAGGGGAGAGTCACCAGAAACGTCATACACTAACAACAGAGAAGTACGGAAAGGGTTCCGTGATGGTGCCAGGTTGTTTCTGGGCTGGTGGTTTTGGACTGTTATCGTTTCTTGAAGGGTCTGTAGACCAAGACACATATGTCAATTGTTTGTCTAAAAACTTCAATCCCTGGTATAATAAATTGAATGATGGACAGGACACTATGTTTACATTCCAAGAAGGCGGTACTAGTTTCCATACTGGGTCTTATACGATGTGGTGGAAAAACCAGTGGGAAATTAAACGTTTTGACTACTGCCCATCACAAAGTCCAGATTTGAACCCTATCGAGCATGTCCGGCATGCCCTAAAAGTCAATGTTCAAGAAATAAAGGCATCTATAAATAATGTTGAAGAGCTCAAGGCTTGCATTCTTCAGGAGTTGGAGAGACTTGACCCAGACCTTCTTTGTACTCTTGTAGCGAGTATGCCAGATAGAGTCCAAGCAGTTATAAAAGCTCGTGGTGGCCACATCACATATTAGACCATACCTTATCTTTCATCTTTACAATATATATATACTTATATCTATACTAAAATGAAGTTTCACTTTATTCAGTTGAGTTCTTTAGAAGATATAACGTAAAGAAGTTAATATGTAGTCTATTTGGGACTAGAAATCAAGGAATCTGACTGTGATTTATTCGGCATGAGTGTATATATATATAACTTTTATATATTCTTTTATTTATTAATATTATTATTCGCTTTTGTTTGTTTGCTAATCCTGGTATTGAATATTAATTCTGATTGTCAAGTCGTTCTTGTAAGTCACGGATTGTCTGGAGGAGTGGGCGAGTAGCTTCTGTCACAGATTCTTCTACAGTCTTGTTGATAGCCTCTAGCATTGCTGGTGATAAATTTGATGGATCGGTTCCATTAATGGCCGATTTTCTTGGAACCTCACTAATTTCTAATCCCTTTGAGGCTGCTACTGGATCTACCAGATAGGCAATAAAATATTCGTGATTCCTAATAATGATAATACAATAGAATATTAAGTTCATAAAAACTTTTGTTCATTTGATTTTAACTACTAGAAAAAGAAAGAAAAAAAGAAAAAAAGGCTTACTTTAGGATTTGTTCAATATCATTTAGACTAGTCTCAAGTTCAGTGGGAAAGGATGAACTCAGGACTGTTGATCGGAACTGGTACACATAGTCAGTAAGTTGGTCGAGCTTTGTTTCCAAATCTTTGGTTCTCTTATCGGTGACATCAGATGTAGAGCTATCCTCATTAAAAACACGTCGTCTCTTCCTATTCTCATTGCCTGGTCGTACTCCGTCGTATTCAATTTTCTCTGATAGTCGCTGCATTTCCCTTTGTCTCACATTCGCCATAGTATCCATGGATAAGATCTTGTTCTGTACCAGGTTCATGTCTTTGCTTAGTTCATCAACGCGTTTGATTGCACTCTCGACTCGTGCATGGTCAATGTTGACACTATTATGTTTACTATCCTGACTTCTTATGGCGTTAATAAATGCTTGTGTGCTTTCTTGCTTTGTCTTGACATCTGCTAGTTGTACTGTCAAGCCGCGAATAATTTCATCTCTTTGCTCTATTTGTACCCGCATTGCATTTTTGGAAGTTTCGGTTTGTGCTGACAGCTTGACTTGCTCCAGCTGAGCCTTGAGTGATTTGATCTCTGCTGAATCTGCTATGAGCTGCTGTACTCTGGCAGGGTCAATTGGCTCAACCGGTGGTTGAAATAGAGACCGATTCTCCTCCTGGAGTGTCTGGAACACCTTCTTTGATATGCCGTTCAGGAGCGGGCTGTCTTTTTCCAAGGCCTTGAGATTTTCCCATTCTTTGGTCGTCTTCTCATAATCTGTATTGAGTTTCTGGAATGCCTCTTTATTTTGAAGCCGGAGCTCCTCCATCTTGGCTGCCTGCTGTGCTTTTAACTTATCCTCCATTTCTTTGATCGAAGTTGCCAGTTTTTCAACATCGCCCGCGCTTGCCTTTCCAAGTTCTACGGCACTAATAGCATTCTCGAGCGCCTTTGAATCCTCCGCATGTTTGGTCATAATAGTCTCGGCATACGATTTTAGTACTGCCTTCATATTGTCTTCAACCTCATTCTGACTTTTTTTGTTAAAAAGAGCACACTCCAAAACGAAATTTCGTAATCCTGCCGCCGCCTTTGTTTTAGCCATATCGGCTCTGGTACATAGAGAGATAGAGAGAGAGAGAAGAGAAGAAGTATATATATATATAATTTTGCTTATTAGAGTTTACTCCTCCCCGAATGATTCATGTTTCTTATAAACATACTGTTTTCGTCTTTCTTCGTATTCATTACTAGTAGATAATATAGTACTGTCTAATATTTCAACAATGAGGATGAGAATGAAAAAAGAAAAGAGAGAGAGAGAGAGAGAGAGAGAGAGAGAGAGAGAGAGAGTATAAATGGACATATTGCTTTTTCTTTATTTCTTTTTTTTTCTGTTTTGACCCATAGGTTGAAAAGGTTAAATATTAATATATATATATTAAAGAAAATGATACATACCCAGTTCATTCAAAATAGATGGCTGTTCTAATTCGCGATTTAATCGTAAGCGGTATTGAGACAGATCTTCCAATCTTTTCTCAATTGCACTGGAATCTTTCATTGCTTGGTGGTAAATGCATATTTCACTACAAAATAATGTTTTTTTTTGTTTCAGTCAAACGAGAGAACATGCATATATACATATGTGTATGTATATATGTATATATCTGTGAGGAGTTATGTAGTTTAATCGTACTTTGCGCTTTGATTCAATAGAAACTCTAGATTTTTTCGTTGTACTTCTTCAGAGTCAATCAAGGTTGAATTTGTTGCCATTATTAATTAAACAGGGAAAAGAATATTTTCTTTTAATAAAAGGAAAAGAATAAAGTAAAAAAAAGAAGAATACGCGCAAGAATAAGAGGATTTTTGTTTTATTCTTGACACCGATTCTTTTGTGATATCTTTTAAATCCTTTTGGTTTGAGTTTGTGCTCTTACAGGATGTCTGCGTAAAGTAGTGACCGCAAGTGGCTATGACAGTCACCATGGTGTTCCTTAATGGGCCAACTTAGTATAAATGTATGTATATTTATATACTATTTATTTATTCAGCTGTTCTTAAGCTCTTTCTTCTTATTTTTTTTTCAATATTGTTGCCATGCTAGATATCTCTATTTCTTTTGTTTTATGTTTCTTTTTAAGATGGCCATTTTGTGTAGACTACCTATCCTCGAAGAACGCTTCTTTAAACGCTTGCAGTCAAGAAGCTAATATCTTCATTCGAATACTACATGCTGTTCACCAGCGTACGAGGGAATCATCGAGGGAATTGAAAGAAAAAAAATACTTTTCATAGTAATTTATTTGATTCCAAATGGATATATTTGTCAATTCACTCGATGATTCTCTCGTACGCTGGTGAACAGCATAAAAATACAAGTAATCTTGAAGGCCATGTTTATCTCTTTACCCAATTTTGCAACCTGTAAGTAGTCTAACGTATAATCTTCCTATAAAATGGCATTTTGGATTAAAAATTAAAATGATGATAATTGGATATCACCATAAGCTTAGCGTATGCTAGAAGTGTCAAAGTTACAAGTCCTTTGAATCAATCATATTAGTATTTTCTATAGTGTATTATGTTTGGAAATGATTTTATATTATTATTATTGTTTGTACAAATGAGACTTGAACTGCTTAGAGGATTTCTCGGGATCTTTGTAGACAGTGTAATGAAATGTAATGTAGTCCGGATTCAGAGGAGCTTGTTACCGAATGGTGAGCTATTAAATTTGAATAAATGTATTGTCTTTAATTCTTGTACTGGGTTGAAGAAGTTGGGAAAATGTGTTTTGCATTGACTGCAAAAACACGGTGGTGTAAAAAATGGGATATATATAAAAGAGTGAAAATTGGTGCTTAATTAAAATTCAACTATAAAAAAAGCACTTTAAACGCTAGAAAACTTGCAACAACTCACTAAAATCGCCCATATATATAAGGTAATTGACCCCCTCTCCCCCCATGTGTATAATCGAGTTTAGAATTTCGTTTATGGGGATTTGTGGACCAGTGGAATATTTAATCAAAAAAATCTCTTTGTAGTATTATCATTTATAAATGCCAAGAAGAAGAGATGGTTTGCTTTAAATTCAAAGTTAAATAGTAATATATATTAGGGGAAAAAAGAGTATTATTAAGATGATAGTTAAAAGGACAAAAAAACATTAAGCAGTTTTCACGCGTGCGGGCAATCGACAATATCTACTGGCAACAATCAATGCACAAATACCATACCCAATGATAGAACATATTATACATGCAAAATGAACAAAGTCGTTATCATATCCACCGGGTACACTAACATTCATACCTACATTATAAGGCAATATAAATATTAGTATTATTACTATTGAAAACAGTAGTGCACAAAAAAAGTTCATTTTTGTTTCGTTGGTAATAGTATTTACCCCACAATCCAACCACAACATTTATAGGGACAAAAACTGTGGCTATAATCGTAAGTCGACCTACGACCTCGTTGGTTGAATTTGCTGCCTTTGTCAAATTATTGGAAACATGAGCAAGGTAATTGGAATGAGACCTAGCCAGGACAGCTTCATGATGGCTTAGGCCGTTCAACATTGCTAGAATATGATCTTTTTTTTAGGGAAAGAAGGAGTGGAGAAAGGGTAAAAGAGGGGGGGTTATTGGTGAGGTTGGGGTAAGGTCAGAAAGTTTTCTTTCTTTAACCTTTTATTTTGGACTTCTTCTTTACCATCTTATTTTCAAAACACCCGATATATTTTTAAACTATACCTTGGACATCACCCAAATAAAGAGGGACATCTGGGATGACAAGAAGTTCTTTTGAATTTACTGGAATGGAGGGTGGAGAATTTAAACCGTAATGTCCTGTTCCTATTCCTCCTCCCGTTGCTGTTGCTAATGGTGGTAACTGTGGTGATTGTGGCGGTGATTGTTGCTGAAGTTGTTGCTGCTGGTGTTGATGATGATGTTGTTGGTGATGGTGATTTGGATTTTGATTGTGATTGTGGTGCCCTTGCCAAGCTGCAACACCTTTGACGTTCCAAAAATTGGATGAATCTGATGAGGATGTCGATGAAAACGATCCATAACGTGATCCGTGATGATTGGCTATACGTCTCTTTGAATCCTTTAGTCGTTTTGTCAATGTTCGGACGATGTCCTCCTTGATCTCGACTAGTCTGTGTATTTTTGCGATCTCTTTACGACAAAGCCCGATTCTCGAAAGGATGGTGAATGAATCCTGACCCCGAAAATGAAGAACGTCTTCCTCTATTTGATTGACTCTTGTTTCGGTTTGATGAACAGAAGGAGCAAGGCTATCGACGATTTCGTTGAGTATAGCATAATTGATCCAGTCAGAGGTTATTACAATATAGCTTTTTAGGCGCTCTATTCGCCGACAAACAGGAATAAGCTGAGGTGCCTCTCCATAATGAATCTTAAGGAGAAGTGCATTTAATATTTAACCTTTATATCATTATTGCTATTGCTATTGCTCAAAGATAAAGGTAAGGAAGAAAGCAAAGACTTACTGTCAAGAGGAACCTTTTGTATAAAAGGCAATAAAGATTGGTAGATATACTGTCGTCTTCTTGCTTTAATGTTCGGTAGCAGGAAAACATATAATTCTTGTAAATGTCACATTTCACCCGGACTTCATTAGCCATGATTACTTGAGCTGTTATGCTATGAACTCCAAAGATCTTTTTTATTTGTTTATTAATTTTTGATATACATATCACATATGCATCAGCTATCATACATATATGTGTTTGTGTGCCTTTTTGAAAGATTCCCTTGACTGCATTATTATCATTTGTGTTTAGAATGCTTACCCTAGTGATTTCTTTAAGTTCTTCAGATGATGGACTGTTAATATTTATCCAGTAGTTTTCTTTTGCGAGCAAATCATTAAGTGCGTTAGGGCTTCCGGCCAATTCTAAAAGGTTCTTTCCAGGGATGCATCCGATATCAGAGTGGTAATATGTATATCTCTCATTGTATTCGTCGTTGTGCAATTTCTATATTTATATATATATATATATATATATATATATATAAGCATTACAGTAATCAATAAAAATGCGTAACGTGTATATATATATATATGTAAGATTAATGCTCAAACCTCTCTAGGATCACCATACAAGCTCAGTCGTTTATCTACTACAGGATCTGAAATTGTGTTTTTGGATATTTCAACTGAGGTTTTATTTAATCCCTTTGGTGCCTCGTTTGGTTTTGCTTTTTTATATATGTTTGGTCATGCAAGTGTGAGAGTTGAGAGAAGAATAGGTGTACTTTTATTCCCTTTGAGTTTTTATACCTTGCGTTATGTCTGTAATATACTAAGGATTTTATTAGTATTCTTATCTCTTTGGTCATTCCTGTTGCTGTATTAAGTGGTTCCAAGAAAAATAGAGTTTATCTTACAGTCTCCATTTCAGATATTACCCGTCTTTTGTAACTCGACGAAGGCATCTACAATTTATTGTTATTATTAATATGCAAATTGTCATTCTTATTATCATTGTCGCTGTCTATAGATTTATATTTATATTATCCGAATTACATTCTTATTTTTTGTGCTTGTCATATAGTGGCTGTAGTGTAGTTTATGTATTATATATATATATAGTGTGTGTACAATATCTGTTTCTTATTCAATTTGATCGATGCGCGTCAGTCGTAGATTGGCAATTATTTTGAGCATTAAAAAGAGTCAAAAGGAAAGAGAGCTGCAAAGGAAGAAGATTGAAATGAAGACAAGCCAGTCAGCCAGTCAGCCAGTCAATCATTTATGGCTTAACCACAAACAATAAAGCCCCCCTCTATTCCCCCTTTTATTTTATTTACCCTTTTTATACTAAATGTATCTATGTAGGTTGATAAATTTGATAGGCTAATATGTATCCAGAAAATTAAAATGTAAAGATAAATACAGAAAAGCCTAGTATTGCATTGTATTGCACTTTTTTGATAGAAAATAGTACAAGGACAAAACTCTACTCTACTCTACTCTACTCTACTCTACTCTACTCATCATCTCTCCTTATATTCCTCCCATCCCTCATTCCCTTCTATTTTTGCCTTTGAATTTGCCTTTGCATTTGCCTCCATCTCTGACTCTGTCTCCCCCTTTATTATATTTATTATATTTATTATATTTTAGTGCTTGGAATAAGTATGGGCAAATTTGGCGGCAATTCCAACAGCAATAAGTGCAGTAGATAGCACAGCAACTATGTTGGCAATCTTTTGCTTACGTTCGGCAGCCTTGAGCTTATTCTAAACAAAAATAAAAGGGATAATGCAGCATTTTTAGGATTGTTTTTTTTTATTTATATATATATATATATATATATATATTACCTTGAGCTCTGACTGTTCATTTAAGGCAGCCTCATTTTCCTGCTTAAGAGAGCTATTGGCCTTTAACAGAAATTCGTTATACTTGCGAATACCTTCCTCCTTGCGATGAACACCATCACAGAAGCCTAAGATAATCGAATAAGAAATCAAATGGTAAATTAGCTTTACCTTTACATAATATCTTATCTTATCTTTCACTCTCTTTCTCTGTATATTGCTGCGTCATCAAGCAGATTGTTTATCTTTATTTATGATGCAGTTGAAATAAGAATTGTTCATACCAAGCTCGTTGTGGGTATATTTACATCCACACAGGAAATAGGTCTTTGATTCTTCAACAACGATCTTCTTGGGCTTAATTCCGGTACCCTTGTGCTAAGAAAATTAAAGGTCCATATATAATAAATCGTAAAATATCCATATTCTCCATAAACACTTTATATATACTTACGCTTCCGTCACAGAAAGGCTGGGTCTTGGATTCACCGCAAGCACACCTTAATTACACAGATAGGATAGATTTATTATTACTGTTTATGCATACTTTTTTTGTTTATTTTCAATTTATTCGATTTTCTTTAATCCTCCCCCCCCCCCCCCCTTCTATTTCATCACTATCTAAATATTTCTATTTCCAATGGTTTCTTATCCCTTGAATTTTTTGACAGGGTGTCTGTGCTTTCTTACCAGTAGTATGCCTATTTAAACAATAACAGTCGCAAGTAAATTTGACTGAATTCTTATTTTTTAAATTTCAAATATATATATATATATATTGAGATAAAAAGCATACCTTTCCAGCCTCAAGGTCAACCTTGTATGGCTTGGGTTGAACAAAAGTAGGTTTGGGGGTTTCTTCAGATGTAGACATGACTTGGTTTCTTGATGATTTATGCAGTTAATCAAATTGAATCAAATTGAGTTGTTGAAAAATAATGTAAGAGGTTTTCAACAACAACAACACAAAAAAATATTTCTGAGAAAACACAAAGGAAGAGAACAAGAACAAGAAAAGGAAAATAAAGAAAGAAAGAAAGAAAGAGATCTAGGCAGAATTTCAGTTTTGATGGCACGCCATCATCTATATATCAAATTGTACCTTGTTCCACCAGGCGCCGCCCAAATGAGGTATTATACCTGTGCACAAAACACTGTAGTAGGACTCTTTCTTTCTTTTATTCTTATCTAGGCAAATTACACAAGCTCATTCAAAACTCGGGGCGGTTTCAACTTTTACTTGTTTTTGTTTCTGACGCTGTTTAATACCCTCTAAGTAAGTACAACAAAGGCTTTGTTAATCCAGAGTCTATGTATCAGAAAAATATTAATATTTTATGTAAAGATGTGTTTCTTTTTTATGAGCAAAACCTCTGTGCTATTATCAATACTCTCCTTTATTTTTGTAATTCATCTCCTTCAGTCATCCTCCGATTCAAATAAAGAAAAGGTAAAAAAAAATTTGCCATATATTTGTCAAAAGATATTTTATCTTTTGGTAAAGTCTCGTAATTTATTCTGATTTATGGTATACCTACTATATATATATATTCTATTGTTAAATCCAGAAACTCGTAGCATATCATTTGGTTTCTTTTTTCTTTTGTTTTTTCATCTCTTTAAGCTGGTTCTTTTTCATATATAAGATGTCTAGATTTCTCGAGAAGATGTAGATGTGACTGCCACTACGGTCACTCACTCACACTTCCACACAAGTATGTTTTTCTGGCGGTTGGATTGAGGATTCATTTTGTAAAGTAGAATATGTGTATAAAAGGGATAATGGGTAAAGATGTTATTCAAAATCATATTTGCAAAAATTTAGTATTATATACTTTTCTTTAATGGCAATATATTGGACATGATGTGTTTGTTGTTATGTGCCTGCCATGGCTAATATTCTGACATTCTTTGAATATTCTATTATATATCCTGAAAAATAAAACACAGCTATAGATAATGTAATCTAATGAAGCTTAACTTAACCAATACTCCATAATATTTCTCTTAAATAAGACACACGCAAGCACACAAAATTTTCTACTGTGATAATTCAAAGCACATATATGTATTTTTATTTTTTTTTAATATAAAATAATATTGAAACAAATGGAACAAAGTCCGTTTTTTTTTTACATATATAGAATATAAGTTTCAAACACACATCAAAAGTGGTTTTTTTTTAAAGAAACAAGTATTAAAACTTAAAAAGGAAAGGAAAAGAAAAAATATATATATATCTAAACTATTGGGCAAGAGCAACTGCTACGCTGTAAGAACCACTGTGGCTAATAGAAACTGTGACATTCTTGACACCAGCTGCCTTGACGGCCTCTGCAGCCTTTCCAGTCAAATGGACCTTGGGGGCACCGACTTCATCGCTACCGATTTCAATGTCCTTAAGAGAGGCACCTGCACCGCTTGATGGGATCTTGGCATACGAAGAGATGGCCTTGAAGACGGCCTCCTTGGCTGACCAGCGTCCAGCGAAGCTATCTTGGGGAACGGGTTTCGATTGGCAGTACTTGATCTCAGCCTCGGTAAAGTTGCGCTCCAAAAAGGTAGCGTTATCAATGTGGATGTCGGAAATAAGCTCGACGTCAACACCAACACCCTTCTCACCAGCCTGCTGCTGAGCCAAAGAAGCCAAGACAGACTTGGTACCAGTGGCATCGCTCTGAAGAGCAAGAGGCTTGACACTCTTTTCATTGAATGCCCAGCTGTTCTTGGCCTTGGAGAACTCGGCGCGTGCGTTGGAGTTCAGGTAGACTGAGTACTCGAGAGCGTCGCTGTAAGGAGGCTCGTTCTTGACCTGGATGAAATCAGCGACACCAGTGATGGAATCGTGGAGGTAACGGTAAGCCTTGGCGTAACGCTTGGCGTTCTTAGCCTGGTAGGCGGCATATTCGCCTTCAGAAAGAGCACCGAGAACATAGTCGGGATGGAGAATCAAGATCTCACCACCAGCCTGACCGAAACCGAATGACTTAAGAAGACCAGCCTTGAGGCCGTCAGTCTGGATGGAACGCGAGGGGTAGACAATAAATTCACATTCCTTGAGGACCTCATCGATGTTGTCGGCATTGCGGTTACCGGGAACAATACCACTCAGGAGACACTGCATGACACCGTTGGCCATCCAAGAGGCGGCAGGGGCCTTGGGATGTCCAGTCAAGTACTTCTGAGCAATGGCCAGAACAGCGTTACCCTTGGAACGGCCAAGATGCTTCAACTGCTGGTTCAATACACGCGACTCGTTCTTGTCGTTGGCCTTGGTGGAGGTACCGTGGAAAGAGGCGACGTTGATGTCATCGATGGTCAAACCGTAGGTGGCAAGGGCACCGCGGAGAGGAGCAATCGAGGGATCGTTCTTGTAGAAGTTCATACTCCAGGTAGACTTGGCTTCCTTCTCTTGGCGGACAGCCTCCTTCTGGATAAAGTGAGTGCGCTCCTCGAGCCACTGGTTCTCTTCATCAGCCTTCAATTCACCGCTAGCCTTGAGCTCTTCCAACTCCTCACGCAAGACCTCGTATTCGCTCTCCAACCAGCTCTTGATCTGGGCACGACGAGCCTTGAGCTGTCTAGCACGGTACTTGATGTCCAACAAGGGTGAAGGGCGCTTGGTTCCACCTTCACGAGCAGTGGTAAGGATACCAGCACCAGGAGCAGGCACTGATCGACCTTCCTTATCAGAGGCAGTGTTGGTCAAGGCAATGATACCGTAGATGGGGGCACCCATCTCAATGGCAGTAGAAGCAGACATGAGAATGTGGTTACCAGAACCGCAAGCTTCCATGAAACCGTTGCGGGTGGTGGTGGTAGGACGGGACATCTCACTTGGGGTACGACCGCGGGCCAATTCAGCAACAGAGTCGGATGTGGCGTTCATGTTGGCGAACTCGTAACTGGACTCCTCGGAAGTAGACTCAGTGGCACCAGCAATCATGATCTTAGCCTTACCAGCCAAAATAGTCTCGACAGCCATCTCGACGGAGACAGCACCAGTAGCACAAGCATCAGTGGGAGTCTTGATAGGACCAGAGCTGGAAAGGAGCAACAAGTTGACCCAGGCAGGCATGGTGTTGATGAAAGACTCCTGGAGAATATCCTTCTGGACAGGCTTATCCAACATGCGGTTACGGAACATCTTACGCTGAGCAAGAGAACCACCGACAGATGAACCAGTGGTGTTACCGATCTCGGAAACGTGGACATACTTGTAGAACTCATAGGGATCAGTGATACCAGAGGAAATGAAGGCTTCAACAGTAGAAACAATGTTGTAAAGGGTGACGGGGTCAACCTGTTCAATGATATCCTGGGGAACACCATAACGACCAGCATCCCAACCAGTGGGGATCTGTCCAAGTACAACACGATCGAAGCGAAGGGCCTTGGGCACATAAAGAATAGCACCCTTGAGCAGAACCACAATCCAGGAACCATTGGAGGACTCGTAGACGTCAGCCTTGCTACCCTGCTCCAACTTGAACTGCTGGGCCTCTTCCTGACTGCACTCGAAAGGCTCCATGTCGTGATCGACAATGATCTCCTGCATCAGGAACTTCTTGTTGGGGTCGTACTCATTGTTGATTTCGGGTTCTACGAAACGGATACCGGTGTGCTCAAGAATCTTCTTCTCGTACTTGGTCTTCACATCGCAATCATCAACGGGCTCGTTGGTCTTGGCATCGACCCAGCCAGAGTAGCTCTGACCGTTCTTGAGGTTACCGTGGTGGTGCTTGATATAACCCATGATCCAGGCCATTTCAATGCAGCCCTCGAGAGAGAATTCACCCTTGGACTCCATCTCCCAACGGGTTCTGGAGTTACCCCATGGCGAGACTTCACCGAAACCAGTTGCAACGATGACCTTGTCGAGGTCCAACATATCTCTGAGATAGCTGAGGTGCTTCAGGTTGTCATAAGCCTTCAACTTGGGGAAGTCGAACTTCATGTTAGCACGAGGGGTGATGGTGTAAGGAGTGTAGGTGCGGTCAGCCTCAGAACCGTGGACAATCTTGAAGTCCAGAGCAGACTCAAGAGCGACAGCCTTGCGGATCTCGGCGGTTTCGCGGATCTCCTTTCTCTGGAGGGTGTTGATTTCGTTGAGGTTAGGCAAGAACTGAAGACCACCGTTAAGATCAGCCCAGATGGGCTCGTTCTGAGCCAACTCGACAATGCTGGGGTGCAACAAACCGAGAATGTTGAAAGACATCTCGACGGTAGAGAAGGTGCGTACACCATACTTCTCAACACCTTCAGCAACCATGTTGTTACCTGCCATCAAACCAGTACCACGAGTCCAGCTAGGATATATAAAAATAAAACACACATACAGAGAGACAATTAATAAATTAACTCTTTCCTCATATATCTCTTCTTCTAATTATTATTATTTTAAAAAAAAAACTAATTAACTTACCCAATGACAGCACCAACAATCAAGAGGTAGCTAGACCAGCTCTCAGAGTACCAACGGTTGAAAAGAGTCTCAAGACCAATCTTGGATTCACCATAAAGACCATCACCACCGAAAGTACCATGGTTAGGAGACAAGGGAAGGATAACCTCGGCGGGGCGAGTGTCCGAACCAATGGCCTGCTTGTGCTTCTTGATAGCACCCAACATACGGTAAAGGTTGGTCAACATGATACGATGAGCCAATTCACTCTTAGAGTTAATATCGTCGAGCTCGTTGCCGTTCTCAGGGATTGCAGCAAAAGGAATGACAATGTCAAGATCCCAGTTGAGACCCTTGGGGTCATAGATGTAATCCAACAAAGAATCGACGTCCTGCTTAGAACCCTGGTTGAAGGGAACAACGATAAGCTCGGATCCACGGGAACCAAAGGTCTTGTAGATACCCTGGAAGTACTCAGTAACAGCACGGCTGAAACGAGAGGTGGTTACAATAACCTTGGCACCACCGCCAAGAAGACCCTTCAAGATCTCGGAACCAATTGAATCACGACCAGCACCAGTCAAGAGAACACACTTGTTGACAAAGGTCAAACCACTTTCGGCAACCTCGGACAGAACATCGAGGTAAGTGCTGGTCAAGCGGCTGCTGAACTCAAAGTCACCACCGTTGTCGTTGCGCTTCTTCAAGTGAAGGAAGGGAATGGTCTCGGACTTGGCAGCCTTGGCAGAGATACGCTTGTGCTCGGCAGTGCGACCAGTGGAGGACAGACGACGCTGACGACCGCGGTGCTCCTTGACAATAGTGTTGGACATGGACATGGCACGGAGGACATCGCTGTACAACTCCTTGATGGAAAGCTTAGTGGTCTTCTTCATCTTGTTCTGGTTACGGATGATCTTGTAAAGACGGCCGAGGTTCTGCTGAACCTTGAGACGGTTAGAGAACTCGGTGGTCTTGCTACCAGTAGCCATGACCTTGACATAATCAGCAAGCTTGCGGCAGCCCTCACGGGGAACCTCCTTGTAAACAATATCACCAGTGGCAGTAACTGTGACCTGAGGACCAGTAGGGAAAGTAACTATGATATCGATACATATAAAAAATAATAATTATTAGGTCATCATTGATTCTGTTTCGCTTCAACTCAACTCAATTGAATTCAATTGAATTAAATCAATGGACCAGAGAGAGAAAAAATAACAACTTACCATCCTTGTAAACAGGGTTCTCTGCCAATACTTCAACACAGTTCTCGATCAAAGCCTGACCGAACTCCTTGGCAATACGGTAGGTCTCACCCTTGTCGGCAGCGCAGTTTTCAACAGTATAACGCATGTAATCAATCAACTGAGGGTAAGAACGGTTCATGATAGCAAGACACTTGGCAGTAACCTCACGATCAACAATAGCCAAGTTTCCGAAGATCATGGCGTACCACATCTCCAAAGCATCCTGGCGGACCCAGTTCCAGTAAGAGTCGTACTGACGAGCCTTGAGACGGCTGAATACGGGGAGGATACCTTCGGCAAAGGTGTCACCCATCTCAGCCAACCACTGATCCAACTCGGCCTGGAGCTTCAAGGTAACAGTCTTCTCCTGTTCGTACTTCTTGTCACCACCGCGCAAGTCCTGCTGCAAGTAGCGAGCATACAAGTTCAACTGCTGGTGGATGAGGTTGGTCTGCTTGGCCTTCAATTCGTCAAACTCTTCGCTGTTGATCACAGCAACGGCACCACCAGCTGCACCACCGGCACCACCGGCACTAGCAGAGGGACCTGTCAAGCTGACACCAGCCTTGTTGGCATAAACCTGAGCAATGGTGCTCAACCAGGTCTTGGCCTCAGCCTCGGAACCGAGACGAGCAGGAGGCTCCATGGTAAGACCGGTCAACAAAGTGCTCTCGATGCGACCTTCGCCGAAACCGTAGGTAGTCGACAAGTAGGTCTTGGCACTGTTGAGAGTGAAACCACCGGGCATCTTGGCACTGATGAGTTTGGCAACCAAAGTGCTGGTGTGCTTTCCGAGAGTTCCGGAGAAAGTGGGGCTAACGGCAGCAGCAAGCTCGTCCAAAGGAGTCTCTTCGGCCTTTTCGGGCACACCGTTGGTGAATTCCTTTTGGAGATCACCGAGAATCTCGTTCTGGAGAGTAGACTTGCCACCAACCAAATCCTTGATGGCCTTGCTCATAGGGACCTCATCAATAGACTTCTTCAACTTCTGAGCAATGACGACATTGATGATCTCAGCAGCAGTAACAGGGGCATCACTATTATTATTATTAATAATAATAATAATTTTTATATAAGAAAAAAAAAAGTAAATATTTATATGTTAGTGTCGTTTTTCATTGAAAGCTGATGTGTAACTCACGTCATAGGGGATGCAGTTCCGGTGGGTGCAGGTGCAGCGGCGACGGGTGCAGCAGCAACTGGAGCAGGAGCGGCAGCGGCAGCAGGGGCAGCAGCAGCAGCAGATGCAGGTGCAGGTGCAGCTTCCTCCTCAGAAGTCTCGAAATCGTAGTAGATTTCCTTGGAATCCTTGGTGATGCAAAGGTTTTCACGGCGGTTGCTGAGAGCATTGTCATAAGCCTGGTACTTGATGTTCAAAGTACGGGTGGCCATACCGACAAGAGTGGGCGAAGGACCGACTTCGATCAAACGCTCGATCTTGAAGTGCTTGAAGAGTTGGTCCTGGGTCTCGATCCAGCGGACGGCAGAGGCGAACTGGTAGGCGAGCAACTCGACCAAGAGGATGTAACCAAGGCGCTGCTGCTGAGCAGCCGAAGCATACTTGTCGTCAGTCCACTGCTTGAGTACCTTGGCAAGACGAGGGCTGGAGGTCTGGTTGTAGACGCGCTCGATGTAAGCCTTGCTTGTGCTGAAGGGCTCGGCAGTCAAGTTAGGAATGTACTTGGCAGTCAACATGGCGACATCGATGTCGGTGGGGTTGAACTTGGTAGCAAGGTAGTTACGGAAAGGAGTGACACCACTCAAGAGGAAGGAAGAGTGGAAGGGAACATCCAGACCGGGAAGGGGAACAGTAGCATGACCACGCTCCAAGACGAGACGACCACCGTTGGAGGCAATCTTCTGCTGGGTCTTCTCCATACCACCTTCGATAATATCCATCAAGTGCTTCTTGACTTCCTCGAGGGGCATGGTCTCCATCAACTTCTGCAAATCAATGTTGGACACCTTGATGTAGTTGAGAACGTTGGCGAGAGTATCGAGGTTCTTGTTCGAACCAGCGGTGACGTACTGCCAGTTCTCGACGTTGAAGTTGACAATCTCCAAAACATCGTTGCTCTGGCGGGCAATCGAGTCAACAACGTAACGGAGGGCAGTGTCGTTGAATGACTTGGATACACGAGCAGGGTTGACAGCAGCCATACCATATTCAGAGCGACCATCCTTGTCACGCTTGACAGAGGACTGCATTGTGGTACCACGGTAGAAAACGACATCGACCAAGGACTCGAGAGGCAATACATCACCAACAGAGGCAAGGGCGGCGTACTCACCCAGAGAGTGACCAGCAAAGGCACAGTTGGACTGGATCAATTCCTTGGCACGCATGTCCTCGAAAGCAGCCTTCTCCATAAGAGTAAGGGCAGGCTGGGTGAACTGGGTGGCGAACAAGAGACCGTTGGGAGCACGGAAGGTGTGGAAAGAGGTACGTTCGTGGATGGTGGGGAAGAGAGGGAGGGTGTTGATGGTACCGTCCGACTCGACCTGATCGTAAGTCATGCTCATGTAGTTTTGACGGATCTTGTTACCGCGGGGACCACCAAAGTGAACAGTCTTCTCCTTTGGGTTGTCGCGAACGATCTCAAGAATAGAGAAGCCGTAGTTCTCCATAAGATGCTTGTCGGCTCTGTCCCAGATAGCCTTGGCAACGGGAGAAGAGGCGTACAAAGCCATACCCATACCCTGCTCCTGAGAACCCTGACCAGTAAAGACGTAGGCAGTAACAGGCTGCTCAACTTCGGCAGTACCCTGAACGATGTGCTCGTTGTTCTGGTTGACGGTCTCGATCTTGATGATCTTACGACCGTTCTTCATACCAGTGTGGTACAACTTGGTCTCGAGGCGGTCAGAAGGAAGAACCATGCCGACAAACTTGACATCATATGCAACAACGCGACGGGGAACGTTGTCAGCAGCGAACATCTCGACGAACTTACGAGTGGAAGCACTGGTCCACATACCGTGGGTGATGGTTCCGGGAAGGACGGCAAGATCAGCAAAGTATGGGTTGACGTGGATAGGGTTAAAGTCACCAGAGATCTTGGCATAGGGTTCGTTGGAAGCAGGAGCGTGCACAACAGAAGAGTAAGAAGACTGACTGGGCATAACAGAGTAACCGCCGTTCTCGAAGAAGTGAGCCTGCTCAATCTCCTTGCCGTTGCGCTTCAGGTACTCGATCACAGGGTTACCGTGAGACTCGCCGGCCTCGTAGTCGACCATACCAATCTCGACAATTTCCTTGGTAGAGACCTGCATGGACACGGTACCGGTTGTCTTTACGCTAGAGAAGACCTTCTTGTTCTTGTACTTGAGTTCGGTGTTCAAACGGAAGATCAAAGAGCAGCCAGGGGTAAGCTCGTAGTTCTCAAACTCTTCGTTCCAGTCGACCCACTCCTTGGCCATAAGGACAGCAATGTCCTTGGTCTCCTTAAGGTTCAACTCCATAGGGGTCTCGGATTTGCGCTCAAAGGTGTGCTCAAAATCGTCAAACTGTCCACGGTACAAGAACTGACTGGTGACCTCGAGAACGGGCTTGTTGTCCCGGACAATGACACCCTTAACCTCGACCATCTTTCCAGAGTCGGTGTTGATGATAGCGTTGATCTGGGCATAGGTATCCACAACATCGCCAACCTGGAGAAGATCACTGCCTTCGAGAAGACGGAAACCGTTGGAGAGATGGACCAACTTGAGCAGATCGCCGTCAATGACCTTGGGGAAAATGGCCTTGATGATGGCCTTCCAGCCTACGACGATAGCAAAGTCCATGGGCGCATAGATGATCTTCTGACCGCGATCGACGTAGATCTCGGCATTGTTATCAACAGCCTGGCAGAAGTCCTTGATGTCGCCAGCCTTGACAACTTCACCCTTACCAATCAACTTTTCGTTGACAGGGAAGTTAAGGAAATCTTCCTTGGCCTCGGGACCGAACCACAACTTGTAGTAAAAGTCCTTGATACGATCGTTACGACCCTAATTTTTTTTTTCATTGTGAATTGTTTGTTAGTAGTTCAAGTATATATTGCCTAGTTTTTGCTTTCTTATCTCTTTTCTTTACAATAGCACCCAAAATAATATACATATATATACTAATAATTACCTCCATAACTTCGTGGATAGGAGCATAACCAAGCTCGGGCTTGTACTCAAAGTGCAACTGGAAAGGAACCAAGATAGAATCTCTCTTCTCGTAGAGCTTGAGGTCGATCATCTTGCCGTCGAACTTGGCCTCGACAGAGGTAACAAATTCGGAGGTCTTTCCGTTGGCACTCCAGGGACGCTTGTCCTGGACCTTGATGCCGACGATCTTCTTTCCACTGTTGGTGATTGTGATCTTCTGGCCAACACGGGGGCGGAAGATGCGCTGGAGAGGGTTGTCGATGAACTGCTTACCCTGGACGATGAAGGAAGAGGTCAGGACAGCGCGCAACCAGTTGTAAGAGGGACCGGCGATAGCCTGGAAGAACTCCTCACTCTCGGGCAAGGATGCATCGTCGTTGGGCATCTGGTAGACCTGCTCGGTGGTGGATGTCGAGTTAGGCTTGATGATGATGTTATTGATGGGTGCACCACCAAGGTACTCGATCTCGGGAATGGCGCTCTCGTTGTTCTTGTAGTAGACCTCCTTCAAGCTCTTGATGTGGCTCTCGTAGATGTCACCGAGGATCTCAGCTACGGGCTGGTCGGCACGAGTGCAGTACTTGGCAGCGACAGGGCCGTGGAGAATACAGGTTCTCTGGACATCCTGGTCAACAACAGCGGCCAAGTCCTCAGACTGCCACAACGAATCCTTCTTGAACCAGACATCAAAGTCCTTATCCATAACGGGAATGAAAGGCACAGGCTTCTGTCCACGACGGTTACACATGGTCACAAACTGTAGTACATCCTCGGTAGTCAACAACTGGTTCTCGGCTTCGGGGAAGAGAGCCAAGAAATCGGGAATGAAGTCATAGGGGTTCTCGAGCTGGGAGAAGCTCTGGAGGGTGGAGATCGAGGATGTGGTCGAGAAACGTTGTTCTACACGGCGCAAGAAGTCACCGACCAGATTGCGGAGAGTAGGATCGATCCAGCGCTGCTCGTGCTTGATGTAAAGAAGCTCGACCATACGGTTGACAACCTCGGTGTAGGTCATGTCCTGAAGATCGACAACCTCGCCAGTGCTCTTCTTACCGAACCAAACCTTTTGGAAATCGGCGTTAAGGCGCTTGATGATATAATCTTTCTTGGCCAAAAGAGCAGGCAGACGCTTATCCTTGGGCAAAGCAAAGATGGTCTCGTCCAACTCCTTCCAAAGACGGACACCACGAGTGGCGACCTTGTGGATAGGCTCGCCCAACTCGGAACGAACGGTAATAATACCACCGGCAGGACCCTTGTAGGTCTTTTCCCAATCAGCATCATCCACACCGGGGGCGTCTACCATAGCCTGCTTGGCAGCCTCAGAAGCAAGACCTTCCTTGCAGACCATCATACGCGAACCGAACAGGATACCGTCGAATGGCATGGGGGGATAGTCGAACTTAAGGGCCCAGTCACCAGTCATGTAAGGCAAGGTGTCGTCGGCACCACCGAAGCCGGATCCAGCAACAAGAACGATGTTGGGCTGGCGACGGATGGCAGCGTATGTCTCGAGAATAGGCTGATGAACGTCTTCGAAACTGTGATGTCCTCCACCACGACCACCAGTCCATTCCATAATAATTGGCATAGTGGGGTTGGCAGCAGCGATAGCAATAGTCTAAAAATAATAACAAAAATATAAGTTTTCTTTTCTTTTTTTTTGGCTCCACCATAACACGAATATTATATATATATATGTACCTGACGAATAGTGTCTGTGCTTCCGGGTTTCAGAGCAAGGTGACGGATACCAGCACTCTGGAGGTTCTCAATGATCTCGTTTGAAACATCGAGACTGGGAACACCGGCAGCAATGCAGAGACCTTCCATAGGAAGACCCTGGCGACGCATGACCTGGATGAGAGGATATTGGAAACCCCACTGACGGACGTTGAGGAAAATGATGTTGAGAGTAATACCCTCACCGGCACGAGTGAGCTTCATGATGCTGTCGACCTTGTCACGGAGCTTCTTCTCGTTGGTCTGTCCACCACCAGCAAGTTCGATATGGTAACCGGCGTTCATGACAGCCGAGACGAACTTTTCGTTTGCGGTAGAGGGAGTCATTCCTGCAACCATCATGGGGGGCTTACCCAACAAACGTGACATACGGGTGTCAATATGAATGCGACCATTGCTAGATTATTAAAAATTAATTAATTGTTAATTATTATTATTATTATTATTATTATTATTATTTAAAAAAAAAGTGAACCGTGCACAGGTAAGCATTATTGTTGAGATATTATAGCTTTCCCTTCTCCTTCCCTTTTCTATCCTATACTTCTGTTTCTTTGTTTTTTGGTAGCTTTTGTGATATGTTACCTAGCAATTTTGACCAACTTGGGCTGGAAGACCTCTGCCCAGTCCTGGGAATATGTGACGGCACGCAGATCTGCATCAAACAGGTCTGCCTTGTAGGACAAATCGCGGTTGTTACCCTCAAGTGCACCGGCCAAGACGATCTGAACACCGGTACCTTCCTTGTTACGGTAGGTCAGACCACCGATACCAGAGGTTCCACCTGGTCCGAAATCAATGATATGCTTCAATCCCTTGATAGCAATAGCCTTTTCCCAGTGTACAGGCAAACAACAGATAAGCTTGATGAGGTCGAGTGTCAAATCGGGAGATGAACTCATGTCGGCACCTATGGAAACCAGCCAATGGAAGTCACGTAAGCCTCTTTTTTATATATATATATATGTCTCTTTCCCTTTTCACTTTTTAATTTTATTTATTTATTTTTGCCCCAACGCCCCAGGGCTCAACTAAGCAGGCTACCCAATATATATATATATATATAATATAAAAAAAAATGTTGAATCCCCCCTCGCCCTCAACATCTTTCCCCATACACAATAATAATTATATTATATATTACAAACCTGTATCAGTGGCAAAAACTGGCATTTTGAGATCCTTGGCATTGAATCTAAGATTGTGACGCTCGACATCCTTGACGATTGTTGGGACGGTGTGTTTGATGTAGGAACTGTGGAAGGCGGCGGTGATGGACAAGAAGCGGGAAGAGAACTTGATCTTGCGCTCAGAAAAGGGGATTCTAGATTGGTCGAGACCGGTGGGTGCCTTGAGCTTGCGCAAACTCAGGTTGAGACCATAAAGAGACTGGGGAGGGCCAGTGCAGACAAAGGAGCGGGGACCGTTGAAGAGAGTGATTTCGATTTGACGGTCAGGGGCAAGATGGGAGTTTGTGGTCTGGAGGTGCTTGACAACCTGGCTCTCTCTGAGGCCGGTGATTGACAGCATAGGAGTGGGGCTGCCCTCATTGTTGGAGACAGAATCTTCGAGAATGGCAGGGTTGAGGGTTGTGGTGGGGTATCCCTGCTGGGCGCGAGTACCGATCCAGAACAGCAATCCGAGAGCCTTTTCACTGTTGTTGAAGAATTCTTCTTCGGTTGAAGAAGAAGAGATGACGACGGAAGGAATGATACCCTGACTATGACCAGTAGAACCTACAATAGATACGTGAATTTATTTATTTATTTATTATTTTAAAAAAAAATGTATGCAACAAATTCGGGAAATTTTCATTCGAATTGAAATAGATTCTTTTTCTAAGACCACCACCACCACCATGAAAGAATCCCTTCATATAAAACAAAACAACTACCCTGCACTATAGAATTTACTTACCCTTGATGAGATCTCTGATTTCTGCGGGTGTGCGATCCAAGACGCGGAGGGTGACATAGTATTGGAGGAGCTGGGTCAGACCGATGAGGGGGATACTGACGGGAGCAGAGATAAAGTACTGGAGATCGGGTCTAAGTTCTGGGTTGTTGAGCCACTGGAGGATGTTGAGACCCTTTGAGTGGAAGATGCTTGCTTCTGGGCTGCGAGCATACTCTGTGAGGACGCCGGCCATGCGTTCGACAAAGGTTTTGACGAGGCCGTTGTAGGTGGTCCAGATATCTTCGAGTTCATCAAAGTACTCTTCGATGTTGCCTTGGCCACCAAAGATAGCAAAGAGCTTGGTGTCACCACGGGCGGCAGCAGCGAAAAGAGCCGATTGTACTGGCTTAATTTCTTGTGCTGACAGGGTCTTGTGCTCCCGGAGGACGACGAGGGATGCATAGTAGGCACGGATGACTACCTTTCTAGAATCGAGGGGCAAGTCGCGGGTGATGGCGTGTACGTCGTTGTTCTTGAGATACTGTGCGCCAAAATCGATAAAGCTGGTCCGTGCTACGGGCAAGAACTGCTGCTCCTTTGAGGCGCGGGTTGCAGCATATTCCATGAAGCGTGCGGACAGCTCAATAGGGGCCATCTCCTCTCCTGCTGCTGCTGCTGCTTCGAATTCATCGGTATGAGTAGGGAATTCTTCCTTGAGTTGTTCGGCAGAGACCCAGATGTCTGCTGGAACGAGGATAGAGACTTCTGTCTTGTTCTGTTTGACAGACAGGGGACGAAGGATCTGTTGGTGTGCCTGATGTGTTTTGGGATCCATTTGTGATATTTGATAGAGAGATTTGTTTTCTGGTTCTAGATAAACAAAAAACAAAGAAAAAGATGAGTACCTAAAGTGTTGTTTTAAAAAGAAGAAGATAAATGGATGCCTTACTGTATAACAGGGAGGAAAGATATGTAGGACTTGTATGATGTTATTGAATGCTTTGATTAAAGATGTATAAGAAAAGGACCTTCTTTGTGCGTATGTCTTTTAAATATATATGCTCTGTACAGTAAAGAAGTAAGTGATATCCTTTTTATATAATTTAAAAAAAAATAATCCCTTTATACTAGAATTGTGCTATGCTTTTCTTTCTTTTTCCCTTTCTTTTTTTTTCCCCAACAAAAAAAAAGAAATAATTGATAAAGAAGTTAAAGAAGAAGAAGAAGAAGAAGAAGAAGTTGATTATATTCTTACAAGATATAGACTAATATTTTTTATTATTAAAAAAAAAATTATTGTTTTTTTGTTTTTTTATTTATTTTTTTATTTTTTTTGGTCCCCCAATTTAACCAACGAATATTTTCCTTTTTTTTACTTTTTTTTGGGTCGGGGCAAAATAATAATAATAAATAAAATAAAAAAAGAAAAGCTATCATTCTAAATTTTTTTTTATATAGTACTTTCTATTTTAGATCGGAGAACTGGTATTGAAAGTAGATGAGTATTGTATAATCTTGTTCATATATACAGACCTTGAACCCCAAAAAACCCTTCTAACGATTGATTGCCCTTTTTTTTAAAAAAAAAAAAAAAACTATATAAAATATTAAAGCTCTTTACGCCTGGAGTAGATTGATATTTATATTTGTACATTTGATTTTTGGGGGTGACCAACAAATGGTGCAATAAAGACTGTTACCATACATTACCAAAACATAATGCAATTGGTAGCATTATACTTCTTTGGAAAGCCAAATTCTCCAATCAAACGGTCACTAAAGACGTATCTAGCATGATTGATTGATTGATTTAATTTCATTAAATATAATCTATATATTATTAATGTTTCAATAAGCAAAAAATAAATAAAAATAGTCGCAATTAGAAATAATGATCCATATTTTTTTTTTTGATATATAAAATAGATTATTTTAACCTTTTAATAACAAGAAAGACAGTTGAATGACAAGCTTAAATTCAGTTAATACTACCATTTGAAAGAAGCAATATATATATAAAAAAAAAGGCCAATTGCATTATTAAGGATCTTTTGGTCTATGTATTGTTTCTGTACCATAGAGTCTTGAACTACTTTTTATATAAAAGAATTTAAAATAAACACAATAAAGAAGTACTCATTTGTTGAATAGTCCTCTTTTAAGGATTGTACTACAATACATCTACATACGCACATACGCACATACATATCTATACAGTTCTGAAACCCCAAGCATAAATTGACCTATACATATACATATATATATATATATATATTCAATCAATTATGAGGCTTGTGCTTATAAAGTTCAAGCCAAGACATCAAAAGTTAAAGAGCATCTATTTGATTCAATTAAGCTTGCTATTCATTCATTCAATTGCAAGATCTGTTCTTTTATTTTATTTTTTTTAAAGTTGATTGCTGAGTATGACTCTGTTGCATTAGAATTTAGCATACATTAAATGTATATAAAAATCGAATTTACTTGATTTATTCATTTACATATTTTTTCTTTCTTTCTTTCATTACTATCTCACTATACATTAATACTAATATTCTCGATTCTTCTATAACTACTATCATCCCCATATAAACCCAATACAGTTTATTTGCCTACTTTCTAACCCAACAATTAGTATCATTTCAGCCCCAGAATTTGAGGTGTAAAAATTAAATAAAATTAAATAAAATAAAATAGGCTTGCTTGCATAATCATAGTAACAGTACTGATCTGCTCTTAAAGCAATTAAAGTAGAATATCGTAACCAACCTATTGGTTAATGTACCTCTTCATATATATATATATAGCTTATTTACATGCAATAAATCGCTGTTACTTTGGTAAATTCCATATCACAAGCCATTCACAATACCCAACTTTGCAGAGTTGCCCTTGTATTTATATACAAAGATAACGAGATTGATAGATGGCCAAGACATTCGATCGGTGTTCCTTGCTATATTGAGTTTATATGCACCAACAGAAAAATAACAAGAAAAAAAAAGACGGGGGAAAAACATCCGAATTCGTGCCACATCCCCATAGTAAACTGTTGAGCCATCTCTTGTTCGTCCTTGTTCGTTCTTGCTCTCTTTCCTAGCCTTTATCGCCATTTGGTCTTGATCCTTAGGATTACCGGGACTACGTTTTGTCGGGTGTTACACGAATGCTCTCTTTTTACGGAAATCAGTCCATTTATTGTTCATTGGGATTAGCCTCTCTTTAGGGCGCCTTTCAGAAAACCCAAAAAAAATATAAAGTCTTTTGGATAAAGCAATATTAGCCTTTGACACATCATAATTTCCTTGATGATGGTTGATTCACACCAATTATATATATGTATGTAAGAACCTTGCTTAATTAATCTACAGTACATAACTCTAAGCACAGAAAAAAAATCATATGGAATATGATGAACAGATTATGTATTATATGATCTATGGACATAATTAGGTGAGTAAATAAAATATACCTATATCTATATCTATATACATATACATGTAATCCTACATTTGCATATATTTAATTGTGGATAACATAATTTAAAAAATATTTATATAAAAAGGGCATTATTTGAAAACCCAAAAAAAAATACTATTAAAAAAAAAGAGGGGCGTTTTCTAAACGTCTTGGGCTGTTGGGCAAGCGAAAATGGGTTGCCAGGTTACACGCATCTGTGTATATCAGTCCAATCATTTAGCCTAACAAATGAATGGGGAGAAACCAAAAAAAAAACAACAAAAAACAAAAAAAAAAAGGGAGAGGGGGAGGGATTGTCAATTCTCTGATAAATTATATTTTTCTGTATTAAAGTGCACATAGACATGCACATGCACGCATATACTTTAGATCACCAAATAAACCTTGAAAATCTTAGTATTCTACATAACTAGCATTATCATTATTATTATTATTATTATCGAATTGGTGCTAATCAGGGGGAGTCAAATAAACCGGAAGAATTATAAAGGCAAGCAAGATAGACAAAATAGTTGGCAAGTTTCAAGGGTTATGTTTTGATGTGGGTTTAATATTGAAGAATGATACTCGTCTTTTGGAGTCTGTGTAATCAAGTATATTACTATTACTATCACTAGTATTACCACTTGTGAGTCAAACACATTCCACAGCAGCAAGATTACAACTATTGTAATATAAAGTTTTAAATGTATATCATCATTTTATGCGCCTTCGTTTTCTCTATTTATCTATTGCTTCTAAAACTCAATCATATTTTTATCATTATTCTTTTCAGAAACCCACAAATTCTCATTCTATCAGTATAGTGTTTTAGCCATACAACAAAGAAAATCCCAGTATCAATCTTTCAACAATTTGTTCAATGTATAGCACTATGCTCCTGATATGTGCACCACTGAATACTCTCTCCTTGGAGCAAAATAAAGTCCTTGTAATGACTATCCAGCCAACAATATTTCTACGCGTTTCCTAATATTACGTACGTACATACGTACATTTGTATATGCGTACAAGTGTACATTTGTACATTTGTACATTTGTACATTTGTACATTTGTACATTTGTACATTTGTACTGATTGTGACACTTGTTCGTGAAACCTTTCAATTTTATTTTTATAGAACCTGCATTACAGTTACAGTTACAGTTACATTTAGATTTACGTTTAGATTTATGCTAGCAAAATCGTACGGATGGCCCATTTTGACATGATCAAAATATATCTATACACACGCATGTGAAATATGGTTATGCTTATACATGCAGTATATCATTTACTTCTCAGCTAGATAAAACAAAGCCAAAAGAAATTGGTGGGGATGTCTTTACATAAAAGTATGCCGAATAAACTAAATAAACTTTAGGCTTCTTATTCTTTGTCGTGATCATTGTCTTTAATATCCATAATTTAAAATTGTATACCTACTCTTATTCACTTATTCGTTAATCATGCAGACAATTCAATAAAAATACTGGCTCTGTTGAAAAAAAAAAGGTACTCAAAATGTAATAAATATTCATTAGGCAGATTTCTGTTTTTATATAATCAAAAACCATAAAGCAGACCTTATTACAATATTATCTTACTGTCGTTTGAATTACAGGTTTTCAAATCACTTGCACTTTCTTCTTCCTCTTCTTTGGTATACCAGTCCATTACCTACTTCATCGTAATCTGACTTTTAAAGCCCACAAAATAGGCTCTTATAGGTAAAGCTTTATTTAGATTTTAAACAAAGCCCAGTACTCAAAGCCCCCTCTTTATTTTTATTTATTTTTTCGGCAACTTTGCATAAGCACCTAGTATAAAAGCTTGTACTTCGTCTTCCTGGAGCCTAAAATCTCCTTTTTTGACATTTGCTACTTCAGATTATTAATATTTCGAAACAGCTTGTTTAAGCCTTTACACAACTCTCCAAAGATTCAATAAATCAACAAAAAAAAATGGAAGAACTATAAGAATATCCACAGCGGTTTATTTAAACCTAAAGTCCCAATTTATTATCATTGTTATTATTATTATTATTGCTCGAATGGTTTGTTGAAGCGCTAAATTTAGATACCCGTTAAATAACTGTAAAAAAAATTTGGTTAACATTCATTTAGACAAATGAGACGGTGGGAGTGGTGGTTGGTAGCCGTCACATTGCGGAGAAAATACGAGGCGAAGTGAGGAGACTAAAGTGGATATAGAGGAGTAGGAGAGAAGTTAGCAGAAAAGGCCATTATCAGAGAAAGTCTAGTGAAGATTAATAAAGTAACCTTTTTACCTCGTTAAAGACATTTTTTCTTATTTTGACAGCTGGTTCTCATTCCCATACGCCTAGTCATAGATATTATTTGACGCAACATAACCAAATTACGGAGTGCAGATCGATTGTCTTGAGAACGCATCCTCTTAACACTAGTTTGTTGCCCCTCGTTACCACGCCTCCAATTGGAATCATAATCTTTGCTAGCCAGCAACCCGGTCATAAACTCTATTCAATTAGAGCGTCCTTCCTCATAATAGACCCCTAACTAGTTACATCTGCTCCACTCAAGTTCCCTATGTGTTAAAACCACTATGGATGAAAAAGTCTAAATTTTTCTATCTAAATTTATATATTCGCCAAGTTTACACAAACCCCTGCCTACTCCAAGGTCTATGGGTATAAAGAAAATCTCTAAAGAGGTAACATGTTTCTGCAATCGGACTTGTGAAAGTGTACGCTCTTATTAATCCACCAATCCTTTTTAACACTTAAAATAAAAGCTTGATGACACCATCCTTTATTTACACTGATAGTAACACTATAGATATATACTAAACAGACAATATGGAACCAATCCAAAGGTTGCCATCAACAGGCGTATGTACAAAACTCTGGGATCCAAAGTTCACAAAGAACTTGACCGGTCCATCTGCGCCAAAGCTCGGGTAATAATAGCGTCGCTCCAAGAGCTGAAAAGCTGTGCCAAGTGGGTTTCCGTTCAAGGTGAACATGACGTTACCTTGGACTGGGTCGTATCTGCAGCCAACCGTCTGACCAAACCCCCACTGGGGTCCATAGTCTTGTCCGCCTGAAGCGTCATCACAGAACTTACGTCCATCATCACTATGATACCCTATTGAGTGCTTATTCCAACCTGGCATCCGGAATACCGGATAAGGCTTGGTTGCCAGACCAATGGCCATTACCGTGTTAGGAGCACAATCAAGAACCGTGATCTCAAAATAGTGGAATCCTGTGCTCTGGGGTGGCCGGCCGTAATCCGACAAGGAAAGAAAAGGATGAGTTCCTTGAATGATGATGTCCCAATCCTCGATAATCTTCTGTCTGGTCTGGTTTGGCCAGACTTGAACTGTACTTTGATCCAGGTCGACCTTTAAAGCCGGATTAGTGTGGGGAGTAGAGTTTGGATGGCAAAAGTAGGGATTCTGATGAGGAGCTTGGTCAATCGACATGCGTTTAATGAGTCCATCCTTGGCTGCCTGTGCCGCAAGCTCAGTAGGAAAACGGTTAATCATGCTCTGATGGGCCTGAATAAACACCTCTGCGCGAGCGTATGAATCGACAGAAGTATCTTGGAATCGTCCGGTTAGATGTACGGTATTCTCGGGCTCTAAAGAAGCCTGGACTGCATGGTCATAACTAGGTGGCTCATCTGTGTAATTGTCTACTTGATTTGCTTTGTACTTTTGTGCAGATTGTGAATAAGCTTCAAGGTTGAGGTAAGGGAATGACTTTTTGACAAAATTTTCATTCTTTTTCTTTCTTTAAATAATATTTACCATATTATATATATATATATTGTTTTATTTAATTTTTTTTTAATATTTGTGTGTATTAAATTCAGGATTTAATTATTTTCTTTTAGAGAAAAGAAAAAGGGCTTTTTATTACTGTTGCTTTCTATATATATAAAGTATATCCAAATCATATGGTACTCTCAGTTGATAGAAGGAAAAGAAGGTCAGGAAATCGTCTATATAAACCTATCAGTGACTGGAATACAAACTCCGGACTTTAAGCTGAAAGTATTGCCTTTCCTTATAGCAATGAAAAACAAAAAGAAAGGCTAACAAAAGAAGAAGAAGAAACATGCATACACTAATGCAAATCCACGCACACACTGGTATATAGTTTATTTTATTAGAGTAAATGTTGAGTAGAGCTGGGGTAGTGTATTTATCATTCACAAATCTTTCTTGACGGAACGTGAGGAGGGGGGGAGAGGGGGGAATCCAGTATAATTCTGTTACTGCTTTTCACTTTTTCTCTTAAATGGGGTACTCGACCGGATGCTACGTACAGTCTTTAAATTAAGCAAGCAATATTATTGGACTAAAATTCTTATAGCAATGTAGAAATCTCCAATATAGAAACATACGTTTCTCTAATAGGGACCTTGGACACATCGTATAAAATTTATTTAGACGGAGATTGTTGCTCTTAAAAAAGAATAACGTGTTTCAAAATCGCGTTTTTTTTATATGATATAAAAGTATCATATAAAATTGGCTGGGGTGGACAGACTAAAAGGGCAAAAACATAAGTCATATCATTGGGCGAGAGCTTTAATTAATTTTGCTCTTTTTTTTTGAACTTTTAGCCTGTCCACACCAACTGATTTTTTTTTTAAACCTTTATGCACCTAGACTCCCGAAGAAGCCAAGTGTTCTTTCCTTTGACTCAAGATCTGGCAATACATTGTCAACCTTGTGTATGTATTTATTGGCTTTAAGGGTTTGCCCAAGCTCCTTAACGGCAGCTATCTGCTCCAACTTTACATTAACTTCCTTTTCGATTACTTCTAGAATATATATTTGATAAGCTCATATGTACTTGCTGATAAAGAATCTACCAGTGTTTTTTTTTCTTCACGATAAATTCACTAATTTTATGCGATTTCTTTAAGGCATCAATTGTTTGTTGCTTTGTACTGTATTTTGGCATGTAATATGGAGAGAAAGAAGTAGCATATTAATTTATGAAGGAGAAAGATAAAAACATTATCATATTACATATAAAAAAGTAATGATTCAGCCGGTCAAAGAGTCGTATGTTTTTCGGTCAAAATTTGTTCGTCGTTTGTACAATTGTAGCCCAATGATATTGATTTATGAATTTAAAAATTGTGCGAACAACTTGACTGAGTACCCCCCACTGTGGCAGCGAGATGTTAATGCTGCAGTAAAAAAATTTGATGACAATTGCTTTGTCAACTTGGAGAGGATCCCATCGACCAACTGCTTTCCAAAAATGTGATAAAGGCAAGAAAGCAAGAAGCAGTCAGCAGCGGCAACAACAGTAACAACAACAACGATCCCACCACTGTAACATAAACAGGTTGTCTCTTTGAGTCATTTAGACAAATTATAAGTAAAATGTCTGAATAAATGTCTACTTTGCCTTAAATTTAATTTCTCTTTGTCTAAATCTCATTCTCGTTCTGTCCACAAAAGATAAGCATATCGTTTGAAATTACATTTTGATTCGTCTAAAACATTTCCCAATTTGTCTCAATCTTAAGTAGAAACTGTAATTTCCAAAAACACACTAAAGAATAAAATATCAAAATTGACCAGTACAACAATAGATACAAAAACATGTCCGTTTCAGAGTAATATGTAACATATTGTGTATTGTATGGCTCAGCACGCAAACCAACGCACTGCAAAATACATTATTAAATGCATAATTGTGTGTATATTTATATAATCAAGCTTTAAGGAGAATTTGTTTGATTTTGTTTGAACAATGCTCTTGTACATTGCCAAGCTATTTATTTATTTATGTATTTATTATTAGTATCTATAGAGGACAAAAATTGGAGTATACACTATGTGCCCGTGTGTATCTATTTGTTGTATGGTTTATTAAAAGGATATATACATTTAGTAATAAGATCGCATATAACTTTCTTCTTCTTATTCTTCTTCTTCCTCTTCTTCTAAAAACAATCACAGAATCTAAAATATAATTGGTGTTTAACAAGGCAAGAAAAATTGTGGGAGTACGAACCAGTATTACACAGAACCCACAATTTTTTATTTTATTTTTTTAAAAAAAAAAAACAGAGCTGCCTAATTTGCACGAATCGAACCTATCGTAAGGCTTTATTCTCCAAACAGTTTTCGTTTGTCATCAGAGTAAAAAAAAAATATGAAAAAAATAGGGTCTGAAATGGTAAATAAGGACTTTTCCTTTTTTTGAAATCATTATAATGACAATTCATATAGCTAATTTGTCTACCTATTAACGAATAAGAGAACAATAGAGGAAATCGTGTATATAGAGACAAATAATACTTTTTTATTATATGTGTGTGTGCCCCTTTTTTATTTTATTATATTATATTCTACATCTTTATAACTAACCTGCGCGTATATAAAAAAATAAATAAAGAAATGGAAAAAAAAGAGAGACAGAGAGAGAGAGAGAGAGGGAATGCTTGTGTATAAGTGAAGTGGTTTATAAAGGGGATGATGTTGTAATTGTGTACGTGCACATTAATGTAAATGGAAAGGAGTAAATGAGGAAAGGAGTATGGGTTAATGATACAGATGTCAAAATTGAATCGAGTCAAGGAACAAAAAAAAAACAAAACCATTCGTTTGTTCGTTCCTATTCCTATTTCTTCTTCGTCTTTTGTATTTTTAAATGTTCGCACTTTGGGGCTGGATATTCTCAAGGATAGCTCTGCTTTCTATTTCGGCTACGGTTCTTATCTTAGTTGGTCTTCTCTCCGTGTGTTTAACGGACGTGCCATCTTCTGCTAATTGACGTTGGAGTAACGACTCTCCTAATTTCCGTCTTTTTAGTTCTTCGTCCTCGTCTCCGTCTGCTGACCACTCGGGTCTATAAAGTGCATTGCGGAAGGTATCTGCGAGCATGGCTGCGTCCGTTGACGAGAGTACTGAATTAGTGTTGGTATTATTGTTATTAGTTGTTGTTGTAGAGGTGGAAGTCGTGGCGGTACTGGGTGAGCGAGGTGGTGGCGGCGGCATTGTGTAGGCAGTTGAATTAGGGTGGTAAGGTCCAAAAGGAGGAGAAGATATAGAGACAGCATGAATTGGGTCGAGAGGTCTTGGAGAGGAAATGGCGGTGTTGATAGAAGATGCGAGTTCGGTTGTGGAGTTCGGCTGGCTGGCTAGTAGTCTTCCGGACCCTGTGGCCATGGCCATGATTGGTGTATTAGAGTATATCGAAGCAATGTCACATCCCTGGAGTCCTCGTTTTTCGTATTCAGCACTGTTCTGGCCACTGCTGCTATCCCGGCAGAGCTTTTTTTCAGACATCCCTCCTCCTATGCCCCCTCCTAACCCTCCTCTAGGTTGACCTGCCATTGTCGATGCTGCTGCTGTTGGTGAAAGTTTGTTCGTTCGTTTGCGACGATGTGAAATCAATATTGCCCAGATGGCTACACCGACACCAGCTAGCACAGCAGCACCAACAATTGAAATAACAACAATAGCCCAAGTTGGTAATGCTGTCCCACTGTTGTTACTATCATTGGTACTACTATCATTACTGTTATTATTGGTATCTGTTGGATTGGGGTTTGTGTTTGTGGGTATTGCTTTTACTGCAGTAGAAGCCGAAGCACCTGCTTCGAGTGGAAGTGAAAACTCTGTTTTAAAGAATGAAGGATTAGAACAAACAAGCAAAAAGGGTAGAATTAAGGGCAACATTTACTCACGAACAACAGAGAAATTGAATGGTCTGGGATATGTGCTACTGGGTGTTATGAGTTCTTTTGTTGCGTTCATATCTGCAGGAAGCAGGTAGCCAAAGTAGGTCCAGGTACGGTTTCCTGAACCAGCAGGAAGTTGGTCTGGAAACCATGTGTCGTCTACTAGAGAGCTCATTTCTCCATCAGAAGTGTCCATATAGGTCCATTCTTTGATCTGTGTGTAGGCGAAATTGTACTTGTAATATAGATAAAGAGATATAGATTTCTATAATAAAAAAAAAAAGACCCATAATTAGTTGTGCAAGAATTAGTTATACGTTTTTGCTTATTGCGTAGATATATGAATTATGGTTTGATTAATCTTACCGATGGAACATAAAAAGGCTGGCTATTTTTTGTTGTTGTTGTATAAAATAAAATAAAATATTCAGTAATTGCAGTAATAATTCCCATTTAGTTTTATTTATTTTTTTATATATAATCGTTATAATATATTCATTAATTTAATGAATAATTAACATATATATATATATACTCACTTGTAATTCCACACAAAATTATAGGTTGATCCGTTATACCAGATATCAGTGTTTAGTGGTGAACAGACTGTAAACTCATTACCCTTTTCTGCACAGGTACTTGGGTCAATGTCTATGGAGATGTGATTAGGAATTAGGAATGATTGAGTAGATCATTATAATTAAAAAGGACTACCTTCTCGTTTTGAAAGGCTCATTGAGTAAGTAGGGGAAAAAATCGGAAAAAGTAATAGATTTATATCTCTTTAAATATATATATATTATTTGAACGTGATTATGACGGTGGCGGTAAAGGTAACGGGTAACGGGTAACGATGGTGGTGGTGGCGGTGGCGGTGGTGGCGGTGATGATATATATTATTGATTATTGAATATTGCAAGAGGCATACGAATAAGCTTATATATATATATAAGATATATATAAAAAAAAAAGAAGAAGAAGAATGGAAAACGAAAAAGCAAGAGGAATATATTTGTGATCGAAAAGGAGAAAGACCAACGGTGAGCTTGGCCAGGGCAACTAATATTAGCTTGTAATGAAAATAGCCTTGTGGTACAGATTAACAGTTACAACATCCAAAAGCAGGTGTGTATTTTTATTTTTATTATTATTATTATTATCTAGTTTAGGCTTATGGTTATCAAAACACTTGCAAGAGAAAATGACATGATAATACATACATCTATACACATTACAATGAGTAACTATACAAAACACAACATAACACTATAAAATAAAATAAAATCAAATAAAATCAAGGGGCTTAACTTTGAAATCTATTGACGCTTATCAAACTTAATTTCATTAATGAAAGCTATATTATTTTCTATGAGAAAGAAAGACAAATGACAGCTAAAGAAAAACTATATCAGCATCACCATTGCCATCACCATCACCATCATTAATAGCAATAGAAATAGCATTAATAAATAAATAAAATTGACTTATTTGATCTCTAGTTGCAGTTTTTCGGCCATAGTATATTATATTATTATTATTTTCTATTTCAAAACTAGGTGAAAAATTAGGCTTCGTACCTGATCGTCTTTGCTCCGAAACACATGGCATGGACTCCTTTAGAATATGTTCTATACACCTTTAACACTAATAGGTTATTTGTTAACCGTTTTTATTATTATTATTATTTCGGACTTCTTCCAGGTTGGTTAAGAATATTCTGTACTTTAATATATACTTATATATATACTCTTATTATCAGTATTATTAAACGGGTGCAATCAGATTATCAATTGGGACACTGTAGAAGGTTAATTGCCCTGAGAGGATATTGTTTAATGGGTTCCCGTAAGTAGTCCTTGCTGTTGTCCCTTTTTTTTAATAGTCTTTTATAAGCGCGGAAAGATTGTCCCGAGATAATATACATATACGTAAATTTATATATATGACAGCGAAAAAGACTGGGCTTTACTTCTTGGTCGCAAAAAAAAAGATGTTTTTTTTTTATTTGTATGTATATTTTCTTGTGTTACAAATCCTGTTGTGCGTACAGTAAAGTACAGTACAGTACAGTACAGTGCAGTGCAGTGCAGTGCAGTACTATAATATAGTATAGTACAATATAGTACAATACAGTACAGTGAAATGTAATCTAATGAAGTGGAGTGGAGTGGAGTGGTGTGGTGTGCGATAGAATGGAATGGAATGGAGTGTAGTTTTGTTTAGTGTGAACTCTCCGGTACCGGTTTCGGGTAACTCACAGGCTACAGTGTAAGCGAATTGATTATGGACGGTGTCTATAATCAAATGGCTTGAGTGGTACCGTACACAGACATACGGTAACATTACTATTAGTATAAGGAAAGCAGGGGTACCGAGACCGGCGGCATCTGGACGAATAGAATCGAGACCATATTTTCTCAATGTTTGAATGCAGAAAAAAGGCTCCATTTGTATATATATTTATATATGAAGGGTGTTCCTTTCTTGGGGAGGGATTTCAAACTGCTTCTGAGGCTATAAATACTTGGAATCCGGTTTTTTATATATATATTTTATATAGACCGGAAGGCCATCAAAAAACGAACCAACCAACCAACCAGAGAAGAATACAGCCGAAATGAGCTTTTTCATCCCCTTTGTTATACTTCTCTACCTACTTAATACTTATAGTATACAGATCAAGTAATATATGTATTTATATACATACAAAACGATTTTTCATAATACACTCTTATGAAAATAAGGATTTAAATTCGAATAATATAAAATAAAGTATACAGAATAATAATAAGAATACAGTGCTTCCACTCTCATTTTACCAAATCTTTTAAAATCCTGCCCATTTTTCTTGAAAAAAATTGCACACATGTTTGAGGTCAAATTGCCCTGAGTAAAAAGGTTGGTTTGGTCAAATATTGAAATTAATTTGTTCAGCTTTTAGAAAACAAATTCACCACTTTTTATACATAGCTTTACCAGCTTCTGATAAAATTAAACTATAAGGACTCCTTATTTAAACGTTTAGGAAGAATACTTAACTGAATATTATAAATAAACATAATCATCTTTTACTACCTACATTGAAATGAGAGTCGCTGTGTCTTTCAATTGACTTTTTATAACTCTATCTTTTAAGACTTCCCAAAATCTCTCAATAGAGTTGACGTCAGGATAATAGGACGGGAGATATACGGTTATTATTGCGTGCATTAGCTTTACTACTTTGTCCCCACACTTTGTGTTTATCTCTCTCTCCAGGCACCTAGCTCTCATTGTTTTAATGGATACGGCCTGTATTTGGGCAACTTAATAATAAAATACTGTCTCATACGAAAAACAAATCCTGTATATTCAATTAATAGCAGTTTGCGTCCTGAATTTAAACTTGATAATAAATATATAATAATTAGTCACATATGCACTATATCAATAACCAATTATACAGAAGATCATAGGGAGTTGTTGTCATTAGAGTGTGACGCAATCTTGTTTGATATCTTACTATTTATTGGCCTTCTTACGCGTATCATGCCTTTCTCTTTCTTTCGCCAACTTATATTCCCAGAGTCAGACAGTACCAGCTGGTAAGTAATCCCCATCCACTCTTTTTGCAAATGGTCTTCTACAGCAAAAACTTTATTGATTGTCCCAAAAGAATAATTAATTAATAGGTACAATTCAATAGTTTCCGGAACTTATATAGAAATTATCTAACAACAAGCTGTAGTACACTTCCAAAAACAGGTCAATTAAAAAAAAGAATTATTTAATTAATAGGCCCAAAAGTGGAAGATGGCTTGAAGAAGTAGTATGTACCACACTTTTACTATAATGCCGTCCTGAGACTAGCTTATATTATATTTTACTTGCTTCTCAGTGTAAGTCTCGTTGAACTGAAAGATATATATATATATATTGTAAATAGCAAAGTTTACTTTTTATGCTTTTATTACATAATGTGTTTTGATTTTATTAAAGTATATAAGAATCATATTGCAAGATGAAACAATATATAAAGTAGTATAAAGTAGCAAGCAAAAGACAATAACAAAGCCTTGAAAGCCCAATAGTATCTCTCCTGAAATTAACAAGCTGTGTTTGGTACTCATATTTCTTATTATATCGAGTTTCTCTTTCGACATATTACAAATTCGTTCCTAGTATGTGAAAGAAGAATTGTATATATTAAAGAGTATAAGCACCAAACACAAATTTCTATTGAGCTGGGTTAAAAACTACTTTATAGACTGCAATATTTTATTAAGTGATTTTAGTTAAAGCGTGGTACATACTACTTCTTCGAGCCATCTTCTACTTTTAGGTCTATTAATTAAAGGTGCTCTTCCGAGACGGTGTGCGTGGTGGTTGGCGGCTGCCTCTCCTCGGAGAATGAATTTGGAGAAGAAAGGAGAACGAAGTGTAGAGGAGAGGAGCGAGAGGAAGAGGCAGAGGAGGCCATATCAGAGGAAGTTTAATGAAGATGAATAAAGTGTCTCTTTTTACTTCAAAAACACTTTTCCAATTTTATTATTTTGACAGCTAACTCTTATGCGCCTAGTCAACTAAATATTATTTGACTCATTCTAATTATTGGAGTGCACATCTATTGTCTCGAGAACATATCCTCTTAAATTTTACTGTCCCTTGTTACCGCGCCTGCATTAAGGATATAAAACCTGTGCTAGCTAGTAACCCGGACGTAAAGGCTATCCAACTTGAACGTCTCTCCTCGCAATAGTACCGTAATCAGTTACATTGCCTCTTACAAGTACCCTATGTGTCACTTCACTTCACGACCTCAGACCTTACAACTTGACGTTCCACCAAATCACTCCCCTCAAGCCGTACACAAAGCTTCATGATATATATAGTAATTATGTAACACACAATTTCCGAAATGCTAGAAAATCTTGTACGTGTAGAAGGTGAAAATACACCTTCGACAGAAAGTAAAACGGGAAATAACGTACCATATACAGCATACTAAACAGTCATAGTTACAATGTTACTTTTCATGAGAATAATAGCTATGTTAATGTGTTATTTTATTTTTCTACTTCTATTTCATTGTCTTTTAAATGAATCTGTTTGCTCTTTTGAGTCATTTGTCGGTTAGAAAATCTAAGGGCAAGCATTGGGCAATGCTTGTATAAATTCTTTGACTCATTCTTCTCCAAGAACAATTTCAATAAGGTAGTTGTAGTGTATTGTTGTTTTGTTTTAATAAAAATATTGCAAAATAAAGAACACAAGAAATAATACAAAAAAATGGACACACTATGATGACATTTTAGAGATCAAGTACTCCAAAAAGACCTTGCGTAACATATAGCTCCAAAGTTGTTTTGGGAATGGTTTGAGGGAGTGGTCTGGTGGAATGTCAAGCTGTAAGGTCTGAGGTTGTGAAGAGCATCTCAAAAGCAGAATAGAAAATATTTATGAATATTTTGTACTCTGGCTAGTATTAATCATTATAATAAGAATGGATCCTTAGGAACCAGATAGAATTATTCCATGCCGGAAAAAACGCCACGATTTGTGGTCCGGTAGAATAAATTTTATTTAGTAGTAGAGTAAAAATATTTGGTCCGGTAGAATAAAAATATCGCCCCTTCCCCCACCAGAAAATGCCGTCTCCCTAAAATTAGCGTTAAGGCTGTCCAGACTGTCCTGCCAGGCTGTCCGTAAGGTTTCTCTTTTTTTTTTTCAAAAAAAAAATGGGCAGGATTTTAAAAGATTTGGTAAAATGAGAGTGGAAGCACTGTATTCTTATTATTATTCTGTATACTTTATTTTATATTATTCGAATTTAAATCCTTATTTTCATAAGAGTGTATTATGAAAAATCGTTTTGTATGTATATAAATACATATATTACTTGATCTGTATACTATAAGTATTAAGTAGGTAGAGAAGTATAACAAAGGGGATGAAAAAGCTCATTTCGGCTGTATTCTTCTCTGGTTGGTTGGTTGGTTCGTTTTTTGATGGCCTTCCGGTCTATATAAAATATATATATAAAAAACCGGATTCCAAGTATTTATAGCCTCAGAAGCAGTTTGAAATCCCTCCCCAAGAAAGGAACACCCTTCATATATAAATATATATACAAATGGAGCCTTTTTTCTGCATTCAAACATTGAGAAAATATGGTCTCGATTCTATTCGTCCAGATGCCGCCGGTCTCGGTACCCCTGCTTTCCTTATACTAATAGTAATGTTACCGTATGTCTGTGTACGGTACCACTCAAGCCATTTGATTATAGACACCGTCCATAATCAATTCGCTTACACTGTAGCCTGTGAGTTACCCGAAACCGGTACCGGAGAGTTCACACTAAACAAAACTACACTCCATTCCATTCCATTCTATCGCATACCACACCACTCCACTCCACTCCACTTCATTAGATTACATTTCACTGTACTGTATTGTACTATATTGTACTATACTATATTATAGTACTGCACTGCACTGCACTGCACTGTACTGTACTGTACTTTACTGTACGCACAACAGGATTTGTAACACAAGAAAATATACATACAAATAAAAAAAAAACATCTTTTTTTTTGCGACCAAGAAGTAAAGCCCAGTCTTTTTCGCTGTCATATATATAAATTTACGTATATGTATATTATCTCGGGACAATCTTTCCGCGCTTATAAAAGACTATTAAAAAAAAGGGACAACAGCAAGGACTACTTACGGGAACCCATTAAACAATATCCTCTCAGGGCAATTAACCTTCTACAGTGTCCCAATTGATAATCTGATTGCACCCGTTTAATAATACTGATAATAAGAGTATATATATAAGTATATATTAAAGTACAGAATATTCTTAACCAACCTGGAAGAAGTCCGAAATAATAATAATAATAAAAACGGTTAACAAATAACCTATTAGTGTTAAAGGTGTATAGAACATATTCTAAAGGAGTCCATGCCATGTGTTTCGGAGCAAAGACGATCAGGTACGAAGCCTAATTTTTCACCTAGTTTTGAAATAGAAAATAATAATAATAGTGACAAAGCCCTTCTGTCTTTAACCAGGAAAGTCTGTAATACACAAAACGGAAAGATATTAGGGTGTTTCAGCAGTTTTAGATGTTTAGATTTTACTTTTGCGGTAACTCAATACGTGAGCCAATGATAATTGATATGAAAATAAAGCTGTAGAAAGCTTTCGTATTTCCTTTTGCTCTTAATTTTATTTTCTTATGAAATATTCATAGGCAAAATCGGAGAATCTAAATTTGCATTCTATAAACAACTAAGGGTAGTCCTTAGTTGTTTATAGATTGAAAATATCTCAAATTTAGATTAGTAAGAGCCAATCATTTAACAAATTAAACCATCGCAAAAGTAAAATCTAAACATCTAAAACTGCTGAAACACCCTATTATAATTAAGATTTCTTCCCTTTTTATAAATATCCTAAGTTTCTATTGTTTTTTCTGTTCTTCATGTTGAAATAGCCAAGAAGCGATTGTTATATTGTTATATTCGTATATTCGTATATTCGTATATTCGTATATATACTTGAATAGTAAGAAAATGTTCTAAAGAAACACATTTCTTTTACTATCATTATATATAATTTATCTTTCTTTAATTACAATCAGCTCTATAAAAAATGCACACGGATAGAAAGTTTAATGTTCAAAAAGTTATCCAATTTTTTTTGAACGAATCAAAAATGAATTTCAAGTGTTTTGTTCAATCTTTTTAGATTTTTTTATAGAGAAAAAAAAAGGTTTTAAGTAACAGTGTTCAAAATTCCTAACCTGTAGAATTAAGCAAGAGGTTTCAGATAGTAATTAGTTTGTGTTCTTTTATTTCTGTTACAGTGGTTAGAATAATAAATAATGCGTAATGGTTTGGTTAAAGATAAAGAGAGAGAAAGAGAGAGTCTTCCATTGGATTCCGATATACCAGATACAATTTACATTCATCACCCGATTATACAAAAATGCTTTACACAAAGTGCTCTAAAAGAAAGGATGTTATGGCCAACATTATCATTGCACGTACACAGTGGTCATTATTACTGCCATCAAAAGTATACCAATTTATCTGTCCATTTTATTCCCCCCCCCCCCCCCCCCCCCCCCCCCGCGTTTGTATTTCTATTATATTTAGTTATTCTGTAAAGTGGTGTACGCTCGCCACCAGCTCAGGTACCCTTTACCTTTACTTTTCTGTATGATAAAAAGGGAACCATTATTTATACATAACTTGTATAAAGCTGTTAGCTTTTGGAGAAAGAAAATTAAAGCACTCTCTATCATACATACGCATAAATATATTTCGATATTCACTTAATAAAATATGGAGAAGGACTCTTATAATACTTGGATTATAAAGAATTGGCGAATTCCATAGAAATAGAGAGAGAAACTTCTACATGTGCATAATATACAAGGAAGTAATTCCTGACTGTTGTAAGTATACGTATTCTTCTTTAATAGGGTGTTTCAAGTTTAAAGATCTTGAAGAATTTAAGGTTTGTATTAGAGAGGGTGTCTTCGAGCCTGAATTGCAAATGTTTGCAATTTTTTATTTTACGCGGCGAATTAAATTCCAATACTTGTTTTGCAAATTTCATGGTGGAGGCCATTTAGTGAGCATTTGAAGCCAAAAGTTAGGTAATCCCTGATTTTTTACTTCAAATGCTCACTAAATTTCTAGTAAAAATTGGGGTTATTTTTCCCACTTCAAAACAAAATGTATGATAGCCAGTAGCATCTTCTTCATACTTACTTAATAAAATAGGCCTTGGAAAGTCAAGTTTATTAAGGTCTATTTCCTCTAAATTTCTTAGTATCAATGTTTTCAACTTATAATATTCATAACTGTGTCTGAGCTTTATTCTTATTTTTGATTGGGTTTTACAAATAATTATTTTTTAGTCATCTTGAAATTATCATAACTCGACACCCTCTCTATTTTCTATTTGCGCTCTATTAGGGGATTTCTACAGTCATTCAAGCTTTTAAACTTAAGATTTTGAGCTTAAATACGAGAAATCATTGGCTGAAATGAATCTATTAATCATTAAAAAAAGATTAAAACTCTCGAACAAAATCGTTCAAGAGTTTTAAACTTTTAATACGTCCTTGCTTAAATTTGTTTTTTTTTTTTGGAAATTTAATAAATCCTTGATGCAAATAGCTTTGTCTCTTTCAATACTACCTTAAGCTAATATCCTATTATCACAATGCCTAACAGAACTGAAAGAAGCATTTAGGGTACTCAAAAACACTTAGTAACTCTTACATATTATTGGTTACTGTTTTAAAGCTCAAAGCTTAAGTTTAAAAGCTTAAAGGACTGTTGAAACCCCCTATCATTAGTTTTCTATTTAATTCAGTAACTTTTTTTATTGCTAACCTTTTGTTCCTTTGTCTATACAATCTTTGTTAATATATATATTCTCTAAAAAAAAAAAAGAATACCATTCTTTCCACCATTGAGTTTAAACATTCTTAAGGTATCTCCGATATCAAAATATTTATACTCAGTGTAGGAAAAGTTGGAATATGTTAAAACTCCTCGGTTGCTGTAAATCTCCGGTACTCGTATATTTTATTTAGCCAATAGAAAGTAAATCTGTGCGTATTTTCTACCAGCCTTCGTATTGATCCAACAAATATATGATTTGCTTTTTTCCAATAACTATGGGTATACACCTCCCTTTTTTTTTACTTATTAAATGTGTACATGTGCTTGTGAAGTAAATATTAAACGCAATTCAATCTAAGTTTTTGTAATAACCTTCTGGTCCAATAGTGTGTTCTCTTCTGAAAAGCATAAATTATAAATTGTGTACGAGTTAATTAGTATTTTATAAATCCTTCAAGTCTTGTTAAAATTAAGTTTAATGAAAATCATCTCTAGAATTATCTTTAGAAAATAACTTTTGAAATAATTTTTGAAAGTATTTTTTTTTTCCTTTTTTCTCTTGTGATGGTACAATGTTGCTATGTTTTTACCAGTGAAAAACAAAACGAAACAAACGAATTATTAGAAACCGTAATTTTATGGCAGTAGCAATAACAAGCAAAAAAAGAAAAAAGAAAAGATAAATACAAAGAGGTTGAGATTTGCACAAAAATACAAACAGACTACATCAATATTCTGATATAGCTCAATATAATTTGAGCAAAAGAACATCAGGCCATAATCTAACAATATACAGTAGCTTATTTTTTTAAAGTATATATATATTAATTAGAATTTGTTTTGCAGTTTATCATTTGGCTTGGATCAACAAATGTCATGTCGTGTCATATTCTACTTGATTAGATAATATGTATAGTTATAGAATGTCATATAGAGGAGAGATGGGTGTTTTTTCCTTTCTTACCTTTTGAACTCATAAAATTACTAAATGTAGATATAGTAAAGGGTCAGGAAAAAAGTGGTGTGATATTGTTATAACTGACAGATAGTGTATTTAGAAGTTTTTGATTCAAAGGTATAATACAACTGATACACGTGCATGTATGTGTGTGTGGGTGGCTAGACGAGGGGACGATGAGCAAACCAAGAGAGAATAATAAAAATGAACAAATCAAAGCTATAATTCTTACTGTAACCAGTAGCCGATCACCCAGAAATGTGGATAAGCTATAGTAACAATAGTAAAAGTTGTATTACCACTACACAATTTATTTATTTTTCATCTCAATGATAAAGAGTACAAAACCCAATTGTTACCAACAACAATAAGAAAATAAAGATAAAGAGAGATTCTAATGACTTAATCAGACATGGTTAATTTGAAAAAAAAAGTTACACCAAAAATACTAATATAATGTCTAATACACTCTTTCCGGAAAACATTGGTGCAAAAATGAAATGCACCAAATGCACCAAAAAAGATGAATTAAGCAGAGAAACGGTAGAAAATTGCACCAACAATTTCCGGAAAGAGTGTATTGACAATGTACCTTATCACTATTGTATTCACTTAACAAGAAGGTAAGACCCTCATTGCTTAAAAGATATGTATATACATGTATGTATGTAAACATTGTATTTTATGAGTCGATATATTGTCCCACTTTGTAGTCTTCATTTTTTGCGTTGTATTAACACTGGTGGTTAGAAAGCTGGTCAATTTGTTTGGTTGTAATATACTATAATATAGTACTAAAATAAAATAAATGTAATTTCCAGAGAATCTATATTATATACCAAAAAGGCCGATTTATTACCTTTTATATAAAAATCTAATAGTTCATAAATAATAATACTCGTAATAATGTAATTACTCACGGCCTGTTTCTTTTTTTTTGTTTTTATAAGGAAATCCGAGCCTCATAGTCTATTGAACTGCATGACAATGCACCTCTTTGGATTACTTTTCTTGCATTTATAGAGACAAACTTCCAAAAACATTATCAGTTAGCCTTTCTTATGTTTTATAATAATTAATTTAAAGATATGTATATGTATATGTATATATAATTAAATAGGGATGTACAAGATCCAAAAGCAAACCATGGTTTCTAGATTTCTTTTTTAGCTTGTAGAACTTTAGTAAGCAGAACAACTAAGCATTTAAGATCATTTGTATCTAATATTAATATGATAAAATGTTATAGCACAAATGTCCAAACATTGTATTACACGTGTTTAACCGCTTGTTCTAATTCCACACAATATGGCATAGCATGTAAAAAGGAATATTTGCCATTCTTATTTAGGGATAGTCCCCCCTTCATTAATATCTCTTTGTTGGTAAACAGAATTTTCTCTTCTTCTTATTCTTCTTCCGCTTTTTTCTTTTTGTACAAACAGAATAATGTATCTTAAATAAGACATATAAAGTGGAGAGAAGGGCGCAGGACGGGCGCAGGATGGGAACAACAAAATATTATTGGACAGTAATAATAATACTTCTAAATTGATGACTAAACCTTTAATGCACCATGAGGGTTTGAGGGTTTGAGGGTTTGAGGGTTTTGGGGCTGGGAACTGGGGACTGGGAGTTTCTTTCTTTTTTATACTATTCCAGACATATTTTATTTTTTGGGGGCTCGGATTTTATTTTTTGCTCAGAGTAACCAGCCTTTTACAGACTCATACAAAGGCTCATACACAGACACAGACATATATTTACTGTGAATGATAAATAGTCATTTTTGTTTGCTAATGAGTGAATCAACAGACTTTAAGACATAAAACTCGGGTAACATTATTGTATATTTGTTTTACTCTTCTTCTTCTAGGTATAGGTTAAGATTAAGGTCTAGGTCTAGGACTTGAACCTTAACCTGAACTTGAACCTGAACTTGAACTTGATCTCGGTCCTAGCTCATTATTTTTTCTCTCTCTCTTCTTTAAATAAGTAAATATAAAAAAATTAAATTGAATTAAATTGAATTGAATTGAATTGAATTTTATCTATAATAGTCACAAGGAAAAATGTGTCTTGCCAGCATTGTACTTGGCGCTCAATTCCCGATTTGATAATCTACACTGAACCTTTTTCAGAATCTTTGTACCCACGATGACGGACCATTCAATCAAAAAGGACACGGACATTTTTTTGTATTTATTTATCTATTTTTGGCTTTTATAAAATATGAGCTGTTGATACAAAAGATACATTACAATATTTCTTATTGTGAATTAGACATTTTGAAGTCTTTGGAACGAAAAATTCAATACAAAGTAAACACATATTACTAATATAAAAAAAGGCAAAAAAAAGAAGAGAAAGACTACTCCTGTGCGATGATCGAATATATTTATAGTAAAGTAGTCTGTCTATTTGCCTATATCCCTGTCTACCAGTCTCTGTATCTAGCTATCAGGTGAGCAAAAGTTCTCCCAACAAAATAACAATAACAATAACAATAAGAATAACATTAATGTTCCGTAATTAAGCGAAAGTTTCTTTTTCTGGGGAAGATAAGGTTTTGTAGTACATATCTTTTTTAAAACGGCTTTGTTGCAAGAAAATAAATCAATCTTAGATAACCCAACCATGTGTTATCGAATGCTTCTTGTGGATAGTCAAGGGAGGTGCACTGATCTAACTCTCTGAAATAAGAATAAAGAGAAAGAAAAAGAAAAAGCCCTCATTTCTTCTTATTTTTTGTTTTAGTGTGTTGTTACATTTGAATAAGAATGGGGAGATGCGGGTGAGGAACAATCAGCTCACTATCACCCTTCATCAGCCAAAGTATATCCGATAAACACAATCTGTTTTCGGAAGAAGCTTTTCTTTTTTATGTTTTCTTTTTAATTGTATTTTATATTCATTGATCGATTTGTTAAACTTCAAAGCTGTGTTATATTATTGGATTTCTTAGTTTAACCACCAGCAATAAAGCCACAACAAAACAATGTATCGCTAATGAATATTTTGATATATGTATATATGTATATATGTATATTTGGGCTGGTCTGTACCGCTATCTCGGCTATAATAAACAAAATAACGAGTATACAGGAATCTGCACTATTTTTTGGTAGAAACTGACCGGGGCTCGGCTACGCAAAGAACACTAAAATATGCAGGACAATTTACTTTTTGTTTTGTTTTAAAAAAAAAATAGAACTTTTGGCTAGATCATAGGATTTTCCTGAATAATTTTATAGTATAATATACTATTCTTATTCTTATTCTTATTATCACTGTCTATTGTTTCCGATTACCGGCTTGATAGAATACTTCCGGAAGAGAAATGGCTTTTTTGATGCTGTGTTTTTATCCGAGTTTGTTGTCATGGGATTATCCAAAAGCAAGCCAAAGGTGTGTGTGTGTGTGTGTGTGTGTTTGTGTGCTTGTTGGCTGTAAAGGCTGTCTGAATGTCCGTTATTACAAAGATCTTTTTTATGTGTTTGTAATGTGCTCTTCCGTGGTAACACACTCGCACATTTAGACACATAACTATAGAAAAAAATAATCGAGAAAAATAACGAAATGAAAAGAAAAGGAAAGTGATCGAGAAAATAAAAATAAGAGCGAATATTTCGGTTAAAGATGCCTAGGAACGAATGGTGGTTATACAGCATGGTATTTTTTTTATAAGATCGTCTTTGTCACTCATTGGAAAGAAAGTACCGGACAAATGAGCACATACACGCATACACAATATATACCTACATACACTATGTACAAATGCTCGAACAATGAAACGCTCGAGCCAACGGGTTTTCTCTCCCATTTTCTGGATTCTTTTTATTTTATTTTATTTTATTTTATTTTATTTGATATATATAGTATTTCTCACAGAACTAACCCTGCGAATTTTGAAGTTTATATTGGTTCTTGAGTGACCATTGTGAATTAATAAACTAGATCAATAGCAGGAATTTCTGGGTCAATGATATCACTAGAATCAATAAATGAAAGGAGCACAGACTGATGGCTATCATTAGGTCCACAATTGACCTCTTTATATAGTGTAACATTATATTTTTTTTTAAAAAATAAATAAATATAAATTGATCACAGGTCGAGTTTTATACAATTCAATTTAATTGCCATGGTTACCAAAAAAAAAGTTTTTTTTTTCTAATTAAACGTCTATATTTTTTATTATTATTATCACCACTAAAACTACTAATACTATCACAGATACTACTATCATTATTTATAGTACACTATATCTATAATCCTTAGCAAAAATTTAAAAGAAAAATATAGTCTCCATTGATATGGAGAATAAGGTTATCTTTTGTGCAAAAAGAAAAAGAAAAAGAAAAAAAGAAGGAAATAATTAATGGATGAATGGTTTCCCATGACAACCCAAAGAATAAGTTATCACGAGTCATAGTGTGTTTTAGCTTAGTTTAGTTTGAGTGACACAACAAGTAATACTTCTTTCTTTCGTTTTTGTGAGAGCAGATTTAGCACGGATGATTTCGAATGAGCACAGTTCCCAACTTGGGTTCTGTGGATCATTCTCATGCATACAAGAAATAAATAAATAAATAAAAGTACTTGTAATTATGCTTTATGTGTCACCATCCCTTTCTTTTTTTTTCTTTTTTATTTTTGGTCAACGGTTGACAAAGCCACACATATACACAAACTGTCTACAGACATATATAAATATATATATGTATATATATATATATATATAGCCAGTGTTTTCTCTACACCTAGCCTCTCCCACCCCGAATGTTCTCCAATCATTAAAATATATATATTCAACAAAACAAACCTCAAGAATCCCAAATAATTTATCCAACCTCATAAATATATTCTTTATCATAACTATGGCTGTATCGATCAAAGCACCAAAAGCATGCAGTGCCAACAAGGCAAAGGCCGCCGAAGTTACAGAAGCCACAAAGGTGTGCAGTGCTCGCGGAAAGAGCTACTGTTTGATCCATCGTCGATACTATGAAACCAGTTGGTGTCCTGACTGTGACCGTGTAAATGGTAAAAAGATATACAGAATCCCTATATGCACACAAATAAGATCTCTTTCTTACGCTCATACTTCTTTTATCCATCTTCCTTTCTAGTTGGCCATTAAAGACTAAAGAATGCTTGGCAGAAAAAATCAAAAGACCTAAAAAAAAACAAAACAAGGAGGTTATTAACCCAATAAAAAATATTGTAATTATTTCATGTATCAATTATCTATAATCCAACTCTCAACCTTACCAAAAAAAAGAAGTACACCTTTTCTTCTTCCTCTTCCTCTTACTATCCCTATTCCTCATCCCACTTTCTCACTTTATAGTCATCACCTTAGACCTCTCTTATTCTTCTTCTTGTTCTCTATCTATCTTCTCCCAATCTTTTTTTTTTATTTACCATTATTATTCTTGGTCATTGTTACCCAAAAATAAATAAATCATGAAAACCCATGTGAAATCTCGATTTTCTTTATACACACACACACACACACATATATATATACAAAAATAAATAATATATTTGTAAATTATTGTCAATCCAGCTAAAATAATAACAATATATTAGATTGCCCTAAAATCATCAATCCCAAAAAGATATACATATATTAAAGAGCATACTTCTTATATACATTTACATATAAGTGGTTCCAAGAAGCAATGTCACACACCAGTCAGAATTGATGTCACAGGCGAGCCAAAATCAATATCGTCGGCTAATCAAAATCAATCTCGTATTTTTAGAAACAAAGTCGCTTGCATAGAAATCATGTCGTTTCTTGGCACTCGAAAATATATATATAAAATATGCCCAAGTTCCCTTTCTTCGATTTTTTTTTCCTTTTTAAACTTTACAATTGGATACAGTATGCGCACAAAATTTTTATATGAAGATGGGCGCGGAAATGTTGTTGATGAGAAGGGTGGTCCTGAGCCTATGTACTATATTATTGATCAGAGGGAATTCATTGTTGAGATAATTGCAACCCATTCTGAGTATTTGAAAAATCTGGCCTCCAGTGAATCTTCTTTGACTTGTCCAATGCCAGCTGAAAAAGGCAAAAGATGAAGATACTCGTATGAAGGAAGCAGATACTAAACGGGATTATGTGCGATACACTATCCAAGACGAGGCTAGGTTTTTCGATCTGAAAATTGAGAAGTGTATGAGTGCATCAGCTGCGGAAAAGCAATTGGGTATACACATTCAAACATTACAAAGATGGGTGAAGCAGTATAGCATGTATCCTGACAGCATCTTTGATAGCTGCAACAAAGTAGGTCGTAAGTGTATTCTGACCGAAGAACATAAAAGAATCATTGCCAATTTCTTTGACACTAATCCTTCTGCTGCTGTTGTTGCAGTGGCTGAACATTTATTGAAACAATTCAATCATCTCAAAGTTTCACATAGTACTGTTTATAAATTTATGAGAAGTGAATACAATCTTTCATTGAAAAAAGCAGACTTCCATTCTATTGAAAGAAACAGTCCAGCAAAAATTGAGGAGCGGCACAACCGGGTTTGTAAATGGGAGAATACAGACATGAATTTCCTGACGAATTGCGTGTTTCTTGACGAGTCTGCCTTTGATATAAACATGAAACGCTCAAGAGCTTGGTCTACAAAAGGGACTCGTGTAATTGTTACCCGACCAACAATGAAAGCAAATACAACGTCTATATTGGGCGCTATCTGTGCTGAAGGTTTGATAACAGTTGGCGTTAAAAAACCAAGACCTGCCAAGAAGAAAAAAACTGATGGTTATATCAGTTCAGGAACTATAACAGGTCATTATATCAGTTTCGTAAAAGCAACTCTCGATGAAATGGACAAATATCCGCGTATGAAAGGGCATTATATAGTCATGGATATGGCACCCATTCACATTAGCGAAAACATAAAAAAGTATATTGAATATCGAGGATATAAATGTGTGTACCTCCCTACTTATTCTCCTGAGCTTAATCCAATAAAACAATTCTGGGCAGTGGGAAGGAGTAATGTTAAGCGCCATAGATTTTTGCAGGAAGACACCTTATCAAAAAGAATTACCGAAGCCTGCAAAGATGTGGAGAAAAGTCATTTCAGAGGCTTCGTTTCACATCCTTACGTGTTGGGATAAATTTCGAAATAGAGAGTCCATGTAATAGTCATAGGACGTTCCCAAAATCAATGCAGTGATACGAATCAGGTAATAGTTTATCAGGTAGGTTAAGCATATGTGTAAAAGAAAATCTCAAGAGTGTAATGATTTGACTGTTCTTTATTTTATTTTTTGTTCATAATGATGTTTGAATTTGTGTATGAATATGGTCGAGGCGACATAAAATATGACCAAGATGCGGCACCTTGGTTACAGGTGAAGATATGCAAGGAACAGTGACCGTATTGACGATGTTGACTCAATATAAGCATGTTAAAAGAAGAAACCAGATTTAAGGTGCTCTTCACGACCTCAGACCTTACAGCTTGACGTTCCACCAGACCACTCCCCCAAACCATTCCCAAAACAACTTTGGAGCTATATGTCACGCAAGATATTTTTGGAGTACTTGATCTCTAAAATGCCATCATAGTGTGTGCATTTTTTATATTCTCATTAAAAGTAACAGTGTGACTATGGCTGTTCAGTATGCTGCATATGGGACGTTATTTCCCATTTTACTTCCTGTCGAAGGTGCATTTTCACCTTCTACACGTACAAGATTTTTTAGCATTTCGGAAAGTGTGTGTTCCATAATTACTATATATATCATAACTCTTTGTATATGGTTTGGGGGGAGTGGTCTGGTAGAACGTCAAGTTGTAAGGTTTGAGGTCGTGAAGAGCACCATTCGACTCATTTTGTCACTAACAGGTATATATTCCAACGGTAAAGTCATGTGTGGTGATCCAGACACTCGGCTGTTGGATTTATCACATATAAGAACATATGCATAATGGGATAGCTTAGTAGCTATCGTCTTGTCAGCACATACTATATATAATTGATCAAGGGGCTTCTCAAGTACCCGCCAACATTTAGGACCTTGGCAGTGCTTGAGAAGCCCCTAACCAGTTTATTCCCACGTGTATTGGGGCGATCTTGTATCGTATAAAGCGTGTATTGGATGGTGATTTACTTTTATTGAATTGAAATAAAAAAATAAATAAATCTCCATTCAAATTGCTTTATTTGGATTAAACATTTAACAAGTTTTTATTTTATTATATTGTGTATATTATAATTATCAGTAAGATCAAGGCTTTGGGATATGAAGTGTTTTGCTGATCATTAATGTTCCACTGACAGCATAAAGTAATACAATAGGATGAAATCCCCAGCTCTTCCCAGCCAAGTTAACCAGTTGACCTGGTAGATCTTCAAGATACTGACCACTGTAGACCAAGTAGGCTAGAATGGCCACAATACTCAGTGAGGTGGGAATAGGTGTGCCCTCAAAGTAATTCACCTTGCCAGTAGCATCCTTTGGCATCATAGCAACCGTTGCGTTGTAGCGTGCCAGCCGAGATATTCCACAACACACAAAATAGGTCAAAACAACACTATCAAGATATGTCCTCATACCAACTACACCCAAAAAAACATAACAATTAATAAATAATCCACATACACATACTATATAATGTTCATTTATCCATCAATACTATTAACTAGATTAACCTACTTGCAAACGCTAGACTTGCAGGTGCGACACCAAATGAAATCTATAATTTAGAATCCCCACAAAGCAATTAATCAGTAAATCAGTAAACCAGTCAAGTCAAACCAATTCAAGTCATGCCAAGTAACTCCTTTGTGTATCTATAACGCACACACACACACACACACACTCTCTCTCTCTCTTTTAATTTTCATTTTTAATTTCCACATGTACTTACCAAGTCAGCCAAACTGTCTAGCTCCTGTCCCAACAGAGAAGCTCGGTTGCGTAACCGTGCAACTCTTCCATCCAGAAAATCAAACAACATACCACAAGGCATGGCTATCATCGAGATGTAGAGATCATTCACATCATTACTAATTAAGTAGCGCATTGTAGCAAATATAGATGTCACTCCACACACTCCATTTAACAATGTGATTACATCAGCAATGTAAAAGTTTCTGTAGAAATGAAGTCAGATAAATAAACAACCAAACAAACAACAGCAATCCCCCTTTTCCTCGCCTTTACACATATGCAGTTTAAAATGTTATATATATATATTCTTTCCCCTTACCGAGCTAATGAAAAGTGACCGTTGTCAGTCGCAATACGAGTCGGGTCATCGTCTTTAAGAATATCTTTGGAGCGGTTACGCAAAGACATTTGTATATTTCGAATATGTATAAAAAAATAAAAGTAAAGTAAGAGAAGAGAGGAAGGTGTAGTCAAAAGAAGCCAAAAAATCAAATAGTATAATTGCCTTGGAGGTTTTTATATACTACCTTATGATCTTAGCTTCATTCATACTCTCTTTCTCTGCCCTTTTTTTTTTAAAAAATAAAATAAAGTAAAAATTGCTGGTCTACTCTTTTTGATATAGTTTTGTATGATATCATTCATGCGTCATCCAAAATGAAGTATGTAGAAAAGCATATAATAAGTAATAAAAAAGCACTGTATATATTAAAGCTGTACGTAGAAAGTAAACTATTATTAAGAGTTAAATTGAATATGTTCTTTTCTTTTAGTAATATTATGATGCTGAAGATGATAATGTTGATATATACATTATATAATCGATGGACAAAAGTTCCTGCCATTTAGAATCCCGATTTTATAGAAAATGCTATTCACCAGCATACGAGGGAATTGTCGACGGAATTGACAAATATATCCACCCGGAATCGAATAAATTACTATGAAAAGTAATTTTTTCTTTCAATTCCCTCGTACGCTGGTGAATAGTATTATGCAAGTCTTCTAGAGCTCTAATTCTTACATATTCTCTTGTAAGATATAGTGTTTTTGCTTTGAGAGAAAGAGAGAGAAAAAAGGTATTACTTATAACAAAATACACAGACGGGATTCTGAATGGCAGGAGCTTTTGTTCTTTGATTGTACATGTAAAAATTTGATAATCGATAGTTTGTTGTTTTTGAATTGGAGTTTGCAAAATGAAGATCGCATTCTTTTTACAGTTCTGAAGCATCAGTCAATGCGTAATTGGATCAACACTACTCTGCTTATTTGAATAAGATGTCCTCAAGGTTCCAAAATATTATTAGAGGTGATTATTCCTTCTCTCTTATGACAATAATAGGGCCCAAAAATAAAATAAAATAAAACAAGAGACATATATGCATACACATATACAAAGAAGCCTTCGTAAGCCGACGATTGTTTTTATTATTCCTTACATCCTTTTTACATTTCACACCAAAATTACATTAAGAAACACACACACATTCGCCAGGAGAGATTAAAGAAATCTTGAACATTGCTCATTCGACGATTGGATGCATCATCAAAAGATGTGAAGAAACTAGGACAAATTGACCCAAATTTAAAGGCATTGAAATCAATGGAACTAAATTTTACCGATAACGATGTTCTTTATATGAATATGAAGGGAAATCAATTTAAGGGGGATATGGATACCACGAAAAATAGTTTGTCATAAGTTGATTATAAACTTTTTTTTAGATAGATATCAACTATCTTCGTGAAGACATATCTCTCTCTCTTTCTCTCTCTTTCTCTCATGTCCAAGTAACCAGATCAATGATGACAATTGAGTAGATGAATAATAGGATTTGTTAAGCTAGATCAAAAGCTAGAAAATGGTCAAGAACCGGCAGTAGAGTGATATGATCAGATGAGTCCTAATTTTTAGTAAACGAAAATGACTTTGATTCATTCATAATTTGTAAGTCTGAAGAACGTTTCCCAAAAAAAAATGACAGAGAAGCTTGGAAAATGCTCCATAATGGTGTGTGGATGTAGAGAGTTTCTGGGTTTGAGGACTTGGACCTCTCGCAACCCATAAAATCTCTGTTGACCAATATGTTTCTAGCAACTATTTTTCTAAGGACTCTAATTTCTGGTATGAAAAGATCGAATGATTAACATGATACCTATGTTCAAATTCTAAGAATATAGCATCAGCTGTCATACTGGCCCGTATACCATATGGTGAAAGAATTTTTTACAAGTAAGCCAATAGGGCTACTGCCTTTTCCAAAATTCTGATCTAAATCTAACCGATTATGTATGGAAGAACATAAAGTACTAGGTTACAAAGAAGAAAGACTATAGAACAATACTGAAGGTCCCATGCCTTATATTACAATATTTTGGTGCAAATGTATATGAATTTTGGTGCAAAACTTGTTTTGAGTATGCCTGGCAAAATTAAAGCTAAAAGTGTTGCTTGTAAAGAGAATATCAAATACTGAGTCCTTATTTTGTATATGTATATTTCTTGAGGTAGACATCGGTATTTCACAAAATTTGAGAAACAACATTGTTTTCGTTAAAAATAATTGAGAATGTAAACAAATCCACTTTTCTTTCTCAAAAATTTACCTATAGTCAGAATATCAGAGACTTCACAAAAGGAAGAGAAGTCAAGCAATCGTTGAAAAGCACCGTAAAAGCATGGAATGATTTCTTACTCGCATCTAATTACTCGTTCAAGGTTTTGGCTTGGCTTCTTGAGAACGTTTTTCTGGGTTAGATACTTGGTACCAATAACTAATATTTTATTATCTCCCAAATTTATCTTCTTAATATTTGGTTTGGCTACTGTCAAGGCATCGATACAAGCAATTGAGTGGATGTCAGAACTTATTGGTCTACTATATGATCCGGTCCCTAAGATACATAAAGTTACTGTAAACATATTAGCACACATCCGAGATTATCAAGTACATGTTCTTTGGCGAGTTACCAAACGACTTAGACTTTAACTTAAATTTTTGGATCAATTAAGATTTTTTTTATTAAAATGGTTCTCTTATTGATCGATTATCCCACTGCTACCTACCAAATTTCAGAAAATAACAAGACAGGGTCATGAGCTCATTTACTGCCATATCAACGTCTATTTCTTTTATTAATTCATACACCAATATATCCCTCTAAAAACCCCGCTGGATTGTTGTGTACGAGGTCACAAAAAAGCCATACCATCTGCATAGTCAAAATCAGGCTGAGATTTGATTAGAATCTTCGTCGAGTAATAAATGTCTTGCTTGATAAGAAAAGGACACATCAAAAGCTTATCAACTACCAGCATGAGCAAAAAGTATCTGATGGGCTGGTCAGGATATTTCTCACAGAGAAAAAGCTTCTAGCTGGCTACGATGCGTAATGAGGAAGTGACAATTGGTCAATCTGAGATACCTTCACCGACACACAACACAGAGATGCTTTCACAGCTTTGTAACCAGGATTAGTAGATTAGTCAGAATTATATGCGTTTCAGAAGAACTATATCTATAATGATGCCAAAGCAACAAGTTCGTCTACACTTTGTTCTTTTTAGTTAAACATCAAATGCAGTCTTTCATAGTCTTCTAAGATAATATTAAAACTAGGCTTCCTTTTTCTATTATTGTTATCTTTATAAATGATTCTAGATGTATAAGTCCAGATTACTCGGAGAACATGGCATAATTACACTTTGAGAATTGTTTGTGAAATAGAGATCTTTCTAATGTCTTAATTTTCAGACGTATCCTTAGCTAATTGGGACATAATAACACAGTTCCTGGTGTGTTCACTCGTGACGGTCAAGCCGGAAATATTGTAAGACCAATAATTCTTTTTTGGAGGTTTGCTGTGTAAAATGATGACTGGGAGGAATAATAATATAAATATTTCAACCTAGCTATTGCCAGGTACCCCCAAGATGTCATTTGATAAGTCATTACATTCTTTGAATAATTTAATGAATAGTTTCATTGTTATTTTGTATACGCTGGGGAGCGGGATCGAGTGCTTTTCATTGATTGTAAAAGCATAAAGGGATAAAAGTGGGATATTAAAAAGATGTCTTTTGTTTTGAACTGCAATAGCAAAGAAGCTCAAAACATTAAAATTGATATATACATTTTTTTTAAAAAAAGGAGGAAAAGCAGTGCTTGATTAAAATTCAACCTTAAAACAGCCCTTAAACCCCTGAAAGAGCTTATAAAAGTATCCTATAAAAATCTACCTTTTTACTATAATGTAAAACGATAGTTACTTATTAACACAAGTATTAGTGTGCGATTCTCGTAATAAATGCAGAGCTTATTATGTAAAGTTTACGTTTTATATAAAAGTACATGATTAGATGTATTTTTAATCGAAGCAATAGATAATTTATGGCGTTATACAAGATCATGGAAGAACATCTTGTGGACAATAGATTGATTATCGAGATGTTGTTTCACAAAACGAGTACACTGTTTAGGATAGGAATATATAATTCTGCGCTAATCTATTATAACAACTACCGTAAAACACTCCATTTTAAATTCATTTATCTTTACTTGGAAGCACCTGATACTATACGTGTATATAACAAAAGGATAAGATTGCAATATGCAAGAATTCTACAAAGTGAAGAACCTATGTATCTAATACACGTACGTACAGATTTATTTTGACAGTGAATCTAAACTGTCATAACATCCCCACCTTTAAAAAGAGTATCTTACTATTATAGGACGTATTACACCAGTCCTAGTAGGATTATGGCTTAGCTACCATGGTATCCATGTGCTATATACATATCTTAGATGACTGGTGGCATTTTAATGAAAATTTTAAATATTAAAAAAATGGATGATATCTAATGTAGGCTTATGGTCACATAAATAGTAATAAGTACTTTAAACAATCTAAAGCCAGTACAAGGAATATAATGGAAATCTGTATAAAATGCCTTTGTTATGTCTATTATTTATTTCATGCAGTTCATACATTTCATATACCTGTCTATTGCTATACTACATAATAGAGAGATCAGATAAATAAAAAGACGCATGACCCCCTAGTATATTCAATATACCTGTATATTTTGAGTCGACACAAGAACAATTCAAAACTAATATATCTATATATTTTTCGGTTAAAGGTTTCAATAGATGGGCCTTGCAACAGACCAAATTGGATCCAGAATAAAGCGGCTGGTTACAATTAGACCGTTATTTTCAGACAACTCAGTTGGACAAAGAACGTGCACTCTACTGTAATTAAGAAGCTTCATGCGGGTAATGGTTATATTTGTATAACAGGACCACAAAAGATAGGATAAGGAATATACTGAGTAAAATGTAAAAAGGTATCTCTTCACTATCCTACTTCTTTATGATGTGTCAACGTAAATCTACATACCTCAAACCCTGATTCCTACCTCTTTATTTTTCTTCGATATTTTGCTGCAAGTGCTGTGGGATCAAATAATCCGGAATTTTTATCCCTATCAGATCCGCGTATTGCCTTTTATATCCTAGATGTACAGATCAGCAACACAACATTCTGAATCGGTCTACCTGCAAAGATACTTGGTCAAATTTTATACGAAAAAGAAGGGTGTTTTGTAAATGTGAAGCAAACCTACAGAAAATAAACTTTTTCGGATCTATTAGCAAAAGATAATAATAATAATAATCTTTGGAGTGATTGTGAGATGAACACTTTGATTATCATTATCATTATTGGTATCATCTAAAGGCTTGCTATTCATTCAAAGGGGTTCACAATGTTGACATTCTTAGGTAGACCAAGTTAGTAAATATAGTCCGTTAATTTGTACACCACATATTAGGTACTGTGAATCACTCGTTGCCTTGAGGGGCACCCGTTTTATGTTGCTGTCTTCTCTTTTAACTATTTAACCGACATAGAAGTAAACCACAGACTATAGAAGAGAAACGAATGATAAGAAGAAGATAGAGAAAAAGACAGTGGACGTCCTGGGACCTGCACGCCCTGACCAAGACGTCCAGCATGCAGTGATTCATAGTCATGTAAAAATATGTAACGGTCTAGTAAAGCTTCTAATAACGAAAAGTACAAAATGTTTTTTCAATGGCGTTTATTGCGAGTTCACTCCTCACTTTGTCTGTATTGGTCTGACAAAGCTCTCAAATGTATTGTTGTACATTCTTCCATTTCCATAAGACCAATGCTGGCCAATTCTGATGGCTATAAATAAACATAATCAAACCAAAATATAAAGCCAATAAATAAGCCGTGGCCTCATCCTTTAACATAATCAAAAGGGAAGATAACTCTCACCTGTACTGTAGTGGTTTCACGTAATATTTTTATTTTACCTTATTTTATCTCGTTGTTTCTTTATTGTGGGGACCTGTGCCTGGGTACCGTGGCTGTTCAGATGGCATGTATTATCTGTAAATTAGACTCTCGGCTACCTTAACGGAAGTTTGAGATAGCGCCCTAGAAAGATTCATCAAACTGTTGCGATACGTTCACTCTCTTGCCGTGTACCATGACGTGTGATCCCCATTGGCGGAGTTCAGCATCCCCCCTTTCGATCAGATAAAAATTATTCCATTTTACAATACCCTGTATACCGTATCACAGACTTTACAGTTTATCAGATGATAAACAAATGCGCGGAGAGCAGATATTAACCCTCTTGTTCTTCTTCATTCCACATTAGCAATGCCTTGTCTTCTAGGAGGGAAAAGACTTACGGGTGTACTTCCACCAGACAAGCAACCACCCCCATACCCCTCATTAAGAACAAAAGATCCTTCAAAGTTGGTCGACATTGAGTCATGTATTGATGATCCCAGCCTGGCACCATTAGGCCACCATGTAGTTTCGCGAACCGGAGAACGCAAGCAAACCTCTGAAGAAAAGGGCCAGGTCAAAATACAAAAGAAGCAAACCAAAGAACTTCATAATGATGGTCTGTTGATGCTACGAAGGCGAGGCTTAGAAGCAGACGAACTGGCCCGACACCTTGACAGCCTTCTACCTCCATTAACTCCATCTCTACCCATCCAATCACGTTATCGCGATCTTATGGAACTCGATATATCACGAAATAAGTTAAAAACATTGCCAGTCAATATTGGCTTGCTTCATCAGCTAAAAATCCTTGACGTTTCATCCAATCTTTTATCCGAAATCCCGCCCGAATTATACCATCTCACACAACTAGAAGTCCTTGTCCTTTCTCAAAATAATCTTCACTCAATCTCAAGAGACATGCCGTTAGGTCTTCGAAATTTAATCACTCTTCGCATATCAGGCAATAAGATCACACGGATAACTAGCAGAATTAAATATTGGCGCAAGATGCGTCACCTCCAATTGGGATCTGTCTATGGAGGAAACTTGCTGTCCAGGGTACCCAATGAGATCGCGGAGATGCAATCACTTGAAGAATTAGATATCTCTCACAATCAGATTAAAGCACTGCCGAGTAACATGCAGATCAGCACCCTTGAGCACTTGAACGTATCTAGTAACCAGCTCGAAAGTCTTCCTCCATCTGTGGCAAAATGCTCAAAGCTGAAAACTCTAAATGTGTCTAAAAACCACCTCACTACCCTTCCAGCAGATTTAGTCGAATTATCTCATCTAGAGCTACTTGATCTCAGTGAGAATCTTTTGTGTATCATACCGGCCGATATCCTTGAGCGCATGCCGACTACACTTTTAATTACAGGAAACCCGATGACACGACCGGGTAACTGTAATCTGGCAGCAAGCACGGACGCATACGCCCGTATTCTTCAGCGCATGACTCAGCAGGGTGTTCCACGAATACCTACCCCATGCTGGAAAGAACGTGACCGTTGTGGACCAAAAGGAATGGGCTGTGAGAGCCCTTCTAGTTCAATGTCTTTGATCCAATCGCCACACAACCGAGAACAAGAAGACGAAGATGCCATCATTGACCGTGAACTGTCTTATCATGCCCAACAACTTAATGTCCACGGCTCACGACCTCTAACACCTCTCTCCCGACCTCATACCCCTCTTTCTCCCCCTCACACACCGCTAATTGAGTCATCCACAAGTCATCCCCAGCCTGTACTACCACCATCTCCAGAACTTTCTACCATTCGTCCTCCAATTACCCCTGCTGTCAACCTCATACACTCCTTGCGTGAGACTTGTTGTCGTGTTATCTTGCGCCAACAAATCCCATTCCCTCACAATGTCTTACCGAACCATATCGAAGAAGAATTGATGCACAAGGTTAGGTTATGCTCTGCGTGCCAAAGGTCGTTTGTAAATGAATGGATTACATCTGTTCAGGTAAAGAGCTACAAGGGACATCCTGCCGTTGTTCATCGAGTCCGCTTCTGCTCAACCAAATGCTGGCTTAGTTGCCTAGATTCTGAAAAGGAGAAGTCGGTATTGGTGTGTCGACCACTAGAGGGTGGAGATGAAGAAGAATCAGCTCTGTAGAGCCCTTTTTTTTGTTCCTTTTCTTATTCTTATGCTCTGGTGTTCCTTGTAGATATTTATCCTCCATTTTTTTTACTATAATTTCATAATCCCTTTTCACTTGTATATTATTTCTCCCCTTATACTTACAGCTAGATATTATTCTTGTTTGAACATTTTATTTTTACTACTTTTTATACATATATATATTATTAGGACTTTGTCAGAAAATAGTCATAGTATATTATTGAAACACCCCTTATACCGCATGTTCTATTCAATAGACTTGGTTTCACACAAATACTAAAGATGTTTCTTCTCTGTCCCTCTAATGCTTGTATTCTCTTTCTATTTGCGTTTGGCTATATGGTTATTTCTGCGGTATCATTTTGTGGCAATGCATTATGAGTTACCTTTTAACTAGCATAAAACCTAGCTGTAAAGCCATATTTATGAGGAAAAATTCGGGGTTTTACATATACACGGCACGACATACAACTGTTTATTAGCTTAATATTAATTTCATTTCGCGTAATATACCTCAAAGTTTGAATTTGATATGCATTACAAGCAATATCGAATATATAACAATTCAAATGCTATCACGCATAGGGGAGTTTTTTCTTATAAAAAAGAGGGGGAAGAGGGAGCTCAAATATAGTTGTGGTAATTGCTGCTTGTTTGCTTAATTTTATCAGATCTTTGGAAAGCAGTTAGACTTATGAGTCTTATATTTTTATTTCTTCAAAAGTATGCAGATCCATTAAGAGCATTTGCAGTGGTTCCATCTTAGAACACATTATATATCATGTATACTAGCCACACCGAAGATTGAATATTGGTCAAAAAGAGATGCCCAAGTTGTGGTTATTTTATAAAAAGAACATTTGAACTTTTAAACTTTTTAACTATCTGAAGTTTTCCTTTCTTTACTGGTCTGTAAATCCTGTAATACGCTTTGGCAGCGAGATGTGAATGCTGCAAAAAAAACAGTGACAATTGCTTTGTCAACTTAGAAAGGAGCCCATCGACCAGCCGTTTTCCAAAGATCTAATAAAAACAAGCAAACAAGCGGCAGTCAGCAGCAACAACAATCCAGTCCCTATATAGAGAGCAGTTCGTTTCTTTGAGGCATTTAGACACGTACAGGTAAAATGTCAGAATAAATATCTAAAACACTGTAACGGTTGTAGCAAGATTTACCAGAGACGGTGTGAGTGGTAGTTGGCGGCGCCTCCTCGGAGTGTGAAATTGGAGAAGAAAAGAGAATGAAGTGTAGACATGAGGAGCAAGAGGAAGAGTCATAGGAGGTCATATCAGAGGAAGTTTAGTGAAGAGGAATAAGGTATATATTTTTATTTGGTTAAAAACATTTTTCCCATTTTATTATTTTGACAGCTAACTCTTATACGCCTATTCAACTAAATATTATTCAACTCATCCTAACTATTGGAGTGCACATATATTGTCTCGAGAACATATCCTCTTGAAGTTTACTGTCCCTTGTTACCACGCTTCCATTGAGGATATAGAACCTGTGCTAGCTAGTAAACCGGACGTAAGGACTATTCAACTTGACCGTCTCTCCTCGCAATAGTATCGTAATCAGTTACATTGCTTCTTACAAGTACCCTACGTGTCACCATCAAGACAATCTGACTTGGTCCACAGCTATTTTCCTAAAATATCGTTTCACCTTCTCGTCTGAATATTTAGCGACTTGAGTTTTTATTTCCTTTCTTCTTAACTTTAATCATTATATATACTTACTTATTTGAATATGTTTACAAATATTATTTAAGAGATTTAAACATTTATCAAACCCTAATATTGGTTGAAAATCTATCATACTTTAATATTATCACAAGTAATTAAACATAGTATACACCGATCATTTTGGCTCTTCCTTGTTCACCTTCTACGCTGTAGTTAAATATCCGCTATAATCAGTAGATTAGAGGTGAATAAAGTGATATAGAGAGAATGGAGGGGGGTACAAAGTAAGCCCTGCCTAAAATCGACGTCACATAATTGAAGCCACCCACTCATATGTACCCTTTGGGTCGTTGGGTGTTGAAGTTGACTACAACAACGATGCATCGCCTCAAGTCGCAAGGTCTCAGCAGCCGCATTCTCTCCAAGGGCACTTATGTTCAGCCCAAGGACAGAGTAAAGCAGTGGAACATTCTCACCGGAGACAAGGTAAAATTATATATAGTTCTTTTTTTCTTTTAAATAAAGAAAGCAGCAACAACAACAGGGGCACCAACCAACTCCTCTCACTTGACAGGTCGCAATTATTGCTGGCCGCGACAAGGATACAATTGGCGAGATTAAGTCAGTCAATCGTGAAACAAACACTGTGATTGTCGAGGGCAAGAAGCTGGCTAAGAAGCATGTACCTCACCAACCCGGTGCCCCTGATGGCATCATGCGCAAGGAACAGCCCATTCACCTTTCCAATGTCATGCTGTTGCACCCTGACACCCAGTGCGTACAATGCAGATTTTTCTTTTAGATTTACTCTGAATTTCTGGTTGACCGTTTTTTATTTTTTTAATATAGAATTCCTACTCGCATTGATCGCCGTAAGATTGAAAAGACAACCGATGATGGTCGTGTTGTGTCACAATGGGCTAGATTTGTTAAAGGTACCGATGTTGAGATCCCTAAGCCTGTAAGAAAATACGATGATAGAAGTGGCGGTAAGTTTAATTGAGAAAGGAAGAAAGAAAGAAGCGGGCAATTTTAGGGAAGAACAAATGTAACTTACTGTTATTTTTTAGAGGAAGCATTTACCACTTCTCCAGAAGAGGCTGTCAAGGTAACATACCTTCCTAAAGCCGGTAGCCCTCCTTTTCCTGCAGAGTTGTTGAAAGAGCTTCGCAACCCATACAAGAAGCGTACCGCATAAAAAATATATGTATATATATGTAGACAATCTTTTTATTATGCACATACTCTTTCAATCACTTTATCTCGATCTCCTCTCCAGCACGCAAAACACAACATTCATTAATAAATAAATAAAAAAAGAAAAAAGGAAAAAGGAAACCGAGACCATTTATAAATGGAAGAATTTAGACCTCTCTCTCTCTCTCTTGTCGTGTAGCAAAACAGGAACTATCTGTGTGTGTGTGTGTGTGTATGTAAACAGCATAAAATGCTTGACGTAATTTGCGGAGACGAATAAAGAGGATTTTGGCTTAATACACAACTTTTGTTGTTTTGTCATTTCTCGTTCATTAATTCACATGTCTGATAAACCATCAAAGAAAGGGAAGCTTCTCTTCAAAGGAGACAAGGATCAAAAGTAAGCCATCCGGATTTACAAGATTCAATACTAATAAATAATTTAGAAAAAAGAAGAGAAAGCACAGCTCTATGGACAGTGAGGAACGTACTACATCTAGTACACTCGAGAATGGTAAAGACCAATACAAACATACGCAGATTTGCTTTTAACATCACGGAACTCATTCGTGTATTTAGGCTGGGTTCGTGCCGATGCCTTGGATGATCTTGTCGGTCCTCTCTTCTTCACTCATCCAAGCGATCCGCCCATTTGCTTTACCGTGGATGACAATGATCGCTTGTTGGCGTACCCTCTGCCTTCACTTGCAGAGACTCCTCATCCTGAGCCACTAATTGTTAACCAGGTGTTGGTTGGATCTCGCCTGCTCGGGACTTCTAATTCATTTACATTCAAGTCATTCAACAGCAAGTACCTCAGCAGCGACAAATTTGGAGTGGTAGAATGTAACAGAGAGGCAATCGGTGGTACAGAAGAGTGGGAGCCTACAACAACTGAGGCTGGGTTCGCGTTCAAAAATGCCATGGGTAAATTTCTGATGATCGATGAGATTGCAGGAGGAGGTAAGGAATCTACGCGTATATAATTAAAAACATCTATATATATAAAAGAGGCTTTGGATGATAATAAAAGAATCGTAGGGTTCAAGATTAGAGCAGATTCGGAAGAAGTTGGGTTTTGTGAGACATTCAGAGTGTACTGCCAGGCGCGGTTCAAGAGAAAGAATAAATTCGAGAAGAAGGAAAAGACAAACTCGGGAAAATTGGAATTGGATAATGTGTAAGTAAAATATTATTTTGAATACAGAGTAAAGGCTAAACCGTAATCATCATCATTAATATTTTTACTTTAAACAAAACAAAAAAACGAAATTAGTAAGAAGTATCAATCATGGGGCGGTGGAAAGTTGCATTTGACAGAAGAAGATTCTCATCAGTTGAAGCGAGCCAAACAAGACGGTCGTTTTGCAGAGGCTTTATTGGATCGTAGAGAAAAGGTCAAGGCGGACCGTTATTGTAAATAAACATACGAAAAAAAAATGCTTTGGATCTAGAAGATACTCTATAGAGCTATACGCGCACAACATTTTAACGGTGTCGTATTACAGTTTAGTTTTGGGTTTAATACTGTAGTTTAGTGCAGTGGAGTGGAGTGTAGTTTATTGTGTAGTGTATTGTGTGTATGGTGTTAATTGACTTTCAGAGGTAAGGTAAAGTGAGGTAAAGTAAAGTAAAATAAAACGAAATAAAGGGAAGAAGAAAAAAAGGTAGAAGATATCCTTGGCGCATGGAGGATACGGTTGTTGAACAGACATTTACATTGCGCCCGCATGTGTCCCCATATTCACACTCTGTGCGACTGGGTCGAGTGAGTAAACTAGCTTATGTAGATCCAGACGCTGGAAGACTTCCTGAATAACCAGCTGAGCGTGCAATTCCATTGGACGACATTCCTGACATTTGCATAGAAGAGGTAGGTGTTTCGACACTCATATTTGGAGCTGGCTTGTCGGAAACTGCAGAAGGATCCCTAAAGGCTTTGATCCAGCCACTTTCGACAAAAAAGTCATATATGCGACTAGTTTTATTGACGTCGATCTTGATAAGTGCTCGTGCCTGGCGTCGTTTCATATAACCTTGCTTGGCATACTCTTTGAGTATAGTATCCTTGATAACCAGATAAGGCCTTGGCATGATACGCAATGTAGAGCACATAATCTGCTCTTCTTCGGTCAAAAGATGCACACCATCCGCTTCACCAATATTCAATGGGTTGGCTGGTTTACGTCCTCCAGATGCAGCGGCAGAGGTAGAAGTGGATGCCGCAGAATAATTATAATTTGGAGTGTTGGCCACCTTGTGCTTGTAATAACTGGCACCATTGCTCGGTGAAGAGAGTGCAGCCATCTGCGCACGATAGGAATTACGCTGATTTGTAGAAGCACTGCTGGCTCCAACCTTTTCATTCGAAAGAGAAGCCATGATCTTGAGACGCCCGAGGCGCTCTTGCTTCTCTTGTTCATACTGTTCACCTTGACGGAAAGATGTCAGGCCCGCCTGACGCCACTCTTGCAGGGTTGCAATTCTATCTCTTAGCTGTTGCTCTTTTACTAATCCCTGTACAAACATTTCATAATCTTCGGGTGTTTGCAGACGACAAAATACCCGTGTCTTTTGATAAATCTCTCGTTCCTCTTTTTGACGTTTGCGTTCCAGGGCTTGTTGTTTTTTAAAATCAAGCCAACCACGTTCGAATATCATCTTTTTACGTTCCACGCGACGGTCTAAACGAGAGTTGTATATGTCGAGAACCATGACTTTGAGGTCGATCTCCTCTTGGGTGTCTTCGTCATTAAAGACCATGTCTTTGACTGACTGCTCCGCTTCGTTTTCATATTCCGTCTCGAACTCGAAACGACGAGGCATATAACCCTGGATCTCATGATAAGCTGGACCACTTGTAATAGGTTTGTTGTTGTTGGAAGGTGGCGGCGGGGCAGGTTTTGTTGTAGTACCCCCAGGAATTGTGGCACGGGATCGTTCGAGACGAATTCGTTTCTGTTCTCGCCACTCGTCTTCGCTTGCTTCTTCAAAGGTTAGATTCATGCGTGGTAGTGGCCAGTGTGGGCTCGCTACATATACATCGAGATAGTGCTGTTCACATTCTTCTTTGGTTTTTGTGCCCACTACTTCTGCAATCGTCTGCCAGTTTCCGATGCCGTTTTTCTCTGCTGCTTCGATCAACAACAGTTCTTCATCGGCATCCCAATCCTCGGCAAAGATGGGGAAGCTGTGCGGCTTTACGATCCGATAGTCATGCCATGTCTTGTGCTTCAATCCTTCTACACCACTGCAGAAGCATGTGACGCAGAGATCAAAGTCGGGACAACTCGAGTCAGCGCATCGTATGCGAACCGTGTTGGTCACGTCGTTGGAACACCCATCGCAGTGGTATTTCAGTGTTTCCTTGTCATCCCCACCAGAATCAGCAGTTGAGCTTGCGTTGAGAGTACTTCCCGAAGACTTTTGTCTGTGGGTAATGGTCATTGGCTGTCACTTGTTGCTTGCCTTTGTAACTAAATAACCAAGTGATTATTTTTCGCTTAGATAGAGACACCTAATCATCGATTGGCCCACAGGCTGCGTCATGAAACGAGTCACACCAGCCCACGATTGGTTTCCCACAACAGAGGCCAAATCGTCTTGGATCCTCAGACAGTAATAGTGAGTGATATCCAAAAGGGACGTGGGCAAGTGAAGTGAACTGTCAAGGAAGGAAATACATCCTGAAGAACTGGATTGAAATCAAAGAAAGAAGCGCTCTTGTGCGGGAAATGAAATAGAGTGCCTGTCTCGATCTTCAAGTCCCACCAATTTCTTCCGTTCATTTTAAAGAGTGCCACTGAAAAGGGCGTTTTCTTGGCACCAGGTTCAGGGTGTGCTTTGTGCTATGAATCTAGCAACAGCAAGCGTTTGGTCTGCTGGTTTAGATATGAAGATTTGAATATAATAAAAAAATAGAGTAAGAAATATCAATCAGCCCTCAATTTTCTTTGTTTTCTTTTTCTTTTTCTTTTTTAGGTACTTTTTATATATATATATATATCTGTAACAAGTTGATAGACTCCTTATTGTAATACTTTAATATTTATATATACTTTTTCTGTATCTAAGCAACAGACGTTTTTATTTTGTGGCGAGCATACGAGTTAATTTAAGATAAATTGAGGATAGTATAATGCTAATGTCATGATATTTTTAATATCTTAAATAATAAAGGAAGGAAGAAAGAAAAGTGCATGAAATATAAAGGGAGTAAGCCATGGATTGTTATAGCGTATATTATTATGTGATAAGTATATGTATATGTATATGTATAGATGTGCGTGTATATATCTACTCGCAAGCCCTACACACACGCACACAAACATGCACAAACGTAGATTGGCCTATATTCTATTCAAATGTATAGGTTTGAGGTGTGGATAAGATGTTGCATTTGTAACAAGGAATACATTAGAGTATTGCGAGCGTTGTTTGAGTCCTAGGAAGTCAATAAGAATAGTAATACTATTAAGTAGCTAATAATTCTCTGGATCATGTCTATGATAAAGTATAAAATAGACTGTTTTTGTTATGAATTAGTAGTCTAGATACACACAAATTCTCAGAAAGAGAGGCATTATGTGTACATATAACTTATAAAGCATCAAATAGCGGTCAAGTATTTATTATAATCAGAATGTCTATCTTATCCCCTTCAAGCCTTTTTCTTTTTTAAATTCCCTGAAACTAAAATCTGTCAAGCTAAATGTCAAGAGAGCCTATTGGTCCTTGAATATATTTAGGGATATGAAAAAGGAGTAAGAATGTACCTTGTGGTGAATTCGTTCAGGTATTAAAAGAAAGCGCTAATAATGTATAAATATAAATATATATATATTTGGCTGTACGCAACACATATTCTAAAAGGTACATAATCCAAAATCCATAATCAATCCTAAACCTGAGTAAGATTAAAGTAGCCGAAATCTGGCTGGGTATCATGGCAAACTGTTTTCCGGAACAGCAGACAAATCGGCCCAATGGTCGCATCAAACCACGAGTCAAGTATAAGCCAATATGACCCTTAGGGTATGACCAAAGCCCTATCGACCTTTTTTTTTTCTTTACCCGTTATTTCTTATCTTTATATCTCTTCTTCTTTTTCTCTAGTCTATAGAATTATAATAGAATTACTCTACAGAACAGTACATTTTTTCACAGAACAAGACTTTAGACAAAAGTCCATCTTCTTATCCTTGAAGAAAAGCAACCTTTTGCTTAGGACACAAACGGAGCGGTGAGAAGAGCGGGGTGCGGAGTAGGAGCGTCCGACTTTGAACAGTGGATCGACGTCAGCTTGTGCCAGGTGCTGTGTCTAGACAAATGGACGCGGTGCCTTCTCCTTTACTTTTATTACTCTTAAGTCTCCAAACACCTCATCACATCATCACTCTAACGCCATGGGTTTAAGTTTTTCAAGATTATTTAACGATCTCTTCGGAAAGAAGGAGATGCGTATCTTGATGGTTGGTCTTGACGCCGCCGGTAAGACCACCATCTTGTACAAGCTCAAGCTTGGTGAGATTGTCACTACAATTCCCACCATTGGTAAGTCAGATGAAAACATAAGATGGAGATGTGGTCCTAGTGCTCTGGACAGTCAAAGGCAAGCGTGAACTCCTTTATCTGACATCTCTTTCTAGGTTTCAATGTCGAGACCGTTGAATACAAGAACATCGCATTCACTGTCTGGGATGTCGGAGGTCAGGACAAGATTCGTCCTCTCTGGAGACACTGTAAGTCAAGCCAACGTGAAATACAATACAGCTAAAATAATATCCTTCACCTCCTCTCCTTTTTGGTCTTCTCCCTCCCCTCTATTTCCTTTCTTTTATTTCTCCTCTTCTTTTGCTGTTTCTGTTGGTGTTAATAATATTAATACTTCCTCCAACTTCAACTCCCTTTTTTTTTCCCTTTCTCTCTCTCTCTCTCTCTCTCTCTCTCTCTCTTGGTATACTTGCACAAAACACAAATTTATTTATTTATTTTATTTACATGTAACCTATCCTATCCAGACTTCCAAAACACCCAGGGCATCATTTTCGTTGTCGATTCTAATGATCGCGACCGTGTTTCTGAGGCTCGTGATGAACTCCAGCGTATGCTGAACGAAGATGAGCTTCGTGATGCTCTTTTGCTCGTGTTCGCCAACAAACAGGATTTGCCTAACGCCATGAATGCAGCCGAGATTACCGACAAGCTCGGCCTTCACGCTTTGCGCAACCGACAGTGGTACATCCAGACCACCTGTGCAACAAGTGGCAAGTTCATAGTGTTAAATATAAAAAACAAAAACAAAATGAAAAAAAAGAGTATGAATTACAAGAGCGAATTTGCTAAGCATCTTTTCTTTTTATTTTTGTGTGTATGTGGGTAATAGGTGATGGTCTGTACGAAGGTTTGGAGTGGTTGTCAAGCAACATGAAGAAGAGATCTTAAGTACCAAGTCTTTTAAAAGATACAGTCGAGGCGTCTGTGTTTTATGGCGCATATTTCTACAATACAAAAAAAAATACAATACACAAAGAGAGAATCTTATTTCCATTCATCTTATTTAAAGCTTTTTTTTTATTATTATTTTTACAATCTTCGTGTTTTCCACCAAGCCCACACAGACTTTGATAATAGAAAAGAGAGAATACTTTATGCTGTCTATATATCAAACTCAAGATATATATATACCAGCTTTCATAGTAGCATACTTACTATGCGTAGATTTATAAAAAAAAATTATATACATACATACATACATACATACATACATGAAAGAGCTCAAATTTCAAGTGGCTTAACATGGTACAATAGACTGGCTTGAAAAGAAGCCACTGTAACAATGTGTATATTAGTGTTATGTGTGTGTATATATATGTTGGATGGTTTGGGGTATTTTTCCCATTTTTTGTATTAAGTTTAATTATTCTTCTTTTAATCACATTTAGTTCTCAAATATCATGAGAAGCCATGTGCAGTTCATGTCTTTTTTATTATTTTTTATTAAATAAAGAAGTGACCTGTTTTAGCCAAGTTTCTCTTATTCACCTTGCGCAAAACACGAGGCTCCGAACCAAATATCTTTTCACAATTAGCATTAACTTCACTTTATACTTCCCACAACACCTTCCTTTTCCCTTTCATCATAATTATTTCTTAACACCATTATGGATAGCTCAAAGGCACGTCTAATAGCCGTTGAGCTTGACACTGCTCGTTGTAAAGGCGACTGGCAGGCAATACCTGAACTAGCAAAACGTTACAAAAAGTGTCGACCCAACGAATCAGGTAAACTTGAACCCAATCCAGAAATAAAAGAAAAAAAGTATCAATTATTAAAGAATTTAATAAACTCAACAATACACTTGTTTTTTTCTAACGGTATTTTTATTATTAATAATAATAATAATAATAATAATCTTTTAAATAATTAAAAACAACAAAGTTCTTGAAACCACTGTGTGTGTAGAATCCGACTTTATAGCTATACTCCGTCAAGTACGCAATGAATATTTAATCCAACCAAAAGAAACAACCGAAAGTATTCAAGGAAACACACCTCAAAATCAAAGCACACATACACTACATGAATCTGGTTTGACCAGCAGCACAAGCTTACCGACCTCAAAATTTAAACGATCCGCCAGCTCCAAAGAACCTACCGGCCAAATATTTTCATTCGAATCGAATCGAGCCGATATTGATTATGTGAATGATAGCCCTCATCTCATCACTATTCAGCCTAGACTTACTATCAGCCAGGTTCAAAGCTGCTTGAAGCGACTGGAAACAGTAGTTCAAAGACACGCCAAAACTCGCAACTTGGAATCTCCAGACGATTGGCAAGCTCAGGTACATAAAATACTTAGTAGTAACACGTTATTTCTCTCTCTCTCTCTCTCTCTCTCTCTCTCTTTATTGTTATTACTACTACTAGGGTAATTTTTAGGATTATAATTCTTCTTGCGATCCATTGAGTGAGAAATTACTCAGTTTTTGGACATAGTGTTACGTTGCAAGAACCCAAAGAAAGAAACTCACGGACCTAAAGAAAGTCTTGTCTAAATACCTTTTTATTTTCTATATTTATTTCTTAGTTCTCAAAAATCATTGTCGCCAGAATATACTGTGAATCTGGAAGGTACACAAAGGCACTAGAGGCATTAAAGAAACTTGCCCTTCCATTAGATGATGTCAATGCTGGTTATGGATTAGTCCTTTTGGTACAAGCAAGAGTAATCAAAGGTAAGGGAAAAATCGAACATTTAATTTGATTAAAGTTAAATTCTGGTGAAGGTTGTACTCATGAAAGCTACATTTATATTGTGCAACGGGAAAAACACACACAAAAGGTTTCTGCTTTGAAATGGAAGGTGATGTTGAGGCCGCTTTGGCGTGCTACAACAGTGCCTGGGACGTAGCCAGCAAACACCTGACAGAGAAAAACGAGTCTCTATCATTTTGGGTAGAAGAATGTCTCTATCGTACCATTCTTTTGAGGCTTCGTGTAGAGTAAGTAGTGAAAATAGTCACAAACTAAATGAGTGGGCTGTGATCTGATTGTGGATGTTGAATAATGTCTTTTTATTTGGTTTTGATTTCTAGTGCCCCTATTGAAGAGATTCTATCAGCCATGCGTGGCTATGTCCAAATGGTTTCTACTCATTGGCCTGTTCATTGGCGTATTCACAAACGGTGGATTATTTTCAGGCACACGGCACGATACCTTACCCAGATATGCCAAGAGGACAATTATATTCCCGCACCTACCGAGAATTCTGTAGCCAATGATACGTATGTAATATTAGTCTGCAGAAAATTACAGCAAGCTTTATCTCACATGTAATTCTCATACTTTATAATTATGCTTATTATTTTAGTGCTTCAATAGACTCGTCTATTGAGAGCGAGCACTCAAAAGAGAAGAATAATCAATTGGCTTTCCAAGAGTTTTGTAGACTTACAAAACTTTTCAGAAACCTTTTGACATCTCTTCAGCTGTATCTTAATCCAAGAATGCTCAGTTACAGAGTATCAGAACTTGTTGATATCATCATGGAAGGTCATCGGATTATTGGGTGGGGAAGTAACAGTGACGTTCAGCGGGTTAACCAGGTAAAGGATGTTCTCACCAATGATATGAAAGCAAATGTACTGTTTGAATCTATTGTACTAACCTAACAACTATGGTGATGTTAACTTGACTAAAAAAAGTTTCTCTGTGATGTTAAAGAGATGACATTTAACAATCCTGGGGTAATGCGACACAAGTTTTTTGTTCTCATAAGACTAGGCGAATTCGAAGAAGCGCTTTATTCGTTACGATCTTATGCTGAATTAATTGGCCTCCCTGATATCGACAAGACAGATTATGATTCATCAGAGTCTGACCAGACAACAGCCATTAAAATCAGTCCTGCCGACAAAGCTGCTCTAATCCAAACCAGACTGGACGCTCTTTCTGCCGTAGAAGGCGATGTAGGATGGAATTCAGACTCCCATGCTAGTAAAGAAAACGAAATGAATGTCCTTTCAGTTTTATTAGCTGGCGCACAGCTTTATGGAAGAGAGTATAAGAGTGGAATTTTGGCAGCAACCGTCTCTGAGCTTGCCCTCACATTGTACCAAAGGGTTTCACTTGTCAGGAGTAACGACAATAATATACTAGCCCAATGTTACCTAGTTCGCGGTGTATCTCTGTGCCTTTTGGCTATCCAAAGTAAGTTTGTGTTTGTCTATTTTGCATAGTATTACGGAACACACACACAAAATATAAATATCATATTAATTTATACAATAATTACTCATCACCAAAAAAAAAACACTGTGTTTGTTTTAGGCTGTGATGAAAACACGCGTTCTGCAAACTTTACTGAATCTATTGCGTTACTTAAAGCTTCTGTGAAAGCAGCCCCATCTTCTTGGCGGGCATACTATGAGCTGTCGTTGGCACAAGCACAAACTAGAGACATCAAGGGGGCATCTATCTCAATATCCAAGTCCATCGAATTGAATCCTGAGCATCTTCCTTCGTGGCATCTACTGGCTCTGCTATGCTCTTGCAAGCAAAATAAATCTGTCTTTGAATCCCTCGAAACTATTGAAGCTGGTCTAAGAGAATGTGATATTGATATTCCTACCCTTGACATCAAGAATATAGTATTGTCGTGGTCTGGGGAAGACAAATGCAGTCGTTATTACTTCGAAACTGCTGAATCCTATCTCACCACACGCATGTCACAGATATTATTTTTGGAGACCCTGGAAGGACCAAGATCTGTACTTAAGCTCTATCCAGAGCTATTCACCATTTATTCAAAGCTGTCACAAAGTTTAGATTTAAGTAACAATGCTGTTCCTACACCAACTCTGCCCATCCCATCCAAGAAAAATAGTCTCAAGAAGGTAAAAACTGACTCTCCAAAGACCACAAGCTGTCCTTCCTCGCCAACCTCTCCTAGGCATCCAAGACTCGGCACAGACGAGCAACTTGGTCTAATTACAGCGATCTCTAAAACATCGAGCCGCCCCACATCTCCCACGTTGCCTAAATCACCAACATCACCCACATCTCTCCGCCAATCAAGAATCGGGACTGAGGATCAACTTGGACTGATCACGCCTATCCCTAGATCTACTAGCGCACGAACCCAATCTGTAACACGCAAGCGAACACAGAGTCGAAAGGCATCATTAGACTACCCAAGGGATATGTCCGAGCCACCACTTCCGACTGACATTCCGGTCCCTATGTCTCCTCTACTAAGTGAGACAGAGACCCTGAAAGCATTTACGACCAAAATGACACAAGAAATTAACGAAACCGTAGACCAGCTCTCTGAACTATCTGTCGGTCGAGGCTCATCTGATGGATTACCAAACCCCAAGCTTAAACCAAAGCAGCGTAGCTTTATGGACATCAATATCATGAAACGCATCAGCAATAGTCAAATAACACTATTACCAGCAAACTCCTCTGTTTCGGTGGCAAAAGAAGCAAAAAGAGAATCTGCAGGTAAGTTAATTCTTTAAATAAATATGGCTTAAATTTTTATCTATATATTAATTTTTTGGGCTTTTATCAAACTAGCAAACCATAAGGAATCCAGGCGGTCTGGCACGACTGTTCGTGATCTGACCACTGTTTCATTTGCCTCTGTTGTTACATCTTCTTATTTATTCGGAAGCAAAAACAGCGTTAGTAATATGCACAGTGCTTACCGCCAGGTTAGCAACACCGTAGCGCTTGATACTCGCTCCAGGTCAGCATCAGATGGTTCGACAACATTTGTTTCTCATCGACGAGAACGATGGAACATGCTTTTGATGAAACTATGGCTGATGGTCGCAAGTACTTACATGCGCGCGGGATTTATTGATGATGCGATGCGAGTTATTTCTGAAGTAGAAGATATGAATATCTCGAGCCCAATGATCTGGTATCAATTAGGTGTCCTCTGTATCAAGATAGACAGACACAATCCTCTGAGAGGATGGGATGATATTGGAATCGATTCTTTTAAAAAGGCGCTCAATCTTGATCCAGAACATGTCGAAACACAGGTTGCATTGGCCAATGTATACCTTGACAAACAAGAGCCTGAACTTGCAGAATTTCTCTTGCTTAAAACTACATCTGGAACCGGTTGGGACTCTGCCGAAGCATGGTAAGCAAATGAGTCGCTCTAAGACTATCTTTATTATTCGATTTAGTTAATAAACTCCTTTAACAATGATTGTATATAATTTTTTTTTATTTACTAGGTATATGCTAGGCACAATATATCAGAAACAAGAGAAAATTGAGCAAGCAAAATGTTGCCTTTTTTATGCTCTTGAGCTTAATGAGACCACACCATTATGTCCATTTTCACAGCTTCCGTGCTTTGTTTAACTCGATTCATTTGTTGTGTTTCTTTTTATTATAGAGCTTTTCATTTGTGTATTGTATTCTATTTCTCTCTAATATATTATTAACACCAAATTTAATTTATTTATTTATTTTTGTAATCATATTATTTCAAATGATCCAACATGGTACCCCTACACATGTAAACTTTGTTTCCTTCAAGTAAAAATTTTAGTAAAATTTGCGCAACTTATAGTGTACTTGTGCTTTTAACAACCAATGACTAATGAGTGGCTTGCAGTACAAATAATTACACGATCGCCGTTTATGGAGCGAAGTGTCAATAATCTTTCATTGAGTTGATATACAAAGAGAGGAAAAAAAACTTAAGCTACATTGTTAAAGTCATTTCCTTTATGAATACAAGTCTCAAAACACTTATGAAAAAAAAAGAGAGCTTAAAGCAAAAATTATATTGTTTTGATTTTTTGAAAACCATTTTTATTATAAAAACAAATATTGACATGGGTATAAAACTAGTAGGCTAAACATGTGTTGCTTTATCGCTGTTAACGATTAACGACATTCTAACTATCTCACCTACTAGTGAAATTTCACTTTTTTAAAAAGTAAAAGATCTATACAAAAGAAAATTGTGATAAGTTTCGTTGTATATAAATAAATACATCAAGACAATATGATATATTGAATATTTAAATGATCGCAATATTTTCAAGAGAAAGTATCAGATAGGAGCGAAAGAATTTTGAAGTCAACACTCAGAGGGTAGTAAGTCCCCTGTCAGTTGAACTATGCCATGCTAAAGCTTTATCATCACTTGTATTCTCACACGCATACTTATGTAGTGCGATCAAATAATTGTATAAAAAAATCGATAATTACCTTTAAAGAACTTTTGTCTGCGTTGATCACAGCTAAGCACAAAGATATGTAGAACCCTGAAGGGGAAAAAACATATTGGTTTTTTTCGGAATATAACCAGCAAGACATTCATTCGCGTGTAAAGAGAAAAAGGGAGAGAGGGATAAAGAACGAGGAAGACTTCCTTACACTTGTAAAGAACAAGTGAATCAAGAAGATTTCAACGAACCATCAGTAAAGGTACAAAGTGAAGAATAAACAATTTTTTGCAAGAGTAGCAAAAAATTCTTTCTTTTATACACCTTTTAGCGGAGTGCATCTTTAGGTAATAAACAGTAGTCACTTAATTTTTTTTATTTTATTTTTTAGCCCTGCTGGGAACCTTGGACTGTTTTCTAAAAAAAAAGCAGTCAACTAATTTTTTTTTGGAATTTTTTTTTTAATTTTTGAAAATGCATTGTATTACATAGTGTCTATATCACTATAGGAAGAAGAAGAAAATATGATGGGCGAGAACTGTGATATTGAAAAATAAATAAAGTATTATCTAGTATAACTTATAAGCGTGCCTTTATCTTTGAGCAATATATGTACTTTATTTTATTTTGGCAAATATCCAATAATTGTAGCAGCTGTGAGGCAGCCAATGGATCCAATAATAATACAAGTAAACAATATAGTAGCCACCACCTTATTGGTAAAATCGAGTACAACGCCAATAATAATACCAAAAATAAAAAGCATAGGGCTAATAATCCAGGATATTACAAGCCATTCTGTTGTGCTGTGAATAGTATAGTCTGCCCACACGCCAATTAACAAGAAGGCTATTGTTCCTGTAAGTGTAGAATATATGACCACTTCTTCATTATCTTCCAGATCTTCATTCTTATCACCAAAGTCTTTTAGCTCCTTTTCGGTCAATACAAGGCTGTCGTACTTGAGTAATATTTTTTCATCATCCTCGTCCTTGATACTAAAGGTCATCGTTTGTTTGTGTAGCACAAGAAGCGAAAATGTCTGAAGAATAGACATTGTAGTAAATATAATAATGATAACCTTGGCCCATCTGTCTCCATCTATATCCATACACTCTATTGTCGTAAAAAATAACTGTCCCACAGTAACAAATATTGCAATGAAAGAAGTGTCGTCCATATTATGGGCTGGCTCCAGTTGAGCTATCATACTGTCTGTCATGTATCGGAAGACCTTTGGCAATATCTCTGCTTGATTCTCACAAACAGCACCTGGGCCAGCCACGGATATCTCTTCAGCCACACAGCTGGATACCATGCGTACAGTTGTTTTGGCTTTGTTGAACCCAACAGTTACTGACCGATTTAGGATACAACTTTTAGTCTTTTTTGCTTTGTCGGGACCAAGTACATGCAAAAATGCGGCTAGATATGGTGCGTTGTCGTGGTCTTTAATCTCAATACCTGCTGCCTTTGCATCTTTGATTAGTCGATCTCTTAACTGTGAAGCATTTGAATAAATATCGGATGGTCCAAGTGTCTTGGCGTCATATTCTATATCTTTCTTGTGTTCTGGCATGGATTCACTAGTCACAAGTGACGACGACAATGCTGTTGTATTCGTCGAATCAAGAGAATCAAGAGAATCACTGCCTTTATCTTTTGTCTTTTTATCTTTAGATTCTTCTTCTTCTTCTTTGTATTGCTTTAAAAAAGGCTCGAATTGGGCTATTCCAAGTATTTTATCCGCCCGCAATGCCTTGTAAATAGACTCTACAGCTGTACCGATTCCACTAGAAGGGTATATAAGGGCAGAAATACGTCGCAAAACAGTAGGAAAATCAGTGACACCTGTTCTAGGACGAATGGTTAAAATGTGTGTCATGTATCCGAGTAGGACAGTTCGCAGAATCGAAACCACTGGAAGCTTGCTAGTGAACGTGTTTTCGTCTTGTTGGATCGGTGAGGCATAACTTTTAGGTATAAAGGCTAGCAACAGAATACATGGAATGAAATATAATCTTTGTATAATCATTTCACAAAAGCAAGTGGTTACAGAAGATATGTAACAAGAATCTCTTTGATAATCTTATAAGAAAAAAAGCATTAAACTTCAAAAAACAACAGAAAAGGCTATATTTTATTTCTAGGGGCTTAACATAAGGTTTAAAGGCTTGAAATCTGAATAGAGATAACCTTTATAGATATTAGAGTAGATGTGTACTATTTTTTTTGATAGATAAAAGTAATTCAAATCTATCTATATGATGGTACGACTTATGGTATTTTGTGTTTTTTTTTTGTATTGGAACATACAAATATTTGAATACAAAAACCTGCAGCATACAACTTGGCTATTAGGCTTAACGTACATACATACAGAGCCATGTGCTCACATACACAATCAGATATTTTACTACTTTATCGAAGTAGTAGTCACATTTTTTTTGCTTGAAAGAGCAACAAATTGACAGAGTTACTAATGAAGAAACAGTGAGAAAAAACTGATAATTAGTAATTATATATATATATACTATATTGGCTAAGCTAAAAGCCTTATTATTGATACACAAGGTTTCTGAATTTCACAGACGGACCCAACTGGTGTATTAATGGACATGGGAGGAGTAATTACTTTAAGATACTTTGAAAGTAAATAGCCACTTTTACTAAGTTTATGGAATTATTTAAATAACCAAATGACAAGATTAAGAAAATGGTGCTGAAAGCAATGTATTAAAAGCTAATTCTCACAATCTATAACAAAAAAAGTCATAGAGCTGTACTTTATAAAAGTTGCATCGCACAACGCAATACTTTATTAAATTCTGGGTCGATGATAAAGGGGTTTATACCATTCAACAAAAGCAAATACATCTTGTGGGTTCAAGTGGCTGAGAAAATCGGTGGCTGTGGGATGTGAAGATAAATCGTGGAAAAAAAAGGTAATTAATACGGCCAGCGTATGTTCCCCTAGGATTCCCATCTTTTGTAGCAAATCTTGCCATTATATGTGTGCCTCTTGTCACCGAACCTTCACTTCCAGCATATTTCTGTCCGAAAAGATTTATAGATTGAATCTTCCGGATTCTGTCATTTACAAAGTTTGGATTTTTGATGACTCTTTTGGCGCTACAAAGTGGGGCACCTTTGTACTAAATCCTGTAATACTTCAAGAGGCACTCATATTCACCAATTTTCATAGTGAGTGGCTCTTTGAGATTGAGTGGATATGCGCTTTGTGGGAGTGATTCATTTCCAAGTGTTTGCTTGTTTGGATTGAAACCAGATTCGACGAAAGAAGTTAAGCGAAATATCGAGAGCGGACTGAGGACTGATGTATTTTTGATACCAGTTATACTGTCAGAAAGTTTGTTGAAGATTGTAAGGTGATGTAGGTTGGCGATAGTGTGGAGGTTGGTTCTGTGAAAGTCACTTTTGGAAGCATTCTCAATGAATTTATCCATATATGTTTTTTTGAATCCATTTTTTCTGTTGGTGTTAAAACCTTTGATGAGGCCATTGTATTGTTCGAAGCTGAAAAGCCAGAATCCGTATACAGGTCCAAAGTCCTCAATAGTTTCTTTTAAATGCAAGTGCAGATGCATATTTGGTGAAAGAACATCAGAATCATATAGATCTTCACATCCGATACAGAACTTTTTGAGACTTTGGTGGGCATTTTCAATCTCGTTCTTGGTGATAGATGGCTTTGTAAGTAATTGGCAGGCATCAACAAAATGTATCCAATTGACATATAATTCATCAGGCAAGTGCTTCTTTAACGCCGCAGGAGGATAAACTAAACACCATGATTTCCATCCATCCGCCTTCATGAACGGAAATCCTTTCCCAATTTTGCTTGTTATTGTCGTGTATACTCTTGGAAGTGTCAACTTGTTTGCTTCATTCTGCATCTCTACAAGGTCGGCGTCAGTGAGAATCTTACTAAGGATCCGTTTATCAACCATTCTTTTTGCAGTTCCCAAGAAATGGTTGTGCATTGGATCAATTATAGTTGATCGTACTGGTTCAAAGTAGGAAAGTCGATGCAACTCTGACCAACGAACGCCATTCGCAAGCTCCAATATTTTTTGTGCGGCTGCACTCTTAGCATTTTTCCACATGTTGGCGTGCTCCAGGTTCTCTGCCTTTGTTCGGCCTACTCATTCTGAAAACTTAAATCCAGAGTAGTCAACAATACTAGTGCCTTCAAAACGGTAAAAGTGGCGATTACACCTATGGCAGGCATTGGTACTATTGTGGGAGGTAAATCCGCACGTTTTTCTTGCAGCCGGAATGTCGCATACGACCACCAGGAGAGAAGCACGGACCAGCGCGCCAGGACAGCTATGTGTATCAATGCTGATACCTTCGTACAAATCCACAAGCTCGTCAACAAGAGGACGCAGATAGTTATTTATCTCGTTTGTGCTAGCTTCTTTCGGTCCAGGCATCAAACCCATGAGAGCCACATTCTCAACCTTGTATCGTTCTTCTCTTGGGAGGTTGTTGATCGTCAGGTAAATTGATTCACAAGAATAAGTTACCCCATCGAAGGGTTGGAACCAGTCGATGTTAAGGGTCAAAGGCAATGGCCGTTCCTTAGCAACAAATTGCGCACCTTCACTATCCACAAACTCCTTCCACATCTTGCCGTCGTATACATCAAACATTGTATTTTCTACCTTGGGTACACGATTCCACTGGTTGATCATTGCTTCGAAATTTGGGCGCATAATTTTTTTCAAGGATTTCTTTAGGGAATTGTATACATATACGCGTTTTGGTGTCAGTCTGTTGTTTTTGTGACATTGTACAAGGAATCTCCGAATTTGTTGTTGTTTTCAAATTTCTTAAACTCGCAAGAAACAGTTACTTCGATCGTATTCTTGTATATACTATGACAGTCTCCGCATGCCACATATCTGACCGCTTGCCAAATCACTAAATCCTGCCATGTTTTTAAGAGCAGGAATACTGATAGGATGTCTGAAATGTTCTTCGTAGTGCTCAGAGACAATATTGAAGAAAGGGATCAAGATAATAGCGTCTTTATCCACAACATATCTAGAATTGAACATCACAAGATGGTATGGTATCAACCGGTCCCATGGGGTTTTTAAGAAATATTGTCGATGTATCTATAAGTTGTTATAATTTAATATTGGTATCTTTCAGATTTAGAGTACCTACGTTTTGTTTTTTACTTCTTTTTCCTGAGCTTACTTCCGCTCAATGTCATCTCTTTCATCTTATGCTCCAATGTTTGTGGAATCGTCTTGACAATTTCCTCTTAATCCAAAAACAGGGTCTTTTTTCCCGAAATAAGTAAGAATATCTTTGGATTATAAGTTGGTACAGGTACACTAGTGAGGGTATTGTCAGCTACGGTAACAAAGTTTAATTTACGTGCATATTGCATTCAAAAATAAAATAAAAAGTAAAAAGAAAATTACATTTAGTATATTCTTTAGTCTGATGCACTTGCATCAGAGTTGACAATATATGACCGGGATGGTAAACCTATTTAATCTTTGTTTTATATTAATACTATTGCTTTTTTTTTCTCCAGACACTTCATTTACTCTTACATCTTTTGGTAATGCTGATAACTCTATTATTCTTGGCATGTCGCTGGGCAGTTCTTCTTATTGTCATTTCATAAACTAAAGAACCATGGCTGCATCTCGAGCATCTACACCCATGATTATAAAAAGCATAGGGGAACATATTTTTGTATTTTTTTTGTGCGATAAGAAAAAAAGGGGGAGGGGGTACATAATGAATGAAGTATAATATTAAATTATTGTATCACTTAAACATTTATTATTATAGTATCGAACTGCAAAGTATTCTTAAGCCAGTATTAAAGTCTCAATTATTACATATAGTTATCTATTCAAGTATAAAAAAAACAAATAAAAAAACCCTTAAGCAAAAGTTTAAATCGAGTAAGATCTAAGCTGAAAGTAAAGTGGAAAGAACCCTACACTTTAAAAATTAGCTTTCCACTGATAAACTCAATGCGTTTTACAAAGTTATTTAATATGTCAAAGAACTTTTTCGTTTTCAAGGTGTTTGTATATATATATATATATATATATATATATGCGTATGTGTGTGGTATATACATGTGTATTTTGCTATTTTACAAGGGTTTACAGTTTTCTAGGACTTATCTATTAAAAAGGTACTATAGTAAGAATCCTTTTCTAGTTTCATGGTGTTCCAACAACATTCAATTGTAACCAAGTTGATTTGCGTCTATGTGTATGGACAAGTAAATCATAGTCTCACAAGTGGCGCGATAAGCTGCAGTGATAGAATGCATCTTCGATTTGACTTGAACTATTTTGGTCTGGTAATAGTTCAATAATACCTGCATTCTTTAATATTGACACAACTCTTTTAAATGAATGGCGCCGCTCATCTCGAGGAGGGAAACGCTAATCAATTTACCCGAAAAGAAGAGACGTTAATTAATAAATGCTATATAAATAAAAATGAACTTTATTTACCTCTAATAAAATTTCTGACAGCATTCTTGGATCCCTGTCTTGCTCATGTTTTCTCTTAAGCATAGTTTCCAATACGCGCACAACGGTAACTGCCATTGCACTTTCAGGCATCAGGAGCTTGCATTTTATAATAAACTTCTCAAGCATGTGCTTTTCATGAGTCTCACAATTTGGGATTATAACCGAGTTAATCTGAATATAATCAAATCAAATCAAATCAAATCAAATCAATATAGTGTATTGGAGGAAAAACCGACTCCCGATATGTGTATACATACCATATCCTGGTCTTTTTCAACTGACTGTAGATACACTGTCTTTTGGTGCTTGAATGTGTCTATAATTGTAGCAGATGCTTAAAGAGAGGTAAAGAATTTGAATAAGAGTAATCAGAGTAATCATGATATTTACACACAACACAAAACAAAACAAATCAAATATTGTAAATAATAAAGCGTGGATTTACCTTTGAAAGATGGATCTGATACCTTGTTTAATAAATTTAAAATATTTTCAAGACTTCTTTGGTAGTGTTCCAGACACTGATCTACAGCCAAGGCATACGCAGTTTAATACTTGTTAAATATAATATGATATACTAAGATAAAATAAAGGATCCTGACCTTCTTGAACAATCCATTTTTCATCATCATATCGTTCCATATTATTCATTTTAGTTTGACTTGCCACAATATCGTGCGATTGAGCTTCATTACTCTTCTGGCGTTCTTTTATCAGCCTGAGTTTGCTTTGCTTTGCCTTTTCTTTCAACTTTTGTAATTCATTTTGTAATCTTTGTTGTTCCATGCCCAAATTCTTTAAGCTTGTTGCATTATCAGCATTCTGGAAGAGACAAATATAAAGAGACAAGGCCCATTCTTGAGTGCCATTAATATATATATAATCTTACTACAGCCCTACCTTTACGGTCTCAGATAACCTCTTTGTGTCTTTTATGTCTTGTTCAATATTTTGTAACGCACGTTGCTGTCATACACACACACACATAAGCTAATGCATCAAAATAATAAGAGTTACTTAAGCTAATTTTCAAACTTACCTTTTCCAAAGCGTCAATATCCATTTGCTCCATCGAAGTCATCAATTTAGCCTTCTTGGCTTGTAGTTGTTTCGATTCTTTTGTAACCTCTAACATTCTACGCTTCTTTTCAACTTTGCTTTTCTGCACACCATTTTGGGTTAACTGTGATTTGTTGTATTTTGATCGTTCCTCAGATATACTCTTGATCTTGTCATCTTGGAGGTTAACCTTTAGTAGATAGATAGATATAGACATAATTGAATTAAACAACCTTGATATATATATAACAGCATCACTAATTATATATTAAGTCATTACTTGTCGCTGTAAATTCTTTTTATTGGTAACGGTCTTATCCAAGCGTATTTCTATATGATCCACGAGTGCTTTCAGTTGTGGAAGCATGTCACTTGCAATGGAACTTTGCGACATTTGAATATCTGCCTCGGTGATAAGCTCATGTGTCTGAGAAAATAAGTTCAATTATGTGAGCAACTTACAAAACTAATAGTTTCTTTCTTTTTCTTTTTCCTTTCTTTACTCTTTTGAATTCGGTATTTTTTAGTATTCTGTCAAAGCCTTTTAAGGACGATTTTAAGAGATTTGTTGAGATTGATAGCTACCATTTTCATGTAAAATTAAACACACGCATATATATATATGTAATATTTGTGATGCTTGATTAGTTTTTATTGATTTAAGAAAGAAATTAAAAGGTATGACATTTACTGAATTTGTAATTGATCTCATAGATGTAGCAGAGCTTTCTAGGTTTTCGAGCATACTCATTGAATTGTGCCTTTTGTCCTGCATTTTCAACTGATCATTTGTTTTAGGTAATCTCTGAGAGTTAGACATTATAAAGTGCAAAAAACTATTTCGTGTTATTTTGGTAACAAAATTCATTTACCGTCGTCCAAAAGAAACTATAAGTTTATCTACTACAAAATACAGGCAGGCACATTTTTCCCGAACCTGAAAGAATTCGGCAGGTCCGGCACAAACTGTATTTCTATTGTTATTCATATTTCTCTGCTTAATTCATCTTTTTTGATGCATTTAGTGCATTCCATCTTTGCACCAAATCAGTTTTTACTTTTGAACCAAATCAATTTTTATTGGTGCGTCAAATTTATTTTTATTTTTGCAACCAATAATTTCCGGAAAAAGTGTATAGAAAGTGAAGTTCATTTTAATAAAGCACGTGACAGAAGAAAATTAAAAGAAAAATTGAAACACTTCCCCATATAAAAAGGTAAGTCACGGTACTCAGGGTCACTAATATTTGGTGTGGACAGACTAAAAGTGCAAAAAAGGGGCAAAACGAGCTCATCTTGAACTTGGGCAATCAGACTAATTTATGACTGACCACACCTTTAAAATAGTTAAAAATTAGTGGAAGTACATTTAGATAAAATTGTGCTTATAATGCCTTCCCTGTCTTTAAGTAAAACCCTATTTTTGCGAGTTATTCTAGATCTCGCACTCTATGAAACATTGTTTCTATAAAAAATGCCCTTTTTCTCAATCCCAATGGCAATTGAAGAATGCTACCAATCAGAGTCATATAAAAATTTGATTTTTTTTACCCTTTTTTAACTTGAAATTATCACAACTCGACACCTTTATTACACGTACTCCCTTAATAGACAACTTCTTCAAAAAGCCAAATGGCATTTATAGGGCTCATATTCATCTAATACTCATCCAGTACTCGGCTTGAGAAGCAATTTATCAATTGATTGCAACTTTTGATTACGTCAACCCCGTGAGCACTACGTCTTGGATGTTTACCTATTTGTTTTCTTTTTTTACCCTAAAGTATTTTAGCAGCCCACATATACATTGAGCTGGTAAGATTAGCTGTGTAAATATAGAACGAATCCACATTGTGAATAAATATATAATAATTGAAATACATAGTACAAACAAACGTCATATTCGCAAGTTTGAGAAAGAATAATCGAATGCGTCGAAAAAAACGCCGTAAGAAACTTTTTACCAAGGAGCGAACACATTGCCACCATCCTTTCTACAAAGTAATACCAAACGAACCTTATCCGAAAGCTTTTCAGAAGAAAGTTTCAACAAAAGAAATCGTGTAGAAGGGCCGGTGAAAGACTTGGAGGAATGCTTCTTTACTTCCATGAGAGACCGCGTAGAATAACTTGTCAAGCAAACTAAAACTCAAGATAAAACAAATGAACTGAAAAACAAGCTCCTAAATGTAAAGACTCTACCGGCAGCAATAATAATGAACGCAGCACAACTTGCCAAGTGTGACAGAAAACTAATGCGCTCGCATATGGAGCACCGCCCTGGGCTAAAAAATGTTGAAGAATGGAAGAAGTTCGTATCTCAAAACTTCGACAAAATAGCTGAGGCTGTCGTAGGTTCGGTCGTAAAAGACACAGCTAAAGTATACTCTTCTTCCACTCCAACAAATAAACAGCCGTATGAAAAAATGAGAACGTGCACGGTCCAGATAAACAGCCTCTTCAGATCGGATCTCCCCCCTATTGTAAAGACATTCGTGTGTACTAGATTACAAGATTTGATGGTTACCTCGACAGATTATACCCTTTGCTTTTCGGCACTCGTGAATATGATGATAAGTGAGCTGAGGACTAGCGAATTCTTCTTTGACAACAATGATATCAATATTAAGAAAGTTCCTGGATTCAACCTCGCCGAATTGCTGTCTTTTGTTACAACTAATGGGCCAAAACAGATCATCCAGCCATTGGACAAGGATTTAATTGCCTCTAAACGATTTGATACGGACTTCAAGTGTCTCTTCACAAGCCAACATCTGCAAGTTGTGCATAGTTATTTTTTTGGTGCCCGTGGTGCTAAAGAAGAAAATTTAAACTCCCACCCTGTGCAGAATAGTCTGTTTTGTTCTTTCAAAGAATCCGGCCTTGATAAACAGAGCTTATGTCTTGAGAAAGCATCATCGTCGGCAATGTCGATGGCTCTTGAAACGTACCTGGTCAACTTTGAGAATATGTGGGACGGAAAAAAAGATAGTTAACAAGCTTTTGGACAAAGTGATACTAGTGATACTTCGCCACCATATTGCCCGCAATAGAGCGTCAAAGCGTATCTCGACCACAGAAACAAGGAAATCACCTGGAAAGAAGGATATGAACACCCATGCGCGTTATGTTTGTCGTGCAGAGGATAAAAAGCTGAAAAAATTGATACAAAGATAGGAAAACCTCGACGGATCAGAAGGAGAGAAGTGGTCCACTAAGATAAATAGTGCGAAGCAGCGTCTAGCAAATTTAAGGCATATTTTTAAAATATAAAGTGGAAAAGTTCTTTACTGGCTTGAAATCTCCAACTAATGCTTCATTTTACTATAGAAGATAAGCCAAATGTTGGATGATAGAAAGAAAGCTTCTGCGGAACACAAGCTCGTTGTTCAGGATTTGAACAGTGCGAAAGAACAGCAAGTTTTTTTGGAAGAGGAGGGGACTTTGGATGATGATGTTACGGAAAGGGGGTTGAATAAACTCAAGCCCATAACCAAACTCTTGGCTTTCATCAATTATACGCCCGTATATTTAGAAGACATCAAACATCAGTCTCCTGAGGCATCCACAGTTAAACAGTCAGTATGCTCGTTAATCTGCAATACTTTGAAGAAGTTCTTACCTCCGAAAAAACATTATCACGTAATTGCGTATCAGCTCTATTTCTGTATCTTCGCAAACAACGTTCTTAAATATGCACGTCATACAAAGTTTACTCCCGAATCATGTCCTTCAACATCATTTTCGTCATCGAGTGCCCTACACCTGGATTCAGTTGCATTATATCAGTTATTGACCTAGAATCTAGATCAAGAAAAACATGAAGAACCACCATCAAATACCAACAAGCAAGAAAAGAAAGGGTATAATAGGGATGAGCTGATAGGGTCTCAATACAAAGCGCGCCAAAACAAAGATGCCACATTTAACGCAGTATTTGATATGGAAGAGATTCAGAAAGCATGTGAATCGTATGGTCTATCTTTTGCACATCGGATGACATGTCTACCAGGAATAAAAACAGTACGATTATTGGGATCGAAAATAAAAACCCGTGGCACCGTAAAAGAGGGGACAAAACAGTTATATGAAGCACGGATTTTAAGAAACCCAGGCATTATACAAGAAGGACGAAAAACAAAGGATGTTCTTTTTCCTGAGCTTCAAAGCTTAACAGAAGAAGTCAAGACACTTGAATCTGTCCGTAAAAGAGAGCTAGAGTTGTTAAAAGACAGCAACTACCAAAATAAAATCAAGGAATGTAAATCAAATGGGGGGGGGGGCAACAGATGACAAGGATCAGTTATACCAGACGATTGAAAAATATAAAGAATCGAGATATAAATCTTATTTGACGGTTAATAAGATCAGAAACGAACTCGCCGAAAATAAGACAGCAGATCTATTTCCAACATATGGCAATTTGTTTCAAATCAAAGCTCCATAATGTTAAAGATGTCCCTCAAGATAGCAGAACCCCAATTGAAAAATGCGGCAAAGGTGGGGCTAAGGTGGAGGACTGAACTGTTGTGAATCCTGATGACTTTAACTATGCGGATACTAACAATGGCCTGGTTAATATGACAGCATCGATACCGATTTTGTTACAAAAAATGAAATTTCATCTAAAGCTTTTCAACTATTACACCGCGTTAAGCAAGGGTTCTAATGAAGACAGTGTCAGCTTAAACGTATCTAAAGAACAAGAATCATTCTTGCATTTTCCATCGGTTACGAATACAAAAGCTAGTGATGTTGATGTTGGCTGTGGGTATTTTCAGCAGTGAGAATATTTAGAAAGTCGAAAGAAGTATACAGATGAAGGGGAAAAGGTCCAGTTAATAGAAGATTCAATAAGAGAAATGGAGTCGACCCCAATCACTTCTATTGACATGACCATCAAAAACGTTCATGATAAATGCAAACAACGACGAAGGCTGCGGAATTTCTATAATTCTCCAAAAATCATCAACCAAAAAAGACATGTAGAAATCCAACATCGTTATCGGCATCACCTCTGTCGGCGAGAGAGAGATTGAAATTGAAGCATTCAGAGAGTAATAATTTGTTACCAACATTAGTATTGTATTCGATTTTTATTAGCGCGCATTTTTTTTGGCTCAACAGATAAGTCGTATTCTAAAAAGCCCTTGATATTCTTCATTGGTTATCGGGAGACCGGTACCGGTTCTCGAATTAACGGCTTTAGAAAGTATGGTAGTAAGTAGAAGCAGAAAGTACACGGGGAGGCAGCCAATGTCTGCTTCACAAATGAGTGCAAGACCTCCCAAACGTGTATATTCTGCTTTTCGCTTTTAGCCAGCTTGAGGATTCCTGGCAAGAAGGAAGGAAGTTACAGTCAACAAAGGTACCTTTTTTTGTATCAATCCTCGGTGTGTAACTGTCAAAAATCGATGTGTAAGTAAGCCGAGAGATGCACTTTCAGCTCTTGCCATTGAATTGGTAGGCTTAAGCTCGGTTATGTCTAGTACCGCGCCCCCTCCTTTTCACAGCGTCAGTCAGATAACTGCTGAGCATTATACAACAATAACATTTGACTTATGTATACGAATAGACGATTTGGCGGCTATTTTGTAGCTCTAGAGGTAAGTATCATTGTATAGTACCAATGCCTGTATAAATATTTAATTTATTAATTATTATTATTATTATTATTACTATTTCTTTATATAAGATAAAAGCGGCTGCCCATTTTTTGTAGGAAATAAAGGCACTCCAAAAGAAATGTGACAACGCGCTTAAGCTCTCTCTCTCTCTCTCTCTCTCTCTCTCTCTCTCTATTTCTCTTCCTACACACATTTAACGTTGTCTGAAAGTGAATTTTGATTTTAATGTAACTTACCCTACATTTTTTCAACTTATGCAGACAGGGCTCCTCGTTAGAAGTAAGACAGGTTGATATTGTTTCCTTGGTATATCATAGAAAATGTTTCTCGACAATGCTTTAATATAATATAAAAAACAAATTAAAATAAAAGTGATGGTCTCTGGTTCTTATACTTGTACTTGTACTTACATATACGTCTATATATGCGTATCTTACAAAAAGGGATTCATAAAGGGGGAGGGGAAAAGATTGCAGAGCTCACATAGATATGCTAGTAAAAGACTAAAAACACATAGGAGTAAATGCTGTGCTCGTATAGTCACGCGTCACAATCAAATTGGATGTGTAAATAGGGTCTATTTGTAAGGTAGGAGATCATGCAATTTGATATACTTTATTTCTGTGAAATATTTAAATAAATGTCGTTTGGAACTGACTTGAAGGCATGTTTCTTTTTATGCTTAAGATACATAAGCCATAAATAATAACATTAGAATCATAATAGAATCATGCTCCTGCAATAATTGAACATGTAGGAGATGGCATTCAATCTTTAAACCAAATGCGCAACTTTGCCAGAGACAGGAGTCACATTGAGCGAGAATATGCACAGAAACTGGAGAGCTTAGCTAAAAAGTATAAGCAAAACTCAAGATCACGTAGTAACGATTTGGCGACAAACGATAATGACTGGAATGATTCACCAAGGTAGATATTCAGTCAAGTGCTTTACTCAGGATGACACTATTCATCCCTGCCCCTTTCTTCCTTCATTCCTTTATATATATTTAAACTTTAAACAGCACTTGTCTTGCAACCTGGAATACTCTTATAGCACAAACAGAACAAGTTTCAAAGGCTCGCTTTCAACTTGTTGATGATATCAACAATAAAGTAATCGAGTCTATAAAAGCTATTATTTCTCGTAAAGAAGATGCCCGAAAGAAGGCAAGTTCGAGGCTTTTGGGGTCTATTGCCAAGAGTTTTCCTATTCTTTTTGCACAAAGAAGGTTACGGAGTCTAAATTTTATTGTATTATACTATTGCTAGCATATTGCCTTTTATCAGAGACTTAAATCCGATAGAGAAAAATCATACACTGAAAAAGATAAGGCGAAGCAAGCCTATGATGATTCTTGTGCTGAAATAGAGATTATTAAGGCTAAGATAGACAAAGGTACTGGAGACCAAGATAAGGTATGTTGGGCGCATTTAAGATTGCAAAAGGTAGAAAAAAGAAACCCTTGATCTTTAATATAGTCGTTTATTTTATTTTTCTCAAAGTACCAAAAACAGCTTGATATTGCCATGTCAGAATGTGGAAATCGCAAGGTATTGTGTTTTTATTCTTGGTAATATTCTCTACATTTAGTTTGACGTTTAATACAATAATTTTATAGAACCTTTATATCCTTGCTCTTGGAGTAGCAAACGCAGAAAGAGCAAAGTATTTTGAAGAGGATATGCCAAAGCTGGCCGATGTAAGTTTAATTTAACTGGAAAGCATTTGTGAAAAAAAAAATTCAATTAATATACTGATTGATATTTATTATTTCACTTTTCTACAGTATCTGGAGAAATTGAACGATTCTCGAATTTTGGCATTGCAAGATATATTCATAAGATACATTGATTGCGAAGTGCAAGCATTGTCTACATCCTTAGATCACCATAATATTACCCTGTCATCGGCAAAAAAGATAGATCCCGCAGTTGATTCCAGTGCATTTATAAGAAGTGCTATCGGGACAGGAGATCCTGGGGAAACTGCAGCAAACGTGAGATTTTCCTACATTCCTTGGAACGGTGGTGTCAATGCTGCCGAGGCTATTGTAGACAGGGTAAGTTTCGGCTGTTGTATTGTTTTGCGTATAGGTAGAAATAAAGATATATATATATATATATATATATCTGACGACTCTGCTTGATTAGGATTCCAATCTTACTACAAATGAATCCGACATAATATTCCTTAACAACAGACTTATTAAGGATAAGAAGCAGCTCGACACAATAACTAATGAGCTTTCGCGATATTCATCCGAGGCAGACGAGCTTAAATATAGAGTAGACGCTATCCAGAGTAAAGGATCTTTGGAATATGATAAGGCTATGGAGGTAAGCTACATAGAGATACGTAATTAACCTCACAAATAGTAAGTTGAGTATATTGTTGATAGCTCTTGATGGAATCTCTTCGAAATATCACTCTCCAAACTACTCAAATGGTTAAGGTGAAAAGCGAAATAGAGGTTATAGTACAGAACATTGGAGGTCAGGATTATAATTTGTATCTGTACATTGAATAAATTTATCACACCAATACTAATAATAAAATTTAGACGAAGGGTTAAAAACCACCGGACATGATTTTAAGCCCTGTTCATTCACAATTCCTACAACGTGTGATCTTTGTAGCAATACTATATGGGGACTTTCCAAACAAGGATTTACATGCAGAGGTACCTGGGCTTGTAACAATAGTCCTTATTTTTCTCTTTTCTTAAATAGTGGCTAATATCAATTTTAATTTTCCATTTTTCTTTGGTTTATTTTATAGCATGTGGCTTTAACTGTCATGCAAAATGCGAAATGAAAATTACCCCAAACTGCTCGCTTGTGCGTGGAAAAATAGACCGCCAACAGTCTTTTGCAAAAAGTCAGCCGTTTCTCTCTCAAGGAAAACAGCAATCGAAAGAGAAAACCCGGAATCTGTCCTTTGGTAGCTCAATGGGTATCACTCCAGCCAATATCTCATCAAATACAAACCCTATACTACAAGTTAATGATCCTGCTAGTCTGCCTACAGTGCGTGCTCTGTATTCTTATCATTCACAGTCGCCTGATGAACTGAGTATAGTTGAAGGCGACTCTCTTAGTATCGTTGGATCTAAAGGTATTTAAAAATTACGTCAAGAAGTATCAGTTTTACGTGTCGTAGGATTATATAATAAGTCTAATTTTTAATATAGATGACACTGGATGGATTAAAGTATGTATACTTCATGCGCGCACACATACATATTTATGTATCTAAAGTGTGGCAAAAAAGCTAACTATGCTTTAAAAGGTCGCAAAGAATGGACAGACTGGACTTGTTCCTGCAAATTATATCGATCTTGAAGCATTTGAGCAGCAGACATTGGACACGATACCAGGCCATACATCTAATCAACCTTCATTTGATGTTGACCCGATCGAAGATCAGACCAATCAAACTTATGTGATTGATGTTGTAGTGGCTCTTTACGACTTTACAGGAGTTGGCGATGATGAATTGAACTTGAGACAAGGGGACAGAATTGAGGTCACAAAGAAAGAAGAAAACGGCTGGTGGGAAGGTAATATAATATACAACATCAACATATTAGACCCTAATATAACTGTTTGTCTATTTACCTTTTATTTCTTTCTTTTTAGGTGTACTAAACCAAAAGGTTGGAATTTTCCCAGCAAATTATGTCCGTCCTAGCGAATAAATAATACAGAAATTGAGAAGACTGTATATATCATATTTAGACAAAGGTTAAGGTTTTTAGAAAGAACAAAAGCAAAATATGTTCCCAAACCACATTACAAATTAAATGATATGTGAAGTATTCAAGTAAAGAAAAAATAGTATATCGATCATGACACAACAAGTCTTTCTTTTAGCATCTTTAACTTAGGTGTCTTAGATATTCGAAAGGTCATTAAACTTATGCTCTGCCAAATCATTGCTGGGGTTTATGACAGTAATAATTCTATCCAGAGCATATGCGTAAGCATTTCGACTATTTATTTAAATCTTTTTCTTAGTGATTGTATAGAAGCACCCAAATAAAGGCGTTTCATATAGCTTTACCGCTATCTATTACAGAAACGAATATTTAACTATATATTGTGATGAACTGATAAAATGGTGAGTGTCGTGTATTAAACATACAGGTATTTTGTCTTTCCTATTATCAATACAAACAAGAAACATAAATAATGCTTTTTACTATTCGTTAATAATTAAATAAAAGTTGATCATAGAATTCACTATAATATCTTTAAATATTTGATAAAGAAGTAATGTTAACCCCAAGAAAAAGAGAGAGATAAATAAAGGTAAACCTTTTTACAGTCAAAAAAAACTTACTATAATTATTTATATTGATAATATAAATTGTTGTTTTTTTAAGTGGCTACTTTTCTAGGTAGTGGGATAACCGGGCGCTTTTGGATCCCACCCTGCATGTTGTGCGTAGTCAACGCGAAACATTAATGCAGACGATGCACTGGGACGATGCATTCAACACTCTCCTTAATAAACCCACTCACCCACAACTTCAGACCTTACTCAGCTAACAGCTTATTTCTGACAGAATGGCATGTCGTAAATCATTTTAAAAAACCAAACGTTGACACTTTTGATTCCGCCAATCTTGATGGCGAGTAAATATATACTCATTCTGACCAGGGAATTTAGAGATGTTGTCAGCTGTCCTACCAAAAAACATAACCCACACAATGGAGCTACACATTTTCTTCTCTCCACTAAAGAACTCCACATTCTCAATGCAAATGTTTACAGGCACATCCTCACCATGTAGGATACTCCCCACAGCGCAGAGAAAATATTTGTCTTCTGGTAAGCTTTGGCATAGAATTTGAATAGTCATTGATAGTGATCATACTTCATAGTATTTAAAAGTTATAACTTCATTGGCATGGTAGTTGGTGGCAACGTCTTACTTCCGATTACATTATATAATGGGTTGTTGACGACTTGCTGGAACATCGGGAGGCTGAATGGCAAAGCAGGAGGATGTCCATTATCAATACACTAAAGGCACAATAGATGAGACTCAGATAGCACTTGCGCAACGCCTAAGGGAGATTTTATCATATGGAGCGAAGGATTAGTGGAATACACACGGAGAGAAGTGTCGGTGGACGCCATATCCAGGAGAACGCTCATTAATGTCATCTCAAGACCATCGGGGTAGTGTGTATTCATTTTTTTTAACTTATCATTGTACCTCTCAAGGATATAAATCCAAAATGTATAGACCGGACCAAAGTCAAGCGTCGATTCACACAAGTGTATATTTGGTGTGATACTGCTTTTTCGTAAAGACTCTGACATTATTTCCCAAATTCACCAAGGGGTTGGCGTGCGTAGTCTATATGTAAGTATGTGTTCGATAGGCCTCTCAACTTTCGGCATGTCTTCACAAGGTTGGTCTAGTTATTGAAATCCTTTTTGGGCAAAGACTCCTTCAACAACAACAGCAAATACACCAGACACCACGATCGCCGCTCGCCAGCTTTCATATATGGGAACCCAGATGCGATTTTTTCGAACAAGACGGCATGTTCAGAAGGAACAGGAATATCATCAGCAAAGCATTGCATACGAGCAATAATAGCAGCGGGAAAAAAACAAAGATATTTCAAACGCTGACCATACGGTTTGCTGTTACAAAAAAATATACTGTGCGTGATATCAACAATCATGTAAGCGATGCGACTCTGAAAACTGCATGCCGTTCTGCTTCTCCAAATTTTCTCTTTCTACATCTGATTCTGTGCAAAACCACATATTGTCATATATGGAAATCATCTCTTCTGTCCGTGATTCCCAGTTTTCATTGTCACACCCAAAGTAATTAATCTTACTTGATGCAGTAATCACGGAGAAATATCGTTTGAATTTATGGCAGCCATATGTGTTTACATGCCATGTTCTGGGAATCCGGCAGTATTTCTAGCAGCAGGTATCTCGGAAGCGACATACATGATAGCAGTATAGACAGTAGTACCATTAGGGAACTTGGTAGTCTTCACAACTATACCACCATAACAGTCTACCATCCCATCAACAAATGTTTCCAGAAATACGTCCATCTAGTCGTCCTCTACTTCCTTTGGACCAGGCATGACATCAACGCGAATAATATTTTCTGGTCTCATTTGGTCTTCCTTGGGGAAATTGCTGATAAGTAAGTACAAAGCACCGCCTGTATAAGTCCGTCCTTCAAACAGCTTAAACCAATATACATTCAATGTCAACATGAGAGAATGGGCATGATTTACAAAGGTCCCGTCGGCTTCACCGAGAATATCAGTCTAAATTGTATCATCGTATACGTCCGTCATTGTACTTTCTATTGTTTTGCTTGATCCCTAGTGCACGATTTACTCATCTGACTTGACTTTGTGGAAATGTTGTGACGAGATATTTTCTCAGTAAGCTGTAAGGAAATACCATGAGAGGGACTGGCTTCCCAATTGCTGGACCGGCATACAGAGAATAACTGTCATAGATAGATGGGGTGGAATGTGCTTCTCGGAGGAACAGTTGGATTGATGATACCCTGGTAAGTATATGACATCACGTTTGATGCAGATGGTGTACTTGAAGACGGTTTTTGCCATAAGATCGAATCCAGACATGATTTTCGATACATCAACGGTGACATGTGGATCAGTATCCTTCTCATAGGTAACAAGAAAGTATTGAAATAATTTCAGTGTTGTAGATCCTCCCTGCTTGAACCAAATAAAACACTCAAAAGACAACACCGAATAGAACCATAAGTTGAATTGCTTGAGACATGCCATGCATTTTCAAATATAGGCCTACAGAAAGGCAAGTGTTATGATAAGTATCATTATTATCTGTAATATGATTTATGTATATTTCTTTGTTCAATAGGTGCATACCTGAATCCATCGTATCTTTAAATACTATGACACCGACAATGTCAGCTTCATTCTCATCGTTGGACCCCTCACTTTAATCCGGATAGTTATTGTCAAATGACGATAGTGGTGTCTCAGTATCATACTCTTTTTCGAATTGAAAAGGTTTGTCTTCTCTCAAAAAAAAGTATACTATGTGTGGCGGTTTCAGGAAATTTAAAAGAAGTACTTTTATCTAAAATAATAAAAATAAAAATAAAATATGTTTTATACGATTTTTTTTGGTCTTGGTTATTGAGATATATCAGTCTATTATCAATGTAATTAACTCTACTAAGCTTACGGTCTCTATTAGTAAGAATTACACATTGGACTCTATACATCTCTTTTAATATAATGACAATAAGGGTTTTACTAGCTATCGATGCTTGACAATTCGTGGCAGCAATGCTTTAACTAATATTCAAATAATGTTCAATATAAAAGTACAACACTTGTTGGGTTCCTTTAATATTTTTGAGTAAAATACTTTTGGGTGTAATAATCTTGATTAAAATACCCGTGAGTAAGATTGATTATAATATTATAAATACCATTATTAATTGTACATCTAGCACACTAATTGTTTGTAAGTTTCGGTCAAGTCTCGACAGTCAATCATCTAATCTTTTTGTTAGAGCAACCCTTTCAATTTCGATATTTAACAAAAAAGGCGTTGGTATATATATATAATATTAATTACCAAAGTACGGAAATACACTATAATCATTATTAAAACACGAGTTTAAAGTAGGCAGGGAAAGTACGCCAAAGTACATCCCTAAGTACGCATTTTACTCTCTCGTAATGATATAGCTCTCGATACCAGTGAGTTTCGTTTTATATTACCAACCCAAGATAGTATAATGGACGTCACAAGTACTTTGTAACTCTAATGTCTTGAATTCAAAAAACCAAATAGTAACCACGATAGTACTCGACAGAACTGTGTATATATTTGACAGTATAGAAATACTTATTTGTTTTTCTCTATCATTATGTACTCTTTATATTAACTTATTTTATTAACAGCTTCTATTGTATTTAATTTTAAAGAAAAAAAACAGAGTACTTGTATGTGATACCTAGAGTCAGATATACTCGACGTCTTCAAGAAATTATACTTATACAGTCGAATATTGTTTTTCATGCTAATTGAGCCTCCACAGTTCTAATTAAAGCAAGAAATATTATATTTGTTTTCAGATAGGCTCTTGTAGAGAACAGTAAATGTAATTGCGAAAATATTTACAAGGCAATTAACAAGAAAAGTTTCATATTTATTTTACAGTTTTCAATGCACCCGAGTTGGTCGATATACTTTACATTCAAGTGGCTGCTGAAGAAAAAGAAAAAGAAAAAGAAAGGCGTATTTTTATACTAATGTGTCTTACATGACATGGAAATAAGCACTGGTGCAAATCATTAGGAGTACTGCTACTAAACTTTTCGACTAGTTGGCGGATGGGTATACATAAGAAATTATCGGTTTTGGTCGTAAATAAATGAATATGGTACATCAAAGGATACCATTCTGCGCATACACCCGCACTCACGCAAAACAATCGGATCCAGTACATAATGAAATAACACTGGATTTATAAGTTTTTATATATCTTACCATTTTATCATTTTTCATGAAAATAATTAAACTGCCAACACAAAGCAACTGCCGAAAAAAAACAAAATAATATTAGTACAGTTGCGCCTAACCAAAACTCATATACCACCACAATAACAACGATTTCGCTAATATTGAAAGGCAATTGGTTATTTCTTTCTTTTATATTGTTTATCCACGCACACAAACGCCAACTGTACCAAGAATTAATTTGAGTTGGGTGCAATTTTAGACAGCCCAATTTCTTTGTCATTCTTTCTTTCTTTCTTTTTAAATTCAGTGCAATAGATCTCTGATTCCTAAAAAAGGATTAGAGAACACATAGAAACACCTATAGAAACAGATAATTTTTTAACATCAAACAAAATACATCGACCCTTGTGCAGAGTGAAGAAACGCATGATGAAGGGTACAGCTGCAGTATAGAATAAAAATAATGAGAATAGAAAATGGTTGATACCTTTGATGTGCGGGATGAGGCCAAGGTATTTTAGTTGACAATGAACGCGAATGAGAGAAAATATTTGGGAGTTATCGATCCTCACTTTGGCCTCCATGAAGTAAATAGTTGTAGCCTCTTAAAATACATTACCATGGCTGTATAACTTATTTATTTTTATTACTCTTTTGCAATCGTTCAAAATTCTAACTAGACAAAGAATCAAATTGGGGAAAAGCATCGTTTAATTGTTGTGGCTCAAAATTTAAATATTATTTATTTATTTATTTATTGAGTCATGTCATACAGGGGATAAGCCAATCGTCTACCTCTCTTGCGATACGTACTGCCTGTTCATACATATTTTCCCTGGGGTAGAAATGTCCTGTACTTTACCTTGTGATTTTATGATTTTCTGGTTCTCTTCCTTTTTTAAAAAAAACCGGTTGACTTTCTGTGGTGAAACTACTTATCCTTAAGCTCTTTACAAAACAGGTTTGACTTATTGTGCCATCACAGATACTATTCTCACTCCAAATAAATTCTCTTCACAATAAAAATTCATATTAGTTAAGGATATTGTGTAATATTTTTTTAACCATTGTAATAACCGTGAATTATCCCAAGAAGCGTATACAATATATAAAAGACATTTATTTGTAAACAGAAACCTGCCCCACCGATAAGTTGACTTTCGGTTCTGGTTTGTAGTGCACCTTTATCCTTACTCGACTTAACACGGGATGGAAGCTTTTCATTTGTACATGTTTTCTATAATAGCAATAATTACAGGTGCTATTCTTACCATTTTTTTCTTATGAGTAGTAAACCTTTACAATAAAAGTATATTTTTCGATCAAGGTGTAAACCGACTAATGAAAACCGGTGACCATTATTGCACAAGCCAACTCTTATTATTATTTACCATTTCAAATATATATATATATATATGTATATATATCGATTATCTCTATTTTTCCGGCATATACAACAGCTAGCATAGAAATTATATAATGCAAAAAAAAACATAATAATGCGGCTTTATCGTATAAAGAGAATGCGAGTAATTGTTTTCTAGTTGATACATATCAAAACTTGCTCGTGGTCTTGGTGAAAGCTTGCGCTTTTAACAAATATAATATATTTTTAGATGTTCTCGGTAAAATACATGTGTGCATACATGTGCGCATGTGTATGATTGTAGTAATTTCAATTGTAACTTTCATGGCAAGTTAATGTGAATATGTATGGTTATTGAAAGAGATGCACACAGAAGAAAAATAAAATAAATAAATAAATAAATAAGAGTATTATTTTTGTTTATTCTGCTTGAAAAAAAAACCCCCCCTCCTCATTCCTCAACTGGAATCATTGCACCAATGATTGCATTGAAAATATTTTTTTACAACTTTTCAACCTCTCCACAAAAAATATAAAGAATATCAAATATATATATATACCTCTTGTAATTGAGATTATTTGAACAATCTGTCGCCTCGGTTAAAGGGCATGCAAGATACCAAAAAATAAATAAATAAATAAAAAATATCGGTTTCAGTCGGCATTTATAATATAATTATTTTTCTTATTTTTTTTTGAGAAATAAATATTTATTCAAAAAATAAAATTCATATAATTCTACTTTTCTCGACTTCTACTGATTGTATTTGTATGCTTCTTGGCTCTATCGATAGCTAATGACGAAGAGTAACTGAAAAGTGGCATTAGAGGCGCATTGTCGGTCTTTAGAATTTTTTCGGAGATTGAATAATGCTACGATTAGATGGCCGCCGGGATTTGGTATAGTGCGCAGGTGGGTAAAAATTAAAATAAATCAAATATTTCCGCCCTAGCCGAATATCATCTATATATATATATATATTAAAAAAAATAGAATTTATCTAAAAATTATTCATATGTTTATTCATAATTTTTTGAAATGCTAATTTATTATAAATATAATAAAAGCATTAAAATAAAATATAAATAAATAAATAATAAAAGTAAAAAACAAAATAATAAAAATAATAAAAAAAAAAATAATAAATACAAAATAAAAAAGAAATAATAAAAAAATATAAAAAAAAATATAAAAAAAAATTGAAAAATTGAAAAATAAAAAATTAAAAATTAAATATTAAATATTAATTTTGTACTTTAACTAAATAATTTATTTTATATTAATTTATTGTTTGCTATACTTTAATAAAAAAAATACTCTAGAACTATGATATCTCTACTTATATTAAATTTCATGAGATTTTAACTTTTCTAATAGTCTTATTATAGCAGAAGATTTCAAACCTTCCCTTAATATGTAAACAGACTTTTCCTTTACACTTCTTTAATTTAATGAACAAATTATTAAAAGAACAAATCTCAAAACAGTAGTATTATATTGTTCTTTTCTTACAGAAAAAAAAAACCACACAAAAAAAATTTGGAATAAAAAACGGCAATAAGGTGGCGTCGAACGCGGGTTCCTAGAATCAAAACGCAACATCTTAACCATTATGCTACGCGAACAAAACATACTAATAAATTAAAAACAATGTTTTATTTATTTATTATATATATATAGAAAGATTATAAAAGAGTTGTGAATATATATAATATTAAAGATTAAATATAATTAGAGTATGTAACTTGTATTTAATGAGATGATTGGATATGATTGGATATGACTTGAATATTGACAAGTGTGAATATATATAATGTGATAGATTCAATGCTATTGACTAATATTAAAGATTGATAAGATGTTATATGCTAATATTAATGATAAATTGAATATTATTAGCTAATATTGATTACATATTATATTTTATTAACTTATATAAGTAATAAATTGGATATGATAAATTTATATATAGTACAGATTGACTGTTATTCATCTACATATATATCAGATTCACTATTATTAGTCTATATATATTAGATCCATTATCATTGATTTATATATATATGAGATTAGCTGTTAATAGTTTATATATATACTAGATCAGCAGTGATCAACTTATATATATATGAGATTGACTGTTATCCACTTATATATATCTGATTAGCTGTTATCCATTTATATATATATCCAATTTAGTATTATCTCTTTATATATAATATCAATAACCTGTTATCAGCTTATATATATATCAGATCAGTCATAACTGACTTATATATATATGAGATTGACTGTGATCAGATTATACATATACTAGATCAGCAGTTAATAATTTATATATATATATCAGATCGGCAGTCATTGACTTATATATACACCAGATTGACTGTCATTGGCTTATATATATATCAGATTGGCTGTCATTGACTTATATATATATCAAATTGGTGCTCATCAACTTATATATATACCAGATCTATAATTATTGACTTATATATATACCAGATTGGTGATCATTGACTTATATATATATCAGATCGGCAATTATTGGCTTATATATATATCAGATTGGCAATCATTGACTTATATATATATCAGATTGGCTGTCATTGACTTATATATATATATCAGATTGGCGCTCATCAACTTATATATATACCAGATTGGTGATCATTGGCTTATATATATATCATATCAGCAATTATTAACTTATATATATATCAGATCGGCTGTTATCCACTTATATATATAGCAGACTAGCTATCATCCACTTATATATATAGCAGATTAGCTGTCATCCACTTATAAATATAACAGATCAGCTGTCATCCACTTATATATATATCAGATTGACTGTCATCCACTTATATATATATCAGATCAGCTATCATCCACTTATATATATAGCAGACCAGCTATCATCTACTTATATATATACCTGATTGGTGGTTATCAGCTTATATATATACTAGATCAGCTGTCATCTACTTATATATATATCAGACCGGCTGTCATCCACTTATATATATAGCAGACCAGATGTCATCCACTTATATATATATCAGACTGGCTATCATCCACTTATATATATAGCAGACCGGCTATTATCCACTTATATATATAGCAGACCAGCTGTCATCCACTTATATATATATCAGATTGACTGTCATCTACTTATATATATATCAGATCAGCTATCATCTACTTATATATATAGCAGACCAGCTATCATCTACTTATATATATATCTGATTGGTGGTTATCAGCTTATATATATACTAGATCAGCTGTCATCTACTTATATATATATCAGACTGGCTATCATCCACTTATATATATAGCAGACTGGCTATTATCCACTTATATATATAGCAGACCAGCTGTCATCCACTTATATATATAGCAGATCAGCTGTCATCTACTTATAAATATAGCAGATCAGTTTTCATCCACTTATATATATAGCAGACTGACTGTCATCCATTTATATATATATCAGATCAGTTGTAATCCACTTATATATATATCAGATTGGTGGTTATCAGCTTATATATATACTAGATCAGCTGTCAACAGCTTATATATATGCTAGATTGCCAGTCAACAGCTTATATATATGCCATATTGGTAGTCAACAGCTTATATATATGCCAGATCGGCATTCAACCGCTTATATATATGCTAGATTGATGGTCAACAGCTTATATTTATACTAGATCAACTGTCAATAGCTTATATATATATAAGATCAGCTATAATTAGTTTATATATAGTGTCAATTAGTTGTTATCAGCTTACATAATGTTGCATAATGTTGCATAATGTTGCATAATCTTGCGTAATCTCGCATAATCTTGCATAATCTTACATAATCTTGCATAATCTTGCATAATCTTACATAATCTTGCATAATTATATATAGGCACATATAAAAGAACTTAAACATACATATATAAAAATATAAAACTAAAGTTTGTGTAACATACATCATTATGCATATTCGTGTAATGTAAACAATACGATTGCATTGCTGAAAAAAATTGGTAACTTTTAGCTATACTTGTTATATAATATGCATAATCATGCATAATCTCGCATAAATGATATACGTAAACAATACGATTGCATTGCTAAAAAAAATTGGCAACTTTTGGCTATACTTGTTATATAACATGCATAATCATGCATAATCTCACATAAATGATCTACGTAAACAATACAATTGCATTACTAAAAAAAATTGGCAACTTTTGGCTATACTTGTTATATAACATGCATAATCATGCATAATCTCGCATAAATGATCTACGTAAACAATACAATTGAATTCATGAGAAAAAATGACAAAGAATAGCTTTTTTCGCAAAAAATTTCCTTTTTTGGTTAGTCTGAATGCACCTAGCGTGAGAAGTCTTGGCATTTTTAGTGTGGGAAGATATGTTACATAAATAGCAACTATGTAAAAGCTTGGCATGGAAAAACATTTAATTTTAAACTATCAAAAAGCCATTCCTACAATAATTAAATATATCTCTTCTAATGAAAGTTCAAATTCTTACTAAGTAATAATTTTTTAATTTTTTTTGCTATATAAAGAAAATTTAGTAGTATAATATAAAAGTATCAAAAAATGTAAAAAGCAAGTATAGAATTTATAAAAATTAATTTTAATATTTTTTTTTTACTAATTTTCTTATAAAAATCAAAATATTATTATATATATCAATAAAAAAATATATGAACAAGTCAATTAATTAATATTTATTATATTTTTAATATATTTATATATTATATATATATAGAAAGATTATAAAAGAGTTGTGAATATATATAATATTAAAGATTAAATATAATTAGAGTATGTAACTTGTATTTAATGAGATGATTGGATATGATTGGATATGACTTGAATATTGACAAGTGTGAATATATATAATGTGATAGATTCAATGCTATTGACTAATATTAAAGATTGATAAGATGTTATATGCTAATATTAATGATAAATTGAATATTATTAGCTAATATTGATTACATATTATATTTTATTAACTTATATAAGTAATAAATTGGATATGATAAATTTATATATAGTACAGATTGACTGTTATTCATCTACATATATATCAGATTCACTATTATTAGTCTATATATATTAGATCCATTATCATTGATTTATATATATATGAGATTAGCTGTTAATAGTTTATATATATACTAGATCAGCAGTGATCAACTTATATATATATGAGATTGACTGTTATCCACTTATATATATCTGATTAGCTGTTATCCATTTATATATATATCCAATTTAGTATTATCTCTTTATATATAATATCAATAACCTGTTATCAGCTTATATATATATCAGATCAGTCATAACTGACTTATATATATATGAGATTGACTGTGATCAGATTATACATATACTAGATCAGCAGTTAATAATTTATATATATATATCAGATCGGCAGTCATTGACTTATATATACACCAGATTGACTGTCATTGGCTTATATATATATCAGATTGGCTGTTATTGACTTATATATATATCAAATTGGCGCTCATCAACTTATATATATGTCAGATTCGTGATCATTAACTTATATATATACTAGATTAGTGATCATTAACTTATATGTACTGCAAAAGAAGGGTCAATTCAGTATACTAAATCTTGATCAAATACTGTCTGAATGAATAAAATTCAGCATGAATTCGATCGGAATTTATGATGCCAATTTTTTAAAATTCGTGAGCTAAATGAATACAATTAGTATATTGAATTTTAGGAATGCAAAAAGAAAAAGTGTGATATACTTTTATGTGATATATTTTGGTTGTAAAAATATAGATGCACTTTTATCAGACCGCAGAGTTTTCATTTTATATTGGCTTTGCGTTTTTTTTAAATACAACACATAATATTCAACATCTTTTTATTACTATATATGGGTTGTTAAAGAAGAGATTTGGTCAAGATTTGGTCAAGATTTAGTCAAGATTTAGAGGTTTATGGGTCATTTTAAAGTTTTTTATTGGTTTGAAGAAATTTTCTTATTGTTTCTAGCTATTTCTATTTGTCTACATCACTAATCGTCTTCTGTTGCAATTGGGTAGAAACATCACACTCCATGTCGTCATATATTTTAGTGGATATTATGTTATTCCTTTTGAATATCCATTGGTTCACCCCTGGTGCAATCAACCCCTACTGTATTCGATTGCTTGCTGTGGCATGCCTTCTTGGCCTGTTTGTTGACTTTTATAAAAAATAATTATAGGGTGGAGTAGAAAGAATGTTCTAGGTATATTTATTTGAGAGCAACAGATTATTTAAAAAATATGAATATACTTACAATAAAGTTAAACACGAGAACAGATAAATGTCTTTAACATAAAGATAAATATATCAACGTTTTAGTTAAATGTCTCAATTATAGTAATATCGTATATAAAAATAATAACTTTTGTTAATACAATTCAAAGTAAATAAGACTATGGTTTGCTTACCAGGCAGTTCAGAAAACAGAAGAGTTGACAAACAGAAAATACAAAGATATTGTCTATAAAATATAATCTTTTATTAGAATGAAATTAAGAGTATCAGACTATTTTTTGCTTACCAATTATTTGATACAGTAAAAGAGGCGGCATGCGGGAAATGGAGATATTATCTATAAAATAATTTTTTTTCATTAGAATTACGTACAGAGAAATAGAATGACTATTTACTTACTTGTCTGTCTGTAGAGAATAAGAGTTGGTATATAATCAAAAAAAGAGGACCGAGATAAAGATCAGTGACTATAGAGTGTATTGTATATATAAGAAAAATAATAAATACAAGTTGTATCTTGAAGATGAATGTTAATATTTATATAACATACTATTTTGCAAACTCTCCCAAGGTATATGTCTTTGTTAACAGGCCAGAAAAATCTAAACAGAATAATTAATACATAAATCATGAATAAATATTCAAGTATATTTTTATTACCTTCTTATTGTTATTTTTGAGGCAGTTAAGAAGGACTTGGTGTTTTAAAACATAGAGTATCATGCTAGCATAAAAACAACAAGATGATTAGGTCTTGAAACTTTGATGTGAGTTGATGCTTACCATGTTAGACATTAAGAAAGAAGTAAAGAAGAAGAAAGAAAAAATTAAAAAAAAACAGAAGAAATTCAAAATTATAATTTTATGACCATTGACTCTGAGAAACTGATAGAATCAATTGAGCAAATTGAAAGTTATTCAACTTATTCTGATTGAGACAAGACATTACGTACTAAACCATAATCTCTCCCATCTTTGTAATGGATGTAAGCTATTACAAATGCCTTTTCAAGTCAGCTTATAAAGAAAAGTATAATATAGAGATCAAAATGCTATAAAGAGCATCATCAGAAAAATAATCTTTTGGTGCCTTACTTTCCACCTTTACGTATGTTTTGATTTATTTTATTATTTTAAAGAAACCCGACTCTAATTATTAAAGTATTCACATTGTTTCCATTTCTTTCATTAGTCTTAAATATCTCAATTCATGTCTTCTAATACGCAGCAAACCAAAAAAATGGAAAAGACAACTACAAAAAAGTCTGTTCAACAAACTGCTGGGACAGCAGCAAGCACAAGACAACGGGAAATTCTTTCCAGCTTGACAGTTAGCGCAGAGTTAGATGGTACTGTCCTGTTCACTTTGTCTACCATGAGCATCTGACTGAATGAATCTCATTCACTTCTGGAGAAGGTCTACCACAACATGGGAGCAACCAATGGCCAGAATAACAATTCGAACCATAGTCCCATCAGTCAGGCTCTTACTACAGAAGAATATATAAAGTACCACCTTCCAACGGTTTTGGTAGGATATATACTAGTAATAGAATATTGCAAAGTTACTTACATTATATTTTGCAGAGATTGATCCGTTCTCAAACACAAGCAGTTCTGGCAACAATGCCATTGACAGTCAATGAAGGCATCTTCTCGACATCCAACCATCCCATTGCTGATGTAGTGCAGAGCTACACACGTCAGCAAGCTGAAGTAAAGTCTGTTTCGTCTGCAGTTGTGGAAGAGAAAACCCGAAGACATATTTCGTATATGCTTCAAAGGGCAAAAGCTTTGCTGGAAAAGATAGCTTAACAAAATCGGATTTCTCGATGCTGGTCCAGAAAGACAAAAGTAAGTATAGTCAACAGGTTTTGTATAAACTATTTTAACTTTTTTTTCAGATTCTTGCAGGCTACAAAGAAATTCACTTGGCCAACAAGACAAACCTTGAGTCTAAGTTTGGTGAGACTGTTGTTGACCTTCTGGACTATGACATGTTGTCTGATATTGAGTCAGATGAGGAGAAGAATAAAACTAGATATACTCCTAGAAATAGACATCCCTTGGTAAGGCTCTCATGATAAAGGTTATTTTTTTAATACTTCTAACTCAAAAGTATTTATATTATAATGCAGATGGATGAATACTTTACTGTTTTGAAGAAACAGAGACTTGCTAACAAGGGACCAGACGTCATTGGCAATTCTGTCTATCCAATTATTTTGAGAAACACCGAGTTATCCAATGAGAAAAAGGCACATGTTGCTGCTTGGATTCACACATGCCAACAATAAATCATTATTTTGTTTACAAAGCGCATATAGTACTTTAATGATTTTTATTGATTGTGTTGAATGACGTGGAGTGAAGTGGTAAAATATAATCAGGCAGTATTGTCAAGATGAGAAGCAATTAAAATATAAATAAAAGGAAAAAGAAAAAAACAAAATCAAAAATCAAAATAATAAATTATTATTTTATTTTATTTTATTTTAAAGCCAATTAATAAAAAAAATATATATACAAAGCAATTATTTTATTATATAACCCTGATTGTTTTATTCTTGTTTTTTTTATTGGAAATTATAATACCAATATTAGCAAGAATATGTAATAAAGGCTAAGAAAATGGTAAATGTCGGGTATTAAATATACAAGTATTTTGTCTTTTATATTATTGATAAAAGCAAGAGAAATAAATAATGGTTTTTACTATTCGTTAATAGTTAAAAAAAACTGGTAATATAATTTACTATTGCTCTTTTAAATACTTAATAAAGAAGTAATGTTAAAACTAAATAAGAATACAGAGATAAATAAAGCTAAACCTTTTTACAGTCAAAAAAACTCGTATTATAATTATTTATACTGGTAACCTAAATAGTTGTTTTTTTTGTTTTTTATGTGACTACTTTTCTAGGCAGTGGAATAACCAGGTGCTTTTGCGTCCCACTCTGCATTTTATGCATAGTCAACGCAAAGCACAAATGCAGACAATGCACTAGAACAATGCATGAAGCATCCTCTTCCATAAATCTCTTATCCCACAACTGCAGACCTTGATCAGCTAATGGCTGATGACTACTTGAATGGTAGATGGGAAACCATTTAATGAATGCAAATGTTGACACTCTTTTGACTCCACCGATCTTGATGGTATGAGTAAATAAATACTCTATTTGACCAGGGAATTCAGATACATCGTCATTTGTTCTCTCAAGAAACAATACTCTCACAAAAGACCTGCGCTTCTCCTTTTCACCACTGCAGTACTCTTGCCCCAGCAACAAAATCTTCTTCACCTTTTGAATCCAATTGTTCACAAATACATCCTCACCAATTGAGATTCTTCCTACCACACAGAAGGAAACACTTGTACTCCCGTAAGCCTTGACATAGAATTCAAATAACCACTGATAGTGATCATTCTTCATCATAGTCAAAGGCTGCAACTTGATTGGCAATGTGGTTGGGGGCAAGACCTCACTTCTGGTGACATTGTACCATGGATTGGTAGCAGTTTGCTGGAACATTGCTAAGCTAAATGGCAATGTAGGAGGGTGGCCAGCATCCAAATTCAAGGGAGAAGAGCTGTTGGAATTTGATTTTACTTGGGCAACCCCCTCAAGGAACTCTATCAGTGGTAATGAAAGATTGGTAGAATACGCTCAAAGAAAGCTACCAATGAATGCTTTCTCCAGGAAGACTCTCATGAAGGTGACCTCAAGACCATTGCAACAGTTCGTCTTGATGTTCTTCAACTTGCCGTTGTATCTCTCAAAGCTATACAGCCAGAATGTGTATACCGGACCAAAGTTAAGCATCGACTCATGCAAGTGCATATGCAAGTGCATATTTGGCATGATGCTGCTCTCTCCATAAAGCGTCTCACACTCTTTTCCAAATTCTCCAAGAAGCTGGTGTGCGCTGTAAATTTCTGAATATGTGACTGAAGGACTGGTCAACTTTCGGCATGCTTTTACAAAGAGAGTCCAGTTTTTGTAGTCGTCTTCAGACAAAGCATCATTTAGTACTACCAACGAATAAATCAGACACCACAATTACCACTCATCTGCCTTCATATATGGGAAACCAGATTCGATCTTTGTTGATAAAATGGCATACCTAGAAGGAACAAGAATACCATCGACAAGACGTTGCATATGGACAAGAACAGCAGTTGGGAGTGTTGTGAATGAGTATTGATTACTGCTGAATCTGAGAGTAAGACTGAAGGATAAAATAATATCCTCAGCTATTCCAGTCAAACGGATCTCCCTTTATGATATTATCTAATACACAGATCATCATACACATAATTGATTATTTATTATTATCACCATAACATGGGATATACAAATACATATACATTATATATATGGCATCATTATATTTCATCTACATATTTCTTTTATTATACAAATACTTAATTGAGAGACTACAACTACAACTATTTAATATTATGAAACATTACCCAAGTATCTGGGTCGGAATACTAAAATATTACCAATAGCATAAATGCTCTTCTTTACCAAAACTCTTGGACTGATCTGACTGGAGAAGTATCATATTAATTGGTCTTTCTGGATCTTTTCAGAAGAACAATACTCCTGGAAGATGACTCATCGTGATAAAGATTACTTAAGCACACACTGAATTACAAATTAGAAAAACATATAAATATCAGTAGATAGTTCCATGTAGAAAGATAATGGAATTTTATCATTCTTTACTTTTCTTTTGAAATAAACAACCTACACAAGTTCTCACGAATTCTTTCGTCTATATTATATTTTGCTTTATTTTCTCCCCACAACAGAGAGATACCTCAGGTCTTTCCAAACACTGATCATATGCTTTGCTGTCCCAAGAAACAAATTGTGCTTCAGACGGGATCAAAGTAGTGTAGGTGATGCAACTCGGAAAAACGGGTGCCATGCTGCTTCTCCAAAACAGCTCTCTCTGCATCAGATTCTGCACAGAACCACATCTCAGCTTCGGTTGCATTTTCCTCTTTTGTTCAGGAGACCCAGTTCTCATGATTGAATCCAGAATAATTGATCTTACTTGTTCGAGCAACAACAGTGAAATGATGCTTGCATATGTGACAGGCGTTTGTACTTGCAAATCCTGTAAATCCAGCAGTCTTTCTTGCAGCAGGTATGTTGCAAGCAACACACATAAGAGCAGCGCAGATACTAGTACCATTGGGGAACTCTGGAGTTTTCATAGTTATGCCGCTGTATAACTCTACCAGCTCGTCTACCAGAGGTTCTAAGAAGTTGTTCATCTGGTCGATCTTTGGTTCCTTTGGATCAGGCATGATACTGACAAGGATAATGTTTTCTGGCTTCATTCTTTCTTCTCTAGGCAGGTTGTTTATTGAGAGGTACAAGGCCCCACTTGCATGTGTACAACCCTCGAACAGTTGAAACCAATCCACATTCAATGTCAACATCAAAGAATTGTCATGATTCACAAAAGGCTTGTCATCTCCATCAAGGAGCTCAGACCACATTGCACCATCATAGACGTCCAACAAGGTACTGTTTATGGTTTCCCTTGATCTCCATTGAACGATTTGATGCTCAAACCCAGGTTTGGCGAAATGCTGTGCCAATGCATTCTTGAGCGAGTTGTATGGGAAAACCATGAGAGGGACGGCGCGATCAGCTTCGGTGTCAGAGAAAAGAGGATTTCCGCAGTATGTTGGTGGTTTGGTTGTGTATTTTTCGAATGTGCAATTTGGTTGGCAATTGCCTGGTAGATAAATTGCAAAGCACTTGTTGCAGACAGTGTATTTGACAATGCTTTTTGTCATGAAATTGAAGCCAGTCATAGTCTTTAATGCATTAATGGTGAGTGGGAGATTGGTATCTTTATCAAAGGCAACAAGAAGATGGCGGAAGAATTTCAACATAGCAGTTCCACCTGCTTGAACCAAGTAAAACGCATGAAAGATAATGCCAAATATAGCTATGAATTGGCTTGTTTGAGACATTTCATGAATTTTCAAAGAAGCAACTACAAAGGCAAGTATTTCTGTTAATTATTTATAACACAATTTATATATATTTCTTGTTTAAATGTATGCATACCGGAAGCAACCATGTCTTCAAAATCTTCAATACTGGCAACCTCAACTTTGCTCTCATTTTCAGACTCATCGCTTGAATCAGGATCGTCATTGTCAGAAGCCAATGATGTTGTCTCAACATCAGACTCTGCGAATTGAAAAATCTCGTCTTCTCTCAAAAAAGGTATACTCTGTATGGTAGTTTCAGCTGATACAATAGAATAATTGTCTTCATCTATAGTAAAACCAGACTATTAGCTATCTAAATTATGATTTATTAAAAAGAAATTTTATACTCATAATCAATCGATGTTTCAGATATATCTACCATCTCAACATCTGTCTCTTCTTTGACAACTTCTGTATTAACTGATAATTAACAAAAAAAAATATTAGATTACAATTTATTCAGTAATGCGCGTACTACTCAAATGTCATTTACCTCGATTTTTTGGGCCAATGTCTAATAACTTATCAGCATCATTATGACGCTTAAAGGTTTGTGCATTTTGCAAAATTCCACCAATTGCATTTTTGGTACATGATGAATATGTACACATAACAGTGTAGGTTTTAGTTGTAGAATTCATAACAGTAAGAATAATATTAATAATAATAAAATAATAAAAAGGTGTATACTATATTTTATTTTCATCTTTTATATGTCTCTTATTTTTGTCATTAATAATGAGTTGATATATCTTGTTCACTATGTCATTGACTACATTGAGCTTACCGTCCCTATTAGTAAGAATTACAAATGGATTTTGATACAGCAATCTTTTCTTAAAAAAATGTGCCTGATTATTAATGGGGCTTCAATTTAATAATCACTGATATAATGGTGTAGTTTTTCTCTTTCGCGTTTTTTTAACATAACATCAATTCTCGCTCATTTTGGCAAGTGGCCTTTTTTGGATTTTCTTTTTCTTGTATTTTTTATGACATCAATTCTTGCTCTTTTTTTCAATTTTTTTTGATATACTTTCTTATTAAAAATAAGTCATATATCATACATTATTATATTCTAATAAAAATCGGTATTTTTTGCAATGCAATAAAAATATTATTGAGTCTAAATTAGTTGCATCTGGAACAACAAGTTTTTTCTTCCAGAAAAATAATTAACTACTACATTTAACATTTAATATTTTATTTTTATTTTTTATTTTTCTGCCAAGTCAATCGAAACATATATTTTTTAAGACAATTGTGCAATTTACTGTCTAATTAATAAATACTTGTATTTGTATCTGTGTTTATTTAATATAATCAGAAAAAATTGCGAATTCACATATCAAGAAAAAAATATATTGAAAAACGATGTTGTTTGAAATATTTTTTCAAATTTTGTCAAAATTCAAAAAATAAAATTTAACCAAATCCATCCTCCTTTTGCAGTATTCTATTGCTTCTATTGGTATCATTTCGGCTGTCTCAATGGCAGTAACTGTGTATGATGTTCCATTCTCATTGATATTATATTCCATCAGATTTCCTAAAGCACCATTGACAATAGCATCTAACTTGTGAAGGGCAGGCAGCCAAAAGCTTGGATCACACAAGGTTATATTCTTCATGTCATCATAAAGTGGATATCTTTCTTGAGAAGGAGGGTCACCAGAACCTGTTCTTGTTGTATCTGCAACTACTCTTCGGAAATTTCTCTTTATCTTTTGGAATTCGTCTCTTATGTATTTGACAGTTCTGAATATCTCTGCAAATTTTGAGCACGGAAAAGCTCTTGCATGCTGCAATATCACAGGACTTCTGCAAAATAAATTGTGAAGGGTTGGCCACAATCTGTTCTTTCTAGTGTTATCAGATGTCTGATATTTTGAGTGAAAATTTCTTTCTATCATCAATTGAAGAAGAACTATCACTACATTATTGGTCCAAGAACCTAGTTGTTCTACACCTGTGGTTGTTGCTCTTGTAGTCTGTGTAGTCTGCGTAATCACTCCATCTTCATCCTGTTGCTCAACGTTCTTGGTTGTATTGCTTGTTCAGCGATCTTAGGGGACGGGGGGTAATGGCACCACACAATTTAAGGTGACTGTGAGTCCGAGGCCCAGCTATAAAGTGTCTTGAAGAACCCCCCATCCCCATTCTTTATGAGCACACCCCTGTTCCCATCTTTAGATCATTCCAATTTCCTGGGAAAAATAAAAACACCCCCTTTCTTAAAGTCATTAACATTTAGTTGTAAGAATAAAAAATAATATTTCCAAATAACAAGATATGATGCCTTTTTTACGTTATGTACATTGCATACATTGCGTACATGAATCAATAAAAATACTTATATAACTACAGTGCTCTTTTATTAAATATGAACACCAACTTCAATACCTCTATTGAGAAGATGTACTCGCTTAAAACAACTCTCTCATTCCCCAAGAATGGTTATCCTGACAAGCAAAGTGTTCTTCAAGCCGTAAACAATTATGCCCTTTCTAATAACTTCACTATTAAGATTAAGGGCGGAAAATTCCCTATTCTGCACATTGCTTGTTCAAAGGCTGGTGTTTATCGTGACAAGCGCAATATAAGTGATGAGAAAAGAAAGAAGATGCCCAACTCTTCTCTTACTGGATGCCCCTATCTCTTAAGATTTTCTTATAAGAAGAAGAGCAAAATATATCTTCCTTTGCCCGCCTATGGGGAAAACGAACATTGCCACAACCACCCTATCACCCCTGAGAATTTGGCTTCTTCTCACCAAGGAAGAATGTCTCTTTTGACTGCTGAAGATGCCACTATTGCAAAGACAATGTTGGAGAATCATGCCAAGTCCCGTGATGTTCAGAAGGCAACAAGTGACAAGGTGACAGGAATGAGAAAGCTGAGGATCAGCGATATCAACAATCTCAAGTACAGTGCTACTCGTGGTGATGAGGAGTCTGCCCATGGCGCTACTGAGCTCATCAGAACAATGGAAGCAAAGGGATTCTCCGTTCTCTACGAGTTTAATGAGAGAAATAGACTAACTCATATATTTTTTACGAACGATATAATGATCAAGAGAGCTCAACGTTTCCCCGATGTCTTTATTGTAGATGCTACATACAAGACAAACTGTGCGAAGATGCCATTGGTTTGCATAGAGGGTGTCAGTAACCTAGGTGGAGAAAGGTTGAAGAGCTTTTCTGTGGCCTTTGCATGGGTAGCCGATGAGACAGAGAAGAGCTATGTTTGGTTTGTGAAGTCTCTGAAAGCAATTGTTTTGGAGGGGGTTGATAAAGCCCCTATATTTGTTACAGACAAATGTAAAATATTGATGAATGCGCTTGATTCCGAGTTTCCCTTGGCCAAGAAGCTTCTATGTGGTTGGCATATGATCAACAACATTGCCAAAATGGCAAAAAAAAAACAATGAAGCCAGGAAAAGAAAAAGAGTTGTGCACACATTTAGTCAACAAAATGATCTTTGGAGATAAACGCAATGTCTTTGATGAAAATCTTGAGCTTTTCAAATCGCTGTCATCTCGGAAAGATTTCCAAAGTAAAGAGCAGCTAGAAGACAATGATGATGATTCTACAAAGGTTGTAGAAAAAATAACTCTAGAAAAGTGCTTTGAAGATGAGTGGATGCTGTGCAAGGAAAAGTGGGCTGGCTACCTCACTAGTCAATTGAAACATTTTGACTGTGTGACAACACAACGTGTCGAGAGTGGCCATAATGCTCTGAAAAGAAAAATCTCGGCTCTTCAGTCATTGAACTCTTCATTTGAGCAAATTTGCTCCTATCTTCTCCAGTTCAAGGGCGACTATCAGGACCTTGAGTTGAATGAGGCAACTATCACAGATGCCAGAATATACCATGAACCTCGCCTCTGTGAATTGATTCACCACGTCTCCAGAATTGGTTTGATCACCATCCGTGCTGAGCTTCTAGAAGAGGTTGTACCTGGTGAGCTTTGCAATTGCAGAGTAAAAGTGGTATTTGGTCTTCATTGTCGCCATGATCTGCCAAGAGATCGTATGTTGCTATTATCAGACATTCCTGAAAGATGGATTCTGTCTTCTTCTTTGGGTGAACGTTTGAAGCAACTGGAATGTGACGTTTCTCTACAGAAAATTGATGTTGATAAGCCTGCCCTGTGGGTGAAATGTATAACAAAGCTTGAACAATTGTTTCATCAGTGTGAAGGGAATCAACAAGTCCAGAATCTTATGGCAATAGTTGATGAACTTGTTGACAATGCTGGTGAAATAATTGACCATCCAAATGTTGTATTTCCTTTGGCAAGTGAGGTCAAAGCTCCTGGAAGACCTAAGCACGTCAAAAGGAAAACTGCTCTCCCAAAGGACTTTGTCTATCACAAGCACAGACATCTCCTTGTGCAATAGAACAAAGTAAGCATGCAACATACACAAACATGATTTCATAATCTAATACATATTTATTCTTTATTTCTTTAGAATGATATCAGAAGTATTTTGAAAGAAGGACTTAAAGAAGTGATGAAGGAGTTCTTAGAGGAAGAGCCTCTCAAAAAAAGTAATTTATAATTGTTTTTTTTGTGAAATTCCAATGTAATATCTAATGCTTACTATTTCTAGTCATAAAAGAAATAAAAAAAGAAACCCAATTCGCTGAAAAACAAGAGCCTCTCGAAGAAGATAATTTTTGATAACTTATAAATGAATCACAAAATATTTTGTATGGTTTACTCACACATTGCATGTTTTCTCTATAGCTAAAACAACTAATTTCGCTAAAAAGCAAGAGCCTCTCGAAGAAGGTAACCGATAAGATATTTTACTAAAATTAAATGCTAAATGTTACATTGTTTTTTGTTTCTTCTTAGCTGAAAAATATTCCTCTGGAATTAAAACACCTAAACATCTCTAAGACGACTACTGGTACGATTTGCCTAGTCCAAAAAAACAAAACAAAAATGTGCATGACTTTGCTCTGCCTGCTCAAATCGACCAAGCCGCCATTTCGTTGACGTTTAACCCCAAGTCCGATGGTTGGTGCGGTTTCTGTGTATTTGCACACCTGAAAGAGGGTGGAGAGGATCAGTTTCCTTTGGTGAAGAAGAAGATGTTGGCTACGATGGCAACCCACAGTAAACTTTACGAGCACAACTTTGGCATGGATGTTGCCGAAGTGACAGAGGTCATTGCCTTTGGCTCTGAGATTGACCCTGCTCTTGGGGAAAATATCCCATCTTGCCCTTCCTCTATGTGGTTCTCTGCATCAGACTGTGCTCAGATAATAGCTGACACCTATAACGAGCCTGTTTGTATGTACTCGGACGATCGGAGTGTCTTGCCTGTAACTTTCCTTCCCCTCCATGATTGGAAGCCTCTCAAAAGAAAGCCATTGCCAATGTTCTTGCACCATGTACATGGGTGTCACTGGACAACAATTAAAGTGAAGCCTCATGTACATCGGTCCTGGCCTGAGGTAAATGCACTGTATTTTGATGCTATCTGTAAAGGGAGTATCATTGACTGCTTTTCACAAGTTGGAATCATTGGGGTCAGTTCCCAAAGAACAAGTCTTATCTTTTATCCTCCACTACTACAACTATTACAATTACTACTACTGCCACTAACTCTCCTACAAATTCTCCCATAAATTCTTCCGATATTATTGACCTCACACATATATAATGTGGTATTTCAGGTACAAAACAATAGAAAAATAAAATATTTGATAATAGAGATGTATAGAAATACTTTGAGACTGTATATCAGTTTTTTTTATTCATAAATAAAAAGTGTCCCTTTTTATAAGAAAACACAATCTGCTCTTGTCATTACGTCTTAGTTTCTTAAGGCTTTCTTCCTTTACTATATTTGGTTATTAGAGTGTATTTACTGCTTAACTAGTGTCGGTGTTACAATTATGACATCAAGTCATAAATCATATTTCTTTAGCTCTTAGCTATTCTTTTCTCTTTTATACTAGAGCTTTAGGACTTCCTACTAAATTAGCTCCATATCGATCTGACACAGTTTACCCGGCAGTATGATATAATTATCTTAACAATCTTTAAGATATTATCTACAGTACTAACTGTAATAATTATTGGGCTGATTACTTAATCGTTTATATATATTTTATACTGACAAGATGATAGCTACTACGCTATTCCAATATGAATATGTTCTTATATGTGATAAATCCAACATCTGAGTGTCTGGATCACCACATATAACTTATCTATCTATCTTTTAATATACTTTACTCCTATTTTTTTCTTTAATTTTTTAACAAACACAATTGCATCCAGTCTGTTTTTAATTTTAATATTACATGTAAAACCCAGATACGAATATTATTGGCATCCAACTAATTGGAAGACTATATAATTGGCTTTTATTTTTTGGAGTACAAAGTCTGTGCATTTATAAGCAATCTGATTAAGATTTTCATCCAATCACAGACGTGGATTTTATCATAAAAGATGTAAAACAGAAACGACGCATAGCTTTTGATAGATTTCTGTTTTAATTCGAATGCTAAAGCTTGGATATTTTGCCGTATTGCTGAAAAAATATGTACATCTCTATATCCAAAATTTGAAGTTAATTTATTATGTTTTGGTTGAATAAACAAGCAAAATATACACTTTTTTCATGTTTTTAACCATTCAAGATAGATTGTTTTTGCTAATAAATATCTTTTCTACATAATAATATGGTCTAAAACTTTTACTGAAATGTTTTTTTTACTATTTTCTATTGATATAAAGCACTTGCAAGTGATTTTTACTAATGTTTTCAAATTGTTGTTTTTTTGTTCAATCTTTCACAAATGAAATGTACAGAACTTTTGTAATTCACTCATTAAACGTGATTCAAAAAATATTACAAAACAGACAAATACTCACTTTATGCAGAAAAAATCAACAAAACCAACCATCTTACTCTCATATTTCTATCTATTTTTTTGAACGAGTTATGAATTTTTTAAAAATAAATAAAAATGAAAATAAAAAGTTACGGACAAATGTTCTTCCACTTTTGCATGATTTTTCTTAGTGAATAAAGACAAGTGATTATACTGGATGGGGACAGGGGGGTGACTGGTTTTTGGGGGACAGGGTGTTACACACAGAAATGATGGATGTCTGCTGGACAAGTTAAAAGTAGTCACGCCTCTAATTATCTGCCAGATTACTCACTATAAGCTTGTGTAACACCCTGTCCCCTAAGATTTACATTGCTTGTTACATCAATGTGAAAGACGTGTGTCTCATATCCAGCAGGGTTCATGTTTGTTACGTTGAGAAGTTTTTAAATAGAAGATAAGATTGTAAAGACAAGAATACAAAAAGATGTTACTACTTATATAACTACAGGCAAAGAATTTTACTTTCAAAGATATGATTTTGGAATTTGCTTATATACTTAATTATACATACACAAAGACCTGAATATGATATGTTCATTAAATGCATTATATTTAGATACTTAAACAAATAAAGATAAGTGCTTTATATCAGAGTTTATTATCAGCTTTACAGAATACAAGTATTGCTCAGAGAAAAAATATAAGAAAACATATAGATATTTGGTTCAAGGAGACATTTTCAAGTGCACATGTTTAAATCTAAGAGCAAAAAATTGTGGGGTTTTTTTAGTAAGCCAAATATGGTGTTAAAATGGTCTCTAAAATAACGTCAAATCTTCTTTGGGACATTTAAAATTTATTTAGCAAGCCCTTTTAAGGCTGGCAAATGTTTAGAGCCAAATTACGTTTTTAGAACAAAGTGAAAATTTTGTCATAAAACCTACTACATAAAGTAATTTAATAGCTAAATTTGCAATTATTCACTTTTTTTCCATTCTTAAATAATTTGGCACATATGCTGGAGAAGACCACTATACACTCACTGAAGTTTTTTTAATCTTAACAATGAAAAAGAAAAAAAAAAGTGTTGATAAGGGTTTCCTTTTTAGGAAACTCAGACAAGTTTCAAGGGGGGTCTTCTTCAAATAGTAGAATTGGGGGGGGGGGGTGTGCAAACATTGTAAATTATTTTTTGGGCTCAAAAAGAATATATTTTATTTTGTTTCAAAAAAAGAAATAATTCTACTAAGTATTTTATAAGCTACAAGTCATTTCTTAATGAAAGCAGCTTTTACAGGTATGAGAAAGCTAATAAATAAGAAAGCATATTAATATAACAATTTACAGAATGTTTATTTAAGCAGAAAATACCTTTTATACTGAGTGTATATCTACTAGCTATCATTAAAAGCTTACTTAAGAGAAGTAAAGAAATAATTAGAATATGGGGCATAGACAGTGTACTGTTTTAATATATATATTTAGTTCATACCTAATGTTTCTATTGCAAAAAAGTCGATTATGTATCTGGACAAATATCATTGCTCTGCTGATAAGATTTGGTTCTGTAATCTCATCTTTGCATCGCCTTTGAAGTCTAGCAAGATTATGATTTAGTAAGAATTCAAAGAGATGTGTAATAGAAATAGTACTCACCACTGCAAAAACCATTGGGAATTATTATAATAATAGGTTTTGATTATCGGGATATTTTGTCACATAAAAATGAATTACTCGTAAATATTAAGGAAATCATAGTTGACAAGTTATTGAATAAAGTGTCAAAAATAATTGAATATTATCTTATTCCAAAAATAAAAACCGGGAGTTTAGGTATAATGTCTGTGTATCAACTGTTCTCGGGGATCAATTATATAGACTATTCCAAATGCAGAACAATGTATTATCTACTGCTGATTACACCTGTAATTTGATGTAGGCCTTGTTTTTGTAATAACAGGCATAATAACAGGGCACTTCTTTAGTGTTTATTGGCTAAATGAATCGAAGAAAAAATTCTCACAGGTGCAAATGCTAAGCACGAGTCTCTCAATTGGATATTGTTCCGTTTTGAAAAATGATTTTTTTATTTGTTTTTATATTGGATAAAAAAAGCCTTTTTTTTGGCAATAATAAGGATTCTATATAGTATTACTATTTAATACACTAATCTATTATATTGTACTTCTTATAAATTTTGTTTCAGAATTTTTTGAATTAATAAACTCGGATAGTGAGTATATATGCTTACTGAAGCTATTTGATTAAAGAGAGTAGAAAGATACTTACATACTGTTAGAATAATTTGTTAATAATGGAATAAAACACAGATTTATATTATCAAAAGCTATGAGCCGATGCATCATTCAAGTATATATTACAAAGAAAGGAATATAAAACATATACATACATATTTACTAAAGGAACATGTCTTGTTCTTGAGTACTGGTCATATAAGAATGTGAAGAACCATTTCAACTATAAAAAAGGAGAGTGAGAATGCTGATATAAAAAAACAAAACAAAATAAAAACAACACAATAATAAAATGAATAACACGTACCCTTATATTCTTTAAATGATTTGTTTTTACTGACCATATGTAAATCAAGGGTGAGCTATATTTAAAGTAGATGTTAGATATTGTTTTTAATACTGGGAAGAAGATGTTGATATAGATATATATGTACATGCCACCAATATGTTTTTGTGTTTTTTTTTGTCTGCACCGGTTATATCAGAGAAATATATGTAATGGCTATTTAAAGTAATTTATAGTTAGTAAAATAATGATATATTTAATAGTAAAGTACCTCTTGTATAATGAAAGACACCTGCATCATATGTATATATTAAGGGTGCCTAAAGTGAAACATAGTAGGATTAAAAGAGTGTTATTTTTATTAATATTATTAAAGAGTAGAGAAAAACAGAAAAAGGTGGGAAAATAAAAAACAGTGTTTGAAAAAACCGTAGACCCTGAAAAAGTTATTAGACTGTTTCTCTTACTTTGAAAAAAAAATTGTCTACTAATTATAGCTTTATATGTTTCATAAAACAATTGTTACTTACTATATACCTAAAGAAGTTGTTTTCTAGCTCAATTTTTTTTAAAATAATATATTTTGATCTCCTCGATCATTTAAATAAAGAAGTATTTACACACTCATACACTTGCTCAACTTGCTCGCTTAATCATTAACATAATTGTTTAATCACTCAATTACTCTACAATTCTTTACGTGTAAAGTACTCTCTTAAAAATTTATTAAAATAGAAATATCAAGCAATATATACCAGAAACTTATTATTTTATTATATAAAAATACAGATAATGGCTCCAAGAACTAACATCAACCAGAACGCACGTACCAATGGATCAACATCTAGGCCATTGATCAACGCAGTCAACACTGGGTGTATAGAATCGTCAAATCCAATGATTGCTCCTAGACCAGAAAATATGTCAATTCCAGTGTCAGAGTTTAATGATGTAGTCAGTCTTCTCACTACACTCAATGACAAAATGACAGCCGTTAGTTCCGATGTTAGTGAATTGAAAGGTAATTAAACACAAACTATATTGTTTTCCAATAGACTGACTATTTGAACAGTACAATGCCAGGTGGGTGCTCAATCGACTGGCATGCAAGCCGTTCTGGATCCTGATATGGATCCTCAGGACATCATAAGCAGCTCAAGTCACCCAAAGATCTCAGTAAGCTCAAATACTAAAATTATAAAAACAATCTCCCTTTAAATCTAACATCAATATACCTTTAATAGAGTATTATTCAGGGGCGGTTAAGAGATATTAATCTTAAGACAGATGATTTGGAGTTGATCAGAGAGAATGATGATAAACCAACTTGGGATGTCAATGTTGGTTTGTCTGACAAGTTTAACAAGAATCTTGCAAGTGATTTGATGCTTTACATTCGTCGTCAACCTGTAGCAGCCATGGTACCACCAAAAGAGCTATGTGGTATAATTGTAAACAGCTATTACAATCACTTGGCTGCTAGTAAGCTTACTGAAGAAGACAGACAGACAAACACTACCTCAAACAGAAGAGGAAATAGAAAGACTGCTGTAAGCATTTCTATTTATAATAATTCAATTTTGACAAGTATACTTAAAATATTATATATATCGTAGCTTAATAAAAGGAGAAAAAGAATGTACACAAAGCATAAGGATGCCATCACTGAAAAGTTTAATCGGGATTATAATGGCGTTTTTTACAGAGATGCAATGTCTGGTGATGAGACAGAAACCGATACTTCTGTTGTTGCATCTCGTCCTGATTGGCGTAGTGATGAGGTAATGTTTTATATAAAATGGTTTTTCTGTTGTTTGATTCCTGATGTATATATACATTTATAGTTGAATACCGTGTTTGACTTTTTTGATGAGCTCACCAGAGATGACTTGGGAAAAAGAGCAACGCAGTTGAAGTCGCGGAGTCATGTGTTAGTACACGAGACAATTCCTCGTGGCTTGGTCACAAAAATGCCTACGTGGTCAAAACGCGTATAATAAAATTTCTGTCTTTTTAGTTGCACTCTTTATCACATCTCTTTTTATGTCTATGAACTATGTTTTATATTATTATTATTATTTTAAAAAAAAGATAGAGTATTTTATTAAGCGTACAGCTTTCTTGGCAGAGGAATAACAATGACTTTTGCTGCACCGCTACCAGACACATGACTTCCAATTGCAATTGGCGACAAGATGCGGTGGACAGGCAGAATGTTGTCGTAGTCATACTTCAGAAATTCTGGCTCATACAACTCGATGCCCTGCTTGATTCTAGGTTGATGGCGAGGAATTTTGTACCACTCAACGAAGACAAATACGTGTTGGGGGTTGTGACAAGGGGAAAGGTTGGTGTGCGTGAGGTTTGGTGTAAAATCGTGCAAGAACAAGTACTTAATACGACCAGCATATCTTTCCTCAGAGTCTCCACTTTTTTCAATAAATTTCGCTTATATATGCGATCCTCTCACGACCAAGCCTTCTCCACCTGTGTAAACTTGTCCAAGAAGATTGATGGACGAAATCTTCTGGATTCGGTCATTCACAAACCAACAATTCCTGATTGTTGTCTTGGCACTGCAAAGAGAATCATCGTCATACTCAATTTTATAGAAATCGAGCAGACAATCATACTCGGATTTTCTCATTGTTGTTGGTGGCTTCAAACACAATGGTAGAGCGGAAAGAGGTAGAGGTTTGTTGCCAAATGTTTGCTTTGAAGGCTTTTCAGCGGATTGTAGGAACGTTGGCAAGTGAAAGAATGATGGTATCAAAGGATGTGGCGAAAGTGCAGGATTATAGATTTTATGACCAGACAGCTTGAGAAAGAGAGAGAGGAGTAAAGGGCTGGTAACATTTCTGAGATGCGCTTGACAAAAGTCACCATTGTAAGAACTCTCAAGAAATCTTTTCATGTAGGTATTCTCGAACCCACTCTTCTGGTTTGTCTCAAACCCTTTCAATACACCATTATAGCGCTCAAAGCTAAATAGCCAAAATCCGTAAATTGGCCCAAAGTCTTCAATTGTTTCTTTTAGATGGAGATGGAGATGCATGTTTTGCGTGAATACATCTGGTTTATAAAAGTCTTCACAACCAACACAGAACTCCTCCAAACTTTCGTGAGCTTTTTTGATCCCATTTTTGGTGATACTTGGCTTCGTCAATTCTCTGCATGCATCGACAAAATGGATCCAATTGCCAAGCAGATCATCTCGCAGGCGTGTCTTAAGCAGAACAGGAGAGTATATCAGGCACCATGATTTCCACTCATCTGCCTTCATAAACGGAAATTTCTTTCCAATCTTTATCTTCAGAGTCGTATACCCTACAGGGAGTACCATTCTATTAGCCTCTTCCTGCATCTCTACAAAATCTTTGTCATCAAGCAAATTGTTTGCAATCCAAATATCCATCATTCGTTTTGCAGTCCCGAGAAAAAGGTTGTGCATGGGATCGATAATGGTTGCACGCACTAGCTCAAAGTACACAAGTCGATGAAGCTCAGACCAACGAACACCATTCTCAATCTCCAATCGCTTTCTCTCTGTCAATGTCTTTGCATTCTTCAACAGGTTTGCATGTCTGCGATTTTCTTCTTTTGTGCGGCCTACCCATTCCGAAAACTTAAGCCCAAAATAGTTTACAGCAGTGGTCCCATCAACACGAGCAAACTGACGATTGCATTTGTAGCATGCACATGTGCTGTTGTGAGATGTAAACCCACACGTCTTTCTTGCAGCAGGGATGTCGCATGCAACCATCAACAGAGCAGCACGCACCAGAGCACCTGAGCAGTTATATGTATCAATTGTGATACCTTTATACAATAGCATAAGTTCATCAACAAGAGGACGCAAATAGTTATTGATCTCGTCGGTGCTTGCTTCTTTAGGTCCAGGCATCAATCCAACAAGAATGACATTTTCTGCCTTGTTCTGCTCTTCTCTCGGCAGATTGTTAATTGTCAGGTATATCGCACCACAAGAATATGTTACTCCATCAAATGGTTGAAACCAATCAATGTTCAGTGTCAATAGTAATGATCGTTCCTTCGAAACAAACTGGACACCATCCTCATCCACTAATTCGTTCCACATCTTTCCATCATATACATCGAATAAAGTACCGTCGACTTTTGGTTCACGATTCCATCTGTTGATCATACTCTCAAAAGAAGGACGTGTAAACATTTTTTTCAAGGTAGTTGTCAACGAGTTATAAACAAATGTGCACTTTGGAATCATGGCGTTCTTCATACTAGACTTGTAGAGATCATTCTTACAATGCGTCTTACTACCAACTCTTTTGAAATTGCAGGATGTATGTGTGTTGTTGCTGTAATCGTATAATGTGTGACAATTACTGCATGCTACATATTTTGATACGCTGTTTGTCAAGTCATTGTATCCTGTCATTTTCCTCAAACCCGGAATGCTTGTGGGAAGTCGGAAATCCTCTCCATAATGTTCGAGGATTGTATTTATGAATGTAATCAAAATTACTGCGCCTTCATCCACAATGAAGCTAGAAATAAATATCACAGTGAAAACCGCAATTACTCGATGCCAAATATTCTCTGGAGGGTTTTCTGTAGACTCTGTAAGTTATCATAAAATAATATTAATTTTTTGTTTCTTTAATTCAAACCTTTTTTCTTCAATCATAGTTTATTTTTAATATTTACCCTGTTCTTGCTCTCTGTTCTGTTCTTCTTGCTCAAATTCATCCGACGACTCATATTCAGACTCATACTCTGAGGTATACTCCTCTGTTTCAAAAAGAGATTCTTCCACCAAAAGAGGTAAGTGGGTATTGACATACTGCTCTGGTGAGGGTGCACCATCGGAGTAATTATCATCTATTGGTACCGAGTTTAAATAGAGTGCGCATTGGGTACACCACAGCAGATTTTTTTGTGTAATCTTGTTCCTTAAAAGGATTCTTGTATACGGGGCGAATTTTGCCCATAACAGGAAATTCATTTTTTTGGGGGACTGAAAAGTGGGGGGATGGGGGGACTACTCTCGGCCAATAGATTTCGATTAAAAAATGTACTGCACAATTTCAAAAATGGTTCAAATTTTTAATTTGTTTCAAATAATTTTGGGTTGTAAAAAATTTATTTTTTATTTTCGAAAAAAATTAGGCTAAAAAAAGCTAGACTGGACCATAAAATCCACAGGCAGTAGCACACCAGTATATCCATACCACTAGAAACACTAGTAGTATAACTGTTTGTACTTATGCCTGTAAATTACGCGATCGGTTTGCTGCAAACTACTATGTCTAGCTAATCCAAGAGACCCGGTGCCAGATATTCCAATAAACCCAAAGAGCATAAAGATTTGAATTTCGAGAAAAGCTAAAGCAGAAGAACTAATAATTAGTAATTAAACTTAGTTATATATATTTAACAGAATTTTACCTTTGACTCTATTAAGGCATTTGCAATAAAAGGCAGCCAAATCTCTGCAAGTGAGAAGTAAATAGTTAGTCTTCTGTTGCTTTGTAAGAGGAACATGTAGTTATTACCTCTTTATTGATTTACCGAGATGATGAAAAACTAATTTATAAACTAGAATTGTATGATTAATAAACACAATGACATAAAAAACTTTGATAGCATAAATACCTTTGAGCTTACGGTCTTTAAGCAAAATTCTGCTTCTATAAATATTATAAGCATACTGGAATATCTTACAAATGAAAGCTCATGCAAATAATAAATATTTTGTGGAAAAGTAAAATGAAAAAGAAGACAAAAACACGCGATATTTTCTTAAAAGAAAAGAAGTAAAAAAAATTCTAATTGGTCCGCTGACATTAAATATCGATCTTTCCACATTTTATAAATTCAATTATTTTCGCAAAGTCATTTTCCCCCCTTTGTTTTTACAATCAATTTACTATTATGCAAAAGAATACAAGACAAGAAACATGTGGTGATCCAGACACTCGGATGTTGGATTTATCACATATAAGAACATATTCATATTGGGATAGCGTAGTAGCTATCATCTTGTCAGTATAAAATATATATAAACGATTAAGTAATCAGCCCAATAATTATTACAGTTAGTACTGTAGATAATATCTTAAAGATTGTTAAGATAATTATATCATACTGCCGGGTAAACTGTGTCAGATCGATATGGAGCTAATTTAGTAGGAAGTCCTAAAGCTCTAGTATAAAAGAGAAAAGAATAGCTAAGAGCTAAAGAAGTACGATTTATGACTTGATGTCATAATTGTAACACCGACACTAGTTAAGCAGTAAATACACTCTAATAACCAAATATAGTAAAGGAAGAAAGCCTTAAGAAACTAAGACGTAATGACAAGAGCAGATTGTGTTTTCTTATAAGAAGGGACACTTTTTATTTATGAATAAAGACAACTTATATACAGTCTCAAAGTATTTCTATACATCTCTATTATCAAATATTTTATTTTTCTATTGTTTCGTACCTGAAATACCACAAAACATATAAAATTGTTAAGACTTGCCCCCCTAAAAGGCAAGGCGAACTTAACTTTAGCATCAATTCAGGTGTTTTTACCTGCTCTGAATGCGAAAAAGAGTTCGAAAAGCCTTGGTTATTGAAAAGGCATTTGAAGGTTCACCATATAAGTAATTAAATGGCAACCAATACTGTACTCGACGAACCCGAGCAGGCCAAATTGATAGTCGAGAACACTATTCTGGATGCTAATGCATTTGATTACTCGAGTGACGAAGATGACTCCTCCAGTATCGGGGATGAAGAAGACAACATTGTAGACGAGGAAAACGATATTGTCGATAATTTCTTTGATATTGAAATGAACAGTAATCCAGTTTTCAACGCGTTCTCTGACATGTTTTCTTCTGCTGCTGCTTCTGATGAGGTATCAATGACCGATGATGACTCTGAGATCCCGGAAGAAGTCTTTGAGACAATTGGCGCTGTAAATGACCCTACAAGCTGTTATCCTTTTCGCGATCTTCAAACCATGATCCTTTTTGCTTTTATCGATGGGGATAACGACATGATCTCCCAGCGAATGTTGAAGAAGATACTGCTTGCAATGAACTTGATCATTAAGATCCAGCAAGAAACTCCCATAAGAAGAACATTTAAGTTACCTCGTTTGGATGCTCTTTTAAATTATCAGGCAAGAAAGAAGTCCAAGATGCCTGTCTTTCCTTCACAAAGAATATCAGTACCTGGATCAAACGGGAACGCATTCGCCCACATTAACCTTCTGTCTGATCACTTGAGATTTCTTATGGCAAACCCAAAGAAATCCAAGTTGATCTTGTCCATGCCCGATCGTACCCCAAACCAATCGATCTGTTTGGAACAAGGTGAAAAGTGGAGAACCCACCATCTCTTTCAGCAGCCTATGCACACTGTAAATGGTATAGATGTCTGGTTTGGAAACATCGTTTACTTGAAGACAAACGATTGCAGCATCCGCTTTTTGGTTGAATTGTTCCACATGGCAAATAAAAACATTTTTGCGAGAGGGTATCTGGTCAGAGCGATTTCGATTGTATGCTATGGCGTTGAGGTTGCTGTTACCGATCTTAGAGTAGAGCAGATCTCTCACGTTGACACCACTCCTGTTGAAAGAGATCACTACTACAGTATCTCAAGTAGCCTTACCAGATTGAGTCCTGCTCATGACTTTCTTCTTTTTGGAGTTCATCCAATGAAGAAGTCTATGCCTCTTTCTGTTTTGCCCGGTAATGTAGATCGCGATGCAGTGTTTTACAAAGTTAGGATTGTTTCAATCATCCTTTTTACAGACGACACTTCCGGCAATCGTTCAAAGCAGTACAATCCATTTGAAAGCTGGTTAATGAGATGCGCTGCCTTGCCTTTTAAGGATCGAAATTCGATAGCAAACATCTAGTTTCTTTCTACAATCCCTAAGAAAGATGGTACAAATGGTATGTCTCTTCTGCCAGCAATCATTGATGACTTTAAGAAACTCGAGAAAGGTGTAAAAATGTTCTCCGCTGAAGACAATGAGTATGTTCTGGTTGTTGCTCCCATCCTTTGGATTGAGGCTGACACGCCATGTCATTCGGAACTTTGCGGATTGCTTGGGCCGGCCACCACATTTCCTTGCAGAAGATGCTACATCGAACTTAGACGTGCAAAAGACTTTGTGAAGGACTTGTCCTACTTCTGTGAGTGCCATGAGAGACGAACTCGAGAGCACTATGTTCTTGCAAACTCGTCACCTGGCAGAGACACTGAGATCCCAAATGCTCCGAAAATTGGAATGAACACGCCTGCAAATGAGATAAGCTTTAGAGATCGTTCAACTGGCTGCTTATTAGAATTGCAGTCGTTTGATCCAGAAAAGGATACACCAGTGGAAATCCTCCACACGATACTTCTTGGTGTTGCAAAGTATATGGTAATTGACTTGGTTAAGGTCGTGCTTAAGAATGACACAGCCACAATAGCAAGACTTTCAGAATTCTTGACAGATTACACGCGATCAACTGGTCTATCAAGAAAGTTCACCCGAAACTTGAGACATAGTAGTTCATTCCTCAGTAGAGATTTCAAGGTTCTGCTTCAAATACTTCCTGTAATTCTAATTACAGAATTCTCTGGAAATCATGAGCTAGACCTTGTAATACCATGCTTTGTTGAACTTGGCCGATTGTGTTCTCTGGTATTCGTTCGTCAGGTGACATCAGACTTTGATAACTATATTATCAGAGTAGATAATGCAGTGAAGCGCTTGATCAGAGCATTATTTGACTACAATAAAGGAACCAAGAACGAGCTCCACAAGGCATATTGCACCAAGCCGAAAGTTCATTACTTGACACATCTCAAGGAAGATATAATTCGTTTTGGCCCAGCCCTCAATTATGAAACAGAAAAGGGCGAACAGTTCAATAAGCACATTCGCGAACATCTGTTTCATACAAATCGCCAAAACACTTCCAGGGATGTTTGCCTAAAGTTTGCAAAGCAGGTAGCATTGCAACATGTAATTGACGGCGGGTCGTGGATTAATAGCTCTGGCAACCAAGAGAAGTCTGGAACTGGAATAGAGAGGTTCATTAAGGACAACAATGAATCTTTGTTCTATTACACCTTCTTTGGCGGCTCGAGAGAGCTAAAGGACAACAACAACACTGGAGATATTGAAGATGACGCCGTCCAAAACAACAGTTTTGGCGCGTTTGTTTTTAAAGATGATCCAATCTCTCGCCCTCGTATAGGACTTGTCTCAGGCTCTGTTGTTAAGTTTCTTAGCATTGTTCCTCGTACGGATAATGACAGAAACAATAACTATGCCAAGGCTGTAATGACAGGTGAGCATTCTGATGTTGCTAACATGAATCTCGTTTGTAAGTTAGATTTACACATTTTCCGCAACCCATTTTACATTGTAAATTTGAGCAAGTTCGGTTCCTACTGGTTCATTTTCAATAATATTCTTTTTGATGAATAAAATGATGCTACTTCTTTATTATTATTATAATTATTATTTGAACCTTCTGTTTTCTTCTTCTCAACATCAATTTTTTTGCGTAATTTCTGTGAAGTCATTTTTTGGTTACTCAAACGAACCCCCAACTTTCCTTAATAAATCCTTTGTCTCACTTGAACACTTTCTGACTTCCCTAACAGTTTTTTTTCTTACTTTAAAAGCCCACAAGTAGTACTGAACTTAATTTTATCCTTTATTCGGATGAAAAAAATTGAGTACGAAAACAAATTACAATATTTTGGCCTCTAAGCCAATCATATTGCTTAGGTGCCAATTTTCACCCAAAATGATAACAAAAATCTCTGGTGGTGTATAAAAAATAAAATACTATTACATTCAATATGTTCTTCAATTTGATCTACGTCCATATCAGCTTCACCAGTGTTTACTTCGGCTGTCAAAACTATTTGTTCTAATGGATTAGAATACATCATATAAATAAATGAAAAATTGATAACTTAATTTACCATTAATGGTTTTATCCATATTCCTGTCATTATCATTCTGGGCATGACGCTTGGCAGTTCTTTTATCTGTCATGGTGTATCCAAGAGGATTGCGATTGCATCTTGTGCATTTGCAACGAACTTCATCGGGATTGGCAATGGAAAACATTTTTTCACTTAATTTTTTTTAATAATAAAGGAAGTGTGTAACAGCCGTTGCTTATTATAATTGTCTTTATTATTTTGAAAAAATTCTCTCAGGGACTCTGATATATATTAGGCCAATGATATGTCTTTAAATATATTCTCGCTGCTAAACACAGGAAATGACCTGGGTTGTAATTTTTTGGCTACTATTATCGATAATTCCAGGTAAGTGGAATTCAATTATTTTAAGGTGTTTTTGCAGTGCACTTTAATAAACTTCCACAATATAATATTATCTGGCTAGATTACACTTGCGGTTTATTTTTAAACGATGATATAAAAATAATGAAAAAAGAGACAAGTAAGCAACTAGAAAATTAGCCTAAAGTCTATTATGTCCCTTTGTTTTTTAGCAGTCTCGGGATCTTATAAGTGATGGCACTATGTCAAGAATCAGTGTATATGAGTACTTTTTTGTTTTATTCTTAGCAGTATTACTATTAAAGAAAGTCTAAATGATTATAGAAGAATATAATAATATTAATGGTACATCAAAAATAATATAATAGCAACAAAATTAATGTAAACTTTTGTCATTATTGCTGACAATTACTGTGACAATGCAAATATATATAATATAGTTCTCATTAAAATCTACTATAGTAATGTTGGCATTAGTTAAACCATTGTTATTTACTTCTATTACTCAAAAAATAATAAAAAATATTTCTTAATGCTGTATATTATGGCATGCAGTTGAGGATGTTCAATGACATGGCAAAAAAACACAAATGATGAAAATGACTTAGAGAAAAATTATGTTTTCCAATAAATTTTGTCCAATTAAATCTTCTGTTTTCCAACTCTCTGTCATTCTCCCCCCATTTTATACATTTATATCATCTGAATTTTATTTATGATACACGAAAATATTATTTCATCCTTTTCTGGCATATGTCTCATCATTTTGCCCCCCCTAAATGTGAAGCTTTTCATGTTTAATCTCAATTCATACTCTAAGCCAATAGAAAATTTGGTTTTGACAAGAAATTTCCATATTTAGAAGAAATCTCAGTGGGTGTGTAGTGATTTCCAAAATTCAAAAAAGACTGTTTCGCTTTAAAGTCTATGAATTTTTCTCCTGGTAAGGTGCTTTCGGAATTGTTTTTTGATAAAGAATTTTTTTATAGAAAAACAATAATGTTCCTATTTTAGAAGTATATTTTTTTTAAAAAAGGAACAATAATTTTAAAGACCATAATTTTTATACCTGCTCTCTAGCATGGTGACACGTAGGGTACTTGAGGGAGCAGGTGTAACTAATTACAAGTCTACTATGAGGAAGAACGCTCTAGTTGAATAGTGTTTATAGCCGGGTTACTAGCTAGCAAGGGTTGTATTCCCAATTGGAGGCGTGGTAATGAGGGTCAATAAACTACAGTTAAGAGGAAACGTTCTCAAGACAATAGAACTGCACCCAGTATTTAATTAGGGGTGTCAAATAATATTTATGACTAGGCGTATGGGGATGAAATCAGTTGTCAAAATGAATAAAAATGGGAAAGTGTTTTTAACGAGGTAAAAAGGTTACTTTATTGTTCTTTACTAAACTTCCTCTGATAATGGCCTCCTCTGCCAACTTCGTCTACCTACTCTACATCTACTTCAGTCTCCTCTTGCCACTTCTCACTTTCTCCGCAGTGTGGTGGCCACCAACCACCACGCCCACCATCTCAAGGGATAAAAAAATTTTAATATCCAAATATAGATGTATATTTTTACTATATCAGAGCATTATTGGAGAATCACTTTTATCTTACTGTTATATATTATTTTTAGGGTCTTTTTTGCTATACAAACCGGTAATTTCAACTCAAAATAGTACATGGTATGCTATCTTGCACCAAGTGCTTTGCTTAAAATCGAATATTACATGCTTCTTCATAGTGATAATGCCACAAGAAAAGCATTCCTTTAATATGCTTTCAAATAAGTTTATATCTTTGGAGTATAGTACTGACTATAACACCAACGTATTATTTATTACACGACATCTATATTTGGCATATATTAATCTTCTAAAAAAGGAACATTATTGTTTTTCGATAAAGAATTCTTTATCGAAAAACAATTCCGAGAGCACCTGTAGAGAGCAGGGGGAAAAAATAATTAATACCTATATATGGTGATTTCCATAATTCCTATCAACACTGCGTGTATGAATCATCTTGTTTTTACTATATTATCCCATTTTCTAAGCTTTTTTATATATATTAAAATTAATATTTTTTAGAGAAGCATGCAATACATTATTTTAAATAAAGTATACTGTTCCGAGCAGTATAGTTTGTACTTCTTTAACAAGAAATGGGAAAAACAATTGATTTAAATATGCTATATGTTCAAACAAGATCATATCTCTTGAGTGTAGTAATGATTACAACACTGACTCAAAATTACGTAAATAGCACCTATACTTGATAATTAGCACTATCCTAAATATGGTGTTTAGTAAAGTAATCAATAAGAAATTTTATATCAATAACTAATTCCGTGAACACCTATAAGATACAAAAAAGTGTATTGGTAAATGAATAAAATCTCACATATGTTAGATAGCAGAGTTATGTAATAATCCATAACAGGCAGGAAGTGGGAAAGGAGTCGAATGAAAAGCTCCCCCTGGGCGGCCTCCAGAGAACCCCCAGGGGCACCTCTTTTTTTCCCGTAGTGACGAGTAGTTTTAAAAGATGTTGAAATTAGAAAAATAATAGAAAAATGAATAGATTTGATAAATAGAGTATCATATAGTCTATATAGTAGTCTAAGGTAGACATATCTTATGCCTGATGCCTGATGTGACACTCAAGATTCGCATTTCAGAAAAACTTTCAGGAATAAAAACCCCGATTTTTTTCCAGTATGAGATTTCAGTACATGAATGATTGGTGAGCTTTAATATTCAATTGTGACTGGTTATAAATTACCATATAACTCCCTGATCTGCAATAGTGCGTTATGCTGCGCTTCTAATTAGCTTTCAACCTTTAATCAATTGTCAATGCCTGCTATGAACGTAAATTCTCGCGAGAATGATTATAAAATCAATTACAACAGAGGAAACTCTAAAATTATTGCTGACACAATATCAAGCAACAAACAAAATCAAGAAAAGAGAGCCAAATCAAAGAGGGCAGCGGCTGTTGCTGCAGAAAAAAAGACTTTAGCAATGAGTTACTCCAAAATTGATCACTCCCAACAAGACAACTCTGACGATGATCTAGTAATAGCTCCTCGTAGATTGCAATCTAAAAAAGCGTTAGTTAAGTCAGTAAAGGCTATAGACATCTACAATTCGGAAGATGAAGACACGCCATTCGCTTCAATCGCTCAAAAACGAAAGCAATGCAATATCAAAAGTAGCAGTGAGTCAGACTTTGACGATGAAACTCTTCCAAAACGTAAACAGCCTAAACACTCTACAAATACCAAAAGACGTACGGTCGAAAGTAATGATGAGTATGAAAATGAAGACCAGAATGAAGAACAAGACAATCAAATAAAACACACTAGACTCCACTGTATCCCCGGAAAAGGCCTACCACGCATGTCACGAATTACTCATGGATACAATCCTGTGTCTGCCTTACGACGGCCCTTTGTCGTACCGTTTAAAAATAAAGAACAAAGCACACCAAGCATGTCTGGCTTTGGTCTCCAAAGAACGCTTGGTATGCCCCGACGTCGGGCAGAAGCTCGACCGATGTATGACTTTAATGCAGATGGAGCGCTTATATTATGGGATCCTGAAAAAGATGTAGTACCGGAAGAGCTTATTGAGAATGAGGATAAAGAGCCAACACCGATATGGGGAGGCCGTCCGAACAAATCCATAGCAGAGATGGTTGGATTAGCACAATCCAAGGCAAAGAAAACTCATGTTGTAGTTGACCCCAACCTAGTAAAGATTCTACGGCCTCATCAAGTCGAAGGTCTGAAATTCCTTTACCGTTGTACAACTGGAAAAGTAAATAAAGATGCCTTTGGGTAAGTTCCATCCTCTACTTAACATCGGTGCTTCTATGCACTATATACTCAATTTTTTCTTTTGATTTCCAGGTGCATAATGGCCGATGAAATGGGTCTAGGGAAAACAGTAAGAATATCTCTATATATATATATATCTGTTTACTCTAATTAATATTAAATTCTTACATCTGGCATTACCATCCTTTTTCTTTCTTTAGTTACAATGTATTGCGCTCATTTGGACACTTTTACGACAATCGGAAGTATTAGGCAAACCTACCGTCCAGAAAATTATAATTACTTGTCCTTCAAGCCTTGTGCTCAACTGGGCAAACGAATTCGGTATTTATCGATACAAAGAGATGGATAGAGAGAGAGGGAGAGAGAGAGAAACTTCACCTCAATATGTTGACTTATCACAATGCCTGTTTTTTTTACGATTTTATTCTATGCCAGTAAAATGGCTTGGAGAAATGGCTATTAGACCACTCGTACTTAATAACACAGATAGCAAAGAAAAAACAGCCGAATTAAAACAATGGGCAGCAAAACAAGGGCAGCTAGCAAATCCAGGTAAGGTACATAGTTAGTCTATAACTAGTACACGGATAAAAAAATGCATATATACTAAAACTACATGGAACCATCTAGTACTTATTATATCCTACGAGAGTCTTCGTGCTTACGGCAAATGCTTGTCGAAATGCCCCATTGGGCTATTACTATGTGATGAAGGACATCGGTTAAAGAATGGAGGTATATTGTTTATCTTTATTTTCATTTTGCTTTTTACTTATATTTATATTGCGTACACACACATACACACATATTTATATATATGTAATTTTCTTCTTCTTGTTTTTGTCCGCAAATCTAGATTCATTACTTTTCCAGGAGCTCAATCGCTTGCAGGTCAAGCGTAGGGTTATTCTTTCAGGAACACCAATTCAAGTAAAATTAGTTAACAAACTACAACTAAAATAAATACTAAAATCCATCGTATAGAATGATTTGAACGAGTACTATTCGCTATTTAACTTTGTTAATCCTGGACTACTTGGAACACCAACAGAGTTCCGCAGAAATTACGAAAATCCTATTGCTAAAGGCAGAGATGCGGATGCATCAGATGCAGAACGAGAAAAAAGTGACAAAAAGGTCGCTGAATTTTGGTCAATAGTGTCTAAATTCACTATTCGCCGAACCAATGACCTTTTGACTAAATATCGTATGTACTAATGCTATTTCTACCTTTATTTTCATAAAGCAAATATGGGCAAAGCTTTAACATTTGTTTTATTACAGTCCCTGTGAAGTATGAGCATGTTGTCTTTTGTCAACTTGCTCCTGTTCAAAAGAGTTTATACAAGACATTTTTAGACTCCCCTGAGACCAAAAAGCTGCTGCAAGGAACAGGAGCTCAGCCTTTAAAGGTAACGCAGAACCCTTAAATTAATGATCCATACTTTATTAACTATATCTTTCTTTATTTTATCACAGTATATCACAATGCTTAAAAAACTGTGTAATCACCCCGGTCTTCTTGATCTCCCGAGAGAAATAGAAGGTTCAGAAAAAATATTACCTAGTGGGTACATCTCTAAAAGCAATCACAATTCAAATATCGATGCTTCACTTTCTGGGAAATTCATGGTACTTGAACGGTAAACTATACTGACAATTTTTCCGGCTTAAACAAGAAATAAGTGTGCTGCTCACTCATCGGCTACCAAATGTTCTGTAGTATGCTATCAAAGATTAAAAACGAAACAAAAGACAAGATTGTTCTGATCAGCAATTACACCCAAACTCTTGATTTGTTTGAATCGTATTGCCAACAAAAACGGTATGTGTGATCTATTCTGTCTTTAAGACTAATAATAATAATAATAATTTTAAAACTCTAGCTACGGTGTTCTACGGCTTGATGGTACCTTAAATGCAAAGAAGCGCCAGAAACTCGTGGATCAATTCAATGATCCAGAGGGCGAAGAATTTATCTTTCTTTTAAGTAGCAAGGCTGGTGGTTGTGGGCTAAACCTGATTGGTGCTAATCGACTAGTATTGTTTGATCCTGACTGGAACCCAGCAGCAGATCAGCAGGCACTTGCTCGAGTTTGGCGTGATGGTCAAAAGAAAGATTGTAAGTAAAAGCTTCGGAGGCTGTGATGGGAATTTTTTGGTCCCTATAATTATCTATTATAGTAGTTTAACTAATCAATTTTCAAAAGGCTTTATTTATCGTTTAATTGGAGCTGGCACTATAGAAGAAAAGATTTTTCAAAGACAATCGCACAAACAATCATTATCCAACTGTGTAGTAGATGAGGCTACCGAATCAGAAAGACACTTCTCAGTTGCAGATATGCGCCAACTGTTCCAGCTCAATACAGAAAGTGAATGCGAAACTCATGATACTTTTAAATGTTAGTATATTCTCGTTATATATGTATGGGTCTTAATATAGTTATAACCAAACTAATGGAAAACTGTAAAAAATCTAGGCAAGAGATGTATTAGTGGAAAACAATATAAGGAAGCTGAATCAATGAATTATGGTGACTGCAGCACGTAAGTTTTAAAAAGAATATAAATGCTCTCACTTCGCAAGTATCTTTCCTTTAACATGGTCAAGATATCGTTGATTAGTTGGAATCACTTCACCAAGGATCTTAATAGAATTCCTGATTTTATTCTTGGAGACGAAAGAAACAAAGGTGTTGTATCTTATGTCTTCCAATTTGTGTCTTCGATGAAATGAAACATACAAAAATGGGGGGCATATTTAAGTATCCTCACATTGTAAGATACTTGTAGAAATAAGACAATTAAATTGACTTTGATTAATTCTCTCATTTACGCGGTTTCCACGTACAATAAACAATTCAAAAGAAATTAATGATGGGTATAGTCCTTCCCTAAATCAAATTATAATAATGTATACTTCTAAAAATGGAAGATTAATCTGCTATCAATAGCGATTTTTCACTACGTAGTCCTACTCCGTGAGCACCTTTGGTGTAAATGAGTATGGCTCTTTGTGTCAGCCCCTTCTTCCCCCTATTTTATTTTCTTTTACGTCACACTCACAAGCCATCTACACTAATTTGATTCACAGTCAATAGACTATCGCAAGTAAGCACCAAAACATACGACATCTTTCAATCTTTCACCCTCTTACTAATCCGATTCAAGCGCATAAAAGTATAGAATGTCTTCGCCAGAACAGGCATGTGGATAAAAAATTATTAACCAAGGTGCATCAATGGGTATTATAATACTTACATATACAACACAGGACATTCTTCGGACCCAATTCGACCAATCACCTTTTGCGCAAGAGTTATTGTCAAATACCAAGCGACAGTCGCCTACAAAACTTGTCGTTTTTGACTTTGACTCGACACTCTTTCTCTCGCCAGGACTCAGCCCTTCAATCTGGAATCAACTTTTCATCACTAACTTGACTAGCGAAAATTTGCTTGGGCCTGGATGGTGGAGAGATATACGTAGCCTGAAAGTTGGGGATGAAGAAGAACTCAAACGCACAGCCTGGGAAGGCTTTTGGAATGAAAATATAGTTTCAAATGCCCGCAAAGCAATATCCGATCCATTAACTATGACTGTTGTATTAACTGGCCGTCGGTTCCATCCTTTTAATAAGGTGGTATTACCCATGTTAGAAAGTAAAGGCCTTCAATTTGATTTGGTTGGGCTGAGGCCAGATCCAATAAGGCCAGATACAGGCGCCATTGTGGATCCATTGCGTGGCGAACTCGTCTTTAATTGTCAGCCGTCAATATTTACTTCTACTATGTCGTTCAAGCTGGCTTTCTTACGCAATATTTTCAGCCGTGTGCCTAGCTTATGCTCGATTACAATGTTTGATGACAGAATTGGACACGTCAAGAAATTTTCAGCATTTGTGAAACAATTAAAAGACGAGAGAATCATTAAGAATGGCAACGTGGTTTATATAAAAGGCATCAGGCCAAAATACAATCCAGAATGGGAACATAATGTTGTTCAAAGTATACTGGATTCATACAACAAGATATGCCGAGAAAAGGGTCTAGAGAGAATGAAAGTGTCTCTCACAGATGTACCATCAGGCATCATTATCAAGTTAACTAAAAGCACGACAGAAAGTCTTCTTTCATCATACAACGATATATACCAGAACGCCATTAGCAGCAGACGACAAAAACATCACGTATGGGGAGAGCAGCCAGAGTACTTTGGAAATATGGTTATTCTTAATACTCGCCTGCCAGCGAGCAACTATACACCGTTTGGAGGGATAGGAAGTAATGTGGACATCACAGTTATTGCTTATTCAAAACCTTCAATTGAACAAGGCATGATATTGAAAGTAAACCTAAAACAAGCCAACGAAGATTATTATCCATCACATACATACATTCTTCCTTTGTGGAACAAGCCGTCTGAACAACAGAATTTGATTAGAGCTAAGTACAACTGGATAAATCTGGAGGGACCTTTGTATTTGAAAGGCAAGGTGGATTACATGTATCTACTTGGACTTGGATTCAATAAGGCGTTGAAAAGAAAGGCTCCTTTCTGACATAAAAAGAATGCATCAATTCGCCATAATCCAGCGTACAGTAAGTAGTAACATTTATATATATATATATATATATAGTTAATATGAGAAGACAAGAGGTCGACATCAAATAGTGATAAGTTGTAGAGTAAAAAGGATACAACCAGTATACATATGTATATATATTAACTTATTTTAATATCATATATTCTTTCTTTGTCAAATAAAATAACCACTGTTGCTTGAAATTATGGCATTGGGTTTACAAAGGTGTTTGTCATATACTGTTCGTGTATACTTATGAAATATATGTATGATTTATTCATTTATCAAAAGAAAAAAAGAAGCTTTATGCTTAAATTGCTTCTTTTAATACAAGCATCCAATTTTCTGTCGATTGAAAGACTTTAAATAAAATATAATAAAACATATGCGAATATAGTGTAAGGTGGAATTTGACAAGATTATATTACTTTTATTAACATTACTTTTTGGTTTTATTTTTTTTTAACCACGGCCTCGTCGATTTTTTAGGATTATATTTTTTCTTTTTTGATTTGGAAGGGGTTTTAGGGGGAGGGGGAGGTGTTTTGAGAGGAGGGAGAGGGGTTGTGAGTCCTGATAATTCGGATTTGGCTATTGCGGCAATCTTATCAACCTTGGATTTATCAATGTGTGATCTGATCATAGACTTGAGAAGATATCGCCAGGTATGCTTGTTGGGAACAATCTTTTGTTCTCGCATATCCTTAAATATAATGAGTGACATGGTGGCATCTCGAAAAATAGCACAACCCTGCAAAAGGGCTGTGTATGTCTCAACGGTAGGCTCAACGTTATTAGATCGCATATGTCTATAAATTTCTACCGCCTGTTTGATGTTGGTTTTTGAAAAGCAGGCAATGAGGGTGGTATAGATGTATACATTCGGTTTCTGAAATCCAGTCAGTTGTTTGAAAATATTGTATGATTGAACGGAACCGGGGATGTTTGCGTTATTAAACTCAGTTGAGACTTTAGTAGGGATATCGGCTGCTTCGAGGATATCAGGTGTTAACAGGGAGCCGGGACGAGTGATGTGAGCTTTCTTATTAGCAAATGCTTTGATAATACTTGTGTATGCGTGCAAATTCGGCTCAATTCCTCGTTCACGTTGAATCTTGAACAAACGCCAGGCCACCTCTCCTTCGTTGTTCGTCACTAATCCACGGATTACCATAGCTAGCGAAATGTCATCCGGTATACCCTGTTTGCGCAACATTCCAAAGCTAACCATTGCACCCGGTACATCGGAACATTTAAAAAGTGCATTTGTGAGGTGGTGGTATGAGAACATAGATGCTTCTTCTGTATTTAATTGCTGGAGAAGTGAATATGTATCATAAACCTTTGTTTTGTTTTCGTCGTTTCCGTAAGCATTTATAAGATGGTTGATCATGAACTCATTGCAAAATCCAGGGTGTTCTTTCCACAAACTATCAAAGAATGCCTGACCATCCTTAACGCATCTCTTTGTTCGGCACCACAGCAGAGCAGTACGAAATCGGGCTTCCATGTGTTCACTCTTAACATTGGATTGTTCAAGAAATGACGTAGCGAGCTCTTCTGCAAGATCCAGTTTTCCGTGCCGTATCGCATTAGTTATTATAGATGTAAATGCCACACTATACTTGGAGGCACTGCCTTTTCGTGACACGCGCTTCCTCAATATTCTTGTGGCTGTATCAAAGTCGCCCGCCTTTGCATGTGCTTCAATAAGAGCAGAGTATGTCACTATTGTCGGTTTCAAACCTTGCTTCCGCATCTCTCGAAATAGTCGCATTGCATTAGTCGCATCACTTTTCCTAGCCAATCCTGCAATTAAAGAGGTGTAAATGTGGATGCTGTAAAGCGGTCTGGGGACATCGGCATCGCAATTGTTTGCAGTAACTGATGTAGGGGTATTATTGGTGTCGGCAGTGATGAGATCCATTCCTTGCAAGAAATCAACAGTCTCGGTGATGGTTGGCAGGCGAGACATCAAGCTGATTATAATCGCACATGCATCCTGCTCCAGCATCACGTTCTTCTTCATGGCATGCGTCATAATATTTGCGGCTACTCGAATATTTTCATCAGTTTGCTTGCGTCGAGCAGCAAAAGCAAGGAGTGTATAGAAATTTTGAGGAATAACAATGCCACGCTGTTCCATGGTGTCCATAACCTTGCTAATAGACACAACATCTCCTCGTCTTTCGAGCGCGAACAAAATCTGTCCATAGCTATAAGGTCCTATTACGATTGGATGGTTGTGTGGTGAGTTTTGCATGTGATTCAGTACCAAGAACATGCGTGCAGGTGCGTGTTCGTCAGACGAGAATTTTAGGATGTTGAGTAAATGGTTGTAGTTGTTGATTCTCATCAAGTGCCCGACACCTTTTTCCAATATAGTTTCGTAAATACACCATGCTTTGTCATAGTTGTAATCTATTGCATTATATAATGCTGTCCTAAGAGATCTGAAAACTTTCTCCGGTCCCAGAGTTGGTGCATGCACATTCAAGTAGGAGAGAAATTCGTCAATGTCTTTTGAGGAGTTGATGTGCCGAGGATGATGTTTTTCAATGGTTTTTGGTAAATTAGAATCGATTTCGTTGTTAAAGTGGTCCTCCGTACAATTGTCTTTAGGATGAGGTAGAGGAAAAGCTGTCAAGGCAGGAGAAGTGTTTGTGCTGAACCTGTGGCAAGGTTGGTGATGGGTTGGTGATGTGCCTTTGGGACATGTGACATATTTTTCAGAAATTAGCCAGGGGAGTGAAAGGTTGTGATGTTGATTATAGCGCGTTTTTCGTGAGCCGAGTTGTCTTTTAGAGGTGTTTTGAGGTGCAAATACGGTTTGGAAGTAAGAAAGCCAATGCTTTTGTTGTTGTTGACTGAAAGCGCATGAGGTCTTGCCTCCTCTGGTAGGGAGGGCAAGGGTAGGTCGCATGGAATAAAGCTGTCAGATCGTGCGATTCCCAACAAAAAGGTAAAAAAAAAAAAAAAAAAAAAGTTGTTTTTTTTTATAATATAATATTAATAATAAAAGGTCGTACAGCTTTTTAAACGTCTGAAATTTGTATGGCAAATAAGTTGGAAAGAGCTAGGGACGGTTAGGTATATTGCTTTCCTTCTGGCCAAGATACTTAGTTATGCGTAATGATATGCGTCTATTTGAATGTATATGTCTTTATATCAGTATATCAGTATATCTGTGTGTGTGTATATACATATATACATATATATCTATGTGTGTGTGTGTGTATGCCCTCACACACACTTATATATATATATGTGTGTGTATTATATGAACGTGTGTGTGTATATAAATATGATAAACCTTACTGTAATTTTTCAGGAAGAGTGCTATGGAAAAAAACAATATGATGTCACGCCACCTTTCTTGGCCCTTGCCTCGAACTGTTAAAGGTCCGCACATCATTGTCTTTGTTCCTTGAACAGTCTTTCTTTATGGTGGTACCCGAGTGTGTTTCAATTTAGGTATTATACAAAAGAAAATTTCTGAAAAGAATCGGGTTTATTCCCTACAAAGACAATAGGTTTGAAATTGGATACAAAGTTGTGTACATTATCTACAACAGATTTCGGTTGGAAAATACAATGCCTTTATTTAGATAAATTCGTTAAATGGACTTACTCTTCTTTCGAAATATTCCTGTTTGATTCTTAAGCTTATTTTTTTATCTTCTTATATGTAAAGCCAACAAGGCCTAAATATTGCCTTGATAATTGGAAATCAACCGACAGATATATATTTGAGTTTATTGGTCTAAAGAAGTACTCAAGAGTTGAAATTACATTTATTGAGAATATACTTTTTTGTTTATTATATGAAATCCTTACCCACACCTAATTTTACATTCCTATCTTCTAAGATAAATTACAATTTCACATTCTGAATCTGTAATATGTGTATATTCTGGCAGCTATCATTCTCAGTATATGCCAAACTTCTTTTCCCCTCACATTCTCAAAACCAAAAAAAAAACCCCTCCCCGCCTCAATAAGTTTTCCCAGTTTATACTACTTGACTTTTTCTACAAATTTCTATTTGGGCTTGCTGTCAAAAGATCCCTAAATATTTCTTGACCGTTTTTTTTTTCTTTTTTAGCACAACCACTATAATACATAATGTCAAAAGCTAAACCAAAGACTCATGTTGATAAAACCCCAAATACATCCTTATCAACGGCTCCGGAAATACCTTTCTTATGGGATAAAACCAAGGAAACGATCCTTATTATCACCAAAGCACGTGAAAACAAACTAGTATGCTACACACGTCAGATAACCGAATGGCTTGTTACGACTCCACGCTTTGACAAGAAGTATCCTTTTATTGTGTAATACAAGAATAAGAAGAAAAGAAAAAGCATGGTGTATTCACAATCAAGTTCCCTGCTAACACTCTTTTTTTTGCAGCTATGTAGACGCTCATCTCGAACAATCCAAGATATTCGACTATAAGTCATTCAAGGAGAATAATTCAGAGTTGGCAAACAGGATTAAGTTTTGGACACCAAAGTTGTGTCAAAATAATCCAGGGCTATTTGATCTCATTATCACGGCAAGTTATTCCCTTTGGGAAGCCATAGTGATTGAGGCAACGAAATACTTTTGGCTAAAAGATATGTTATCCTCCCACAGCTTGGCGGAGATGGCACAGTGCTATTTACATCTTGGTTGTTTCAATCCAAGGTGCCCCCGATCATGCCGTTTCATTTGGGGTCATTGAGTTTCTTGACACCCTTTTATTATAAATCGTTTAGAGAGGAGCTAGATGCACTGTTTGGGTCGAACCGTATCGACAAGACTGTACGGATGAGATTGAGCTGCACTGTGTATAGATTCCAAGAAAGCACCTCGCCTTCCCCACAAAGACGTGTTAGGCAGAATTCAATCACAGGCGAACTGTGGACAAAAAACATGTCGCCTCACAATTCACCCTCTCTTGTAGATAAATGGTCCCTTTTGGAAACTGCATGGATGAGGCAGCAGTTGTACAGTCGATTAGAGAATATTCCTCCAGATAGAGAGGAATTTATTGAAGACCATGTTCGCTGCTATACAACCTGGCCTAGCGAAACCTTTGAGGTTCTAAATGAAATTGTTGTCGACAGAGGACCTAGTGCATATATGTCGGCTTTGGAATTATTTGGTGATGAGCGACATTTAACAACTGTTCAAGCAGATGGTTTGTGTATCGCTACCCCAACTGGGTCGACTGCTTACTCGGTAATATTCTATTTAACCATTTACATCTACATATATGTATATAAGCATATATACAGTGAAAGATCTGGCTTGAGTTGGGTATTATGATAATGATATATTGATTGATTTATGTGTCTGTAGCTTTCAGCTAATGGGTCATTGACTCACCCAGATGTCCGTTGTATTCTGGTGACACCTATTTGTCCTCACACACTTAGCTTTAGACCCATGATGCTCCCTGATTCTATGTCTATTCGTATTGTGGTCCCATTAAGTTCTAGAGAAACAGCATACTGCAGCTTTGATGGCCGTAACCGGGTTGAACTGAAAAGTAAAGTAACTCACTATGACCCCATTCATACACTGTTGAAAAACTTACTCACTTTTAGAGGGAGATCATGTTAAGATAACAGCATCTCAGTATGCACTTCCTACTATCTGCAATATAAACACTAGTAATGACTGGTTTATGTCTCTTCAAAAGTGCCTCCAATGGAATGTTCGCCAACGTCAAAAGTCTTTCGTGGTAGTTGAGTCGTGTGAAAAAGACTTGGCTAATTCGTCTTCCTTATCTGAAAAGGACAACTTATTTGCGTGTATTCAGTCTCGCCTAAAGAATAACAGCACGACGGCGCAGAATCAGGATACAGAAGATGATGATAATAATGAAAATGCAGCTTGGGATCTTTTGCCATGGTCTGAACAAGAATTACGAAGAGATAAACTCAAGGAAACCCCATGATTTTCATTTATTGTATCAAAACATATTGTATTTTATGCGGAGAACAGTGCCAGGCACAAAATCACAAGTAAATCAATCCAGTTCTTTAACTGTTACTTTAAAACAATGTCAACTTTAATATGTCTCTCTCTCTCTCTTTTGCTATTAAATTGTGTATCATTTTAGTAATGTAAATATATATATATACCGACCTTTGGAATGTATTCAATAGCTTATATATATATATATATCTGTCCCTCTCTCTCTCGCTCTCGCTCTTGCTCTAATTGTTTTTAATACTTCATTTATACCCACGTGAAGATCTACACTTGTAAGCTTAACGTGGGGTGATCCAGGCTTAGCTCCACATCATGTGGCGACTATAGCCTTTATAGTTATTGTCTATCTATGGAAAAGGCTGTGAAAGCAGAAGCCTTATAAAAAAATTGTGGTGAATAAATATAAATGTGCTAGTAAAAACATAGAGATGATGGAAAAGTGGAAAGGGGCAAAATAAGAAAGAGAAATAAGGCTGGGGTTGGGGCAAGGGACCATGGTCTCTTTCGCTTTGGCTTTTCTTTTACGCTTTTCAACTAGGGTTTTTATAATATATAATTTTATTATCTTACCTAAAACAATACTCCTTCTCCCTTTTCTCTTTCTTTTCTTTCTTTTCTTTCTTTTCTATTTTTTTTTATTTGCTTACTACACTCTACTTGAGTCAGTCAATATCTGGACTGCTTAAGAAAAATGCCATTCCATCTCATTTCTTCTATTGTCTCCAGCCTTCTCCGACGTACACCAGAACAGCAGCGCATAGAAGGACCAAAGTCATCTCGACCTCAATCATCGCCTTCGCTTGGTTTTAGCTCAACAGCAACAGTACACGGCTTGTGGGTTAAAAAGGAAGACGGCGATACACATAATCCCGATCAAGGGCCTTTGAGTCAACATCAGCTAGAATTAAAACAGCATTGGCACAATCAACCGCCTGTGTTCCAATCTGAATCTTCAGTCGGTGTGGACGATTATGATTTACTGGAAACATTAGGCAAGTAGAAGATCTCAAATCCTACATGACCTATTATCTTATAAAATATGTAATATGTGTATATGTATAATAGGCACTGGTACTTTTGGTAGGGTATATCTGGCCAAAGAAAAAGGCGGCCGACGTTTTTATGCAATAAAAGTATTGAAAAAGGCCGAGATTGTACGTTTGAAACAAGTTGAACATATCAACTCTGAGCGCCAGGTTCTTTCCGAAGTCAACTTTCCATTTGTTGTACAGCTGCAAGTATTTTTGTTGTATTTCTAGATGAGTGACATGAAGTCTTGACGATTATAAATGTTGTGTGTGTGTGTTTTTTTTTAATAGTTATTCGACCTTCCAGGACGATGTGCATCTTTACATGGTTCAGGAATATGTAATTGGCGGGGAGCTATTTAGACATTTGAGACGTGCGGGTCGATTTACCAACGATATGACAAAATTTTACACGGCCGAGATTGTATTGGCAATAGAATATCTGCACTCGAAAGGAATTGTGTATCGAGATTTGAAACCAGAGAATCTTTTATTGGATAGCCAGGGACATATTAAGATCACAGACTTTGGATTTGCCAAAAAAGTCCAAGGTAGAACATGGACATTGTGTGGAACACCAGAGTATCTTGCACCAGAGATTATCCAAAGCAAGGGCCATAGTCGTGCAGTGGATTGGTGGTCTTTAGGGATTCTGATTTTTGAAATGTTGGCTGGTCACCCGCCGTTCTATGACGATAATCATTTCGGAATTTATGAACGTATTCTTAGTGGCAAAGCACAATACCCGAGTTATATGGACAGTGCAGCCAAGGACCTAATCAAGCGACTGCTCATAGGAGATCGCAATCGTCGTCTAGGTAACTTGGCAGGCGGGGCTGAAGATGTCAAGCGGCACAAATGGCTACGTCACACAGATTGGCACGGTCTACTCAACAAGACTGTTCGAGTAAGTATTATCCTTAATAATCTGTAATATCAGTCATGAGCAATTCTTCTCATATTTAAACCTGTGTTATTTAGGCCCCACTTATACCCTCTCATGCAAACGAATGTGACACGAGTAATTTTGAAAAGTATCCCGCTGAACAACCTGAAGACCTTCCCAAGGGCGATCCCTTTAGTCACCTATTCACGGATTTTTAAAATTGCAATTTTTTTTTTCATTTTTAGTACTCGCACACATTTACACACATACAAACTTACTTGCACACACACACATAATCTCTCTGTATTTGTTTTTTTTTTCCTTTAAAAAGAAAAAGAAACTTAATATTCTTCTCTTATTCTTTTATTCTATATATTATTATTATTCTTAATTTTCTTCTCTTTCTTATTCTTTTCTTCTTGCCACTCAATTCCATTAATATCCTATATTACATTTAATATCTCTATTGAGAACGTCTAAATCTTATATGCCTCAGTCGTCTGTTCCTTTGTTTGAGACTACTGAAACCAAAACCTGGGCTTCTCTCACCGTCGATAGTCTCTTCACAGACCGAGAACCCATTACGTTTGAGCCTTGGCCAACAACGCCAACAACACCAACAACACCAACAACGTCCTACACCTCTCAATTGTTGAAACCTTCAAATCCTATCCGTCGTTCTATATCCCTATTCGAATCAAACCAGTTCCTCAATTCTGCAACAATAACGCGCTCAAATACTCATCGTTCCGCCAGCCACTCTTCGTACACCCTTCCTACAATTTCTGACAGCGATTGCAGTATCCCCGATCTCGATACTTCTTCTACCCGCTCTTCGTCCCCAATATCACCCCGCCCTTCTATTTCTTCTCGTCTCCCCCATTTATCTCTTGTCGATATATATCTCGATAGATCTCGGAGCGGAAAGCAGAGATCTCTGACCTTTAAAGAACGCGAAGGATTAATTATATGGCGACGTACGTTTGAATCATACCTCTTGACTCCCCTTACAGACAAGGTTAGTTATTATTATTATTATTATTAAATTATATATATATATATATCTATCATTACTAATTTTCTTGCTACTATCATATCTCAAACCCCAACAGCACACGCCACATTCAAGTCGGTCAGCTCAATTGATACGATTTATTACAGCCGAATTGCTAACAACTGAAATAACTTATCTTGAGCACCTTAAGATTATTAAGCATGTAAAGAACCACATTATTTGTTTAATTGAAATCTTTGTGGTTATTGTCGGCTAATCTCAATTCAGTAGGCATTCATGGATCCCCTGATAAATGCTGCTAATGACACAAGGCCACTCGTAAACTTGCGAGATATTCAACCTATATTTGCCTTTGTTCCTCAATTGATCATGCTTTCGACCAGTCTTGTACACAGTCTTCGTGACACGATGGAAAGCGAAATGGAACGGGTTGGGAGCGTATTCTCAAGTCTGGAAAACGATTTTGAAGTCTATATATTCTACGCTGTAAATTTCCCAAAACTACAAAAGTGTCTCTATAAAGCAGATCGGAATACACTTTATCGGCAACTAGCCCATGTAAGTTCACACTTGTTTACTATACTATTTTATTTTATTTTCCAAGGAAATCCTAATAAGGGAACTTGTTTTTATTAAATATACGTCTCTTCTTACTAAATAACCTTATTTTTAAAGGATTCATTACGCAACAAAGAGACCAACCGGATGGGATTGTCAGATTACATGATTGCTCCAATTCAGCGAATTACACGCTATTGTCTCTTACTCAAAGGTAAAGAAAGCAAGGAAGAATTTCTGGGGCTATAATCCAATCGGCGGGTTTTGTTTTTTGTTTTTTGTTTTTTGTTTTTATTTATTTATTTATTTATTTATTATTGTAATCTTTAGATCTCAAAAAGCATTCGATATATACTCAACCGGATTTCGATCATCTTCAACGCGCACTTCATTGCATGAATTCCTTGGCCCTAGCTATGAATAATATCCAGAAAAAGTAAATATTCTAGCCAAATCTGTAAGGAACGAAAGAAAAGAAGATTAAGAGATGAATGCTACTGTTCATATCCAAATGTCTCTCTTCTTTTCTTATATACATGTCCAGCCGAAAAAATTCACCTTTTATTCAAACCTTACTACTCTCCTAACGTTATCTCTTTATTGTTTTGCTTTGTTTCACTTAATACTTCTTAATACTTCCTCCTTTTCCTTTTTTTAATTTATTCGCTTATTGTGCATCTTAAAAATTCATTATTCGTCTTCCAATTGATTTTTATATAAACACGTCGTGTAACATTCTGAAATCTCCTTTTTCTTATCAATGTCCGAGTGTGTCCAATGATTTAAAAACCAATTCTTAGTCTGCATAGACATATCCATTTATGGATCATCTCTTGCCCTTTTCCCTCAATTGAACAGTAAAACGATCACCCATTTACATACCTTTTTATTATTATTAAATTGCCCAAAAACAGACCGTACCTCCTAAAAGAAGAAGACCTAGGTGTCTGGCAAGCGATTGATCAATACACAAAGTGCGGGAACAAGGTAATATGCTAATACGTACAATGAATGTATTGTATTTGTTTTCAGGACACGCCGTTTTGCTCTGAAATATTATAGAAATATACCGGACCCCGGACAGGTGGTCACAATTAATTAGTCCGACTAGATAGAAATGTCGTACCCTGCCAAGAAACGTCGTCCCCGTAAGATTGCTGTGACAACATTTTTATGGCTGCCAAGGCTTGATAAATTAAAAGAATGAATTTCATTTATACCATAATAGACTTGAACTGTTTATAGGATTTCTCGAGATCGTTGTAGACTGTGTCGTTATAAAATAGGATGTAATCCGGATTCAGGATTGGTTGGTTACTGGTTTTATATTTATTTTGTCAAGTCTATTAACCTCTTAAAATACTACACTCTTGGAGTACACGTCTTGGAGTAACATTACTATTAAATACTATTGGTCTTTTATATATATCAATCAATCAATCATAAAAGTTTATAAAAGGCAACACGATTGACAGGCAAGAATCTTAAACTATACACACCTTTATCATTTACTCTTGTAAGTAATCCATTAACAGGCCTACATCATATATACTTACCCAATACCTGCGTAGCCAAAGATCAACCGAGGAACGAATCAAAAGAATGCTAACAGAGCATATCTTCAAACCCGCCAGGATGTTCAAAGAAGGAGTGTCACCTCGCCAACTTGAAGATGTCTTCATCGAAGAGGGACACAGAAAAGCCTTCATGGAAATCTCTCTCATCTTGACCGCATATCCTGAAAGATACAAGTTCCAAAAGAACTCTATATACTATGACTCAAAAGCCTCTCCACACAACCACTTCCTCGCCTTCTTCCGTATGGCCCAACTCTTAGAACACCTTGGACGTGGATCCTTCAACTGCTTTCCTCTTCGCCGATCCTGGTCACCAGGCTACATGCAAATTGACACCAGGATACTATGCCAGCAACTTTTGAGAAGAACTTGGTCAGAAGGAGCGGATAAGCTAGAGCTGTGGGGAATAGTGGTGGACTTGGACGAAAAGGCTTTCCGTGACTAGCAGAACGGCGTGATGAAGTTCAGAGGAACAATCCAGACCGATGGTGTTGGTATTTCTATTATCAAGCAGAACCAAGACACCACCCAAGGACCACTTTCCAGAAAGGTTACCACAATCAACCCTGAAAACATTCCTTACATTCATGACTTGTCCCCAGAATAGCAGGAAAGAATCCGCGGGTGTTGTGTTCTTATCGATCCTGGAAGAAGAGACCTTTTATACTGCATGCACGAGGAGTCTACGGTGGAAACACCGAGATGTTACCGGTACACCTCCAACCAACAGAACATCAGACTCAAGAAAACCAAGTTTCGTCGTATTCTTCAGGATCTCAAAGCTCAAGCCCCCAATGTTATTGCTGCAGAACATGAAATTTCCCAAACGTCGGAACGATCCAATAACATCACAGACTTTGCCTTTCATACTTCAGTCAAAGCAGCCAACTCCTCTATCCTCTCTTCTTTTTATACTAACACCGTAAGTCGTACCACCCAGAAACCTTTGTTCCGCAAGCTTCGTCTCTCCTCATACATCAACAAACGTAAAGCCAACGAACGTCTAGCCAAATATATTCGTGCTAAGTTTGGCCAAGATTGTGTCTTGGTTATGGGAAGCTGGTCTGCCCCTCACAATAGATACCACGAGCCAATCTAGGGCGTAGGAATGAGGAAGCTAATTTACAAACACGGATTTGATGTCTTTTTGATCGATGCGTATGGTGCCTCTAGACACTGTCTGAGATGCTTCCAGCCGTCCCTTCAGACCGTCAAGTAAGTCCTCAACCTGAGCCCATATCACCGCGCCCAAATACCAATTGTGACACGCCATGGTCTCCTAAGGCAAATTCTACAACCACTCCATTTTTATCATCATTTATTCTGACAAGTACTTTTAGATATACAAATCTAAACTGTTTAAAGAAGACGGATGGGTCAGAGGATAGGAATCGTTTGTGGAATCGGGAGCTTACTGCAGTCTTGAACTTCTGGCATATACTTAACCGACTGAGATATAATAGCATTATACCTGAAAAGTTCACCCGCGTTATTCAGATTGGACGTATTAGAAGATCTTCAGGAGGGTCGTCGTTTGAGACAAAGACTGACTAGAATTCAAAGAAGATAAAAAAAATTGTCCTGGCTACCGCCTAGGATTCACCCAAGATACTGATTGTAAGCTATTAGCTTTGAATAATTTTATTGGCTTTAATTCTTGTACTGGGTTGAAGAAGCTAGAAAAAGATGTTTTGCATTGACTGCAAACACTTGGTGGCGTAGAAAGTGGGATATATATAAAAGAGAGAAAATTTGGTAATTGAAATTCAACTATAAAAAAATCACTTTAAACCCTAGAAAACTTGCAACAATTCACTAAAATCGCCTTTTTTTTTCTATAGGGTATAATAATTAGTAATAAATATGTTTTCATTTAGCCAATACAAAGCATATTTTGAAGAACATAATTGAAACATTTAATGTTAATGAATATAGAGAGTTATCAAACATTTCCAGATTGAAAATTACATTGCACTACATATTCGGAGTAGTATTTTGGATAATCAAAAAGTTCATTCTTCGATATGTACGGCCTAGTAAAAGACCACCTATTTTTTTACTGGTCTTTATCAAAGTTAAATCGGATTTGATGCATAAAGAAAAACAGACCGGGGACACCGTTCTGAAAAATTAGGAAATCATTTAAATTCTCGGATATCATTGGTTATTTTGATTATATCCTATTAAAGCCAACAGAAATAGAAAAGAGTAAATGTACCATCATATAGACCAGACAGTTTGATTTCTTTAAATGTAGATCGGGTGATTGTGTAAGCTGGGTAAGAGACAAAGAAAAGTTGCTTTGATTAACTGAGCTAATTCTAACCCTTTACACACACACATATATATATATATGGTACGGACAGACCAAAAGGTTTAAACAAAGATTAGAGAAAATCGATTGTTCATAGTACTATTTCTTCCATTTTGTGCAAATCTTTTAGTGCAGATTTTTTCTAGGCCTTGCATGATATACCACAACTTTTTTATCAAAAGCATACTCTTCTTCTTAATCTAAGTGGCAATGGAAGAAGTTTAGCCAGTCAGTCATTTAGACTCTTTTTTTAAAAAAAAAACTCTCATCCAATAATACAAATTACATTTCGAACTTTTCTTGAATTTTTCGTCTGTCCACCCCCAGTACCTTGCGCAGGATAAATAATATGTAAATAAATAAAAAAGAGTGAATGTCTTTAATTTATCTGCAAATATCTTTGTTCTTATCATTAACATTAGGTTTATTGTAATCCCACTAACTGTGTATATATGTGTGTATGTTTTAACAGAACCGCTCTATTCTTTAAGAACCATCAAGTCAAAGTATTTATTCTCCAGTATTCTTAGCCACTCTTTAAAATGAAAGGATGATACAGAAATCCTAGTTGCACCCACAATCTCTCTTGTTTCTTCTTATTATTATTCTTTCTTTCTTTTTTCAACAAGATATAAAATAGAGATGGAGAATTCCTAATATTTCTTGAAATTTTTTTCTCTATGGTTGTTACTAATGAAAATATAGTATGAAAGACCCTGGGTATAGTGATTAACAATTTCCGGTCACAGACAGACAGACAGACACACGCATATATATATATACTTCGCTTTAGAGAGTTTCAGAATTACTTAAAAACAAAAAGGGATAGAACTACCAAGGATTGAGTATAATGACCAAAAACTTTTACCACTCAGTACGTCCATTCCTCTCTCGGGGACAATTACGCTCTTCATGTCAACCAGCTCTTAGAAATTACAGCACACCTCGCCCCTTGATTGTGATGGGAATCGAGACTTCTTGTGATGACACTTCAGCTGCAATTGTGACCTCGGATAGAAAGATTCTGTCCGAAGTTGTGCGTGGTCAACAAGATCTCCATCAGCCTATGGGTGGAATTGTGCCTACTTTGGCAAGTTTAGCGCATTCGCGCAACATGCCTGGGGTTATATGCGATGCTCTAGATCAGGCTGGTTTGACAGTCCAAGATCTCGATGCAATTGCTGTCACGCGTGGACCTGGCTTGCCACCGTGCTTGCCAGTGGGGCTGAATGCAGCCAAGACTTTGGCTGCGGTGCACAAGAAGCCTTTGATTGGAGTACACCACATGGTAAACTCAAAAATGAACCTAAATAGAACAAAAATAGAGTATTTTTTTTTTGTATTTCTGGTTTTTATTTTGGGATCTAGTTAGTTTTTATTATACTGTAGAGGAAAGATGTACTTTTGAATTTTTGACTATGTTTATAAAAATGTCTTTAGAATGAATCAAACAATATACGATATCAATAGTAATAGTGATAATAATAATAATAATAATAATAATAATGTAGGAAGCTCATGCTCTGACAGCACGACTGACTACACCATTGGTTACGGGTGACCCTTGGCCTGAATTTCCTTTTATGACCTTGCTAATTTCTGGTGGCCACACCCTGTTGCTTAGTGCAAACTCACTGGGAGATTATGACACACTTGGAACAACACAGGACAATGCAGTCGGAGAAGCGATTGACAAAACAGCCCGTTTATTGGGATTGAAATGGTTGCCCGGTCGAAGAGGTGGGCCTGGAGCAGCCCTCGAGGCAGCAGCACTAAAAGGAGATCCAGAGCGTTTCCTTGGACGCCTTCCGATGCCAATGTTACAGCGTAACAAATCCGTAATCGGTTTCAGTTTCTCAGGCCTCAAGTCATCGGTCATGCGTTTAGTGGAGGCTGAGGAAGTAAATACGGAGAAGGATATGTGTGATGTAGCGGCCGCATTTCAACTTACCTGTATCCGTCACCTGGAACAAAAGCTGCACCTTGCCCTTGACCTCGAGGTTAATCAACGCCACAAGCCTTTGACGTGCTTGGTAGTAAGTGGCGGAGTTGCCAGTAACGCGTTGTTTCGCACGAGGTAAGAGAACAAACGTGGTGGTGTCATACTCGGAAACAAAACAAAATAAAATAAAATAAAATACACACACACACAAACGCGTGTGCCGCGAAGCTTAAATATTAATAATGAAAGAATGAAAGAATGGAAGAATGAATGAAATCTAATTTCGTATAATACTACTTCTTTGTGTAGACTCGAAGCAGTAGCTGGAATGTATGGACTTCCATTAATATGCCCACCCCCTCAGCTATGTACTGATAACGGTGCCATGATTGCATGGACTGGGGTGGAAAGACTCCGAGCAGGTCTTTTAGATGACTACACTATCACAACTTTGCCAAGATGGCCAATTGAAGATCTCAAAGACAAACAAAATTGATTGATTTATGAAAAATATATATATTTTAGAGAGATAAATGCTGTGATATATAAAAAACACTGTACACTTAGAAGCACTTTCTGTGGACAATGGAAGGACCACTCTCGTCGTACTCCTGCTTGGAGATCCACATCTGCTGGAAGGTAGAGAGGGAGGCAAGAATGGAACCACCGATCCAGACAGAGTACTTTCTCTCTGGGGGAGCAACAATCTTGATCTTCATGGAGCTGGGAGCAAGAGCAGTGATCTCCTTCTGCATACGGTCGGCAATACCGGGGTACATGGTGGTTCCACCGGACTATAATTACAAGTGAGTATATTGACACAATGACATGAAACAAGTGTATACACATACCATGACGATGTTAGAGTACAAATCCTTACGGATATCAACATCACACTTCATGATGGAGTTATAAGTGGTATCCTGGATACCGACAGACTCGAGACCCAGCATAGAAGGCTGGAAGAGAGCTTCGGGAGCACGGAAGCTAAAAGATAGGGTAAAGGGTAAGGGGGGGTGGAGTGAGTGACGCGTCGATTTTTTTAGAGTGAATAAAAATAAAATAAAAAAATAAAAATTACCGCTCGTTGCCAACAGTGATGACCTGACCATCGGGAAGCTCATAGGACTTCTCGAGGGCAGAGGACTGGGCAGCAGTCTGGAGCTCCTGCTCAAAGTCGAGAGCGACATAGCACAACTTCTCCTTGATATCACGGACAATTTCACGCTCGGCAGAGGTGGTGAAAGAGTGACCACGCTCAGCAAGGATACGCATGAGGTAGTCAGTCAAGTCACGACCAGCCATATCCAAACGGAGGATGGCGTGGGGGAGGGCGTAACCTTCGTAGATAGGAACAGTGTGGGAGACACCATCACCGGAATCGAGGACGATACCAGTGGTACGACCGGAGGCGTAAAGGGAAAGGACAGCCTGGATAGCGACGTAGAAGGCAGGGGCGTTGAAAGTCTCGAACATAATCTGAGTCATCTTCTCACGGTTAGACTTAGGGTTGAGGGGAGCCTCGGTCAAGAGAACGGGGTGCTCTTCGGGAGCCACACGCAACTCGTTGTAGAAAGTGTGATGCCAGATCTTCTCCATGTCGTCCCAGTTGGTCACAATACCGTGCTCAATAGGGTAACGGAGGGTAAGGATACCACGCTTAGACTGAGCTTCATCACCGACATAAGAGTCCTTTTGACCCATGCCAACCATGACACCCTGGTGACGGGGACGACCAACAATTGAGGGGAAGACCTAAGTAGAGAGATATGTAAGGGTTCACACTGTCTAATAATATGACTTTTTAGGCACTTACAGCACGAGGAGCATCATCACCAGCGAAACCGGCCTTGCACATACCGGAACCGTTATCGATAACGAGCTATAAAAACAAGATGATGAGAAACGGTGAACAGATGACGGGTTTTTCGTCATCACGCGTCATTGAGACAGTGATGAGTTGCGAGATGACCCTAAAGATGATAAAACTTACGGCAGCAACTTCGTCTTCCATGTTAGATAGATGTAAAAGTTAGAGAGGTTAGAGGAGAAAAGAGTGAGAAGAAGAAGAAGAAGAAAGGATATAGGACGCCAAGACAAGGGCTGAGAATTTAAGGGCGATGTGGTGTCCAAAAGGATGAGAGTCCCCTCTTGTGACGCGGGAGAACGATTGGGAGACTTGGCTCGAGGTATTCAAAGCACGCTTGCACTCCGCCCTAGCGTTGATGTTGAAAAAGAAAAAAAAAGCCTCCTCCTTTTCGGTTGGTTTCCTTTGTGTCTAGGATTGTGTCATGATTGAGGCTCAGCAAGTTTGGGATCATCTGGATGAAAATAGGATTCTTTTATACACAAAATAGGAATCTTGTATAAAAATTCATTTATTAAATTGAATTGAATTGAATTGAATTGAAATCTATTATATTCTATTCTGTCTTATTGGGCTTTACTATTAACAAATTTGACTCTAGGGCTTTCTGTTTCTTCTGAAGTTCTTTGAGTAGCAACAAAACGTCCTCGGTGTCCTTTTCATGGTTTACATAGGCCTTCTGGAGTACAGCAAGAATATCTTTGGATGATTTAAGGACCTGCTGGAGTTCAATAAGGGCTAGGCGTGCCTTGGACTTTTGTGGAATGTTGGAGGAGTGAAAGTAGTTGTTAGAAGGGGTGGTGAGCGGAGATGCTGCAGGTGTGACGATGTGGGGGGACAAGTCAAGACTTGGCTGACATGATAGAGGCATTGGTGGCAATTGTATCAATACAGAAGCCATTCGGCGGCACGGACGTGGATTTAATGCTATTTTTGGCCTGGTTCTCGAGAACATTTCTTTCTTTTGCTTGCTATTTAAATGGACAGAAAAGGAAATGGAAGGGGAACAGAAGAAAGAGGAAGCGGAAGAGAAAGGTATGAGATTTGAATTGGAGGAGATAAGAGGGTAGAACCCTTAACTTCTGGAACAAACCAAAGCTCTATTTATATTCAAAAAAAAATAAAGTAAAATAAAACCAACAATTGGCCTGCTAGTTTTGGGTGCTATACGGCAAATGTAATTGGTCCGCACACAGACCAATAATTCAACTCAGTCATTGACTTCTTTAACATGTATACAAGATGATATTTCTTTGTTAGGGGAAGTGTATCTCTTCTTAAAGGTGTATTTTTTTTCACATTCTCTTTTTTTTTCTAAAAAAAAGTCACATTTTGTTCCTGATGCTGTTTTTTTTTTTTTTTTTTTTTTTTTTTTGCTTACGTCCACAAATTATTATTATTATTTATTTAATTATTGAATTATTTATTATTTATTATTTATTATTTATTTTTTTATTACTTATTTTTTTTATTATCATTTTATTTTATGTTATTTTGATTTGATTCGATTTGATTTAATTTAATTTGATTTGATTTGATTTTTTTAGCCAAAGTTTTTTTTGTTGCTGCTGCTGTTGTTGCTCATTAGCGTCATGACAAAGGCTGTTCGACCACCAAACGAAGAAAATAAAACAAAAGCAAAGCGAGGACGTCGAAAGGCGTCTGCTGTAAAAGACCACCTTTCACTTAAACCGGTCCCACATCGGCCGTCTTCTTCCGGATCGGCCATAGTAGAGAACCGGTACGGCTCTCTCCTGTCACTCATCGACGCAACCTACCCTCCTCTCCTGTGTACTGCCTGCGACTTTGTATCTCCTAGTCGTCGTGACTCCTCTATTCATTTCCGCATACACCACCCTTCAACCCCTCGTTTCCTATGTCTCCACCCACATTGCGACATGCGCTTTGGTTCCCGAGGTGCTCTTCGTTTTCATCTTTCTCATGCGCACTCTGTTTGTCTCAACTTCACCTTACCAATTCCTCCATCATCAACCAAATCAACATCTTTAACTTCAGCATCTGCATCTGCACCAACACCAACACCTAAATCCACACCTAAATCTACACCAACTCCTACACCAACTCCTACTCCTACTCCTAAATCCACACCTAAGCCTACGCCTACACACACACCTACCTACACTGTTGCATCCTTGTCTCCACCACCGCCATTCAAACCTCATCTTGTTTTCTCTACAAGAGCACCCAGAGGATCCAAAAAAATAATTCTCTCCCAAAATTCAGAAGACGCCCTTAATGCAGCATATCCTCCACTTCAGTGCCCTGCCTGTCACCAGACATTCAATCGAAAAACAAACGTAATTAAGCACCTCACCGAAGATCATCATGGAGAAGAGCCATACCGTTGTATGTTCCAACACTGCATTCACCCAAGACACTATGCCACACGCGAAGGTCTGGTTTATCATATTCTCAGAGCTCATGATGATGGACAAACTACTGACATGCAGGACGCAATGTCCACCAGTAGTGGATCATCAGATCAACCATTAGAAGAAGATCCGAGAAGATTCAACAGGCGCCATGACTCAAACTAGAATTGTAATGGTTAATTAGCATTGGGTGATTTTGTATCATAATTAAAAAATAAATATAATAATTTAATTCCAAAAAATAAATAAATCAATAAACGCACATAAGCATCTCATTTTATAAACATACGAATTACGCCCCACCCACACATATACACAGAAGCAAGTACAAGTACAAGAAAACACGAACCCACACCCACTCATACATATTCTGTATAATACAAAACAAAATGAACTTTTAAGAGGATAATCAAGATTTTATATCATGTAAGCTGTTAGTAGCTTCCTAGAAAGTGAAGAAGAAGAAGAGGAGGAGGAGGAGGAGTTGAATGATTAATAAAGATAAAAGTACTAAGTATTGTATTGTCATAAAATATTCGTTCAGTCCAAAAATAAGTAAATAAATAACTTAATTAATTAATGGATTAATTGACTTATTTTCCCAATAGTATTTTTTTATACTGAGTAAGCACCCAATTAAATCTACTCAATTGATTCACACAAAAACTCAATTACCAAATCAACAACCACTTCCCCTTTCGAGATATCTTTAAAAAAATTCTTTTGAAAATCGAGCATTAACTTGCTGGCTTTACATCAATCAAGATAGTAATATATATATATATAAAGTACTTGCAAATAACTAACGGCTTTTAATTATATAGCTGACTGTATTTATGTATAGGCATTAAAGTCTCGGTTCCAGAGATTTTGAATGGCAATGTTGGGTTATCTTGTATTCGCTAATAGCTTTCTATAAATTTTGTAGTAATACAATCTGATAGCATATTTTAACATCCTCACATTCAATTTATATGGTATTTGCGCATATATACATATGTCAGGTTTTTTTCTATTTTGACAGGACCGCCTCCTGAGGCACGGAATCAATCTTATTAGAGCCAATAGGTAAATTTCTTAACAGCAAAAACATTTTTGTAGAATTGCAAGAAATGTTCTTTAACGCATCTTTGCATGTTCGGCAAGCTTCTACTGTTTTATAGAGCAAAATTATTTGGTTTCAAAATACCGCTCATAATAATGCTGCTTATAATACTTCGATTGACTTATAGAGTAAAGACGCTCTTCTTGTATCTAGAATAATGTCTTGGAGTTCCACTGGCTTAATGTTTTTGCGTTACACGCAGGGAATTGATTTATATGGTAATTATGTAACATGCAATTTCCAAAATGATAAAAAGCGAATGTATTTCGTAGGTAAAAATACATCTTTGAAATGTACAAGATTTTAAGTAGAATGGGAAATAACGTCCCATATACAGCATACTAAACAGTCATAGTTACACAGCTGCTTTTCATGACAATAATTGTTTTAATGGATTATTTCTTTTTCTTTTTTACTTCCACTTCCTTTCCTTTTACCACTACAACTACACAAGTCAATAAGATGAGCTATGGAATTTAAGAAAAAATCGTTTTCACTTAATTAGCAATAGTTTAAAACCTCTTCCACACGAGCAACAAGCTCTTCGCGAAGAGGGATATAATAACAGTAATGTTCTGGGCTAATAAAGCAAGAATGGGTATATCTTCAAGTCTTGGGTCGTCGAGGTGAATGGGATAATACATTGACTGGAGTGATTTTGAGATGCATACTAGAAAAAAAAATTATAATGAGCACAGAAAAAGTGATTTCCACGGAAAGAGAGTTTTGTGGGAAGCTTTTCACAGACACTTCGTTGTCGAACATGAAGCTGTTAAGTTTGCAGAAAGTCTTGATGGCGAAAGATTTGCTCAAAATTAGAGAGGTGTGGGATATGTGAAAGGAAAATTCCAGAATTGGACGTGAGACTTCAGAGAAGTAGTCAGTTATGTGGAATAACTGGGTCTGGTGGGCACCTACCTGAGAGACAGTTTGAATTTTATGAAGGCATGAAGACTGTTGCATCCAGCAACTTTTCTTTCTGGCAAGGAGATTGTTGGTGAATCGTCTTTGGTTAGAAACGGTGTAATTTCGATACCACTATTTACATTCGCCAAAAAGATGGAAATACATATGATGCCACATATGTAGAGACACTTTCTGCTACGCACAATTCATTTTCAGAAAGGATGTTCACAACTACATCCCATCTTGGTGTTAGTTTATCGCTAGCTTTACCTAGATATACTCAAAGATCAGCCGCTATTGCCTCAACACCAGCTTTTACAGTCAAAGCTCGATATAGTGATAATTTTTTGGAAAATTTGGGCCCGTGCCTGCTTATTATCACTATTTTTCGATATAGTGATAGTGATAAAATTTGAATCCACCAGTATCACTATATCGAGCTCTGAGTTTATTTTTGTACTATAAAAAAATAAATGTAGTATATATTTTATTTAGCATTTTAAAGCAAGCCCAGTTTCTTAGACAAAATACTATAAATCCTATTAGAAAACAGTAGTCACTCACAGCGGCATTAGAAATATCACTAAATAATGTGCGGAGTAAGAAAAAAACACGCTCGATATAGTGATAGTGATAAAATTTCTGTCCACCATCCATATCACTATATCGAGCTTTGACTGTATACTAGCATTAAAACCAGTACCAACGCCAAAAAGCAGCAGGAAAATTGATTTGTATTTGCAGTAGATATTTGGTAACAATTATATCAGACATAAGAAATTTATCGAAGCAAATTTCGATAGAATTGCTTTAGGAGTTAGCAAACTCAAAACAAACTATGTTTGGTCTATAGCTGATACATCTGAACAGCGCTACCTTTACCGATTGAATATCAAATCAACTGTTGATCACAATAGATTCTCCCGCACTGGGGTCTATATTCTGGAAATGGCCAGTCGATAGAGAATGGCTGAGGTTGACAGAAATGTCAAAAGACAATACCTTGATCTGTCAACAAGATGTAATATTAAGGAACCTTTTTCGTTGCATACATCTTATGAGGAGAATTATATTTGCTTTAAGAAAATGCTTACGTATCTTCTCTCTTTTTTATTTCATTTTAATATTATTATGCAATAAAATTCAAGTTACTTTATAAAAACCAAAACACTTATTTATTTGTGGGTGGTATTGGGAGAGATAGGCTAACTTCATCTCGTCTAACTCTTCCATCCCTAGAAAGTCTTGCTTTTAAGCATTTGTCGTGACGTTGGCCATGCCAGGATGAGGATTTTGGGAGAAGGTGCGAATGAGATCTTTCAGGAACACGAGGTACATCTTCAACAGCCAAAGGACCATTATCAACATCGTTGGCACGGTTATACCAATCTAATGGGGTTTGCTCTGTTTTGAAAGCATCACTATTATGTCTTACTAGCCTTTGCAAGTAGATTTTCAAGTCACCAAAGCCGATGTATAGATTGTGCAAGATATAGCACACCATGACTACTTTCATCATTAATTCCTCTGCAAGAACGTCCAAATGCTTGTAAATAAACCATCATATGGCTACGAGCTAGCTAATTGTATGTCTATGATGAATCTGCTAGGTAAATGAATGGTGTTTTAATTTGTCTAGCTTTCTGTGATTCGAGCAGAAGTCTGAAAAGGAATCAAGACCTTCTTTATGAGGGGATAAACCAAGTTTAATGTAAGAAATAATAATACTAATGATAGCAAAATCATCAATTTACTAACACTATACAATATTAAAACAGTAGCATAGAGGTACCTCAAACTAGGTAGGATGACTCGACAGGAAATTTAATTTCTGTACATGAATGATATCTGCGTAGAAATTACTTGATTTAAACACATGTGCATCATGCTGGCTTCCTAATTATAATATATTACAGTAAGCTATCTTTTAAATAAATATACTGTAAGATAACCTTATGCCTGGCATTCAAGTTCTAGTATTGGTTAACCTCATTCTGTTATCACATACAGCTATCAACGAAATTAATGGTTGACCATGCCTACCAACGCAGCTACAGTCAAAGTCTGATGGGGTTTGAACAACTATCATCTTGTCATTAATTGTTTCAATACACTCTTTCAAATGAGGTTATCTTGTTTTTTAAGGAACTACAAACCATACCATAAGCTCTCTATACTTCTCATCCGCCTATTGCTACCTGCTAGTGTTCTTCAGATGAGAAAAGCTCATAGCATCTAGGAACCGCATGGTAAGCTGGTGGCATGATGCCTGGCTGGTAACAAGCAGCTTCTCAGCCATGCGATACCCCAAATGATTGTTGCTCAAACGCCAAATAGCAAGAACTAATAAACACCTCCTCGCATTTGCCATTAAGATATAGTTTATCGATCATAATTTGTAGGAGACGGACTCTTGATGCTTTGTTTCGTTGGTGGGAGATTTCCTTGCATATCCAATTATCATAACACCGGGGTTTTTCGTGTTTGTTGTAAATGGGACCAACATGCTGAAATCGAATTACAGTTGCCTGCCAGGAGTGCTACAGAAATACACGTGTTTTAGTTTGATAATGACATTATTGCCCTACCTCAATATTGTAATTTAACAAACAATAAATCGCACCCAGAAACCTTGACGCCATTGATTGTATGTTTTTTTTGTAGTACCCCTTATTCCAGCTCGACTGTTCCAATACTTAAATTGGCTTATCGTGCAGCAGGATTCAAGTGGCAGGAAAATAGTCTTCATCAATTCAAATTGCCATTTCATTGTAACAAATTCTTGAATATAGCAATTATCATTATGGGGATCTTCAAGACTCATGAGCGATTTTAACATGAGCAATAAACTATCCTTGAAAAAAGCCATAACTTCACCGCAGTGGTCTCTCTTATGTCTAACATTTACATAGTAACTTGCTTTATCATCACTGTTGACATCATTCTCATTGCTGCCCTTGTCAATGCTGAACTTGTTGTTTCCACTGTTATTCTTGCTATTGTCGTTATAGCCCTTATTTTTATCGTAATTTCCACGATTTCCGCTATCCTCACTAGTACTGTTATGCGATTGCGAATGGGAGGCATCCACTTCCAAGGCTCTTGAAGATTCAGGATATTAAATGCATGCATATATATATATATAGATCCCTTTCAATCACTCTCCAGGTCGATTCCCATGGGGCAAAATGTGTTATGCCCACGTAAATAAGCTTCAATGAGACCACTTTTTTCTGCAAATACTTTTTCGTCTTTCCCCTATCTTCGTCTTTATTTATTCGATATCCCTAGGCTAGTTCTGTTCGTCAATATATGCGGCTATACATCAAGTTAATTCAACCAGATAATTGATAAAAAATGCTTTATAAATATGACACATTGTACCGCATACGCTGGCGAGCAGCACACATATATATAAATGTTATATTGCAAGATTTATTATATTTGTTTAATCATTTAGTTATTTACAGAGTGGGGTGTGTTTTGTTGTTATTATTTTTCTGATTGAGTACAAGTGTTTGTCAATCAGTAGGTATTATAATGTTCAAGTAGATGGGTGTAGTTTAGAATGTATTCTGTGACGTAGAGAAGGAGGCAAGACATAATACCACATTCGAAAAGCAACTGTGCAAAAGAAGCGCCACTGGCCAAGGCAGGAACCAATTAGAACAATCATCACTGTATATACCAGTAACTCGAGTATAAAGAATACGGCATAGTAAAACCAATAGGGAGCTATAAACAGAGCCACAATCTTTGTTACCTTTACAAAATTCTATTTTCCCTATCCTACTTACGCTCTAATCCCAATCCACGTCTCACAAGGAACCTAGTGACGACTACACTAGAGGACCCAGTAATAGAAAATATCAAGATTCTCCACAAAATCACTAGCCATAGCCAATACCAGGCACGTTGCTTGACCACTGTCTGACTTGCTGGTGTAGGCAACAATGGTTCTGTATCGTTTGAAACACCCTGATCCATTTATTTATTTATTTTGGTTATTCTTCAAATCTGAGAAATAAGAAAGTGGAAGAAAAGAAGCAATAACAATTCCTTTACTCAATTAAATATACCTTTTTATACGTCACACAGACCATTAGCTCTCTTTTTATTTTATTTTTATTTTCTCTTCCTATCTCTCTTTCTGTCTCATTCTTAATTTCTTCATGATTTCAGACGCATTGAGTAAGCTTCACCATTCTGCGTCATCAACAACTCATTTCTATGTGGATTAGAACAACTTGGTGGATTTATTCTTGGTATGCCACAAATATGTATTTCCTTGGTCACGTAAAATACATACACATATATATGTATACATATTCATGCGATTTGATTGTATTATTATTCACAATACAAAAGTGGCCATCTGTTGGGGATCTACAAATCCTCTCATCAAGGCAGGTAGTACTGGCTTGGAAAAGATTTCAGCACAGCATCCAGAAGGTGGATTGAAAAAGTTGAGAGCAGAATGGGCTTTTCTTCTCACCCGATGGCAAGTAAGTTTATCAAAGAAAGACAAAAGAAATTGATCACAGATGAACATTATATTCTAATAAATAAATACAAAGTATGTCTTGCCATTGGCTCTTAACTTAAGTGGTTCTATGGTTTATTACTACACACTGGGAAAATCAGGTACATGACATTCCTTTTAATTATTATTCATTTATTAATGCTTTACTTCATTTCTAATAGACATCTCATTGGCTGTACCTGTAACGAATTCAATGACTTTTTTGTTTTCACTTTTAACTGGACTTGCATTGGGCGAAGACATTGGTGGAAAAGGCAAGTATGACGATTAGCTCTGAAAAGAACATCCTTTTAAAGGCAGGGAAGAAGAGATTAACGTTTCTTTAATGTTTCATATTTTTTGTTCAATATTTATATATTTCTTTAAAGATGCCTGGCTTGGTATAGTATTGGTTATAATAGGAGTAGTAATTTGTGTAGGTAGCAAAGCATAAAAAAAATTAAAGCACACCCACATATCAGTTGTAATAGTTTTTGGTTTAAATTTTGATATAAATTATTAAGTATATAAACATATATATCTTTTGATATATAGTTAAAGTATGAAAGAATAGATGGATGAAAATTATATGTACAGTAATGAATCCATTCAAAGATCACGTTTATTTTACACATAATATATTGAATGGGTTAGAAAAAAAAATTGTTTAGTTGGCGGCAGCGGCGGCAGCTCTGCGACGATCACGCTCCTCAGTGATGGTAAGCTTGATACCCTTACCCTTGGGGAGAGAGATCCAGGGCTTGGAGCCCTGACCGATAACGAAAACGTTGGAGATACGGGTAGCGAAGACACGGTCAAGGGAATCCTTGATGTGGACAATCTCAAAACCACCAACGTGACGCTCACGGTGAACGATAACACCAGCACGACCAATGTTACGACCACCAGTAACCAAGACGACGTTACCGGTTTCGAACTTGACAAAGTCAGCGATCTTGTTCTCCTCGATGTTGAAGCGGACGGTATCGTTGGCCTTGATGGAGGGATCGGGGTAACGGATGGTGCGTCCATCGTGGGTTACGACGTAGGGGATACCCTTGGCACCAACAAGAACCTTCTTGATCTTGCAGAGCTTGTACTTGGCTTCCTCCTCGGTGATGCGGTGGATGGCGAAGCGACCTTTAACGTCATAGACGAGACGGAAGTTCTCACCAGTCTTCTCAATGGAAATGACATCTGTCAGAATCCACCAATAGGAAAAGGAAAAAGAAAAATCCGGGATTCGCCAAAGCTCTCGCCATCAATCACACGCTCATATATATATTCCAAAATACCCAAACCCACAATTGCAAAAGCAATTTTATTATCACTTACCCATGAAACCAGCAGGGAATGTAGAGTCGGTACGGACCTTACCGTCGACCTTAACGAGGCGCTGCATCAAGATGGACTGGACTTCACGACCGTTCAAGGCGTACTTGAGTCTGTTACGGATGAAGACAATGAGAGGCAAACACTCGCGAGTCTTGTGGGGACCGGAGCTAGGCTTAGGGGCGTAGGAGCCTGGTTAGGAACAAATTGTAAAAACAATAATTAGACAATTGATCGAGTACAAGTGATTTGGCTGTGTATATGTATATATGTAAATATATGTATAGATGCATATTGTATTAAAGGTGAATAAAATCAGGTACAAAGGAATCGTCATTAAAGATCGGATTGTTGAGCTTGACTTTTGCTTTTGTTTAAATTCATCATATAATATATTCGCTCCTTTTTTTTAAAGATGTGTTTGTTTGTACAATACACATCTATACATACATCTATATACATATACAATTTTTGTTATGAAGTTATGTGCTTACCCAAAAGCTTGTCAAGCATCCAGTGCTTGGGGGCGTTCAAACGCTTCATGTGCTTCTTAGGACCGCGACCCTAAAAGAATATGATTGATTATTAGATGGATGGATTGGATTTGAGTGGATTCGGTTTGAGTTTACTCACCATTTTGAATAATTAATGAAAAGGAAAGAGAAATACTGGATCTACAAATTCAATCCCTTTTATGTGATCTTTGTTCTTTACACCTCCAAGCCACTCAAATGTTTTTTTTTATATAAATTTCTGTCGGACTATTAAACTCAATATATTTTATTTTATTTTATTTTATTGTTTTAAGATACTATGCGCTTCGATTATATAATAATGGTCCGGTGTGTGTGTGTGTCTGTGTGTCTGTGTGTGTGTGCGTCTTTAGCTTATCTCGTATGTCTAATGTTAGTATATAAAAATATTATAAATTTGTTTTCTTTTTTCTATGTCGTATATATTTTAATCTTTTAGAATATTAGGTATTGTAATTAATAAGAACACCAATAATAAAATAATAATAATTTATGTATATAAATTGTTTTGTGAATTAAACCAATGAAAAAGAAAAGGAAAATGTTATAAATGTCATGTGTAAAATGTAAGGTAATCTAATAGAAATAGTGTAATGTATTTTGTAGTGTAATAGGTCTGTGTATTTATTGTAGCTATTAAAAGTGAAAAATTTAGCTGATAGACAAACGCACACACACACATTTATAAACACGTACAGAAATATGCGTACATAGTATGATTTTATTTTATTTTTACAAGCAATCAGTTATTCAGTTATTCAGTTAGCCATTCGAACGTTCAACAAAGAAATGCTTTTAATATATACTTAGATATGTATGTATTGTATTTTATTCTATTGTGTATGTGTTGAAATGAATTGAGTATGAAGTAATTCACTGTTTCTCTGTTTCGCTCTCTATTTTTGGCTCTTTTACTGCCTTTATTATTTACACATCCAATGCTTTATTTTATTTTTCATTTTATTTTTCATTTTATTTTTCGCCTTTTTTTTGCATTTTTTTTTTCTTTTTTTTTTTGGTTGACCTCTGAAATTTTTTTCTGGGTTTTTACTTTGCTTTGCTTCACCTTTTAGACATCGAATGAACATTTTCGAAAGAGCGCAACAGTGGATAAGCTATATTTCCTACGCTATTGATGACTCAAAAGCCGCTAAACACTCCTCAGACTTTTGCGAAACTGTCGACACCCACCTTTGACCAGCCTGCGTCTCCATCCCACCGTGCGAGATCCAGCAGTCTCATGCGAGTTGTCTCCCACCACAATGCTCCTCTTTCCAACGGCGGAAGAGCATCGCCAACCATCCGTCGCTCAATGAGCATTTCAGATGGACAACAACGCTCTACATTTTACCATCATGACCCCTCTAGTGAAATATCTCAAGCGACAAGTTCAACCCCCACCCTAGCACAAGTATCCGAAACCAACTGGGCCAACAGAATAGAAGATTTTGATATGAAGCATCCCATTGGTAAATAACAAAAAAAAAATAGAATGGGATAGCATAAAGGAGTTCGTTATAAAACGGGCATCACTTAATAATCTTTTGAACATTCTATTATCATATAGGATATGGCTCTTCGGCTGTGGTGTATGAAGCCGTCTATAAACCACTCAACAAGAGAGTAGCCATCAAGATATTGGACTTGGATATGTTTGAGCGTAATCAAATCGATGAATTGCGGGCAAGTGCACAGGGGACATCTTTTGAGTATTGGCATGACATCTTAATTTTTATTTCAACCGACACATCACAATAGAGAGAAACAGCACTGATGGCGCTATCAAAACACCCAAATGTATTGCGTGTTTATGGCTCATTTGTAAGTGGGTCAAAACTATACATTGTTACACCCTATCTATCGGCAGGTAAATAAATAAATAAATAACTATATATCTGTACACTTTTACATGTATCTGTTGGATGTATAATGGCTACTATCCTTATCATTAGCATTAACATTGTGATTAATATTTAAAACTGGGATTTATATAATTATATATCTATCTATAACTTTTTGTATTTATGTGTTTACCTAGGATCATGTCTGGACATCATGAAGACATCTTTCCCTGACGGATTTGAGGAGACCACAATTGCGACCATCCTCAAGCAGGCCCTTGAGGGACTAGCCTATATTCACAAGAATGGACACATTCACAGAGATGTCAAGTGTGGAAATCTTTTAATGGATGAGCAGGGCACTGTTATGTTGGCAGATTTTGGGGTATCCAGTTCCCTGTCCGAGAATGGAGACAAAAGAAAGACATTTGTGGGCACTGTAAGTTTCTTCATTTTTAATTATTATTTTGAAACTAAAACTCAAATTATATTTGTATCTTGCATCTCAAATGTTAATAGCCTTGCTGGATGGCACCTGAGGTCATGGAACAGTCTACGAGTGGGTATGACTACAAAGCTGATATTTGGAGCTTTGGAATCACTTGCATTGAACTTGCTACAGGACACGCCCCATTTGCAAAGTACCCGCCTCTCAAGGTAAATAAAAAAAAAGAAATAGAAGCAAAACTTACCTTGCCCACAAGAAGCTATGTAACACTCATGATGTTTGATCATAGGTTCTTATGATGACTATTAATAAAGACCCACCTACTCTTAATCGTGACACAACACGGCACAAATACTCAAAGGGTTTCAAAGAAATGATAGACAGTTGTCTTCAAAAAGACCCCACTAAAAGGTACTATTATTGTAACAAAATTCTTCACTTTATATACATTTGTAAGATTGAACTCCTTTAATAAATAAATAAATATATCTATGTATGTATATATAGACCTTCTGCAGAAAAACTTTTGCAACATCCTTTCTTTAAACAAGCCAAGAAGAAGGATCATCTCATCAAAGCAGTACTAGCACACGTTTCACCATTGGAGCAACGTCCACACAAAAAGATGCCTCTAAAGCAGATATCTTTTCAAACCACAGAACAATGGGATTTTGACACTCAGTCAGATTCTGAGGGAGCCCAGAGCGACAAATCTCAGCTGTCTGTCGATGCACCGCCCCCAGCGCGGAAACACATCACTTTTGGCGACGTTGTCATTCGAGACCCAGTTCCCCGAGCGTCTCATGGGCCAGTAGTCGAGAGCCCACCCTACTCACCCCAGACTACAATATCTTCGCAAACACCCAAAAAATCGCGTTTTGTAGTAGATGATGGCCGCGAAGACTCGTCATCTTCAGCAGCATCAGTACCAACAGCAGTTGGACCAACACCTTCATTAATAACAACCCCCATTTTGTCTTCTACACCAAGCGGATCTGACGCAGCCTATCCGGGAACAGGTTCTGATGTTGGCTCGCCAACTACTATCGAAAGCCCCAGCGTGGGTTTGGGCATCATGGCACACCAAACTCCACAAGAAGGGGAGGTGCGTAAGGGCCGATTTAGTGTGAACCAGACGCCCCGATCCATGAGCGAGGATAGTAACGACGCTCCGCACAAGTCGACCTCACCTCCACCTCAGGAGAAATCAACCCCCCAAGTCAGATTCGAAACCTTCCCGATCTCTCGTGAGAGTTCACATTCTTCTGTACTCTCGCTCTCACGCGAGTCCCTCAATGGAAAAGTTAGTCGATTTTCTGTAGAAAAAGAGCAAGGCAAAGACTCAGCCTCTTTGCCCCATCCCCAAATTGAAACTTCTGTCCCACAACCCATCCCGCCAGAATGTCGCAAGAAAGGGAGATTTGAACTTACGGGTGGTCAATCAGCTCCCTTGACTCCAATCGAAACATCAAGAATAGACCGAGAAGGTAAATAAAGGAATAAAAACTAGAACGAATCTCGAAACAAAACCCCTACTTATCTTTTAATATATTTCATTTGTGCTTCTTTTTTATCATTTTTCATTAGTATGTGGCGATTCTTCTCAGTCATCTTTAATAGGATCACCCTCAACATCACCCTGTAATTCTCTACTCAGAGGACAATCTACCCTCCTTGATGCTGCAAAGGCCGATCTGATGAAAGCGCGTATGGAAGAGCTTCTGCGGTACACCGAAACTCAAAGGGTTCTTTTACATGATGCCATACAAACTCTCAATTCCACACCTTCACATCCCGCTCTCCCTTCCCTTCCTACTTCTTATCCTCCTTCTACGCCAACTAGTATTCTTGTTTCTCGTAGCAGGGCATCATCAGACACAAGAAAATCTGCAAATAATGATCCACTTGAGCTTTCTGAATTTCAAAACAACAAATCTAGCTCTCTATCTCACGAAATTTCTTCTACCGTTGTAAGTAACTATAATCCGTTTAGAATTTCTTGTGAAGATACTAAACTACGCTGCTTATTTATCACAGGAACATTTGCAACACCTCTTGTTAATCTCAAACAAGGAAAAGGAAAAACTCACAAAAGAAAATGATGCATTACGAAAGGAAATTGAAAGACTTCGACAAAAATAATCCAACTGTGCGTTAGATTTCTTTTCTTCGACAATATTTACACACACACTCACTCATATATATATTTATATAATTGATACATCTTTAAATCGACAACCTTGATAAAAAAAATAGGTCTTTTTATCAAAGAATAAATAAGTATCTATTGTAGTAAACCAAGTATTTCAGCATTTCCTGTCAAGATGTTAGATTTTTAGCTTAAAAATATAGAATTTATAAACAAGCATTTCTTTCTCTATATATTAAACATCTTGACATATAATTATGTACCAAAACTACGGGAAAAAGAGGGAATTTAAAGGAAAAGGTCGAATGAGAGATTCTGGAGAAAAATCTTTTTCTTATTGTACTGAACGTTAACCTCGAATACTTTTCACTAGGTCCCAATTATTGGAAACAGATTAATCTATTTTATGTGTGTTGAATCTATTTTATATATCCATAAGGCTTTCCTCTTAATACAAGCCGAGCTAGATTAATGACTGATTGTAGAATCAATGTATTCAATAAAAATTACAACTTTCTTCTCTCTCTCTGTTTTTTAGTTGGCTTTTCGAAAAACAGCAGATTCACTAATTTTTGACATTATTATTACAACTTGCTAATTTGATTTGATAAATTGGCTATGACCTGCAGAAAAGCATTTGAGATTAACGTTATCCTATTCTTTATGAGACTAGTTATAAATCCTACAATTTCATTTCACGGTGATAATAAATGTGTCATTCTCTGAAATTACATGTGGTTTATCAAACATGTCCCTGCATCTTTATTTAATTTTTCAAAAAGATTGACAGACATATTGTATCAAGTTCTGATTATCTTAAAAACCCTAATATCTATCAATCAGTGAGAACGAGAAACTGAACAAGACTACGCTCACATATTGTTTACCCTAATCTATATCATATATTTCCAAAACGTTTTTTTTAATAAGTATATATATAGGTTTGGTGTATACAGTTGCGAACATTTTATAAAAAAAGGCTGTTTCTCGATTTAATATTAGTTACAGGGTTTATATTTTGTGATGTATACATATGGCCCATGTAGATGAAAACAAGCTGTTTGTATCCAGAAACAGCATTTGAAAACAAGCATGAGATATAATATGATACATTAGAAGATATTAATATCTAATAGTAAAAGCTGACAAAGGAAGCAAGTATAGTGTAATCAGCATAATTATTTATGTTTTTGGATTTGTTTCAATTTCTTCTGATTTTCTTTCCATATAAAAAAATCAATCTTCGCCAATTATAAGAAAAAGGCTGTGAACCTGAAGCCTGGCTAGTTTTATGATTACATGACTTTTATTTTTAGGTTACACTTTTTCAAGCACAGTCTATGGGACCCATCAAAATATTTCAATTTCTTGAAAGAAAAACTTAAACTCCGCGATAAATTTACCAGAACACCTAAATTTTGAAGGTTAAGAACTTTTTTTTATCTATAGCAGTTATCAAAAATCGCTTCAATAGAATTATTAAGTATAGTCTTCTTTATGATTCTGAGGAAGTGTTTTCGAATAAATCAATTTCTGCAAAAGTTGCTACCTTTTTTTTTAATAAAAAAAAAAGACCCTTATACATAGATAGTTGAATCCGATAGCACCATACCTGTATTGCAAATACAACTAAAGCAGCTCCTATCCAACCCCGTAATAATTGTAAGTGTATATAATTTGATTATAGATAATAAAACGATAGAATCTTAGTTGCATATTACGAGCTTTTTCTTCTTATTCCTTTCCTTCTTCTTACTCTCTGTTGTCTACATCTATATCTAAGTTATGGATTCTGGTAATTGACGATATCATACTCTCTAAATTTTATTTAAAAAACATAAATTCAACTGGTTAAAAACAATCCACTGAACAACTCGATAAAACCAGACAATAGTTTCGGAGGCGAGTTTCTTCAGCGTTTGCGATATTCTGCTGACCCAAATAGCGAAACCTTTTTTGAATGGAGTGGTTCAGTCTTGTAGGCATATTATTACATTATTGCCATAATGTAAGCCTTTGTTTCTTATTTTTTATTTTTTTTATTTTAGCGCCTTTCTACCGAACCAGCCCCCAAAAAAAATATTCGAATGTGTGGGTATGAACGTATCAAAAGCAATTCATAGTAAAGAGCAAAGTCCAAAAGATGTCCTCGAAGTAACGGGTCGAGAGTTGACCTATTATCTTGACCCAATCACTCGCAAGAAGTTGACACATTGGGTTAATCCGTGGACAAATGAGTGCCTCCCAGGTAACCATCTTACCAGTAAAAGTGATATATATATAGTATAAAGCTCAGTGGGTATATTGTGTAAAACTGCAGTTGTTCATATTGCCAATAATCCGGTTCAGATGGCTCTTCCCTGGGCCATAAAACTCGAGCCAAAACATAATTTTTTGGGAACCTCTACTACATTTACTACTGAGGTGAGCACAGAGAAAAATAAATATGTGCAATATAATGCCTTAAAAAATTGACTTGTCCATACACCCGCGAGCGTGTCTGTGTCTTTGTGTATACTTCTTACTAGATCCCATTGTTTTATCCTAATCCATTATCCACGAAAGATAAGAAATTCAATCCATATGACAGCCGAAATATGTACCAAGGTAAATACCCCTACATCTTTAATCATTGCATTATACAACTATATGCTTACAATTATATATACATTATTTTGGGGACTTAGCTGGTGAATTCTTTACATTCACATGTCCTACAAAGGAGCTAAATGAAACAACTATTGATGATGTACAAGTCAATTGGACTCGGATATCTTTATTCCCACCTTTTATGAAGATGGGTACATCAGAAGGATATCTTATTTACCACTGTACAGGTAGCAAATTGCCGCATGGCTCAACGTATAAAGATTTGGGACCACTTTTAGTTGAAGAAATCGAGAAGAAAATGAACGCATATTCTCATTCACCAGCTGCTTATGATCCTATGATAAAGAGTGTGTCTAGCTGGACATATTTTAAGGATAATTTTGAAACGTATAAAAACGATCAGGAAATAGAATGGCCTTTGCCAAACTAAAAATGCTTATATTACATACTTGTCACTATTGTTATTGTTATTGTTATTCAAAATGCAAACGCAATTCTACTTTAAATGAATATGTACATATATATATAGTAATAAAAGACATAAAGTACAACTGGAAGACCAAACATCCAGGCAAGATTAACATATGCCGCAAAGAACCTCAGGGATAAACGCTTAGGAAGATGATATTTGCCCGATAGTCCCCATTTTTGATACTAGTTATTTTGTATAAGCTTCTGGTCAAATATAAAGACTTGCATTAACTCTTACCATAGTATTTATTTTTTGTTCCAAGGGCATAATCCAACTTAAAACCCACATACTTTCATAGGACCGTGCCATTTCCTTACACAAAATTCCTTTTTGTCTGGTCAAACTTGGTGTGCATAGTGCCAGACCTTTTTTAACTTTCTCTAGATCTTCCGGGCATAGTGGACCGTTCTCATAATATACCTTCGCCTTTGAAAGCGGTGCTATAACCCTTTTTTTAGCTGTAGTGATGTTTGGCGACATGATATTTTCTTTTGAGTTTTGCTTCAAAGCAGAAGTACGGATCATGTTTTCAGACTCAGGAAGCTAATGAAAACAAAAGTTGTAAATCAAAAGTGCTAGTCAATAAGTGCAAGAAAGCTCCCGTCTTTGTCCAAAGAATAAATAAATACCATGAATATTTGTTGAAAAGTGTTTGCTGTCGAGACAAGCTTGTGTAGGTAGTCATTATTCTTGCCTGGTGTAGTATTTGCTGCTGAATTTTGAGTTGTAATAGCATCATTAAGAGATTTGCTAGATTGAGTCAAGGATGGATTACGTACGGTGGATAAAGCATAGATATTTTTAGGTTTATATGAAGCGGAATCCATCGATCTTATTACACCACACAATTGAAAAATGGCTTTATGGGTTTGAACGTAAGAGTTCTCTGAATCGTGCACGCATTTTCTTGCTACTACACTTATAGCTTCCTTCAACTCTGGCCCATTGGTTGCTGATCGTTCAATGATCTCGAGCTGGACCATGTTCACAGCTTTTTCTACCGATCGTAAAAAAGGTACCAGCCCAGTTTCACTAAATAAGCTTAATACGGATTGAAATATATCCAGCTGCCAACGATATTCAGGGTTGTTTCGAGGTCTTGGGCTTGGAGTGCCTAGCAGCCACGAAGCCTTGGTAATAGCGCTGGAAAAAGTATTACCAAAGATTGAGTGGGAAGTGTTTGCGGTAGTTGGAGCACTTTTTAGATGGGTGGCGGTGGAGGTATTATTGACGGGTGTCGGATAAATGATAGGTGTTTCTATGTACCGAAACGTGGCTGTTATTTTGAGGATGGATTCAACTATCGAAATGTAACATGCCCCATTCTCTACAATAAACGCTGCCCATCCATCATCTACTGGACTGACTTTCAGATGATTGGAAACAGGTGTATTTGTTTGCAGTTGTTTATATTTCCAAGGCTTTACCCATAGCAGCCATAAATTGATGACCTTGATAGGATTAAATTCGCTTGTGAGTATATAGCAGTATGTCCACAAGGCTGGTTGTGTGTGTGTATTATTGACTTATATACACCGGACTAGTATGTGTGCGTATATTTAGATATTATATAGTTACCTCGTTAAAATCAGGGTCTATTCTCCAAGTACTAATGAGTCGGGAAATAAGAAAAGTTATCTCAGGGCGAACGGTATCGTAAACCATACGATAGGTAAATCCCGAAGAGTCATCTTCTCTTCCAAAGTTATAGGTACAGAATCGAAGATCTTGCTTCACAATATGTTTAATAAGCATTTTTATAATTTCCATGAGTTCTGGTGCAAGTCTTCCTCCGGGATTTATCCATGAATTTCGAAGCCATAATTCAACACAGCAATCCAGAAAGAACATGTCAATTAAAGGATACCGTCTTTTAGATGGAGATGATGAGCATGTAATAAATATTTGGATATATTTATGGATGATAATGTTCAGGATACTATTGTCTCTAGTTTGCGATGGATTAGGAATGACTGTGGGTCCAATAAAAGCCGATGTATTGGATTGTGTGTACGATGGTGTAATTGGCCAAGTAGGGACACTCAATACATAGTGAAAGTAGAATTGTATCATGCTGAAACGTATTTGGCTGTTTGACTCTTGTTTCATTGGTGTAATATACGAGCGTTCGGTAGCAGCTTTGCGCACGTCCAATACTCCAATGTCAGATGGACCTCTCGAAATCGCGCACTGGCTATAAACACGCGGAAGATATTGTATACAGCCTTCTTTTAAGATATTTTGAACATCAGCCTAAGTAATAAGTTAAATAGTGGGCAATCGATTGCTTATTGTTTATTGTTTTATAAAACTTACCGGTAAGTTTAAATTGATTAAGTAAAACTCATATTCTGGGTATTCACTCATTCTTAGCATGGCCTGAAAGAAGTAACCATCCACGTTGAGTAAAGATAGGATAGCTTTAGTTTGTGGGGGTGTTATTCCAGAGTGCATCCATCCTCTGAAATGAAAGTCCGTGAGAATCTTGGACAAGGTACTATTGAGCATGCCATAAGGTATGAATGTACCTTGTAGTAGGTGATCCAAAGATGCGACTCAATAAAGTAGGGAAAAAATTGTAGAATGGTGTCGCTTGGTGATGTGTAAGATCGGCTTGTTCTACGAGACAATTTTTGCAGTAGTCAAGAAGAAAATCACAAATGCTTAAGATGTTGTGATTGTCAAATAAACTGTTGAAATCCATGAATACTAGATGACAAGAAAGGACAGATTTGTTGAAGGTATTCTTTTGTCTCACGTGATACAAGAATATTCAATACTTCTTTATACTTTTATTATTTTTATGATTGTTTTTATGATTGTTTATTTTTTTGTTAGAAGAAGAAAGAAATGTGTTTTATGAGGTTTGTAGATAAATTCATTGTTGATTTGAATGATTTTGGTGGCTCATATCTATCCCTCGGTTAGACCAGAATGCTTTTCCATATGTGACCAGCTAATAGAATATTAGATGCATATCTATATAAGAATGAAATAGAGATGTTGTATCTACTTTATATTCAATTGACTTACAAGTTCTTCACCTTTCTTGATCTTGCGGTTTCCTAATACAAATATACCGATGCGGATATGCTTTGTCTGAGAGTCCATGTAGTTCTGGAAACAAACATTTGGCCCGGCACTAACTCCTCTAAAATCGTTACAAAACCTAGCTTCATTTCCATAATATGCTGCATCAATAGAAACATCTGCTCCGAGTCGCAATACATAATCTGAGGCCAAGTCATAGGTTTTGTACTCAATAATACCCAGATAATCTAATACAAGTTGGCGTGGTTGAAGATTCTGAGCGGCAAATAAGCCATATGCACCACAACACGGATGAGACTTGTCGGTCAATTTTTTGATTTTGATGTTTCTTCGCTGTTCTTTGTTTGCTGGATAAGTACCGGTCAAGTTGACATGTTCTTTCAAGAAGTTGATTGTCCGTGTTTCTTGCGCTCCTCTCTTGGGTTCGTATAAATCTCGCACTTCTTTTGGCACTGTTGAAGACCAAACTACATTTTCAATATATTTAACCTCGGGAGTCCATCCAGAAGGTGGAGAACCTGTCTTGATGTTTCGGTAATGAGCCATTTGATCAAAAGATCATTAACATGTAGACTATAGCGTCAGAGTGCCTTTACTTCCCCACAAAAAATGGCCAGTCACTTTTGTTTTTATTTAAAAAAGGCGTGGTAATAATAATTAATAAATGAAAGATTCATACTGCCATTGGTACTACACTTTAAATTTACCTCCACGGCTACAACCTGACTGCCAAATCGTTTCTTCGTGTACAAAAGGCAAATGTTATTGTTGTATAATGTTCAGCAGTTATCTGGCTGACGTTGTAAAGAGGAAATGGCGCGGCACCAAGCATAACAAAGTTTAGGCCTATCAGTCCAATTGCGAGGGCTGAAAGGACATCTCTCGGCTTACTTGCACAACGATTCTTGACAGTGACGCACCAAGAATTTATACGAAAGAAGGCACGTTTATTGAGCTTTTAACCGTCTTTCTTCTTGCCAGAAATCCTTGGGTTGGCTAAAGGCGAAAGGTAAAGTATACACGTTTGGGGGGTCTTACATTTGGTATGGACAGACTAAAAGTTCAAAAAATGAAAAGGCAAAAATGTAAGCCGTATTATTGGATGATATTTGCAAAATATTTTGCCTTTTTCAAATTACTCTGATTAGCTAGTCTTCTTTCATGGTCACTAGGATTGAGAAGAAAAGCATTTTTTTATGGAGACCATGTGCCATATTATGCGAGGTCTAGAAAAACTAGCAATAAAAGGTTTTCACTTGATTACATAGACGGAATTATAAGCACAATTTTATCTAATATGTATTTTGAACTAACTTTGAATTTTTTTTTAAAAAAAAAAGTGTGGACAGTCATAAATTAGTCTGATTAAGTTCAGAATAAACTTGTTTTACATTTTTTTTGGCCCTTTTTTTGAACTTTTAGTCTGTCCACACTAAATATAAGTAACCTTGAGCACCTTGATCTACGTTTTTATATGGGGAAGTACTTTTGCCGTAGAAATACAATTTTTAAAATTAAAAAAAAAATATGCGTACTCGGGTAAAAATATTTTATTGAGGGTTATTAGAGGTCTTGCGTACTTGGGAATTTAGGTGACCCAATGAGCAGTGTGACAAAGGAAATAAGCGAAAGAAAGAGAAGAAGAAACAGAAGTATAGTTGATAAAACTATCTAAAGAAGGAGTGGAAACAAAACAAGAAAAGAGAACAATGAGCAGACTTCTTTATCCTCTCATCATGGCCGCGGCAGTGGGACTGGTTGGTGAGCCAGGTGAATGGTTTATTTTCTTTTTTCATGTAATACTTGAAGTAGATACTATATATAAGGAGACTATAATAGCTTTTTACAAGGATAAGATGGATATGTGCCCTAATTTTGGAATCAACCGACAGACTAGAAACAAGGAAACGGGAAGAAGCTTCATAAACTTATCGACTTTTTATTGTGATCGAAGCGTACATTTTGATTTCACTATCAACGGAACCTATTAAAGCTGTATTTTTTTTCTAGTCTAAAATTTTAATAAACAAGAGAGTGCATCTTAAAATGCATCAAAAGTAAATGATTTTAAAATGTAACTATTAAAACACTTTCTGCTGCATACATTTCTACTACTTTCCCTCGTATATCTAAAAGGGTGCAGAAAAAAAAATCCTCTTCCTGCGGTTTGGCTACTCATACAAGATCAACGGCTAAGCTATACTCAGAGAAAAAGTAAAAGCAGTAATCACATAATGCTGATAAAGAATAGATGAAATCCTTATTAAATTTTCCTCAAAAACAAAAGCAAACAAAAAACTACCTCTAGAGACTGAAGACTAATCAACCCAATTACCTTGCTAGCAACTTATACCACAAAAGTAATGTACGACAAGTCTTTATATATAAACTTTACTTTCTTGAAACTCTTGGACAACAATGACTGCGTATCTATCATTGGCCATAAACTGGTCTACTCTATATTAACTGTTATTGTTGAAAATGGGAAAAAGACCCTTTGAATATATATTAACCATAGCATGTAAGCACTAGGATGGATACTCGTACGTAATTACGTGTAACAGCTACTAAAGAAAAATGACTCGTTTCTTTTTGGAGACTCTACCATAAAAGTTGTGTTGATACTATTGCCAAATATTGCCAGTCCCCTAAATAAAGTCACTTTATTACCACAATAATACACTACAGCTAAAGAAGAAGAAGAAGAGGAAAATGTAGTAGTTTTTCTATGGCTTTCACCTTCCGGCAAAGATAAGCACTCTAAAAAATCGTAATGAAAATGAAAGCTTTAGGGTCTAGTGAACAACTAATAAACTACGGTTCGGATGATTTGTACTTTCAGCAAAAAGTAAGATTAAATGAAAAGATATATATTATGGGAAAAGCCCAGCTACTGTTGCTTTTAAGGCGTATGTTTACAGTAAGTTGAAAGAAATTAGTTTCAAGACAAAAGTATGAAAGCCTGACCAGTCATATTATCCTTCCCTCCTTTATAGTAGCCCAAAGAATGAGTAAATAAATCAGGGCCAGTGAAATCGATGATAAAAACTTTGCAGAAATATTCTGATGACCCCATTTCTCTTTGACACTTATAGGTAAAGTACAACATCTTGTCAAAATGCATTCTTTCTACTCAAATTCAAACTTCTAAATATTTGATTTTTATTATTATTTTATTTAAAAAAAAAAAAGGGATATTCTAGCCAACACATTATGCTTACACTTTTTTTATATATAATTTCTTGTGCCAAGTATCATATTTACGGCTGGTCTTGTTTTATTTTAGCTTTAAAAAACTGTATCACCTGCTTTTCTTCTTTTTCTCTCTCTGTCTCCCCCTGTTTTAGTCTTGTACCTTATTTACTTAATAAATAAGGACTTTGTTGTTAATTAGAAATAGAAAGGGGTTAGAATATGGTTAAAGAGATAAAGAAAAAGTACTTGAGTATATCTTCAAATATATACATGTAGGATATATGATATTCTACACAAGTCTGTAGCTTGAACAAAAATACCAAATCCAAGCTTTCTGCGCTGTTAGTCTTGATTGACAAGAGTTTTTTTTTTCATGTTTAAATATTGTGGAAGACATTCTTGACCATCAATACATGTACATACATGTGTACAAACACAAACACAAACATAAATACAAACACAAGCCTGCACACGCACACGCACACGCACACGCACACAGCTATATAGACATATATGAAAAAAAAATGATATATTGCAGGAATAGATATAATATATAAAATAGAATAATTGGATAATTACAAATATATAATAAAAATAATAAACAAAAAAACGACTTGTTTTTGATATTTGTTATGAGAAATGTCTAAAGATAATACAAGAAGCTATTCGCTCAATGACATTCTACTAAGCCCACCACTTGCATCTTGTAAGTTAAATGTGTTTGTAGACAGTTGAACTAGTTTTTGCTGTGCTCTTGCAGCAGCATTCCCTCCGCTGTGTGTAGGACTAGAACCATATTGGATATAAGCTGCGGGAGGACTAGATATACCGGTCAGGATAGGAGAGGGAGATACAGAAACGGAGGGAGAGACTGCTCTCCGCTTCATACTTGCAGTCGAATAAGGTTCATACAAACGGTCTTCTGAGGCTGATTACAAGGTTTGATCAAGAATAATAATAATAAAAATAAAAACCAATATAAGTCAAAAATAGTTTCAAAATCAAATGGCTTCGTATAGATTTTTTAAAGATATTTATATTTACCTTTTCGCTTAATACTCCGGAATCCTTGTTGAACAGGTGTAGATGGTAAATTCTCCAACTGAAAGTGCTGCCACGACAACAACAAAAAGAATATTAAAAAAAATGTATATACAAACTTTTATAGTCTAAAAATAAGAAATAGCGAAGCTTACAGCCATCTCAACTTCAGGATTGAGTTTTGAACATTGATAAGGTGCCATTGTTGGAGATTGGTCTACGTCTCGGACACGCACCCAAGATGCAGGTGGAAGAGAAGGCTATATTGTGTACATTAAGCAACATGAGGTATACAATAAAACAATACACTTACTGCAATACATTCAGTATCTTTGATACATTGTCCTTCGGCTGGGGATTTGTCTTTTTCTTTCATATGATTTGTTGTCTCTTGTTCTCGGCGCATTTCTAAATCACTCAAATGGGTATCCTCCTATTCGGCTAATCAGTCAATATCCGTAATAAAACGTATCCTCGTCTAATGATTTGTTTTTCTCTATCTTTACCTCTGCTTGGTTTAATACTCGTGCAAGTGCTTTTGATCGTGGCTGAATAATAGATAATGTATAATAACAATATTAAGAAGCTTAATCAAATTGAGCAGAAATCAACCATCATACCATAAGTGAACTTCTACGTTGTACACTTCGTCTTTCGGGGTCTCTTCGTCCTTCGGTTGTATCAATAGAAAGAGATGCTTTTGTGTGTGAAGAGGATTGTTTACGGGAGCGAGCTGAGCAGCTTGGAGATGGATCTGCCATTGGATGATCATTACGGGAAGAGGATCCGGCATAGTCAAACCAAGGCAGTCCCTGGTCAGATACAGACCGACTGAGCGGTGGTCTTCGTGAAGCAAGTTCAGTTGCAGACGAAAGAAAGGATTGTGCAGAATGTGCTGTGTTTTGACGAGAATATAAAGATGTTGGGTATTTTGGGAGAGATGAAGTGGATTTGGCGTCGTCCGAGTCAATGCTCATTTTGTAGGAGGATGAAGGTGAGGCTGTTAAAGAAGCAGAGGATGAGCGACGTCGAGATACAAATTCTTTATCTTCTAGGTCTGACATTCTGTTGAGCTGGTCTTCGTCGTCAGAGTAACTTGCGCGCGAATAGTTTCTGCGCGTGATATAATTGTGTTCCATAGTAATTGGGTGAGAAGTAAAGGAGAAGGAAAAAGGGCGGAACAAGGTTGTGTGCTTGGGTTGCAGGAATGGGGTTTTAAGAGGAGCGAATTGGCCAAGCCACCTTGACCAAGTTCTCTTTGATGAGTGCTATTGTGAATACAGTTGTACTGTGGCATCTGCAAGGATGCATGGCAACGTTCTATGAAGAAACGCCCGAATCACCCAAGGAGAAGCGACGCCGAAAACCAACAAACACACAGACACTGACAAGCAATGGTGTGTTAAGTCACCGCCATCTCGAACGAATGGTAAAACGATAAGCTCTAAACAAACATTTGTACAAAACATGATTTTATTTAACTCGCTTATTATAGACAATCGCTGCTCCAGCTGTACCATATCTAGCTACATTGACATCTTTGACTTTACAAAACAATCGTTTATCTGAGCTTCCGGATGAACTTTGGCGACTTATTGGACTAAGAGAATTGAACTTGGGATGTAATCGTCTTAAAAGGCTCCCTGTAGAGATAGGCCTATTAGTGAACTTAGAAGAGTTGTATGTACACAGCAACCAATTGAGTGCAATACCTGCTCAGTTAGGAAGCCTTGTCCGACTAAGGATATTAGACCTGACAGGGAATTATCTTATGTATCTTCCTGTGGAAGTCAAGGCCATGTCCCTCTCTCAACTTTGGGCAGATCAGAACCCATTTGGTCCTCTCAATCCGGATCGTCTCTCCAAAGTTCTCTCGTTGCGAGCCGTCTGTGCACAGATTGCGGGCCGGCTAAAGCTGGACACCGAACCGTGGTTGTTACCGTCTCGATTAGCCAATCAACTGAGTCAAACAGATTCCCTCACTGCGAGATGTTCAAATTGCCAAGAACCTTTATTTCATCAAGGGCTCCTGGTGCTACGACGGGAAAGTCTTCCGCACCGCATTCAAACACACGCCCACACGCAAGAAGAAGAAGAAGTACACGCACAAGTACAAGTGGAAGTGGGAGTGGAAGTAGAAATAGGAATGGGAGCTCAAACAAGAGGCCAGGTTCCAGTGCTTTACCGTACTTGTAGTCAGAGCTGCCGCTCTGATATTTGCAAAATTATATCTAAAGACACAACTTAAAGGAGAAAAATAGTGTTGGTAGGACACCGAGTCTTTTTCATCATATATCAAAAACTCAATCTTCTTGTACTGGGCGGGGTTAGGCATGACGTATCATTGTTCCACACTTGGACACACACAAAATCCAGTTTAGCATAAGGACAGAAAAAGCCGGTCTCCTTTATTTTTTATTTTTCATTTTCATTTTCATTCCTTCTCTTGATTTCCTACTTGAGGGAAAAATCCAACGCATGCTTTATCATCAGCACCGTGCGTCTGGCAATCTCTCTGCTGATAAACACCTTCAACCTCCAGTCATGGGAGGTGCACGAATGAATCACAATGCCAATCCAGAAACGCTTGCTGTGAGTAAAATGAAATTAATAAAGAATGAAATTATTTTTTCGCCTTTTGTTGATAAACAAGTTATTAGGCTCTACATCATATTGTACAAGATGACCCAGCAGCATTTGCTTACTTTCAACATGAATTCCTCGCACATAATCTAAACACGCCTTACCCTTACTGGCAATCTCAGCCTCAAGATCAACACCATAATCAACCTCAGCAAGTACATCATTTACAACAACAACAACAACAACAACAACAACAACAACAACAACAACAGCAACAACAGCAACAGCAACAACAGCAGCAGCAAAAACAGCAACAGCAGCAGCAGCAGCAACAGAGAGCTGTATCTCAAATTTATTCTCCTTCAATTATGGTTCCCCCTCAATCGCCAACATTGGCTAGCTATTATTTTGAAGGCTCTTCTGGATGGGTAAATCAATATTATGATCCCAAACGACGGCAGTATCTTTCTAGTCGAGTTGACCCTGAGTTCCACAAACAATATATACAACAACAACAACAACAAGTACAGTTACAAGCGGTACAGCAACAGCATGCGCAACAAGCACAACAAGTACAAATTCAACAGACACAACTTCAGCAAGTACAACTTCAGCAAGTACAACTTCAACAACTTCAACAACAACAACAACAACAACAACAACAGCAGCAGCAGCAGCAGCAGCAGCAGCAGCAGCAACAGCAACATCATCACCAGCATCATCAACATCATCAACATCATCAACAACAGCAACTTAAAATGCAACCATTTGATCTTAATCATCATAGCTACCATCGTCATCATGATCTTTACGTACCAAGAAGAGCATCAAATACTCTTCCTTTCATAGCTAATACTGGAAGTAGAGCCCAATCTTCAACTCCTTATACACCAACGGGTATTGGAAATACAACCAGTGGGGGAGGAGTTGGCCTATTCTCTTCTCCAGAAATGACCGAGGAGTGCCGCGAGAATATGCTTCAGTATGCTCATACTCTTTATAACAGCACTCCCCAGGATCCATCTCTTTTAACTTTGTTACATTCTCTTCATCAAGCATTTCCTACCCATTTACCAACTTTATTGCTATTAGCTTGTGTGTATTATACATTCAAGGACTATCAATCTTCGTTACAATATAATCATTTAATTCTGAAATATGATATGAACTATGTGGAGGCAATGAGTAACATTGGTACAACACTCCGCAGCATGGGCCGTACAGGAGAAGCTGAAAGATGGTGGTACCAAGCAGTCAAGTTAAGGCCGGCCTACTGGGATGCTGTTGAAAATTTGGTAGGTGTCCTTTGTTCGACCATACCGCCTTTACATTCCGACAGCAAAGAAGAGAAGGCATGCCCGCGCTACCAAGAGGCATTGGCTGTATGCGAATTTGTGGAGCAGTATTTTTTCCCATCCTACAGCGAAGTGCTGTCACGCCCACGCCATTTGCCAATACACCAATTGCCGCGACTACAGAACCTGTTTTACGCCAAAGGGAATCTCAAATATGCACTTGGAGATGTACCAGGTGCCCGAAAGGATTATGAACGTGGATTAGAGCTGGTTTTTGGCATGAATTTATTAAATTTAACAAATCATCTTGCCTTGGCCTGCGGTTCCACTCAAGTACTCGATGCCAAGCGATACGGAAAATTACTTAGTCCATCAACATTACCTCTGGTACTTCTGCAGCCAGAGCAGACATCTCGCTTACTACAAATAGCATTTGGTACTACACATGGACTTCTTCCAGGGCTTGCTAGCCTTGGAGTGAACACTCACACTGACAGTTCCGCCACAGCTGGTATCATAACCCCTGCTACAAGCTCAGTTACAAGCTCTACGGTCCAACAGGCCAATCAGACAACATCTACTCTTCTTCTTACCCTTGCTAAGCTATTTCAAGATATTATGAGCCCGTCAACACCTGCTTTGGCCGCAGCTGCATCCGATACATCCGTTGCTCCCACCTTAGGACTCCTTTTACCACTTTATTATCTTAGTCTTGCCCTTCACCCTAGCCCTTCCACTGCCAATAACTTGGGTATAATCCTCAGTAACATCTCGAGTGTAGCTACAGCACAATCTGTAACTCTTATGACCCCTGCTCAACAGCAGTCTCAATCGACACCAATTACTGGAACAATGTTGGCCATGCAGTACTACATGTACGGACTTCAGCTTGACCCGCGGCATCCGCATTTGTATACAAATCTCGGATCTCTCCTCAAAGACATGGGTCATCTTACAGAGGCTGTGTCGATGTATGAAAAGGCTGTGGAATTTAATCCTCGTTTCGATGTTGCACTTGCTAATCTTGGAAATGCAATCAAAGATATGGGGCGTGTGCAAGACTCAGTACAATGGTATAGACGCGCAGTTGAAGTTAATCCAAATTTTGTGGATGCGATTTGCGGGCTTGTGAACTCACTCGGTGGTGTGTGCGACTGGCGTGGACGCGGGGGTGCTGGAGATGAAGGAGTTGTAGACGCATTTGGAAACTTCTTTCCCAGTACCCAAGATAAGAACGCTCGTAGTGGATGGATTGGCCGAGTAGTAGATATTGTTGAACGACAATTGGATGAAGGTGCTTCATGGGGCTCGGGCATCCTCAAGCAACAGGGCCGTCATGAAAAAACCGTAGGAGAAGAAATAGTGGAGTGTCTGGTGAATTCTGTACCTCATGATACGGATGTTCTTCCTCAGCGACTTGCCGATCAATGGAGAGCTAGACTAACATTCTTTGATACTGCTAATAAGAAGAATAAGAAGAAGAATGAGGGCGGATGGCTTATTAGACTAATAGAACGCTCTATTCGACGCATGCAACGTAGTTGGTATATTGAAAATTATGGCATGACCTTGGTCAACAATGGTCCACATCCTGGCCCTACGCTTATTAACCAAAACCTCATACAAAAGTACGCTCGGCCACATATCCCATCATCTCTGCCTGCTCCACCTGTCCCTACTGTCCTACCGTTTCATACGTTCACCTACCCACTGAGTGCCCGTCAAGTGCGGCTTATCTCACATCGTAATGCCTTGCGGATATCTCACAATATTTTGTCAGCACCTTGGTTACCAGAGCATGTATATCCTCCTCCACCTCCTCCATCCCCACGCCTCAAAATAGGCTATGTGTCGTCCGACTTTAATAACCACCCACTGGCTCACCTGATGCAATCTGTATTTGGATTCCACGACAAGACCCATTATGAAATTATATGTTACGCGACTACGCCCAGTGATAATTCTCCTTATCGCCAGAAAATTGAACGTGAGGCTGAACAGTTTTTGAATGTATCAACATGGTCCAACCAACAAGTAGTCGAGCGCATTGTAGCAGATGGTATCCATGTCTTAATCAATCTTAACGGATATACCAAGGGTGCCCGTAATGAGATATTTGCTGCCCGCCCCAGTCCTGTCCAGTGCTCTTTTATGGGGTTTGCCGGCACGTTAGGAGGCGGCTGGTGTGATTGGATCATTGCTGATCCTATAGTTTGTCCACCCGAGATGGTTAGTGGTGAATTATGGCGCTCCCGCCCCTTACTGGACCACACAAACGGTGACTTTGAAGGCGATGTAGACCCAGAAGAAGACACGGACGAATTTGTGTATACTGAAAAATTTATTTACATGCCTGCTTCTTATTTTGTCAACGATCATAAACAAGGATTCCGCGAGAACTCTACGACCAATGGAACTACACCTGAGCAGCAGTGGGCTATCGAAGAAGACAAGCGATGGTCAATGCGTCGTGAGGTGTTCCCTACAATACCAGATGATATGGTTATATTTGCTAATTTTAACCAGTTGTACAAGCTTGAGCCATCGACATTCCGTATGTGGCTGCGTATTCTCGAACGTGTACCTAACTCAGTACTCTGGCTGTTGCGCTTTCCTCCTGCGGGTGAGCAACATCTGCGGCAGCGGGCTACGGAGTGGGCTGGAGCGCAAGTTGCTCGTCGAGTGCTTTTTACAGATGTCGCCCCTAAACATATTCACATTCATCGTGGTCGCGTGGCTGACATATTTCTCGATACACCCGAATGCAATGCTCATACCACAGCTGCAGATATCTTATGGTCAGGCACTCCTATCGTTACTTTCCCTAAACATGTACACAAGATGTGCTCGCGTGTGGGAGCTAGTATTGCTCTTGCTACAGGATTTGGTGACGAAATGGTGGTTTCTAATGAACAGCAATATGAAGACAGGGCAGTTGAGTTAGCCCAGGGACTATCTTACACATATACTCCTAATTCTACAGGCGAAATGCAGCGGCGGGGTCATGGTGCATTGATGCATCTCCGTAAACGTCTATTTGAGACCCGTGAAGAAAGTCGGTTGTTTGACACTCAAAGATGGACAAGAAATCTCGAACAGGGATATCTTGAGGCATGGAGGCGGTGGGTCACGGCAAAGGAATTTGAAGACATGACACCAGCAAGCAAGTCTGGCTGTATATGGATCATCGACCCGGACGACTGAAAACCTATATACATTCATGCCATACTACACATTCTCCTCAACCTTTCTTTCTTTCTTTACTTCTTCCTTTACTTCTTTCTTTCTCTTATATTTTCTTTTTCTTCCTTTTACTTTTCTTTTTCATTAGAGTAACAGTGCGCTTCTCTCCTTCTGTTTTTACTGGCTACCAAAAAGATTTATAGAACAATGCAGGCCATCTTACAAGCACGCCTCCTTTGTTATAGCATTTTACATGCGAGAAGCGTCCGAGACTAAAAGGGTTGGGGGGGAAGAAAGAGGTGTGGTTGGGGAAAGTTAAGTCTATTCTCTATGTTTTCTGTATCCTGCATTCACTCATGAATTTGTCTTGTCTCTTTATTTCTGCACAGAACTAGTATATCTCCTTGCCGTCTCCAGTCGTCGTGCCAATGACTATTGAAGAAACGTTTGCATATCTCATATTGATGTAGAGTGTTTTTGAGTTGAGCTTGAACGGATTCAAACATCACGATATGGGTTGGCCACGTGTCAAAAGTGCTTACAAACGCCACTGGGTCGGCATAAAATACATCGGCCTCATCCATATAACCTGCTGTCGACTGACCTACAAGTGGCGGCTCGCATGTTAAGAATTTTATGGGGGTAGATTTGGAGTGTAAAATAGATTGATAGGGTGTGGAGTGGCAAGGCATCAATACATGTATCGATATAGGTGAATTCCGAGCTTCTTGACGTAACCACAACATGGTATCCATGACGCCTCTTTGATGCCATAACGATAAATAAATAGACAGTGGCAATTGTGTACCTACTAAGCCTATTACTATCCATCTACGCCATTTTTTGGATGGCACCTGTTCCAAGCCGAATGCTGCAAATATCAGTAGAAGTGGAAATATGGGAAACAAGAAACGAAATTCCTTGTGAGATAGCAAGCTATAGACACTAACTACCCAGAGTACAAGCTTTAAAAATGGAAGCGCCCTGATGCTGGTGTTGTTATTGAATGACTTTTGTATACGCCAAACCCCGTACACCACAAGTGGTAAAAGTGTGGTTGTCATCACTGGTAATCCTTGGGATATGTACCAATGCCATGGATGAACACCATAAAACAGAGATACTGAAGCCAATACGTTTAAACGAAAGAAAGTCAATGGAGCAATTACGGGTTCGTGGAAGACATTATACCATGATCCAGTGTATATATGTGTGTCCAACAATGTGTTTATGATCACAGCAATTGATCTAAAAATTACACGTATATAAGTAAGGCTAACGTAGAAGATGTATATAATATTTACACAATCGTGGCCGCTTCAAACGCGATTTCCCATCTGTAACGAGGTCTATTAGCTAGTAAATGGAGACCAAGAAAAAGCCACACGATTCCATTTGTGGGTCGCATCAAGCATGCCAAAGAAGCGAGGCCAAGACTAAATCTCAGGTGTTTTCTCCAGTTTTGATCTGGGCAATTTTGTAGTGGCCAATAATTGAGAGCCAGAATAGTAAGAACCATCTCCATGCAATTTGAAAGAGTTCTTCCGGCCATAAAGAAGTTGTACCATGAGCATAATGTCATAAATAACTACCAAAAAAAAAGAATATAAGTTTTTTTTTGGCAAGCAATGCTCGAGAATACTCATAATACTTTACGATATAAGGCTCGATTGTGATACCAAATATGCGAATAGCAAGTGTATATGTTCCATAGTCAGCAACTGCTGAGAAAAACCCTTGTAGTAGGCGAGGAGAAACGATCTATTTTTTTTAGTTATTTAAAGACATTCAAGTTTGTATTTCTTAATATTAATGGATCTATACTTATTGTATACATACCAAGGCATCAGTCTCTTCTAGGCCAAGTAGTTGAATACATTTATAAAGTGTGGCGAATACAAGGGGATGAGTATAGCTACGAATCCTTTCGTGCCACTCCCAGGTCACATAGCCATATGTGTGAAGTCGTCAAGGAAGTATGATTTTGCATTTGATTAATGTATAGATGATTTATATATACAATTTGAAAAAGGATATCCAAACACCATTTGATGAGCTACTTCTTGTGATTGCCAGTATTCATCGGGATTGTCGTAAGTACGAGTAAATATGGCATTCACAAGTCGAAATATGACACAGATTATAAAGATTTTGGTAGATCGCATCTATACTGCACTTGCTTATTTTTATATTTATTTCTGTTTCTAATTGAATTTTGTTAAATTGAGTTGAGTAAAGGTATTTGACTGAGTTTGTCGACACAAATAGCTGTACCTCAAAGCTAAAAACCAACGCGAAAGACTATTTCATCCTCAGACGAAAGCTTTAAAAAGAGGGAATTTGCTTTTTCTTAAAATTAAATAAATAGAGCTGCTTAGAGAGTGCTTAGACTTATGAGAATTTCACGTCAGATTTAACACTAAGGTATTTGCATAAAAGAAACCAGTTAGGGAATTTACAAGAAAGATGAAAATTTTAAGTTTAGGGTCATTATGTACATTAAATCAGCAAGACTAGGCCTATAAACACAGTAAAACATTTGTGTAAGGCTCACTTTTAAGATCTTAATTTATTTTTCTTGTAGAAAATCATGTAACAAGTACATCAAGTTCCCTTCGTATATAGGACATCTAAGAAATAAAAAGACTTTTTCAAAATGTTAGGGGAAACAAGAAGCTATAAAACCAAAAACCTTAGTTTCAGTGTATATCATGTGACTTAATACAATACCTTGTGACTAACTATTAACTCTTTAACTCTTATGAATGGATTTCACAAAAAGAACCTGCCCGTATAAAACTTTACTTTTACTTAAAAAAACAATACGTACCTCCTTTCTCAATTATCTAAGTTTTTACTATACCAAAATTTTCCTCCGTTAAATTCGTGTATAAAGACGGTCAAGGAAAGAGCGTTAATAAAGGCGGTTCTCAAGCTTTGGGTCATATAGTTGATGAGGATAGTCATGGCCTTGAGACCATAGCAACACATTCCCAATTTCTTGAATCAAGAAATAGAGATAGAATTTCAAAAGCCTCAGAGGTATTTATTTATTTATTTTTTTAAAAAAAAAGTGATAATTAAAAGCGTATTTAAATATATATCCATATTAGAGTGACCAGGCAGAGGACCAAACAGGAAGTCCAATCATCCCCCAATGAAAAAAAGCAAGACTACTCGTCAGCGTAATACTTACACTGATGAGGACATCATCAAGTTTTTCAAGCTGAAGGATGAGAAATTGCTTAGTGCTAAGGCTGCAGCAAAGCAATTGAACATAAGCGCCAGAGTGGCACAACGTTGGGTGAAGAAGTACGATGAAGACCCGGAAAACTTGTTCAACCGTGGCAAGAAGGGCGGGAAAAAGGACTGACCGACGAGCACAAGAAGTGCATTAAAGAATTCGTTGCCGAAGATGCATCTGTCTACGTTAAAGACGTGATGGACCATCTCGTCTCGGTGTTTGGCGAGATCAACGTGTCGAAAGAGACTGTCAGGAGGTTTATGGCCAACGAATGCAACCTCACATTCAAAAAGGTCTATAAGCAGCCTGTAGCGAAGAACAGTGAGGAGAATATTGAGGCAAGATATAACTGGATTCTGCAGATGAAGAAAACAAGTGCCAACTACATGACCAACTGTGTTTTCTTGGACGAGTCTGCCTTCGATATCAACATGCGGCACGGAAGAGGATGGTCCGAGAAGGGAAAGAAGGGAGTCACCACCACCCCAACCACCAGGTCCCACCCTCTTACCATTCTTGGGGCTATATCGGCCAAAGGCCTTATTTACGTCAGCTTGAGGAATCCTAAGTTCTGCAAGCAGTCCTCTTCTGGTGAGTCCGGTTCAAATGGTACAGTGACCGGGCATTTCTTTATGTTCGTGAAAGCTGTCCTTGGTGAGATTGACAAGTATGCCAATATGAAAGGCAACTTCCTAGTGGTGGATAATGCACCCATCCACCAGAGTGCAGATATCAGTCGTTATATCTCCTCTAGAGGATACAATTCGGTTTACCTTCCGGTATACTCTCCGGAACTGAACCCTATCGAGATGTTCTGGAAAGTGGCGAAGGACAGAGTGAGAAGGAAAAGCTTGAAAGACAATGAGACCATTCTCACCAGGATCAAGGATGGATGGCGTAGTTTAAGTGATGAAGACTACCGCAACATTGTCCAGCATTCTGTGAACCAGTTCACCAAATATGAAAATAAAGAACCTTTGTGATTTCTCATTTTTTACATAACATAAGCACTCAATTGTGCGCCTTGTATAGTGTTTTTCACTGCAAGGTAACAATCTTGGAAAAAAAATTATCTATAGCTTAAAAAAAGAGAGAGAGATCATTAGAAATACATGGATAACTTGGCATATACTACCTCTCTCTATTTCACAAATATATGATAGTAAGAATACTGGGAGCCAATACTCCAATAATATGGCTGAGAAAAAAAGGGGTTTAGAGAGTTTGGTAGGAAATTAAAAGCCAAGAACAGTAATTTGATTAAAGTTAATACTTGGACACTATTGAGTATATCTTGTGAACGCTGGATCATAAGTAATGAAGTACCAATATCCAATTTTTCAGAGGTGTGAAGATTTTAGGTATCAACTTTGTGATTTGTGTGAAATATAAAAATTGATGTTCATTTCTTGTTAATTAAAAAACTCGATAATATAATAGTACGTATTGTTTTCAGTATAATTATTATACACTAGTTTAAAGACACTATAGTGTATCCCCGAGAAGCAGTTACGGGTTGAAAATATAGTGTAATTATTTGAATACAATATTCATCTTATAAATACCAGCTCTTTTTATTAGTGTAAACTCATATAGTTTCCTTTTTATTGAATTTGTGCTCTTGACAGTTTTGGTAGTATTTGTAATACCTGTAATAGATATCTCTAAGTAAGAGTTTTCTTAGTTTAACTCGATTGTTCTCGTTTCAATTACTTTATTATTATAATTTTTTTGCGATTATGTTGTCTAGCTGAGCTATGTTAACCTATATGGCAAATCTGGTTCAGTTTACCCTCGATTTGCTACCTGTTATTAATATTGTAAATAATAATATAACTTATTTGGGTTCGTCATCAAAAACTTCGACGACGTTGAGGTTTATAATTCTCAATAATGGGTTGACCGACGTGCTTTATCAAGTAAGAGATAAATACTTGCAGGCGCTATTCTTACTTGCATATCAAATTAAATTAAATGTTTTATTTTTTGCTGAAAGGCTGTGTAAAATACAATACAATTTAAATGAAGCGAAAGGGAAAGCGTCACATGTGACGGTAGGTGGAGAAGAAGACAAATGAAATTCAGCAGCTTCAAATCCTTCTTCCTATCATTTTTTCTCATACTTTTTCTTTAGTCATGGTCAAATCGAGTATTGTCGTCCCACCTCAGGCAACAGGTGGTATTTCTCGTAAAAGACTGCCTCAAGACAGCCAAGGAGCTGAAATTCCAGCAGAGGTATATTTTGAAGAAAAGGTTCATTGAATACACAGAATCGTAAAGTAATGACTAAATGGACTTTTAGCCAAAACGACCACGCCTTCAACTTAATACAGACGGAAATCAACGCAATCAGCGATTATTTGGAGTTCTTCTCGGAACACTTAACAAGTTTAAAGATGATAGCGAGAATAAAAGTGATGCGGTAAGCATATACTTTCTTTTTTATTTATTTGTTTTTTTGTGATATTATTTGCGTAGATTGTTAGATTGATTAGATCAATTGGTGCACATAGGAAAAGAAACGATTGGCGATTGAAAGCAAGTTACAAGAAAAACTAGCGAATGAGAAAAAAGAAATTGGAGAAGAAATACAAGCAGAGCGAGAACAAAAACAGCAGGCAATAGAAGCGCGGAAGAGGCAAGCCCAACGTGCATTGGAAGAGAAGAGAGTAAGTAAAAATTGGAATTTCTAAAGAAAATAGTAAACGCGTGGGAATAGTATGCTGTCAGAGAATGTAGATAGAATATTAAAAACGCTTATACTTCTTTAATAGGAAAGCGTAGTGTTGCGGCAACATAAAAACCAGGCACACTTCTTGATGACGAAAACGAGTCCTTCGCTGTGCTACCTACCAGCAACCCTTACCGAGAAAGATATAGCTATTTTAGAAAAACAGAGTAATCTAGCAAAAGTAGCGCAAGAAGAATTTGAAGGACGTCAACAAGCACGCACTCAAGATGATATCAAGGATAGCACTCTGGTACAAAAGGACACATCCGAAGTTCCCTCGCCGTCTGTGGCACCTTCAGAAGCCATTGACGAGTAAACACAAATGGAGGAGAGAAATAGGATCATCTTCTTTGTTAATATCGTTATTATTAATCTTCTTTTTTCTATTAATAACGTGCATTCCAACTTATACGGAAGCGAAAGAAAGAAAGAAAAGAATATCATAGAAAGAGGACTTCTTATCCGAGGGAAATTTCTTGCAATAGTTTTGTGTAAGTAGGTCCTTGGTGTTCAGCTAGGATAATAGTGACCCGATCGATGAGCTTTTTTTGCTCGTCTGGTGCCAAATGAGAGCTTTTACAGGCCTTTTGAACAAACGAAACTCCTCGAATTGAATCAGTTAAGATGGTATCAAGGACGGTGGGCTCAAGAAGACGATTTACAATGATCTGTTGAGCGGTTAGACACGTTGTTTGATTAATGATTTTGAGGATCATTTGGGAGCCTAGTTTGTGTGTACATATAAGGGACAAGTGTGGAGCAAATAGATTAGCCATTAACTCTGTGCGCTGCTCCATGAGCGATGAGTCCATAAGCCAAGAAAGTAAGAGTGCACCATTAGAGTGCACTGACAAAGGAGCGACATGATAAAGAAGGGCAGCTGCGATGAGTTGCTGTTATAAAACAAATTAATACTTGGTATACATATGGTGCTCCTAATATTGTACTTCACCTGCTGCGGCAGAGTAACGAATGAGCTCTCAAGGATTCCCCGGGTAGCTCTGGCTCCAAATCTACCTTGAGCAATCATAACAATCTTTTGAGCCATTGCAAAGAAAACAAATTGATTATGCTCTGGGCCAAGTCGTATACAGCACTGAACTGCATAATTTCCAAATGGATCTAGAAGAAGTGGAGGAATATATGGCTTAAGATGCTGACAGACCAACTGTATCTATAGGGATAAAAGGATAATTAATTTCAGAGTAAATATAAATCTGTTTGCTAAACTCTTACATGGGTTGGGGAGCGCACGGTTTCGATAATTTTCTGAGCAGCCCAAGTGCCATTTTTATGGACGCTGATGGCTGCCAAATGCGGTGCCACTTTCTCCAACATGATCGTTTTGGTTTTCTCACTGCACTTCTCGAATAACCGTTGAACGACTGTATTACCAATATAGTCTATTTCACAAGTCAGCTTTGATTCATACTGAAAGGAGAGGTGATATGGGTATATATTTTGTAATACACACCACTACTGAGCTCTGCCATATCATCCATGTAATTTTGAGCTATTCCGTCAGCTTCTTCTGACTTGACAATGCTATCGAGACGTCTTCGAACTTCTCTTAACCTCCCTGCATCGTGTTTTCGAGTTTGGCTAAATCCTGGGACAGGTGGAATGGATTCAAAATAGCTCGTTGATCCTTTTAAACCTATTTATTGGCATATGGACTCATGTTAATTACTGTATGTTCAAAGGAGTGTTTTAGAATATAGTATACCTTTTATGGTCGTTGGAATACTCTCTGCGTCGCACTCCTTTAACATACGCTCAATTCCCATAATCCAAGCAGTTGTCGATTTAGTAACGTTGCTAGTGGTATTGGGTGCCGAGTTTTTTGTGGCGGTTGATGTGGTGTTGGTAGTTTCATTTGATTTTTTGGACGATTTTGATGGGATCGCAAGACTATCCACCGTTTGTTGAGGCTTTGCAGGTGGTACTTTGGCAAACCCAATGCGTGTGCCTAGTAAACGCTGTAATAATATGTCGTTGCTTAATAGCGCTTCTTTGGCTGCCACTGCATTGTCAATTTTCTCGAAATTAATAAAAGCACAATTTTTATATGATAGCACGCGTACTGATTCAACAAATCCGAAAGTTGAAAACAGCTGCTCAAGACTTCCGGATGTTGTGTCTGGTGGTAGATTTCCTAGCCCTATGCACATATAGAGAGGTTAGTATATCTCAAGGAAAACTTATGAATAGAAATTAAACCTACACAAGGCACGAGTAGGCCGTGATACATTGGCTTCAGACGATACAGCATCTGCTCTACCATAGCCTATTCTGACTGTACATTGACCAATTTTTCCATTTAATCGCCCCAAGACTTCATCTTTGGCATGAATAGCATCCTCGGTCTCAAAGAAATTTACGAACGCACATTCTTTTTCCATCAATAGTCTCACACTTTCGATAGGTCCATACGCAATAAATGTGTGGGTTAGATATTCTGTTGTAATAGACCTATCGATGTTTCCAATCCACAAAGACCTTGATGGTATCTGTGGCGTCGGTGGGTCTTGGAGAGATTGCTATCATGTAGTAAACAAAAGGTAAGGGGTGGGTTGGAGTACACAAAGAAAATAATAAAACATGCTGCCATTGTTGTTCTCTTTCTCTTATATAGATAGCTCGTATATGTTTGTGTGCGTATGAATATATCCCTTACCTCTCCTGCATACACTTCCTGCTGATCTGTTGTGTCTTGAAACATGTTGGCCAAAAGCTCCGAATCCCCGAGTGAAAGAGCAGCGTCTTTGGGATTGTCTGGAAGGGGTGTCCATTGCCATACTGGACTATAGTCCATCGGTCCCATAGATGCTGCCCTCTGACGTGGTTGATTTCCAACAAGGCGGTCAATAAAGGTTGTGGTTGGCACGGTTACTCGATTTTCTTGGTAACCAGCTGCATTAACAGAATAAGACCGACTTCGATGTTCCGCTGGCCTCTGTTGTTGCGGCTGTTGTTGCTGCTGCTGTTGTGTACTCTCTCCCTCGTTGTCCTCGAGCCCAATAGAGCGTAATGTACATGCAATAGATGATTCGCTGTCAGTTCCAAGGATATCGTGCTTGAGTGGCTGTATCCATGATTGGCCAAAAACAGGAGGGTCAAATAGGGTTGGCAAATGAAGTGACCCAGACCGATGCCTTCCACTATTGTTGGTATTATAAACATGTGTTGTATGACTTTGCTCAGGTAGAATAGAAGGCATGGTATCAGCACGGGCGCGTCGAAGTGGAGTAGAATAACTTGCTGAGCTAATGAATGTTGATTCGAGGTATTGATTTTGAGTTGATTCACATTCCTCAAGTACCACACTCAGATCCCTACAATGCCATTGACATGTCAGTTCAATAAATACATGTTAATATGAAAAGAAATCGCTTGCCTTGATGGAGCATACGTATTGCCTATAGCATGACGAAGAGAGCCACCAACTTCCTTCATTGAGCTTAGTTCGTCGTAACGAATAAGCAAAAAAAAACAATCCAATACAAGAAAGAAAAAGGCCAAATAAGGGGGGTAAGGAGGGGGTTGCCAAAACAGACAGAATGAACGACAGACAAGATAGACTAGAGCACACAGACAGTCATGGAATATGAAAATAGAGGTACTCACACACATACATATATAGAGTCATTTAGATATATATTCTTTATTTATTTGTAATTGTAGATTCCACGCCCAGACTTCTTGCCCATCCAGCCAGCATCAACATATTTCTGGAGCAATACTGCGGGCCGGTATTTAGAGTCTCCAGTGTTTTCATGAAGCACTTTCATAATAGCTAGACACGTATCAAGACCAATAAAGTCGGCGAGTGTCAATGGACCCATAGGCATGTTGGTACCCAGTTTCATAGTAATATCAATATCCTCTGCGCTTGCAAATTCGCATTCCAATAACATCACTGCTTCGTTAATATAAGGCATCAAAAGGCGGTTGGCCACAAAGCCAGGAATATCTTTGACCACAGTGCATGTCTTTCCCATAGAAGTAGCCAAGGTACGTGTTGTCTCCAATACCTCAGGGCACGTTGCTAGTCCGGGAATGATTTCTACTAGCTTCATGACTGGTACAGGGTTCATGAAATGCATACCAATAACCTTCTCAGGGCGCTTTGTAGCGGCAGCGATTTTCGTGATGCTAATACTACTTGTGTTTGTAGCCAGGATAGCCTCTGGTTTACAAATTGTATCGAGATTTCTAAAGATTGCAGATTTGATGTTGAGATTCTCAGATGCTGCCTCAATCAAAAAGTCGGCATCTGACAAAGATTCCAGTGTGTTTGTGGTAGAAAATCGAGCGCGTGTCTCTTCTGCATGCTCCTGAGTGATTTTTTGCTTTGCCACATCCTTTAATAATAATCGGTCTTAAATATATATGTATGTGTATATATATATATTGTGAGATACAAAAAGCGAAATTTTCGATTTGCATACTTAATTTACTCTTACCAATAAATTTAAGTCCTTTCTCGGTCTGTTCTTTATTGATATCCATCAAAACAACTGGCAGCTTGGTAACATTGGCTGTAACATAGGCAATACCCAAACCCATCTGGCCAGATCCAATTACGCCCACACATTTAATGGGATTGGCGGTCTATTATGTAAATTATCCCAAAATGTTAGGATTGTTTATTTGTTGTTGTTGTTTTTTTCTCTTTATTTTTTTTAGAAAGGAAAGAACACTTTGTACATTATACCTTTGAAACGGGAGAGGTACTCAGGGCACGATACGACTAAAGTTGCTTTTAGTTTTCTTAGACTTATTTATACTATTGTATTTACCGTGCCCTTAAACGATGATCTTAAAGCCTGGTTCTTGATAGCCAACATATTGGAACGGTTAAAGAAGGCATGGGTTACATTAGACAGATTCAAGTTATAACAATTTTCACGTGGTCGTGAGAAAATACAAAATGTCAAGTTTTTGGGTTATTAAGCTTGCCAAGTATATGGATATTTCTGACTTTAAATAAAAATCAAAGTATAAATGAGCGAAATAGATATTCTGTTTTAATATAGTGAAAATATTAAACAATATATAAGAAATACAAGCAAGTCACAAAAATAATAAAAAGTTAGAAAAATAAATAATTAATAAACATAAATAATCATTATATCCTAATTTGATGAAATTTTTTTATTTTCGTTTATTTGATAATTGGGCAGGGAGTCAATAGCAAGCTATTACTCCCTTAAGCAAAAATTGTGGTCTCGAGACACCCCGAAGGGCGTTCGCAGCAGTGCCAACCATCGCTGTGCAATGACAGTCAGCCCCGCTGTGCGTCCAGTCTTCTTGATCACCAGACACACGACCCAGGTAAGTATGAGTTGTTCAGGTTGTGAAATTGGAGTTCTTTTATACTTTTTTTTTAAATTTGAAATTTGTGACATAAAAATAGGCAGTCGTGTTCGGAAAATAAAATGCAATTTTCGTACTCATGTTTTCTGCTAAAGTTTCGTGGTTTGAATTTTTTTTGTTTGTAATAAGCATTTTATTAGAGAGCTTTCTATCTGACTTTAAATGATTTATACAAAAAGTAGCAGTCTTCTATTATCTGTGCTTAAATTATGCATCGACTTAGAATAGGGATACGATGGTTGTGATGAGAGAGAAAACAAATATAATGACCTTGTTAACATACATTTTTACAAATAATTGGCCAATACAATATCTATGTTAATATTTTCTATATATATTCTGTTTTGTTTCCAAGGTTTTACTGTTATAAAAGAAAATTTACGCTATATTTACTTGTATTTGAGCTTATTTTATTAAAACAAGCACATCCAAAGAACAACCTAATATGTTTACCACTTCAATAATACGCTTAAGAAAACATATACGTAAGCTTCGACATAAGTAAGAGTTTGTATAGGTATGGAAAACATATTAAATTATATAGCCAAATAACAGACACAGCTTAACACACGAGTTTACCCTTTTGATAATTGTATCCCAATCCTTTAGGACAGATAATCTGTCCAAGCATTCGTGTAGAGGTCCGGATACTCTTGTATTAGAGCAAGCTTATTTCCGGTAGTTTACTTTTTATATTCTTTCTTTGGCTTTAATGTTATACCATGCAACCTTCTCGCAGTTGATTACTTGTCTCTTTCATATGGGGAAGTGGAACTTTTGAAGATTAACTTCCTTTTACTAATTATGAGAGTGTTTTTGAGAGTGATGAAGATCATACTAGCTTGTATATAAAAGTGGAGTATACGAAATAGAAGAAATTTAGCAAGAATGCGAAAGACAGATGTTCTTATTTACACTAAAATCTTTAATGTGTTATGTTAATAATTGATATCATGTCCCATATAATGAGTTTTGCAAAGAGCTAACTTATATTTATGATTGCCATTGTGATACACGTTAGCCAAGAGCCTCCTTATATAGTTTATGCTATATCATTTGAAAAATATCATGTAGATATGTCTTCAAGAATCCAGAGGATAAGGTTCAGCTTTAGAGGCTTAGATAGCCGTTAAATCTTCAACGGGTAGCTTTAAAGGGAAATGAAGCATCGAAGTTACAATTTTCTCACAAATTTGGGAATTCGCTTAGCCCACGCCTACGCCGATGGTTTAACGGATTAGATAGCAAACTTTCTAATATAACCAATTCTAGAATAAGGTTGAACAGCTGTAAATTCTCCTTCATATCAAAGGAGCGATCTTATTTAAGCACTGATTAAATAGACTTTATTCCTTTGTTTCTTTCTTTTGGGAGTACTGCGATTAGCGTCTGTCAAATGGCACACTAATCTCTTGACTACGGGTTGCAATAATCGACCTTAATCAATAAACTTGTACTTTAAATAATGTCTTTGAGCCAATGCGATCATCAACTTCCAAACAACAGCTTTTCCAGTTCAATTGCTGAAATATATATATACTTTATCAATGTTTTGTAAAAACACGCCGTTTTATTAATTAAATAAGAATATTATATCTGCTCTAGACTTTTGTGTATTTTTTTTCTTATAAAGAAATACATTATACTTATTGGATCTTATTCTTCGGCCGCATCAAGCATATCTAGCAGAAAAGGATTAACTATGCGCGTCGTGTGTCTTTTTCTTAAAATAATAATAATAACAGAAAGACCTGACTTACCAGACCAAGTATTATTATAAAAAGATTCCATTAAACGCCCGGCCTGTTCCTCAGACATAGAATTATTACCATCCATCATTAACCAACCATGACGTGCGTATGGACTGAGATTGGGGTGAGGAGAGAGTCCAGGTGAAGGTGTACCAAAAAATGAACTTTCTTCATCATATGGACTTGGCGATGGTGCTCCGCTTATGGTTCCTGGGGAATCCAGTCCCGCGAACGGTGATCCTTGCTGTGTATCCATCGAAAAGTTTGACATTGGAGAAATAGGTGTAGACTGATGATTTACCGGACTTGACAAATGCACATTCTCCACGATAATTCTAGGAACCGGGGAGTGTTGGCGTACATCCCTCGTCCCAGGTGTACTCAAACTAGCCACGCTGGTATCCAGGTGAAGGCTACCCGCACTTGCCACACCCAACTTCTTTATCTCCTCTTCGTTTCTCTTTAGCCAGATCTGATGAAGATATCGCTTCCTTTGAATCAGAGTCATAAACACACCACTTGCTTTCTCAACTGCATAGGCTTTCTCTAGCCGTTCTAGCTTTTCTAGACGTGCTATTAAAGGCTCCAGTCTATATACACATACACACACGTTAAAGGCAAGAGTATAAGCGCGCAAAACATAAATTAATCTCTTACGTCAGTGATTCTTCAACATCAATAAAACGGTATGTAATTATAGTCAATACATCTGCAAACGAAATGCCCTTGGATCTTTCGGCTTCTATTATTTCCTATACAGATAATTAGTCTCTATATATATATTTATGATTTCTGTGTGTGTGTTTTTTGTATTACTCTATAATAAAGATTGTATTGTTTTCTTCGCGCTTGCAATTCTTGTGGATTGATTTTTGATAGGCAGTTGTTGACCTCGTTGTAATTGTATCCATGTGTAACTCGACCAGGGATGTATGATGGGGTCCCGGGCTTGTCTATTTTGTCATCGAGTACGTGTTGTTCATCTTCATTTACTTGAATATTGCTAAGCTTTTTCAAGTTTTTGATGCTGTAAGCATCATCATAGATCCCAAGCTGTAAATGACCACGAATATGCTGTTAACACATAATACGATTATTGTTAGTAAGATAAATACAGGTGAGAATTATATGCTAAATGCAAAGTATATTAAATATTATCACTTACATGTAATAGCTTTGTAACGTCTTTTTTCTGAATATAACCTGTTCCAGTAGGATCGATTTCAGCCCACGCATGTTTAAACCTAATATTATGGATGAGCCAGATTCAAATGAATTAAATACATACTTACGTTCGAAGATCATTCTTGCTAATTCCCGTAAACCGGGACCGAGTCTCATAAGTATGCTCAAAGTTACTGATGATAACCTATGAATTATTACAAGAGAAATTAAGAAATGGTCTGTTTGTAATAATTAACCAAAGCTTTAAATAACGAACTCACAGCAGTAAACAAGTTTAGGAAGATATGAGTACAGACAATATAAAAGAAGTTGAATAAAAAGAAGCTCCAGCCAGGAGACCCACAATCCGTCTCGAGATAGTCAGCAAAGTTTACACAATTTGGGTACTGGACTGTATAATCCATCATTACATAATTCTACAAAGTGGATATATTATAAGCACCATAATATAATCAAGCCTTGCGTACCTACCCATCCTTCGCCAGTTGTCATACGAACTAGTAATAGAAGGGCATTTCCGTATGTCCTAAAATTGCCATGCTCATCTCCATTTGGTCCATAGCGTGTTAAGCCAAACAGCTCCATAAATAACATTGCGAACAAGCACATGACAATTAAGAATACAACAGAAACATGGATTATACTCGGCATTGAATTGCTATATTAAATCTGTGGATTTAGTAGCGAAACATACATAGATAATACAATTTTTTTTTCTTTTAAAGAAAGTAAAGAAAAATAAGATAAACTTACGCAACTGTGTGATATAGTTTTTGAAGGACATCTATACCTTCACCTAAGCGAAATGCTGCGAATACCAGAAAATAACGTTCTACACGCAATGTCCATAGCTAAATATACCAATTCAGCAATTAACAAAAAATTGCTTTATCTATATATTTACAATACTTACATCTGGAACCGCAAAACGCAAAATCAAAAGTAATACTGCACTAATAGCAATAAATCCATCATACCAATTCCATTTTGTGGCTGCCCACTAATAAATAAGTGTTAGATCTTCTTTAATTTTTTTTTCGATTCCTAAAAAATCCACTACCTTTTTTCGTCCCATTCCTAGAAATTTAACAAGAACCTCGAGAGCATATATAATAATACATGCAGTATAAGCGTATTCTTTTTATAAGGATAAAAATTATATAAATATAAATATATACATATGATCATCAAGGTGTCAAAAACCAATATACCTTGAAGCTGTTCGAGCCAGGTGGGGGCATTCTGGTATTCAGTACATATAATTGCTGTCAAAAGGTAAGAAAGTAGTTACAAGCAGTAGAAAAGACTCACCTATGTTGGTTATAACAACACCCATTGTGATTCTATTGAAAATTCCACGCTTGTTGGCAACAATGTCATAGCACCATCCTCGGATGACTGAATCAGGCCTGTACGCTTTGATGGTAGGTTTTATTTCAGCCATTTGGCGCCTTAGGTCGAGGTATTGTCGCTGCTTAAGTGTAAGTGTTGTTATTCCTGACCGTTGTTTAAATTTTTCGATAATAACCTATTAAGCACAAATGAGCAATGTGGAAATCAGTGTAAGAGATCATCTTCACTAAATACATACACCAACAAACAGCTGGACTGTGCCATGAGATATGATCATAAATGTGATATAGTAAATTGAATGATATATCATAGGAGAGTCCCAACTAAACGAAGGCTGCTGGCCTTCCTCAGACGGTGTACTCATTGCGCTAAACAATGAATCAACCTAAACAAATAATAAGCCTCGTATAAGCAAACATAGTAATAAAAAAAAGCAGCAATATAATAAATATATTTCACTTTTTACATATAGATCTACGTTACCCAGCCTTCGGTAGAAGTTAATCCTAGTAGATGGTTGAACGCCTGTGGAAAATTGTCAAAAGAATAGCTATTTGTTTCTGGGTTCTGCCACACTCGTGGAATAAGAATATTGGCATCGACAACATCATCTCCACTGATATTGTTGGCAAACTCTCCTAGACATTCTGCTATATTTTCCATGCCGTCGTCATTACACAGCCAAAATCTACCGCCGAATATGTTGATTCCGTAAACCGAGTAAGGTACCAATACCAAAAATGTAAGCACCAGAGCATCTAACATTAAAGGAAATGCGTGGAACAAGTCCACAAATATATCTCGAACACCTTTAAAGTAACGGATCACACGAAGAATACGTAGACTACGTACAGTACTCAAAGCACGTGGAGACCGTTCCGATCCAAGAAAAATAGTTATTATGTTAAATATAACAACTGTAAAGTCGAGAGTATTCCACGCATTGCGCAAATAGGATCTAGGTGCTAAGAATAAGCCGTCTGCAATAACACGAATAATAATCTCGATCACAAATATCAATGATAAGATGTAGTCGATTATATAAAATGCTGACTGAGCCATTGAGTCTTCGCGTAATTTTCTTGTTGAAGGTTCGTCGAGAATAACCATCATGATGCTCAAAGCGACACACGCCATGATGAACCAGTTGAATAGATTCTTACGCTCAGACTTTCCGTCATTGTTGTTACCGACTAGTCTTTTGCAAAAATATCTAGTTTTGCTTCGCTGAGAGAAAATAAAGAGGGATTTTCTCTCGTGTATATTGCTTTGTAGTGCACGTCGGTTTTCTTCGGCTACAATTAATTCGTAATCATCTGTTGCATCTTCTATTGTAATGTCAGCAAAGGCAGTGCTAGTGTATACGTGTCTATGGATAATATATCGATCAGTAATTGCTCTAGTTGAAGTAGAAGCCTAAGTTTTACCCGTGGCCCGATTTTTTTTTCGCGTGCTCATCTTTTTCCGCGGTTTTGGCTTCTTCGGCCAAGACAGCTGCTTCACCTTCCTTAAGATCTGGGTCATCATGATCAACAAGTAGTTCTGCCAAAGAAGATTTTGATACGGGTACTGTAAGACTAGTAGGCATCCTTGGTATCTGAACACTTCTATTTTCGCTTCTTTTATAGAGGGATCCGAAAAGTCTAATTGGTTGATAAGAAAAAAAAAGGTCAATTGCTTTTCTCGTGTTGTTTTACACCTACTTGTTCAAAATAGTTTCTGCCTTGTGTATATCTTTGTGGGTATGCTGTCGAATAAAGCGTTTGATTTGGTATTGTTTTATATACTCCTCCTCTAGTTCAAAGTTCTCCAAAATAACAGCAATATATAAACCAGCCAGAATGACTGATTAAAAACATCATAAGATATAGCTACCCATGTGTATCTGATTTTTCTATATAAAAAAATAGCTTACATCTTGCAAAGGCAAAATAAATACATGTAAATATAGCCGCATAAATAGATCCAAGTCCATTCTGACTTTCCATGGCGTTATATAAAAGTTGCTTTTTAAAGATAAATAAAAGACACGGTGAGCTTAATAATACTAGTAGGTCGTTGTAAGTAAATACATACCGTCCAGGTCTCACTTGTGTACAACTAGACAACAAACAATAGAAAGTAAGTTAATGTTAGATTTAAATAGTTATGTTTTTCAAGCTTACCATTATCAGAGTCATAAAACTTTGCCAAAAAGCATCAAAGCGTAGTTCCGTAGAGTCTGCGTCCATAAAGTCTACAAAGTCTCCTCCTAACATTTGCATAAAAATTGGGCTACAAAGAGATGTGGCCAGTACCAAGAAAATAACAATGTTGGTAATACTTTCGCCATTACCAAGAGAGGCATACTAAGATATTTTAAAATATGTCAGCTATACTCCATGAATTTTTTAGGTGCCTACAATGATTCTTCGGACGCGTGGAAAGCAAATAAGCAGACGATAGAGGCGCAGTACTTGAAATATTGTCAAGTATTTGTATGCCTCTGAGTCCTGGATCATTGGAAGCTGTATGACACATGTACTGATCACCAAGAACAAGTCAAATCGATTTCTCCCCGAAGACCAGAATTGTATCCAGTTTGGTGCTCCAACGAATCGAAGGACAATTTCGATGACAAATATGAAAGTAAATGTAGTCTCAGCATTATCTACAGATCATGCAATAGGTTATTATTGATGTTTTCTTATAACAATTATAAACATACCAATAATCTCTAGCGTTTTTTCGGTCGCATAAAATGATCGCATGCACATGAATACAAGGTCTAAAAATACCAATAATCCTCCAAAGTAAAAGAACTTTGGGCTCTTTACCATATTGACCACATTTCGTTTAAACCATATACGGGTCACTCCGATACCAGAATCTTTGTGGGCATCTTCAAACATCCATGGAATATCTTCATGTGTAGAGTTCTCGTGTGAGTCTGCTAGTCTGAGTAATGGATATGACTTTTTTTTTGCTTTGAATCCACTCCCATAATTATTGGCACGGATTTGGGTAAAGGTTGATGTGATTACAGCTAAAATCAGAAACGATAGATTTTAGTTTAGCCAAAATAAACTACAGTGTAAGAATACGACTTACCGAACACCAAAAATGTGACTAAGAAGCTTAGAACATAGACACATATGCAGTAATATACCGCGACTGCATTAGAGTCGCCATCTTGATTCTGATACATCATCGGGGTCCATCCTTCAAGGGTTTGGACTGTGTAAATGCTCAGGAAAGAATAAAATATGGTATCGTAATTTACAAATCCAAAATTTGGATTGTTTATAGGATCTTCAATACAAATTTGGCCACTTTTGCAAATATTCCCTTGTGGTCCTGGGAAGCCATACGTTTCTCGGATAACGTTGTATGGTCCAATTAGTTCAGTGCCATTGTAGAATCCTGAACAGTAAGCAGGGGGCTCTACATATGTGGCTATAAACCATCATATGGAACATATTTACAATAAACATATATTAAGAATTAAATATAGTTAAGTCTGGTATTATTATTATTTTTACTTACATACACCCGCAGAGTCAAGCACATAACACCTTCTTGAGAACACGCCTTGGAATGATATAAGACCAATTAAGGCCCACAGGAGTAGAAAAAAGAACAAGAACCCCAGGACAACCAGCAAAAGACCGAGGCTTTCTTCAAGAGATCTTACAATCATCTAAATATATAGCGTTTAAATTCATGATGCAATGTAAATTCCGTCGATAATGCCACTTACTGCAGTACCAGGGAATATTAGCAAGAGACGCAGAGGTCGTGTGGCACCCAAGGTCTTGAATAAGGTAAAATAGCGATATCCATGAAGCATAAATCCAAAATCGATCCAATAGCATACAATTGATGTCAGATCGAGAATGTTTCCAAACTTATTGAGGTATGCTTTATGTTCGAGCTCAATTTTGTCTTCCTCTTCTTTTTGGTCATTATCATGCAAGTTTCGACTAAGTCCACGCAGACGACGGATACAATTCGATATAGGCGTAAATATCATAGATAGTCGGCTCTTTTCTCGGGTAGGTGGTATCCAGAAACCATACACGATTATTTTAGCGATTGCTTCCAGGCTATTAGCCGAAGAATTATTAGCCGGCACAAGCAAAATTATACATGTATATGTATATATATTATTTTACCTGTATATTGATTGAATGCAAAGAATAGGATAATGAGTCCATTGCTTTCCAAATATTGATTTCTCATCGTTATTTTTTATTGGGACACATGCCATCAAGAACCAATGAAGTAATAGAAGAAGTAATAGAAGCACCTCAATATTCCTATTAAAAAAAGCATACGTACAAGACACTTGGGATCAATAATACTCAATGGAAATTAGGTACTCACTTTGATTTCACTAGCTTCCACAACCACAATCGTATAGTGTTTGTAGGGGAGAATAGGTTAAGTGAATAACCTTGAAGTTGATTTTCTTTTGACTCTTTTGGTAAGTTGTCGATTGGATCATTTAAATCAAGGGGTCGTTGAATATCGCTTGTATTTTTTTCGTCAAAAGCTTCTCTTGCTGCTGCTGTTGCTGTTACTGTTACTGGCGCAGGTGCCGTTGTTGATGGTGGTTGATGCTGTGGTGGGGATGATGGTGGGGATAAATATGTTTCTTTCCAGGGCTCTATGGTATATTTCTTTTTTTTATTTTCGGGTGAACGCGAGTTAATTACTCTGGCAGCGGCCTCGTATATCAGATCCAGATACTGCTGCATTTGACTTCGTCTTTTCCGGACAGGGTGGTTATGGTGGTGGTGGTGGTAATGATGATGGTTAATATGGCGGAGTTTTCTGGACTGGTCGTATGAATATTCCATATAACGATGAGCTTCTGCGTTGTATGCTTTCATAGAAGCATTATCACTCATTGATGTCACAGAAGATGTGCCTGATAATTTGTTATCTTTACAAGAAGAGTTTGCGTTTGGGCTGTCTTTAAATCGATCTAATGTAGAAGTCCACTGAAAGTGAGAGTAATCACTCACTCGAGGCGAAGACGGTTGGCTTTTATACCAAAGCTTCTCGTCATCGGTAGAGCTAGTGATTCGGTTAGAATTACGGCGTGACCTCAAGCCAGTTCCGCCCAAAACCAAGTTATCATGTGGAGTGGCAATACCAAGGCCTGCAGTGACACGCTCATCCACAACATATGTATTCGGCGTCGATAGATTGTGTGGATTGTGATGTAGTAGCTTATCTATTTTGTTTTTTCGACGAAGCAGATCTCTAGTAAGTGGTAATGGTGTTGATAGATGCGATGAAGGCTGTTGTTGATTAGGAGAATGGTGAATAAACTCAATAACGTCTTCTGCCTGTGCTGTTGTCAAAGTGATCTGAGGGACATTCACGGAGGAGGCGTCACTTAAAGGTGTCTGTGGTGAGGCACGGTTAGACTTCGGCTCAGATTCGGTTGGAATTATTCCAGAATCAGGCATTGTGGTAAAAAAAATGGCCACCCCAACAACCTCTTTATCAGCGTTTGAAAATGAGCATAGCCCAGTCTCAACCAATGAACTTTATATTTTTTCTACCCAGACTTTAATCAGCTAAAGAGGCTTCTGTCGGACATATAATTCTTCCATTCAGGCAAAAATCTTAACCTAAAGTCAAATAGATTTTTGAAACGATGCAAACTGGTACTTTTTCACACTATTCAGACTGGTTCCCGCTTTCCGTTTGATGTTTATATGAATTTATTTATAATTTAATACCTATATAATAATAATATGCATTTTTATTTACAGTCAGGTGTAAATGTATATACGTGCTCTATACTGTTGGACATAAGCTAATTACAGAATGTTTTTTTCTTCTTCTTTTGCACTTAATCAGATAATGAAGCTACCATATTGAAAGCTCTTTTACATGCATATCTGAAAATACAATAACAGACCATATTAGTCTACGATAGGACTTGCATAATAACAGGTAGGCTCTTTTTCTTAAAATTATTATATTTTGTCAGATATATAATTTATGGGCATAAAATCGTACATACATATGTTTCTGAATAAAGCTTTTGGATACCAAATGTACATAAAGTTAACAAGACACTTAGCATATTACTAAAATATTACTCATGTATGAACTCAAGTGTTTGTTTGTTTTTGTCAAGTAGTACAGAGTCTAAAAAGTAAATCCTTTGGCGAATTATTTGCTTACAAGCGCACAGGTTACAGATTATGTTTTATTAAATGTATAGTGTTGTAGATCTAAAGATCATATGGTATCCCAAGTACAAAGAATGAAAAGAGAAACAAACAATAATAAGCTAAATGGTTGAATCTGCTCTCTACTTTGCGGCTGTGTAAAAGAAAAGAAAAAAAGTGTAACGTTTGTAAGAGGGCATTTTCGAATTTAACCTGTGACCTCAAAAAAAAAAGTTTTGATTTTCTCTTTTTTGAATGCGAAACTTTGTGTGCTTATCTTAGGATTGCATAGCTCAATAAAGGTGTTTGAGTCCCGGTCTTTTTATAGAATTTAATATCTATGCTTGGGAGAGCTTTTAATTGGTAACAGTAAAAAGGTTGATGAAAGAAAATATTTTCCTCTCAAAAGCACACTATAGTACTCGAATTGATACCAAAAGAAGCATATTTATGTTTTGATCATAATAAAAGACATGTAAAGGAGAGTATAATTAAGAATATTATTATGTATTCTTTAACCAACAGTTTTCGAGCAATACAATTATACAGCTGTTTTTGTATGGGTGTAACAGCTTACTCCCGATATTAGTATATAGCTATCTAAATTATTTTATTTTGGAGGAAATTCTTACAAAGATCCGTAATAAAGACATTTAAAAACAATAGTTAGACTTATCAAAAAATGAAAATGTATCGATCGTATTCTTTTTAATATAGCTCTCATAATAATATTGTTATTTTCAGACCCACATTAAAACATCTAGTCAATGATAAAGGCCCTAGAAATTTTGTTGGAAAAATCCAAAAATGAAAAACCAGAAACCTAATTATGGTTTATTAATATAAAATTTGTCTAAATACATATACATTTGTGCATCCCGGCTCTCTTTCTTTCTTTCTTTCTTTATATATACAATACAGTAGTAAGTTCAATTCAACGAAATCCCATCTCTTTTCTTAATTTTAAAGTTTCAGGACTGAATAGACTAGCTCGATACATTGCCATAGGATCCTGGCCATAATTTACAGATCCTCCTCGCCCTTGTGAAGACTGGTAGGAAATAGCTGAACTACCATCATTAATAAAAGAATTTAACATGGACTCGTCTTCATTAGCTTCTTCATTTTCACCGTCATCAGTACTGAACTCATCGCTACTACGTTCTGCTTCAACATCCAAAAATGGGTTATCTTCTTCGAGCACAATAGTTTCTTTTTTGCGTCCATTCTCTGATCCATTTTTCTTTGATTTCTTGATATTGCTTTGGATAACTTTAGTGTTGTCTGATGCTCGTTTGAGTCGTTTAAGTTTCCGGGGTTCTGGAAGATCAGAGCGTGTTGTCTCCTCTTCGTTCTCGTCCAAAATTATTGTAACCGGTCCACGTCGCTTTATAGTGCCGCTTGGTTGGTTTGGACTATCTAGACTATATGGTCGCTTTAAACCGCGTGATCTTATTTTTAATCGAAGGGGGGACTCTTCGGAAGCCTCGCTATATTCCATTCTAATAGGTGTTTTGAATAAAGGGGTGGAAGCTTCGGGCGGAAAATAATTTTCTGGGTGCACCGATGGCGAGACACTTGTAGGATATAAACCCAAAGGGGGTGATGGAGGCAGGATATCAGAGTAGATTTCGGGTTCTGGTGTTGTTTCGGTCTCATTGATTATATGAACATCTTCATCAAGGGCATTATAGTCCACGTAATCATCTGCTAAATTTCCTCTCGTAAATACAGGTTTTTTCTTCTCGTGGTGCCCTTCTTCAAAGTCCTGGCAAGCTTCTTCTAACTCTTCTGTTAATATACTTTGGCTTCTGATTAAAATAGGCTTTTCGATATATTCGTTGTTGTTTCTGGTCTCCACATTTGATTCAATTACATGGTCAATATCGTTTGGGTGATCTACAAAATATTTCAAATCTGATTCGTCGATCGAAAACTCAAAATCATCGAGCTCGTCGTTGTCTTTGTTTCCCAATTGACTGCAATTTGTCTGTACATATAATGCTGATATTGGTGATTTACTTGGTGATAAACGTATGGGTGAATTGAATAACTGATCTAGAAGATCCTGGCCAAGTAAACTTTCATCAATTTTTTCTATCGGGCTATCTATCTCTTGTGGAAATAAATTGTCTTTTCCATGATAGGTATTGATTTGGGTAATGCTATTGATTTGAAGTGCATTGGCAACAAGGATCTTATAATGCACCCTTCTTTTTTCCGAAATTTCTATTCCCTGTGTACTTAGTATTGGAAAACTTATATTCCAGGCGAATTCGTTTGAAGTAGTTAAGCTCTTTTTTGGATCTGTGTTGGTATTTTGTTTGCGAATTTTTGGTAGCCAATCGTTAAAATCAAAAGATTCGCTTTTGGCTTTTTCTGGGTTTACCAGAGAATTTAGCTCATTAGACTTTGGGGATGGTTTCGTGTAATTATCAGAGTTTGATTTGGTCAATTTGGTGTCAATTATGTTCAATCGTTTTACAGTATCGGGTTCCCTTGGTTTATTTTGGTGTTCAGGCTCTGTCACATGCTTGAATTGATGTATTTCTGGTGAATGCGTGATGGGCATCTCCTGAGTATCGGGTAATATTGGTTCGTAATCCAAGATCATGTCGGAATGGCAGTACGCCTCTTGTTTTTGTTCGTATTCCTTGTAATCAGCACTGGTGAAGGTAACATTGTAAGAGTTTACATGAAAGTCCTTTTCTGAATTATCTACTGGTATTTTTTTGGATGTTTGAATTCTCGGGAGTTCTCTTTGTTTCCCTTTGTTTTTTGTGACAAGACCTTCAAATGAGTCTTCTAAAAACATATCCCATGGTTGGTCTATCTCATCGTCGGAAGCATTAAGAATACCCCGTGTGGCGAAAGGACCCAAAGACTGTAGAAACTTCTCGTTATCATCCTTATCATTCGTAGCTGCTGGTTTTATATCGCCTGCTGTCGAATAAACTTTTGGTCCTATGGACAAATCATTTCTTATGATAGGTTGGCGTGATGGTAAGAAGAGTTTGTTTTCTTTAAATAAACTTTTTTGGTATAATACACCTTGAGGAACCATTTCTTTGTCGATGTTTACTCGCTCTGATTCTCCTGGGTGACGTTTGCGATAATGTATGTTGTTGATTATATTAATGAACTGATTTGTACGATATGAGTGGCCGACGAATTTGTGTGGATTTGGGTAAACGTCAGAAATTGTGTACTTTGAAGACCCTTCTAATGGATTAGCTAATGGCCAGTATCTCGTCCTGATACTGTCCAGAGATTCGAAGTTATACACGCCTGTCTGAAACTTTTTTATGAAATCAGATAAGATTTCTGGCCGTAGGGTTCCATCCGGATTGGACGTTGAATTTTGGAGACCTCCATTTTTTCCTTTTTTTGATATCGTCTTGATATAGCTACCGATATTTAGCTTCTTCTTGCAACAAACAGGCTTGTAGTTTTCAGGGAGAATGTAAGGATTCTTTTTGAAATAAGTCAGCAAATTCTTTTGTGCGATTGCTCTTTGTACACTATTGTAAGAGTCCTTTGCTTTTTGATATTTTCTTTCTTCCTGCTCAGTCATAAGAAGTATGCATTGCCCTTGGCGTTTTCGCCCTGTTCGACCAATACGCTGAAGCTATAGTTTAAACAGGTATTAGAATGCCTTTTGGTAATTATATATTAGTCTTTTGTACCATTCGAATTGGAGAACTTTGCGAGTCATAGCACACTATCAGGTCGACTTCTCCGATGTCCAAGCCTTCTTCTCCGATTGAGGTTGCAACGATTACATTGATTTCTCCTTGTTTGAATTTAGAAACGACCTTTATATAAACATATTAGGGACGGTAATTTGGTCGTTTCGTTTTCATAAAGATAATTACCTCTTGTTGTTCTTTTTGATTTAAACCTTTTGTGCCATTTTTTCCACTTGCTTGGCCAATAAAACTACAGCATCTGATAAGTGGTTGGTGCTTTGATAACACCTTCACGATTTCTTCTACGGAACTACGATAGGATGAAAACACTATTACTTTCGTGTTTGTATGTCCTATACTACTGGTTTGGTTGTTCTCAAAATGGTGTTTTATAGAATGAATAAGACTATTGATCTTTGGATGACCAACAAAATCGGGTCGGTCGTAGTTGTTTCTTAGATTTCTCAAAAGGTTTTTGAGTTTAAAGTCACTCAATAACTTTGCTTTTTCTTTTGGTACATGCTTTCCAGAATCAATGACCGTCTGAATATCTTGTAGTGTCTGGTCGATACTAGTTAAAAAAGGCCCGACTCCATGTTGACAAAGCATGTCATAAGCACGACTTAAACCATCCCCGATTGAGAAGTCTGTTTGTACCATGGACTTGACAGCAGGTGAGAAATTCTTGGCATTCATTGAAAACTCCTTTCGAGCCATCATTAACTGGAATGGTGTATTTCTTTCAGGTGCTTCGTCATATATTGCTTGAAATTTGGTAAGGCGCCGTAATAAAGGAGTGAACACCTCATTTCTGAAAGTTCTAATAGCGTTTTGTACAATTCCTTCTCCCTCGTCTAGTCTTACGATGATTGTACGAATGCTTTTTCCAAAAGAATACTCTCGGATATCCATTGAGTCCTCTGTTCGTATCTCCACATTAGCTATCCGGAGATTGTCTAGTACAACCTGAACTTTTTCAATGTTCGTTCCAGGAGTGGCAGTCAAGGCGAGTACTCGGAACTGATCATGTGTCTTTAAAATCAACTTAACAGTCTCGGTGTAAGCGTAATTTCCAGTAGCTTTGTGGGCTTCATCAACCACAATACAAACTATTTGGTCGGCAGGGCATATTCGAGATTTAAGGTCGTTTTGTAGCACCTGTGGCGTCAGGAAAAATACTCGCTTTGTTCTCCACATTTCTTTACGTTTTGGGGGATTCATTCCTCCTGTCATGTCAACAGTGTCTTTTTGTGGAAGTCCACAAACATTAAAGCATGCCTCAATTTGTTGTGTTACCAAAGGCCGTGTTGGTGCCATAAATATAATTTTTGCGCTTGGAAACCAACGGTAATAATTATACATAACCACTGCAGCAATAAATGTTTTTCCCAGACCAGTAGGAAGTGCTACGAGAGTGTTTGTGAATATGGCTTTTTTTATGATGCTGTATTGGTAGGATCTAATTGGATAATTTGTAGGATAAACCCAAGTGGGAAGTGCATCTCGATCAAATGGATGAAATGTTTGTGCTTCTGGCGATGGAGGCTGGGGAGGTTCCTGATCTTCTTCCAAATGTGATATTTCGCCATATACTAGACTGCTTCTATTGGTGCTTTGTTGTGCTGGAGATCTTGTTTGCCGGATTGGGGAGATTACTGCTGCGGATGATCGTCTGTGTGTGATTATAGGCGAGCCAAAGAATGAAGTTAATTGACTTTGTGGAATGTTTTTTACAGAGTGATTATGGACATCTAAAGTATTGCTTTGCTGAAATGTGTCTGAAGAATTGCTTATTTCAGCAGTGTCTGCTAATCTTATTAAAGCTTCTGGATCAAAATCATCGAATTCACTAAACGAATCTGAATCTTGAGCTGCATTTAAAGGTGGCTCATTATTTGCTGCTTCTACTCTGTCAAGCTCTTCTAGGAATTCGGGTGTGAGGTCAAGGTCATCGTCGAAATCGTCAAAGTCAGACATTGTTTGTTGGCATTAAATCGTTGTACACCTTTTTTATTAAGAACCTGCGCTTTATAAAATTACGATTTCTTAGTCGTTTATATAAATAGTTACAAGATTTAGAATTGATTGTACATAAAATGAAGTGGAAAGAGCATTTTGTGAGACAACTGGTGTTAGCTTAAAGAAATTCGAATCAGCATATATATTTCTATATACATTAAGTTGCTACTTAATGTACAATCTTGAATATTGACTTGAACATAAAGCTGTTTTCCATTAAACAAACTCAGGCTTATCATTTTTATTAAATTCTCAAATAAGACATTCATATAACAATAATGATGCAGTCTTTTCGAATCATATTCTATTTAAACTTGATTTATTTCTTAACGTTTTATCATTTTCATTGAAGTTGTCCTCTTTTATTAAAGGTTCTCATTATTCATGTGTTCTTGCCTATCATAAATCAAATTAAATCATGTTTGTCTAAGAAATATTTCCAAAACCTATTAAATTACTTTTTTCTGTTTAACTCCCATATTGGTGCAAATAGCATTATAGCTAAATGCACCTCAACCTGACGAATGAACGATGCAATCGTGTGCAAACTCTCAGCCTAGCCACGTGAGTCTCAACGCTTATTGCAGGAGTAGTTCTCGTACTTTGCTTAACCAGCCAACAAAGTCTATCAGAAATTTCTTTGTTGAGCGAAAAATAAAAACGCCTAGGTTCTCCTGCTCCTTTTTTAGTAGTCCTGCTTACCATTACATTCCCTAAAGACGAATAATGAGACTCGCTGTTTATGGTGGAGCGTCTTTTATGCTCGCGCTAGGCGTTGTTCTGTCAGCATTACATCAAAACTCGAACTTCTATGCAGCATGCGTCTACCTTTCAAAATCTAGCTCATGTGTGATGGTAAGCTTTGATTAGCTATAGGCGACTAAACTCAACGTATGTGAAACAGGTACTTTTGAACCTGGGATTACTCTTCTCTATTATTATGGGCAAGACTTTGCAATCCATTTTCTTTGGCCAACTTCGAGCGATTGAAGTAGAGGTACGGATATTAAAGCTCGCGAGTAAGTCGATCTAACTTTTTTAGAAACAGCATCTGTATGAACGTTCGTGGTATGCTGTAACAGAAACCTGTCTCGCAATGACCATATTTCGCGAGGAATTCGATCTTCAGTTTGTACTTGTGTTTGCGACCTTACTCTTCCTAAAGATATTTCATTGGCTTTGTCAAGACAGAGTTGAATTTGTGAGTACAGAATAAATAAAGGATATTTTTAGGTTGTGTATTGATACTCTTCTAGATGGAACAATCTCCGTCTCATCGTATGACATTTCATGTCCGTATGGTGAACCTTATGGCACTTCTTTTACTCATCGATATTCTACTGGCATGCCACGCTATTAATGTTACCATCACTAAAGGTCCCAATATGATGATAATGTTTGGATTTGAGGTAAGCTTATAAGTTATATTTGTCCATCCACATTCATTTCATAATAAAAAAAAGGTTAAATAGCTAACTATATAATTTATTAGTATACCATATTGATTTGTATCATGACTTCAATTATTGGAAAATACATACTTAATGTCGTTGATATGCGCTCACAAGAACCATGGGAAGGGAAATCCATGTATGTGTTTTACTTGGATCTTGTCACAGGTAAGCGCAACAAATAAGCTAATTAAACTACAAATACTTATACAAACACCTTAGATTTCTTCAAGCTTATTACCTACATCGTGTTTTTCATTTTCCTTTGTTTCTTCTACCAGCTTCCTTTACATATTGTCCGTGATGTATATGTCACCTTTAGATCTTTCATCCAGAAATGCCGTGATTTGTACCGCTACCGGAGAGCGACCCGTAACATGAACGAACTTTATCCAGACGCTAGTGCAGAAGATTTACTTCGTACAAGTGACAGTACATGTATTATTTGTAGAGAAGAGATGCATGCTATAGTAGTGGATAACAATGGACATGCGGATGCTCCGGGAGATATTGATCAAAATTTAGATCAACCAAAAAAGCTACCATGTGGTCATATATTTCACTTTTACTGCCTGCGAAGCTGGCTGGAAAGACAACAAAGCTGCCCAACCTGGTTAGTTACCAGTATTACATTAACATTGATAAGAAACCAATACTAATTTCTTACTACCCTTATGAATAACAGCCGTCGATCGGTACTTTCGAATGGTATGGATTTAAAAGTAATTGTATTATCAATATACATGTTAATATTGAATAATGTTGCTTCTTTGTTTTTTGTTAGCATCTCAGCCGACGCCTCCAGAGCAAGCACAAGCGCCGCCAGCACAAGCTCAGGAACCTCCTGTTGAAGCTGGCCAAAATAACAACCATACAAATGACCACCCATTATTCCACCCACAAGATCAAACACGGCAGCACTCTGAGAACAATCAACACAATCATTTCAATGGATTTCATAGTTCGCACACAATGAATCAAGTTCCTCATTTTTCTACCAGAATGGATTCATCTCATGAGGGAGGCACGCTTCATACACAGCATACAATACACACCCCTCTTCAATCCCAAATTCCAGGAATGATTCCCTTAATACCTCTCTTGGGACAAAACTCTGGGATCTTGCATTCAAATGCACCTGGCCAGGTTACTTCTGTAACACTTCCTGAGTCTCTGAATGAAGAACAGCTACAGACGTTGGCGGAGACCACGCGTGAATCTATGGTTCAAAGATTACGTTTGCTAGAAGGTGTTCAAAGTCAAATATTTCATAGTATGCAAATTCTTGCAGAAGCGCTTAGTGTCGTTCCTACTAATGATATGCGATCTGCATCACAAAGCGAAACTTCTAATGCATTCACATCAACATCCCAACCCACTGGACAATCCAGCTCTCTATCGCCAAACACATCTACCACTCCTACATCTTCAGCATCTACACTCTCTGACGAGCCTTTGGAGACTTCTTCTTCAAACAAGCAAAAAAAGGGAAAGATGCCTGACTATAGTACACGTCTGGAAGATGTGAATACCAACGACTCTTCTAGTGACAAAGAATGATTATTGAGACATTTGCAAATAAATATACTGTATTTTCACTAATTATTCACAAATTACGAATAAGTTTTTCACACATTTGTAAATAAATTTTCGCCTATATGGATAAAGCATATCTACTAATAATGGATTTAATTTTTTTTTATAAAATATCACATTATGAATTTGCTAATCCAGAAAATAAATAAATTTTACTCTGTCAATTGAGAAAGCAGTTGCTGTGTACCCTAAGAAATACACCAAATACACAGTGTATCGTCAACTTCTACGTTTTACTTTAAATCAATATTAAATATATTTGTTTCTCTTTTTTCTTGTCTTTCAATAAATTACCAAAAATTCTAACTGTCATTTTATTTCTAATTGACTCTAATTAATTTATTTTTACTAATATTAAAACAAAATGACATGAGGCTTAGGTGATTGTCAGAAGAAAATGCCCTTACAAGACTTGCATATATGTCAGCTCCTTTTATATCCATTCTTCCCTCTTCTATTCCTTCTGTGTGTATCATAAAAACTACTATTGAGACATTTTATTTCAATGATTGAGTTAGTAATAATCTCTTTCTCTAAGTTTTGGCAATCATTTACCTAGCACAGGCCCCTTGTTCCATTCAGTACAAGAAGTTTGATCACATTAAAAGACTATAGTCTACCATTATTTCAACTCAAACCTCCGTTACTCTGATCTTACTATCCCTAATATTCGTAGCACACAAAAGAATGAAAGTTTACTAAAATGTACTAGCAGAGTGATTAATTGATTATAAAATCGCAGTCAACTAAGCTTGGCTTCTTTTTTGGTGATTATACAAAAAAAAACAATTATGTATTGCTTGTATCCTATTTTACTTATAATAATTTAAAATATCACAGAAACTCTCATCAATGTGTTTTTAGAACTGGAGACGTTTCTAAACTGCCTTTAATTTTCTTTGGAGATATGCTTACAAACAAGGTAAGTGTTAGATTTCGCAGTTTACGACATGGAGTATTCGAGAGAATTTCCAAGCATCTTCTTGTAAAGCAGGAGATCGGAGAATTGTACCTTCTGGACATCAATGAACTTAACACGTCAAAAGTACTTATGCACTTTTTCTTTGAAGTTTTATTCTTTATATTCAATATTGATTGTGTAGGTTTTCAACTCCTGTAATACCAAAAACCTAGGATATTTCCGAAATGCCAACAACAGACCTACCCATTTAATATTAGTTTAAGACAACTTAAAGATGCTTACAGGTAAAGAACATTCTAGTCATTTTTACCTTGTCTCAACTAAATCCCCTTCTATCCCAAATTTTATTCTTTCATGTCTCTTCTTTTTTTTTTTGTCCAAAAAAGGTAAGAGAATTGTCTAAAAATTAATTTTCATTCGTCCAAAAAAAAACTAACATCGTCTCAATTTCAAGTATAAACACTATAATATCCAATAATTTGAACGAACTTGTATTTTTTAAAGTATCAGATTAGAGAAATATCCATAATTAGACATTTTAGTTTAAAATACCTTCTATTTTTAATTTCAAAGTAAAGCAGTCTTATTTTTTTATTTAATAGTAAATTTTAGCCTAGAATACTGGCTCTAACACAGAGTGCGGACAATGTCTATACCAAAGACTGCGTGATCTAAACGCACATAAACCGCAAAAAAATAAACTTGAAAAAAATATGATGATAAAGTCAACCGATGAATGACGAAAGATAGGGACATCGCGAATTGATACATGTCGAGATGGTACTTTCTGAATTTTCAAGATTATTCTTTTGTTTTTCCTTTTTTTTTCTTACCTTCTATTAAGAAGTGAATAAATTTTAAATTTTTACTCTATTTTTGTTCAAGATGTTTGGAGATTATGTTTCATTTTATAGCTTCATAGTGGAAAGATATGGTTTATATTACTAATGTTCGGCACACTTCTTTCTCTTTAATTGGCTTGTTTTTTTTGGCCTTTTATGATTCCTCGGGATTTTTTATTATTATTAATGTCGTTATTTTATTTAGTATTTTGGAAGCCATATGATATATAGATTTCAAGCCATATTCTCTTGATATATAAGAAAAAATAACAATAGTTAAGCTGATGACTGTATTGACCTAATATGATGATAGGCCTTTTATTTTATTTATCTCGTTCTTTGAGATCGGTGAGACATAAAATCCCGCGTCAAATATTGATATATTTTAGATTATTATAACTTTGACAAAAATATATAAGTAAAAGCTTATATTAAATTATTTCTATCATTCTTCTATTACTCTCACTCTTATTTTTACTATCGTTAAAAATAGCATGCAATCAATGTCAATTGTAGATAAAAGACGAGTTGCGATTGCCTACGACGGTACTGATGATGCTAATAGACTATTCAAATGGGCGATCGAGAACATCATAAGACCTGAATCAGATCATATCGTGTGTCTTACGGTCAAACCACAACGTGAAGCAAAATATCGTCATAAATCTGAGGATGGAAAGGATTCAGAATATTTGGATGCGCATCATGATCCATCACTGCAAAAATTGGAGGAACGCATAACAAAACTAGGCGTAACAATTGAGCAACACGTCATGTTTGGTGATCCTAAAGAGCTAATTCCTCAGTATACTGCAAGAGAAAAAATAGATCTTCTGATTGTGGGATCGCGTGGACTCACTACCTTACAGACCGTATTTCTGGGCTCTGTGTCCGAACACTGTCTACATGAATGCCCTTGTCCTGTTCTTGTAGTACGCAATACTACTATCGACGATCAATAAGGATTAAACAAATAAAATAAAGTACATTTGAACTTAAGCATTAGTTATTTATTTATTTATTTATTTATTTATTTATTTTTATTTTCCTGGTTCATAATGATCCATAAAATTAAACAATAAAGAAGACATATATATTAGAGAAGAGTTCTCGAGCTTTAACCAAAATGTGCGTCACTTGATCATGTGTTACTTGAGTAAAAGATGAGGCAAAAAGAAAGTGATATCAACTCAGACCACAGTTTTCTCTAGTCAATGTTATTCTTCAGATAATGACCTCAACATTCCCATACTCATCACTCTCACGATTAGGAACGGCATCCTTAAGATCGGCCACAACCGCAAGTCTATCCCATTTACTACAGAGACCACCAACCTTTGGAACCGAAGATCGGATTGTATTGGATATCGGCTCGCTGTACATAAAAGTAGGATTTGGAGGAGAACCCCGACCCAGACACATTATATCTTTTCGAGAGTTTCTACACCAAGATAGACAAACTCCAAGTGATCAGCAGGTTATTGTTTATAGAAGCTTGATATACAGTGCTATAATTTATAAACATATTATTAGCTTGTGGAACTGTATAATCAAGATTTAATGAGAGAAAATAATGCCATGGAAAGAGTTGAATTTATGCTGGGTGGCGCTCTTCAGGATGTTTATTTCAGGTATAGCATATCAATGTTGTTTTCACAAACCCTAATTGTATATATGTGCGTATGCATATACATACATATGTAAATATGTATGTGTGTACAGATACCTATTGGCTGATCCAAGTCAGCACAAGGTTATTATTTGTGAATCACCCATGATACCCATCAAGGTTAAAGAGATTATTGCAAGCATTCTCTTTCATCGTTTCCACATCCCGACCATTTCATTTCTTCCAAATCATCTTCTGGCCCTATTGACTACAGGAAAAATGACTGGCCTTGTTATTGATTGTGGACATTTGGAAACAATCGTATTACCAGTAAATACAAACATAAATATAAAAAGCATATTAGTTATTTTACTCAAATTTATATTATTAGATTAGTTTTGCGATACCTTTATCCAATGCATTGAAGACAACTCCTTTGGCCGGAAGAGCCGTTGCATCAAGATTGAAAGAGCTTCTCAAAAACCATGCCAGTATAATTGATGCCAGCTCTCATTCCTCCATTTCAGTTTATCCTCACCGTCAAGTGCTAGATAGCAGCTTAACATCAGAGTTAATTCAAGACATACAGCTCCAATGCCTCTTTGTTTCTCCTACAGGAGCAGATGGGATGACTGAAGATATCGGTGATAGTGATAACAAAAATAGTCATGCAAACGATGTCTATTATCGTCTGAAGGGAAAAGATGGTATCTTAGTAATCCCTGGGTGGGTGAGAGAACATGCAGCTGAGATTCTCTTCAGCCCCATCGATGAAGAGCTTTGTAGTATTGGAGAATGTGTACTAGACGCTGTACTAAAGGTATATCAACAAATGAAGCCACGCGAATTACAATTGAGCCTTTAGTAACCATGAATATAAACATAGGTCCCAAGAGACCTAAGACGTGAGCTTATATCTTCTATACTCTTAATTGGTGGAAGCAGTATGATGGCAGGATTCCAAACACGACTGCACAATAACTTAGTGGGCAAGATAAAATTGGCTAAATATTCCAAGATCTGTGGCCTCCTGCCGTCGATAAACTTCTTTGATATTTCTTCCAAATCAGGACAAGTGTTCCCGAGAAACAGTCGGGCTTGGGTGGGTGGATCACTTGTAGGTGCCCTCCAATTATCGGGACAAGCAGTTAATCGAGAGCAGTTTGATGGAAGTGTCCCCGACTGGACTAGGCCAATGCTATAGGGGCTGATCGGTGACTTGAGAATTCTTATGCGGCCTGTTAAAACCAGCCACAGGAGTCAGTGAGAAGTAACGCGGCCACAGCCAAGTTTGCCCGACGCGTTTTTTCTTTCCCTTCATTTTTGTGCTTTATATCGTGTGTAACAGATTACGCTTGAAACAGCACTACTGCTACTTTAATTTACATACGTTTCTTTATTGAATCAATGTCATTTAGCAGAATATACTCTGCCGTCTACTCAGGTGTACCCGTGTTCGAGATGGTCGTGCAGGGTGTTGCAGTTATGCGTAGAAGAGCAGACTCTTATATGAATGCCACTCAGATTCTAAAGGTTGCAGGCATTGAGAAAGGCAAACGCACAAAGATTCTTGAAAGAGAGGTCCTCTCTGGAGAGCATGAGAAAGTCCAAGGTGGCTATGGAAAGTACCAGGGAACTTGGTATGTTTTCTAGTTTGTTTTATACTCCACAACTCATTCCTTTTTAACTTTCAAAAAAAATGTAGGATTCCTTGTGCGAAAGGCAGAGAGCTAGCAGAACGATATAATGTCATGACACTACTTGCACCTCTTTTCGATTTCGATATTTCTACCCTAACGAATGAGAATGAGGAAGAACAACTTCCCACAAAAGAGCAGGCTATAGCTGCTCAGAGACGGAAACAGTATGTTGAGCCACGACAATCTACTACACAACCTTCAACATCAAATGCAACAAATGGATCCCCTGGAAAACCATCAACTGGTAATCGGTCATCCAACTTATCGTCCACACGACACAGTCATGCACAAACTCAAAAGCAACAGCATTCTACACCTGTTGTTCATGAAGAAACAAGAGGACGTAAAAAGGCAAAGATTGCAGCCACTTCTGTTCCGAATATTACAAAATCACCAGAAGAATCTACAAGTGAACGTCATCGCCGCATTCTCATGGCCATATTTCTTTCGGATAACTCTGACCACATTCCTGAACTTTTAAAAGACGGTAACGCCTCATCTATTTTCAATATCGATCTTGTGATTGACGATCAAGGTCACACGGCATTACACTGGGCAGCAGCATTAGCACGTATAAAAACTGTTGAACTATTAGTATCAAAGGGCGCTGATATCTGCCGTCAGAACTATGCGGGAGAAACCCCACTTATGCGTGCTGTCATGGTAACCAATAGTTACGACAACGAATCTTTTCCTTCTATCCTTGCTATATTAGAAGACTCTGTACGGATAACAGATCAAAAGAATCGGACAGTACTTCACCATTCAGCACTTACGGCAGGAGTTCATACCCGAATGAATGCAGCTTTATTTTATACTCGAAATATTATTCGTGTACTTACTACTCAAGGTCTTATTAAGCCAGCGATTGATGTACAAGATAATATGGGAGATACTGCACTTACAATCGCCGCAAGACTTGATTGCTCGGAGATGATCGAGTTGCTGATACAAGCAGGTGCCAATAGTAAGACCGAAAATAAGATTGGCCTAGTACTCGAAGACTATCAATCAAAGGATGTAAGTGCAAATGCTTTCTGTTAAAAAAATAAGGGGAAAAGTAGTATTGTATATCTGTGTTAATATACTTTTTTAAAAAAAAAACAATCCTAATGATAATTTTAATTTTAATTAGGACCGAACAAATATAACCGAATCTTCGTCCTCAAAAACAGATAAATCTTTTACAGCAACGTCAATGTATGCTAAACGTTCTTATGGTCCTAGCCAAAGAGGACGTGAAATTGTGTCCAGTAAGGCTTACCAAATACTTGGATTTCAGTCTTTATATATAATCTCTAATTTGTAAATGTTCCCAAAAAAATATCGATAGCCGTTCAGAGAATTGTCGACGCATTAGATGAAGAGTACAGTGGTCAGCTGACTGAAAGAGACCAAGAACTTCAGCAGACGCAAGAAGAATTTGAAAGGGTAACAAAGCAATTGGATGAGACACGAAAGACTTTGGAAGAACGACAAGCCCAATCCCAGCAACTTTCAGAAACGTATCAAACGATTCGTGATCTTGAAGGGGCACTTCAGACTGGGTGGGCAGAACTAGAGGAAATACTTCAAAACCGGGGGGATATGCCTCATCCAGATATGATTGATTCGTTTGATGAAAACGAAGACATCGATGCTTTATTTGATGTTCCTGTTACTGATACCGAAGACCCAAATCAGCTTCAACTGCAGGTTCAGATGTTACAAGCGAGAATTGAAGCTTACAAACGGAATGACAAAGATCTAGAGTCAGATATCCAGAGCTTGCGGACACAGGCCGCTGATAAAGAAATGCATTGTAAACGGCTGATTGCGGCTTGCTGTAATCTATCTATTGATAAGATTGACGAGCTCGTAAAGCCTTTGACACAAGCAATCGAGAGTGACCCTCCTGATCTGGATCTTGCTCGTGTTATTGGGTTTATGGAGAAAATCAAGCGCCAGGGCACATTTCCAGACTATTCTTCAGCGTCATCCTCGGGATCTGGTAGTATTCCTGGTCTTTCTGTGACATCGCATATTAATAATGGTCAAAGTAATGGTGACAGTTCTAAATCTATAGAGATGAAATTCTCGCCAGCTGTTTAAATAGCACAAATCGACTTTGTAGGTGCCCAAAATTGTTTCAAACTTTATTATTATTTATTTCTACTTGAATGTATATACGTTATAAGCCACATTGATAAGTTGTATCTATTGCCAAATACCTTTATTCCTTTATAAAATACGATACATCCGTGTGTGTATGTGTGTGTGTATTCTAGCTTTATATTCTTTTTATATAAATTCACACAAGGCAGATAGCTTATTTATTTCTGGACAGAATATATGAAAAAGCGATATTCTGTATTCGCCTAGTACATTTATACTTTTTGCAAAACTGAACATGAGTAAATTGTATAAATATTATAAGGACTTGAAAGCATTATAAAGACACTTTTGCTTTCGATATTACAAAATTTATAAAGAAATAAAAAGAAATAACCTGGTTGAGGCTCGATCATTAAAATAACATCTTCAATACGTGACATTTCTAATCTGCGTTAGTATTCATTTTACTATAAAAAAGCCAAAACTACAAATCTACTACGGACCAAGGAATATATATAAAAGCAAAGAAATAATAAAAAAACTTTTATTTTATTGCTATAGATTGACTTGTCTTTTACAATTCTCCAAACACATATTACGAATTTTCCCCAGCAGTTAATGTATAATGCGTTAAAAAGATTAAAGGATTCAGTACACTGTGGTTAACCACCTTTAAGCTTTACTATTTTGTCAAGATAATGTCTCAGAGTTGATATTGTAGCTAACAGTTGTTTAATCAAATATTCACTCGGTGATTATCTTTTAAAATATGTCCTCAATGTTATACCGATTTGTTCCTCTTTTTGTTAACCAAGACATATTATGTCGCTTTACATAAATATAAAACCAATGTCTTGGGTAAAATAATTAGATTAGATAGTTTCACTTTTACGAAATCTGTATAAATATTTCAAGATTTATATCAATAAAAAAGCATTCAAGTCTCTATATTCCTATCTGTTCCTATTTATTCACAACGTCCTAGTTGGTGGTGATCTATTATAAAAACTTATACAAGTTAAAATAATAGAAAGACACACCCAGATCGGGAACGACAAGTAAAACAAATTATAAAATAGAACCAATCTCTTCTAGACGAGAAATCAAATGCCCACTACAGGGGTCGAACCTGTGGCCTTGGCGTTATTAGCACCACGCTCTAACCAACTGAGCTAAGCGGGCTTCTTGATGTTTGACACAAGTGCTATAAAATTTTTCAACATTAATTAAAAATGTATATTTGTTTGATGTGACGTCAGCTTATGGACAGACTATTAAGTTATGGACAGTGCAAAGTCGTGACTCCATCTCCGGACACGACAAAATCCGATTTCTTGGATTTATTTTCTCTCTCCCTCTTTTTCCTTTTTTCTTGCTATCGACATTTAAATTCCCGCTGGACTTTAAATACTTTTCTCTTTTTTTCTATTTTTTCCTTGGTTTTTATTTCCTTTTTAGCTTGCTTCCCTTTGCATTGCACTTGTTCCTTTACACTTCTTGATATTACTTCTTTAGTATGCTTCCCGAGAGTTCATATTTTTTAGTAGTTTGATTATTTTTATTTTTTTTATTATTTTTGATTATTTCCTTTTGTGATTATGCCCGAAGACCTGTACACTCTTCTAAATAATCATAATTTAGCATAAGATGTATCTAGATTGTCACCTTGGACGCAGTTGTCAATTAGTATATAAGAGAGACGTTTTTATCCCAATAAAATTCATTCAGTTTTCCTCTATATTTCTTTTGAACATCGTCACTGAGCTTGAGCTATTGTCCTGCGGGAAATACTAAGTTGCACACTGTTAGGATCTACAAGTACTGTCTCACCGTTTGTCTGCTTGTCTGCTTGTTCGTTTGTCCATTTGCCCGTTTGTCTGCTTGTCCGTTGTCCGTTTGTCCGTTGTCTGTTTGTCCGTTTGTCCGTTTGTCCGTTTGTCCGTTTGTCCGTTTGTCTATCTGTCTGTTGTCCATATATCTGTTTACATCTATTTCAAGTCCCATTCATTGTCTAAATTCCTTCTTGTTGGATTGTCCTGAGCGAAATCACAAGAATATAACTATACATATAATATATATTATATTTCTGACCAGTTGCACCACACACCATAACTCAACACGCGTCATGTTTCATTGAGCACTTTTTATATTATATACTACACATTTATAGATGTTGTGGTGGTTGAAGTTGAAGAAGTTTTTAAGAAGAAGAATTAAAGATTTGAGATGAGGAACGAAGATTTGTGAGAACTTGTGTAGGTTTTGTTTATTGAGAAAAGATTTGGTATCAAAGTTTGACCAGGTTCCTACACTGAACTACTACTGCTCTTTATATTATTTTGGATCAGGAAAATTATATGACTGGGGTCAGGTAATCGATCCTATCTGAGCCTTAATCAGAGCAACGTGATCTTGGGATAATTAATGTATGATTAATTATATAAATGTGTGTAGTCCCAATGAAGTATTAACATCGAAAGTAAATGTGTTTATGAGTTATAATTATGCTTATAATAATCCACTGATGTATTCCATATTCTGGTGATATCATCATATGAAATATAATCACTATTATGCATGCTAAATCTGTGTGTTAAATAATAAAGTAATCAATAGACACCTTTGACTGGAATAGCTGAGGCCTTATATTATTTCCTTCAGACTTATTCTCAATTACAGCAGTAGTCAATACTCATTTACAACAATAGCAAATATTTAATTTAAAGTAGATATTTCTATATAATTTCATAGATATTATCAGTATGATATTAAATATATACTATGAATGAAATTGATGTGGCTGCCACTAATAATAATAGATATGCTACTAATTTATTTTAATTAACCAATCAAATTGGTTCTAGAGTTTGGTAAAAATATTAAAAAAAAGTGAAAAAGATAAAGTTGTATTTAAGAGCGAAATAACATAATAGAAACGTTTTTTTTTTTACATATATATCATATAGAGAGTATAATAATTTGATTTATTTATTTTTTATTTGAAATCATAAAACTTTTTTTATCTCATTGTCAAGATTGTTATATTTTGCTAACACCACTAATCAATGTGGCAAACCAACTATCTTTTCTACTAATTTACCAAAAGTGCGAGATTTAAATTGATTTTTTTATATTTTATTTTGCTCAAATTTTTACTTTGCATTTATTTTTCTCTTTCATTGTAAATGAATATTATCTTAAAGTTATTTTTTAAGATGATAGTGAATCTCTATAGCTACTTTATATATCTAATTTATATGACTTGCTCTCTATTTTATTTCTATCTAGTTTAACCTGCTAAAATAAAAGTATATTTTAATTATTGACAAAACAAAAAGTTATTTTTTTATTGCTTGTGGAAGAAGTAAAACATATTTCTACTACAATGACAGAGACTTGTGTTGGATTTATTCCAACAAGAATAAATAAAACACCGAGTGCAACTATAAGAATAAATGCACTGATCAACCATCTGTGCGAAAAGAAACAGAGGACAGATACCAGCGTATTCTTAGAAGATCAGAAACTCATTCAACTGCAGTTCCACATGTATACAAGGCAATGCTGACGTATCGTTTGTAAAGATGCCATTGTAGAGACAAACTGAGGAAGATTAAGTAGTCAACAAAAGTTATACTGCTCCTTGAGACTTGAGGAGTTAATCTTGAATTACCAGTTTGCTCTATACAAATTCAGAGGTCAATGACACGGGGCAAAGTAAATGATCAAAGACATAGACTGTATTATATGAAATGAAATTAGCTTAATAGAATTATTGGCAGTAAAAGTTAAAAGCTCTGAAAAGTTGAAATATTATTAATTTGTTTCTTAAATCCAACCAAAGACTCTCAAAGTAAAATCATATAATTTTTATAGTATTACTCTATTGCAAGTCATATCAGTGAGATAGATCTTTTCCCTATTTATTTCTATTTTTATAATTTTGCCTCTAACACCTCTATGATTTTGTATTAGCTATATTTATCTTTTACAGTAGTGATAGCCTTGCCTAGTTTAATGTGAGAGATATCAAGCCTTTTTCTCTTGTGAATAAATCCAATGAAATAGTCAACTAAAAAGTTACTAGACTTGGTTTTGCCACTATACGCTTGCACAAATTTCATTACACTTTCTCATAAGATAAATTTACGTCTTTAAATTCTCAACTTAATGACTTTTTTGTTTGATACTTCTTCAATATAAAAATAAATAAAATACTATCAGTATGTAAGTTACTTTACATAAAGTCAATAGTAATATTTATATATGTGTCAGCAATCTATAAAAAACAAGTCATTATTGTTACAATTCTTTTGGTAATCTAAAGATCTGCAATTTTTTGTTTATATGCTCGATCTAAATGTAGAATTTACTTATTTATGAAATAGACATTCTTCAATTTTGTATTACTTACTTTTGTAGTAAATATGAATTATATAACTTTTAGAGAATCCTTTTGCCTCTACCAAGATATATATATATTTTATTTAGTCTAATCTTAAATATCAATCAATTTTATCATTAAAAAACCTTTTTCTGTTTTTCACCGATATCTGCTTTTATTTTCAGTATTGAGTTTTTGTTGATCTGATGTTGGGTACTTAACTAGCAACCATCAAGAATTATGCTGTTTAATATCCAAATATTATCGCTAAAATCTTTGTATTTATAATATGATATTTGTAAATATAATAATTACTTCAAAATCGTCTGCCAATTATTTGTTACTGATATATCCTTTTATCTTTTGAGTATCCGTAATTTCATAGGCGTACTAAATGGCTGAAATAAACTTTTTTCTCAGCGTCTTCTTTGGACTTGAAATCAAACTCCATAAAAAAAAGTCTTTAATATTTACATATGGTAGCTTCTGTGTTTTATATTTTCAATGGTATCTATTTAATGTCACACACACATATATATATATATATATTAGCTAATGAATACATATCCTTTTTTTTCATTTTTCAAGTCTACTTGCATCATGAGCATTTTTAAAATTACAAGCTATATATTTTTTGCTTGTAGGGAGTTTTGTGATCAAGAGAGTTGGCGGGCCTCTTTTGCTTTGCAGAAAAAGAGGCAACCGCTGGGTTTGTTTTGAATTTTATTTTTTATAGGATATTCTTGAGAATCCTGTATTTTCTCAAGTGAGAAATTGCGAGAGCTCATGAAAGCACATCCCATAGCCATGTCTTCCCAAAGAGATGACGCATTCTAGAGTACAGAGAAAACGAGAAGAGAGATAGTAGAGATTGACTGAGAGGGAAGGAAGGGTGTGGACATTTCCAAGACTGGTGTAATAACTAAGTTTCGGCAGGAGAAGGGCGTTAGCATATTATTGTTACCATGGTCTGTACCATCGCAATGAGAGAGTATGGGTAAGAGCATATAATGTCACTACATATTGACCAACTCTTCGCAATATATTTCTCAACAAAAGTGAGATAACTGCGAAAGAGCCGTGAAAGTATGAGCTATAGAATTAAAAAAAATTTTTTTTATCATGTTTTCAAGAAAGATAGTTTGGATGTACATTCTGAAGACTGCACTTATTTCATATAACATTTATTTTCTTGAAGAAAGCATTAGTGCCAATAAGAAATGAGAGGAACATTAATTGCTAAAGAAGACAATTTTATCAAGAGGCTTGTAACAAATTCTGAAGGGTACAAATCTTTATGATTAGAACAATGGTTTAATTTTTTTTACTTCTATTATGCTGTTTGAAATTTGATTACTTTTATTTCTTATATTAAATTACTGTTTCTTATAGAAAATCACTATATTCAATGTATTTTATAAGTAAAGATGTTATTTCTTTTGTCTGTTGTCAGTATTTTTAAAGTTTGTCAGTTCAGATTGTCCCTTTGAAAGACATATTTGAGATTGCGTAGAAATGGATACCTATTGAAGGGGGTATGCTTTATCTTTCTGTGGAGTACGTACATTGTGTTTGTAAAGTTAAAAACATATGGAAAGGATTCCTTTTCATTGTCGCTGTTCTGGATTATATTATTTATATTCGAAACGAAAATAGATGATAGCAATTTTTCAGGACTGATGAGGTTTCTTCTGATGCTTCTACCATGTCTTTAATAATAAGCCTTTGAAAATCTTTTGTCTACACATTCTTACGGACTCTGAATAATCTCTTGGCTTAACCAAAACTCCCGAAAGCGAGTAGCTGTAGTAGAATAATGGCATTTTGCTCCTCAAATAACCTGAATACTTTGTTGAACACCTTGAGCAGAACCTGTAAACGCACATGTCTTGAATTTTACAAAACGATCTCGCCTTGCTTTATAAGTTTGAAACTAGAGTCTCTAAAGCCTTGTTACAGTCTACCTATACTTTTTTTTTTGGCTTTTGCTACCTACCGTGTTACTCCACATGCGCTCTCTCGCAGTGTAGGAAGTGAGATCACGGTCATTTCCAGTATTTAAACGGTACCACCCAAAGGTTCTTATCAGGACTTTGTCAAACCTGTAATTATCTTTGGCCTGGTAAAGAATCGATTGGTCAACGTGAGACAGAACAGAGTATCAAAGAAACTCAAATACAGAGCCCATATAGAACACGTTGATTCTATTTGGGCGAAGTGTTTTATTGTAGCGGTCCATATTAACAAGGTTACCTCCTGAAGTTCTCTTTGTAGCTAATTCTGTTTTCTCTTTTCTCAATATAGCCTTCTCTGACATATACCTTTTCTTTTATCTTTTTTTTTAAAGTCATTGTTTCTTTTTCCAGACAGACAGACATTTTTTTTACAACATTTTTTTTTAATTTCACCTATGAATTTAACGTACTTTCTGCAAGTATTTCATCAAGGCCTTATGGAATCTCTTTAAAGGAATTGAGAATAGCCTTTCCGCTTGTCTTTGTCAATGAATCTTTTCTTTAATGGATCTTCTGGCGCAAATTCTTCAAGCAGATAAATTTCTTTAATATGCGAAAACAGATCTGCGATGCTGTTCATGTCACGTATGCTAGGTACTGATACTGTCTTGAGAGATGGTTACTCTATATTTCTTTTTCAAGATATCGCGTGGTTCTGTCCGGAAACAAGATTCTACTTTACCAATATCACTGATCCCAGAAAACTTTTCATTCTTCTGCTGAATTACATACTCTTCTTCTTCTTTTTTTTTCTGTCTCGCTTCAGTTTTTTAGTTTCCCAAATCTTGTAAAAGTCTGTATTTTTTTTCTGGTTTTTCTGCCGTTTGTTTTTCGGTATAGCAAAATCGAATTTCCTGGCTAAAATAAAATAAAATAAAAACCACTCAAAAGCAGGTAGTCTTTGTTTGGATATTGGGACAAATATTGCAAATATAAGACAGAATGTTACTTTTATATATATATATATATATATATATATATATTCACTTTATATAAGACGCTGTAATACGATTCTACTGCATTTGATCTCTCTTTTTGCGAGGACTGACAAATTACTGCCACATAAGCATTTCCTCTTGTCTTTTCTTGTCTCTTTTCCTTCTGTTTTATTTCCCATATGTAAACCTTAAAAAAAATCCAAAAAAAACATCAGGTTTCTCTCTCTCTCTCTCTCTCTCTCTTCTTCTTCTTCTCTTATTTTACTAACCAGGACACACGATCGGTGACGGAATGTAACGCCGAAAAGAAAGAAAGAAAGAAAGAAACTTCACACTAGTGTAACAAGGACCGTGCATCAGGTGATCTTGGAAACACACGGACACGATTCCGACCCTTGCTGTTTCTTTTCTTTTTGGATTTCTGTTGTCATTAGTCAATCGCTTATATATCTATATATGCGCGCACAAAAGATAAAGAAATAAAGAGAGTGACGAGTATGATATACTGATATGGTAAAATAAACAATTCGAACCAATTACATTGGTTTCTTTGGTTGAGATAAAGGAAGAAATATTAGAATAGTGGAGGATATGGGGTAGGGTGTAGTCATTATAGTCCTAAAGTGCAGTAAGCGATCACATCTAATAATCCTTTTTTATTTATTTGTTAGGTCTGTAATAGTGGTCGATAGAAGTAGTCAAAGTCAAGCTAAACCAAAAAACCAAAAACCAAAATTAATAATATAGTCTAGCCATTAGTTACCATGACATTGTAACTGTAACTGTAACTGTAACTATGTCTGTTACTGATGAGAGTATAAGTACTACTATCAGTGTAAGTGTATGCGGTTAGTATAGATGGAGTAATGTAGGGGCAAAACAAACCATAGTATGATAGGGATATTATATGTATATATATATAGGTACATCACATTACACCATAATTCACTTGAAAATAACCGATTATTTTATAGCTGATTTATATTATTTTATATTATTTTATTTGTTCCTTTCTTGTAAACTATAGTTCAAAATGTGCATAAATAATAAGATATTATTGAAACAATAAAGATACTTTTGAAACATATATTATATATATACTATATTTTTTTTCTATAGTAAGATATTTTATCTATCGAAAATAAAATTGGTAAAGAACGAAAAGACGCTTTCCCCACACTATATTTTCTTTTTTTAGTAAAATAAAATCAATTGCATTCATATTTATGCTATCAAGATACCCAATACTAATAGTACTAATAGTACTAATAATACTAATAATACTAATGATTTTTGTTCTTCATGCTTACTATTGTATTATTATTTATTCACTAGTACCGGAACTAGTACTGAATCTGGCACTAGTACTGGTGCACACCATGCTATTTATTGCTGTATATACTGATATAAATGATATATATATATATATTAAAAAAAAAGAGGGGGGGAAGAAGAGTTTGGTTCCTAAATTGTGTAAAAAGCCTCTGGATTTGGCGCCTTTCCTTCTGGCCAATCAGCACTGGATTTCTTTCGTTACTACTCAAACGATAGGAACATAAGAAAGATATATATAAAAAAAAAAGTAAAGATTTTAAAGTTTTGGTAGTAAAAGGTGGTTTGTTATTTTAGTAGTATATTTACTTGTGACCAGCAGCGTTACTTTAATAAGGCAGCAAAAGGAAGAAGAAAGAATTATATGTCTTATGGTTGGTAAAGTAAAAAGAGTAGAAGAGTAGAAAAGAGAGTGGAAGAGGTCATTTTGCACAAAATTTGGCTACTACACTATACTAAAATAAGAAGAAGAAAAGAAGGTGAAGATTGGCGTACAATGAATTAGAGTAAATTGGATTAGAATAAAGAACACTAGAGCAAATTACACAGCATCACAAAAACACGCACTTGACACACGCGTGTATAAAAAGAACATGTAATATACATCGATATCCATTGCGTATGTGTGTTGTTAATGAGTTGATATATTCTATGCTATGATATGTACGTATAAAATATTAGGATAATAGTAATAATGATTTACCGATAATTAAATATGAATCTTTTGCTTTTCTCTCTTCTATTCTTTTTATTGAATATTCTTAATCTCAATAGCAGCTATTAAATAGAAAGGAGAGTTTTCCTTTGCTCTCACGCCATATTTCGTGTAGTACTATATGTTGTGTATTGTGTAGTATGTACCCTTTGCAATGACGAACTAGATTATCTATCTATCTGTTTTTTTTCTTTCTTTCAAATCAGATTGGCCGAGACTTTCTGTATTACTAAATATGTACCTTTTTATATACCTATTTTCATGTCAATGTCTAATGTTCATGCTCATGTCTCTTTAAAACTAATCTTACTATATTATATAAATTATGTATATAGATTATTTTAGGTTAGATTAATTAATTAATTGATTGAGTATTATAAAATATTTATGTATAAAAGACTAACATAATAGTATTAAAGGGGAATTTTAGAGGTAAAAAACATAAAAACATAAATATTGACATGGATACCGGACATGCCATTAATATTAATATAGTATATATGTGCGTCAATCACACCTAAAATTTTCAAGAGCCAATTTCGGTTTGTCGGAAAGCCTAAAAAAAAATAAAAAAATAAAAATAAGATGGATAAAATTTTATATGATTTATTATTAATTCATTGATCACCGACTTGGTCAGTGTTCCGTTTCACTATCACATGTGTGTTCCGCATTCCTTTTATCCCTTCTTTGTCATTCATTCATTCAGACTTACACACACAACACACACAAGAGAAATATATATATATATATATATATATACGTACAAAATAAACGTACCATATATTTTATTGATTTATTGATTTATTTATATGTAAATGAAAAAAATAAATAATATTTGTGTGTGACTGTGATTTTTGTTTATGTACATCATACAGTATATATCAATTATTGTTAATCAAAAAAGAAAGGGTAATTTTAACCAGTAAGAGTCATAAAAGAAAAAAAAAACACGTCTGAATTTTGATACATAAAAAAAAAGTGTATGTATAATTATTATTATTATTATTATTATTATTGTCATTATCAACAAGTTTTTTATGAGAAAAATAAAATATTCACAGCAAAATATAATAAACGTTAAAGAATGAAAGAATGAAAGAATGAAAGAATGAAAGAATGAAAGAAGAAGAAGAGGAAAGCAAGATAAACGATTGTATAATAACAATAATAATGATAAGAGAATGAAAGAAATGAGGGACTCGATGATTTCGGGGGGATTTTTTTTTAGGGATAAAGCATATAATATATAGAAGTAAAGAAGTAAAGGAATTGTTAATGGGGGAAAAGAGATTTTATGAATAAAAGTAAAGAAGTAAAGTAAAGAAGTATAGAAGAGGAAGAATATACATATTTATATTTATATAATTGAAGCAAAGTTAGCATTTCTTCTTTAAAAAAAAAAGAAAATTAAAATCAAAATAAATCAAAAAAATACAAAAAAGAAAAAAGGAAGGAAAGAAGGAAAGAAAGAAAGAAACGAATTGGACTTTTGGGAGGCTTTCTTTTACTCCACAGTGTGCTTCTGTGAAAAGTAATCGGTTATCTGAGGTCTGTTATTTACAGTGTTCAGATAAGGTGTCAAGCCAGTCCGTGCATGAGGGTGTCCATGTGCATGTGCATGTGCATGATGGGATTGGTGCGGGTGACAGTCCCCAATAGAAGCAGTCATTGGAGGAAGCACAGACATGTGGGGTGCATAATAGCGGCCGTCAAAACCAGAAGAAACCGAAACATTTTGCTGGGTCAGAGAGACTGGCGATCCAGAGTACACGTTGTGGGATTCGGTTCCTTTGATCGGAGAGTGGGAAGCACCCATGCTTATTGTAGCCGGAGAAGATGCTGATGCTGATGCTGATGCTGATACTGATGAAGATGCTGAGGATGCCATGGGAGTTGTGTTTTGGTTTGTTGGAGTAGAAGTCGAAGAGCTAGGTGTGATTGTGAGTCCAATGTTGATGTTGTTAATGTTGGTGTTGGTGTTGGATGCGGTAAGGGATGGGATTGGGCCATAGTGAAGACGGTTGTTCGATTCCAGCTGGGCTGAGGACTGGCGAAGATATGACTGGACAGCAGGACAGTCGCAGTTTCCGTGTGCAAGGAGCTGGTTTCGAAGGAATATGCTTTCTTCTCTCAATTGGGCGACCATTGTGTGCAAATCTTTGTTCTGATTGGACACCTGTTCGGCGTGTGTCTCGAGGTTTTGCATCCACTTCTTCTTCTTCTGACGGCACTTGAAGGCAGCTACCCGGTTGCGTTCCAAGAACTTCTTGCGCTGTTCTTCGGCATCGTCGCCTTCGAATACGATCCGTCTCTTGCGGCCACTCGAGACAATGGTCTGCATGTATCTGGTCGAGCTTGTGTCACTGCTGTTGCTGTCATCATCCGAATCTTCCTGTTTATAGCTAATCTTTGTGGCACGCTTGGAGGTACGAGAACGGGTGCTCTTCTTTGGGAGACCGTTTTCTTGCTTGAATACCAATTGGGTGGTGTCTGAGGACGATTCCTGATTGAATGAAGACGACTGTTGCTGTTCTTCAGACTGATTAGGCAATTGGTGATTGGTCTGTGGTGGGCTGAGAGACAAGATACGTGGAGATGAAAGTCTGTGCGATCTCGAAAACGAAGGAGTGGGGCTGCTGGCCTGAGAAGAGTTGTCCAATATTGGGCTTGTGGGCCAGGATGATACTGAAGCTGAAGAGGGAGAGATTTCATCTGATTTTTGAGAGCGGCGAGACTGAGACTGAGCCTGGGACTGGGACTGAGCCTGAGCCTGAGAGTGAGCCTGAGAGTGAGGCGGGGGCTTTTGGATGGCCTGGCCTTGGAAATGATAATCAAAAGGATTCAATTCGGTTGTCATTCCTGAAATTCCTGGAGTAAAGTTCCATTCGCCACATTCGAGTAAGAAGCGAGTGGGAGTGGACAAAGCATGATTGTGTTCTACATGAAGATGATATTAATAACTGATATTTGGTATTGATATCACTGTTAATATTTACCTTCGTTAAGAATTGCTTGCATTGCTTCTTGTTAGTGAACTTGAGATTATCGTTGTTGATAAGGTTTTTTTATATATAGAAAGTAGAAGAAGTATAAGAGAAGAAGAAGAAGAAGTTTGCTTTCTTGGTATAAAGAGAAAAGGAAATAATAAATATTTAAAGATGAAAGATTTTAAATGGGTTCTTTATAAAGGAATTTTTTCCCTCGTATTTTTGTTTTCAAAAAAAAAATATGAAAATTTAGCGGCGATCATTTAACCTTTTTTCTTGTATTCTTTTCTTTTTTTTTTTTTCTTTTTTTTTGTGTTTTGGTTTCTTGTATTAATGCAGGGTTACTATACTCTGGCTCGATTTTTTTTATATACATATATATTTTATCAATGATGTCATGTGAAATATCGGAGCCACAAGCGCTACCTTGATGGATTTGTCTGTTTTATATTTAATTTATGATATCATCAAAATAAGATGTGTATATATAATTGTTTTTGAGTGGACGGGTGAGAATGGTGGTGGTTCAATCTACACCAAAAGAAGTCAAGTTTCAAAATCTTATATATAAATAAAATGAATACAAAGGCAATATAATTTTTAACCCAGGAATCTAACATCAAAAAAGAAACAAGAATATAGACATCAATACAAAAATAGAGAAAGAAGTAATTACTAGAGTTAGTTTGCTATAATTTTTACTATCATTTTAGGTATAGGATACATACGGTAGAATAGAAAAAGACCTATATTATTTTATCACGATTTTTATTTAACAAGAAATGAGCTAAACAGAACAGAACAGAACAAAATAAATCATGCAAATTAGGGTGCAGAAATCATATTTGATTCATTCATTCAAGATATACCTTTTTCTTTAAACAACTTGACTCGTATATTATCCATTAAATAAACCTCATACAATCCACATACTTTTGAGGCATTTTCAAGAACCAATAAAAAGTGTATTTTACAGTGAAAGAATCAATTAATTATATGCTATTCTATTGCTTCAATAGTAAAAAAAGAAAGAAAGAGAGAGAAAAAAAAGACCTTTAAGATACAAACTAGACTCTAATCAATAGACTTCTGGATCTTTATATACAACATGGTAATAATGAATAGAGTCCATTTTATATATATTATATTATATTATATTATATTATATTATATTATATATTTATTATATATTTATTATAATAAAGTATATAAAAATACTTTTGCACTCTTGGCTTCTTATATAAATGGAAAAATGGAAAGCTAGGTAGATAGATAGATAGACAGATAGACAGACACAAGTACCATCTCGTTATTCTTATTCCCATTATTCCCATTATTATTATAATAATAATAGTAATAATAATGTGGTATTTTTTGCAATTTAAGGAAAGGTAGAAAACCATGTTTTGCGACTTGAACCCGTAAACTGGGTTGAACCTTCCATAATAAGAATCAGATAAACCAGGAAATGGGCATTGAAATACAAAATTAGTTAGGATCAGTTACACACTCCAACATAATAATAATACTAATAATTATATATACATGTAAGCTTAAAAATATAATACATCACATTATATCTACTTTCAGTGTTTTCATACCATAATTAATCGTCGCATTATTCAAGAATTGCGCTCGTTCCTTTTTTTTATAGAATTTATTTCATTTTTACGAAAAATACTTGACGCAACTTTTATATATATATATATAAACAAAATAAAACAATATTATCATGATTGAGAATATTAAATGCTTGAAATGATTAATAATAATAATAATAATAATTCTAATAGTACTAACTATTGTTTCTATTATTCTTCAACTGCTTTGCTTTGTATTGTATTGTATTGTATTGTATTTTTATACTAGTTAAAAATATATACACATACAAGAGTCATTATAACTTAGTAAGACTAAAAAAAATGATATATAGAATGTAATGTAATATAGAGTTGTTGTTCTTGTGTTTTTTGACTTTTTTTTGGCGATGATGATGATCCTTTTTTTTTATTTATATTCAATTGTTTAGATTACAATTATAAAAACTGTCAAGAAAATCGTGAGGGTTCGATTGGATGTAAAATATTGAAGGTAGTAACACTTGCTAATCTCGATTGCGGGTTGTGTACTCTTGTCAAATATATATATATATTGGTTGATTAATAGCTCCTACTGAAATGTCTTTTTTTTTGTGTAAACTACCTTTAAGCCTATACACCAACAATTGTACTTGTACTTTTGAATGTGAGTATTCAAGTATGAGTAGGCTCAGATATAATAGCAACATCAAAGCTCAAAAAGAGTCCTTTGCTATATCTACATACTGTATATGAATGAATAATATGAAAGAACTTTACAGTGTTTTGCTGTTTAGTTTTAGACTTAATTTGGTTTGGTTTATATATTTATATTTATAATAAAATATATTTATAATTATTCTATTGATATTCTATCGACATTTTCAATATACTAGTTCTTCTTTCTCTCTCTATGTAGCTTTCTTGGCTAATCTCTAATATAATGCTATATATATTGTTAAAAGTAGTCTACAAAAAAAATGATAGTTGTGATTTTGTTTAATCAATAGGAACAAAGTTGCGTAAAATAAAGCAAAAGAAAACACATAACAGTAACAATTTTATTCCAAATGTTTCTTTTGATATTTCTATTTTTCTATAGATATTCATAGAAAGAAAGAAAGAGAGAAAATACAAAATAGAGTCATAGAAAATCAGAATCAAAATCAAAATCAAAATCAAAATTAAAACCAAGAATCAATTCTATTCAGCCAACTAGCTAACCATTTTATTTATTTTAGGTACTTTGTAATATAATACATTTCCTATTTCCCATTCTTTCTTATTTTATTATTATTCCATTTTGGGCATTCAATTTGAGTACAAAAGAAAGAACCAAAAAATATTTTTATTATTATTTTTTATTATTATAATAGTTTTTCGATTTTTCTTTAAATAACAAATTCAGTGTTTTTCACTTCCTTTTTTACTTTTATAATACAGAAGATATATAAATAATGAAGATCAACGAAATATGTTTTTTACCCAGAATTTATTACCGCAAATTCACACCCGTATCCACCATCCGCAATCCGCATCGCCATCGCCATCGCCATCGTTTTCTTGTGTGGATAATTTCGATTCGGCTGCGAACCGATCATATAACACACATATCACAAAGAACACAAAGAACACAAAAGTATATTCTGTATATTTTGTATATTTTATATATTTTATACATTTTGTACATTTATTAACGCAAATGTATTACAAGATTCTGTATTTTTTATTTATTTGTCCCAACATTTGCATTTCATGAATTTGCAATTCAATTCAATTCAATTCAATTCAATTCAAAAATAATTATAATATATATATATATACAATTGAAACGCTAAGATATACATATTAAAAACTCCACTCCACTCCACTCCACTCCATTCCCCAACCCTTACTTACCCTTATTCTTACCCTTTACCTTTTACCCTTACTCCTCTCCCTCCCCGCTCCCTATCGATTTTCATTTTCTTCCTTCGGCTTATATTATAGGCTTACTTGTGGCATTACAGCCTAAATACAATACAATATAGTAGGGTAGAATGCAATCATCGCTACTGCTATCATTATTTTATCCCTTTCAATATATGTAACATATTTATTTATTTATTTATTATTATTATTATTAAAAATAAAATATTTTGATTGGCTAAACACTCGCTCACACCACAATTGCTACACACTAGACAAATGAATACACACACACAAAAAATATTCTCAGAGTTGTGTATACAGTTGAAAGAAAGTTCTCACACAGAATTCTTTCAGCACGGCCTCAACATTATCATTATTTTCCCAGTTTACTCTTGCATACTAACTGAGCTGCTCAATGGAGACCAAGCCCAGGAGAACTTGAATAAAATAAAATAAGACAAATTCAACCATACCATACCATACCATATCACCCTCTTTGCTCCCATGTATCTCTGAATATCATGATGAGTATGAATAGGGTAGGTATTATCTGTAGCAATATACTGATACCTGTCAATTACATCCAAGGCTACAGCCACAAAGTTAAACCGATGATTTGTGACAATATTTCCCCTCCCTTAATTTTGCACAGGCGTAGCGGATCCTTTAACTTTACTTTCCTTTTGTTTGGCCCAACCTACGGGGCGATTCATGTGTTTACATTAAAACCAGATATATCTATAAAGACACAATCATTTATATAACCCATGTCTTTTTTGGTTGCCAGCCCTGAACTTCCTTTCTTTACACTGAATGAAGATAGACACGCTTTACGCTTATTCTACACTCTTTCTTGATAAATAGTAAGCATAATATTAATAAAGCACATTTTTGAAAAGAAAAGAGCCTTTATACATAAATTCAACCAGATCTTTCCATTAGGGATATTGGACTCATATTATCTTGAGCTTCTTCTGTGGAGAAAAGTTTAGAATTGATAGCAAGGGATTGTCGCTTTTATTGTAGTAATCTGAAGAAACCTTGACATCAATCTCATGTATGACATACCGCTACACCCCCAGCTTTCCTTGTTCTGTAGATCATAGGAGGGGTAAAGGATAATCACTGGCTGATACGGATCGTCCGTCAAATTGGTTCCAATGCGGCTCAGAACATGTGACAGGTGGGCTTATCTTGCAGACTCTAGGTTACTTGTTGACCAACTGATTTCTTTGACAGCCTCAGTTGGTGCTTTTAACTGAAATCTAACCGCTACAGACCATTGAGGCGTTTTGTAATTTACATTAAATCTGTCGCAAATATATAGAGTTATAATGTAACTGGTGCAGATTACTCTGAGGGGTGGGCAATTTTGTTGATTTGAACGCTGATAAACTTTGTGAACGCACTGGCTTGAACCGTGTGATTGATAGGTATACTATATATCAAAACCAAGTAAATAGAACTCCTTCTTACTATTGTAATCGTAATTATTCTTATTATTATAATAGCAATTATAGAGAAAAAAACAGAGTTCAATGACGTCTTGTACCTTTATTTGTTTTGTGTATGTTGTCTGTGACCCCTTACCCTGAAAAACTGACACTCAAAATAGACTTGCTTGACAATTCCACTGTGGGTTATTATTTACTGGGTTAAACCTTCTTTTTTCTTTTACTTCTTTAACTTGGTCT